GGGGGGGGGGGGGGGGGGCGTACGTACCATGTCCATGTCTGTGCGTACAGTCTTGTCAAAGTTTTCGTTGAGAGACAGGGCCGCACTAGTGTGCTGCAAGAACAGCGTAAGAAGGCCTACTTGCACGCCCTGCAGCATATCGCGAATCTCACGCTCGACTTCCGCTTGCACGAGGTGGCAGCCCTTGCTGCGGGCCGCCAACGTAAAGGTCTTTTGCGCGGGCATAGGTGGATGATGAGGCGGTGACAGGAAAGATGGAGGCGCCAGTGCGGGGCCAGCGGTCGCCACACCCGCGGGGACGCCACCGCCCACATACCGCCCAGACGACGATGCAAGCCACGACGATGGCATGTACAGAGATCGGCTAAGCCATAGCAGGCCCGCCACCAGCACAGCAATCACCAGCTTCGTGGGGTTCTGAATTTTCGAGGCCCGCCCGAAAAACAGGGGATGGTCATCGCCGTAGGCCCGCCGCCGCTCGCGACGCATGCGGGCTCGTAAATCAGTCGCAGCATGGGGCGACGCAGCGTACAAGGTCGCTGTGGCATGGACAGGCGAGGTGTCCGTGGCAGGCTCGTCCCTCGACTCGTCGGGCATCATCGTAGTACGTACTCAAGTCGTGCGAGTCGCACGCACAGACCGTGGGTCACCCACAAAAAAGAGAGAAGGGCATGGGCCAAGCTACAAACACCGACACTATCTAGGCAAGGTGCCTATGCTGCACGCATCTTCTGCAGACGCACACGCACGGCATTCGCGTGCGCTTCCAGCCCTTCACACTCGGCCAACGTAACGACATGCGGTCCCAGCTGCTGAAGACCATCCGCCGCAATGGTCTGGGCCGTAATGTACTTTTGGAACGTGCCGGTGGACACGCCACCGTACTGCCGCGCGTAGCCATACGTAGGCAGCGTGTGGTTGGTCCCGGAAGCGTAATCGCCACAGCTCTCTGGCGTCCATGGGCCCACAAACACACTGCCAGCATGCTGCACCATCGGCACGACCTCTTCCGCGTTGGCCATGTGCAGAATCAAGTGCTCAGGCGCGTACCGGTTGCTCCACGCCATCGCTTCTTCCGGCGTGTCGACAAGTATCGTGACACTCTTATCAATCGCCTGCCGCACCACATCGACTCGCGGCAACGCACGCGCCTGACGATCGACTTCGTCTTCAATGGCCTGCAGCTTGGCATCGCTCAGAGCAATGCCGACCAGCACCACCTGTGAATCAGGACCATGCTCGGCCTGCGACAGCAAATCAGACGCCACAAACTGCGGCTCCGCATCGTTGTCTGCCACGACCAGCACCTCCGAGGGACCTGCCGGCATATCGATCGAGACCAACGCATCCACTTCGTTCTGGACGAGCATCTTGGCCGCCGTCACGTACTGGTTGCCTGGGCCGACAATCTTATCGACCTTGGGCACACTCGCCGTGCCGTACGCCATCGCACCTACCGCCTGCGCACCGCCCGCACACACAATGCACGAGACGCCGACCTTGTCAGCGACATACAACACTTCCGGCGCAATCGAGCCGTCCGAGCGAGGCGGCGTCGCAAGCACAATCGTTTGGCACCCTGCGACCTGCGCAGGCACACCCAGCATCAGCGCCGTGGACGGCAGCACAGCACTGCCACCAGGCACGTACACACCGACACGCTCAATCGCACGTGGGAAACGCGTGCACAGCACGCCAGGCATCGTCTCGATTTCCATCACATGGTCCTCTGGCGCCCAGGCCGCATGCACACCAGCCGTAGGGCCTTGCGACGGGGTCCGCTGCGCCTCGTGGAAGCGACGGATGTTGCCGTACGCCACATCAATAGCCGTACGCACACTTTCCGGCATCGCAGCGCGATCCGCCTCCGTCTGGAAGGGCGGATGACGTACTGTGCTCTGTAGTTGGCACCGATCTAGCTGCGCGGTATACTCCAGCACGGCCGCGTCGCCGCGCTCCTTGACGTCCGCCAAGATGGGACGCACACGCTCCATCACCTGGCTGGTCCGAATCGCAGGACGACGCAGCAACTCGACCTGCTTCTCTGCCGAGGTCGCCGACAGGCGATGCACAGGCAGCCGAATCGGTGCAGACGCATCGAGCGTCTTGGCCTCGGCTGCTGCCGCAGGCGCGGCAGACGACGACGGGGCCGAGGTGTACGCGGGCTTTGCATCCCCACGACGGCGCGTCACTTTCTTGCTCTTCTGGTCCAAGGAACGCTCAATGTCCGCGAGGCCGACACCCGCACTAATACACCGCGCAAGCGCAAAGTACAGCAGGTCCGCCGCTTCAAAGGCAATATGCGTCGCATCTGTGGCATCAATCAGTTCCTGGGCCTCCTCGCGAATCTTGGCGCCCAGCAGTTCACGATCGTTGAACAGGCGGGCCGTGTACGAGCCAGCCGGCGCCGAGTGCTTGCGGGCACGCAGCGTCTGCTCCAGCTTCGCAAGCCCCGTCAGGCCACCAAAGCACGATTCGCGATCGGTCAGGTGGCAGAAGCCCACCGAGCGATGACCGGTGTGCTGCGTCACACGGAACTCCAAGGCGTCCTGATCACAGTCCAAACGAATCCGCACGACATCCTGCGTAGCGCCACTCGTGGCGCCCTTGTGCCATAGACCGCGCTTGCGCGACTGGTAGTGCGCCGAGCCTGTCGTCAGCGAGGCACGCACGGACGCCAACGACGAGTACACCAAGCCCAACGCGGCGGAGCACGTATCTGAGACGACCAGCGTCGGAAGCAGGCCATCGGCACGGTCCGACTCAATGGCGCACAGCAGCGCCTCAACATACTCGATGGAGGCAGCAGAGGTCGACTGGTCCAAGTACAGGGTCGAGGTAGGCACCACCGCCGTGGCCGACAGACGAGCGAGTGTACGTACGTCGTCGAGCGACGAGATAGGGGCACGTACGTACACGCCACGGCCCGTGACTGTGGTCTCCATCGCACGCACAAAGGTTTGAATGGACGAAGCGTCGATGCGATCCACGTCCAGACGCACACCCGCGGCGTGCGTCGGGGGTGCCATGGTGTCGGGCATCGCGACAATGACACGCGAAGCGATAACGTCTGTGCCCAGCGCCTGTAGCAGCGAGGCGTCGTCATTACGCACAATCACAGCCTCGGCGCCCTGGTTGAGCACGTCGATGGCCAAGTCGTACGACGCAGAGACGTCAGGCAAGGTCAGGTCGACCACCGCAGGCGCCTGGTGGGCAGCGGCGATCGACATCGCATTCGGCGCCACAATGAGCGGCGCAGACTTGGCAATGGCCTTGCCCAAAGGCGAGTCGAACCAGGCCGAGAGATCACTCTCCCTCGGTGCTACGTCCAGCCATGGGACTAGCGGAGTCGATTGCTGCAACATGAAGAACCACGACGACAAGCGACGCACGCCAGGCGGCCTTTCCAACGCCGCCTGACTCATCCTACGTGTATCACGTGATATACGACCGCGCACGCCCCCACGGGCAAATGCGCACGACGGTACGTGACGACCGGCGACGACGACCAGTATGCTTTTCCGGATCTCGTTTGCCTCGTTGGCGCTGAGCGTCGCTACCGCCTGGGCTTGGCAGCGCCCCTTCCAGATGCCTGTGCCGACGGAGCAGGACAATGTGCAGATTCTTTCGCACCCCTCTCTCCCTGCGTACTCGGTACGTCTGCATCGCGTGCCAGATGGTGTGTGTGAGCGGGCGCCCACCGCATCGTGGTCAGGCTACTTGGACGTAGACTTGGACGTGCTCTTCGAGAAGGAGCGCGAAGCCGGCCATGCCTCGGCTCTAGCGACGCCGCCGGGCATTGTGGAGCACTTTTACTTCTGGGCCTTTGAATCGCGGACGGACCCCCGCAATGACCCGCTGACCCTGTGGCTTAACGGTGGCCCTGGCTGCTCGTCGTTCACGGGCCTGCTCATGGAGCTGGGCCCGTGCAATGCGGCGCCGCTGGAAGATGACAATGTGCCGCGCACCGAATGGAACCCGTACTCGTGGACGACCAACTCGTCGATGATCTTCCTGGACCAGCCGATCGGTGTCGGTTTCTCTTACGCTTCGTGGAAGAACGGCTCGACCAACAACGTGCCGCCAGCGCGCATCTTCTCGACCGAGCAGAGCGCGCGCGACGTCTCCGCGTTCTTGCACTTGCTGGCCGCAAGCCCCCATGGACCGTTTGAGCCGCAAGTCGGCGAAGACGGCTCGCTTCAGATGCGTGAGTTCCACATGGCTGGTGAATCGTACGCAGGTCGCTACCTGCCGCTCATCGCGAGCCGTATCGTGAACGACAATGAACACTACATGCAGCACCCTGAGGACGGCCTGGAGCCACTGCCTCTGCGCTCGATCCTGATCGGCAACGGTATCACCTCGCCGCGTCACCAGAACGCGGCGTACGTTGAGTACGCGTGCACGAAGAAGTCGGGTCATGGCCCCTTCCTGGACGACAAGACGTGCAAAAAGATGTGGAAGAAGCTGCCGGTCTGCGAGGAGAAGCTTGCCAAGTGCAACAAGCACCGCGGCCCTGGCAAGTACGATGTGAAGGCGTGCCAGGATGCGCTCTCGTTCTGTGAAGAGCATCTCTCGACGCCGTGGGAGAAGACCAACTCGTCGTTCTACGACTGGAACCACCCTGTGGAGTACAAGCAGAGCGCCTATGTGCATGACTTTTTGAACCATGCTGACACACGACGCGACCTGGGCCTGGATCACTTCCGTATCGGTGACCAGCGCACGGGTGAGTTCAAGGACTGCTCGGACAACGTGTACAACAACTTTGCGTCGACCGGCGACGGTGCGCGGGACAGCACGTGGGCCATTGAGCACATCCTGGAGAAGGGCATTCGTGTGCTGTCTTACTCGGGGCGCCGTGACTTTATTTGCAACTTTATTGGCAACGGAAACTGGGTGCACGACCTCGAGTGGTCGGGCAGCAAAGGCTACCGCGAGGCGCCGCTGGAAGACTGGTTCATTCACGGCCAGAAGGCTCGCGCTGGTCAGTTCCGTTCGTACGGCAACATGACGTACGCCATTGTGGAAGAAGCGGGTCACTTTGTGCCCCTCGACCAGCCCCCGGCAGCATTGGCGATGTTCGAGCGCTGGGTGCACCCACGCACGAAGCTCGGCCGCCTGGATTAGGGTAGCGTAGTTGGGTTGTAGGTCCATATAAACGGGCCTTTTTTTGGTACGAGAAAAGTGGAGGAACGTCAATCGGTCTGACGAGGGAATGGCACTTCTATTACACTCTACATGGGGGCCCGGGGTCGTGCCTCGGTAGCACGGCGCACCGGTGGAGGAGACCCTGCTGTGCCCAAGGCATGCAAGGGTCGATATGCACTGGGCGCTGGCGCACTGGTGCTGTGGAGCGAGGCGTCCAGCGAAGGATGGGATGTGGGCGTAGGCCGCCCTCGCCTTGGCATTTCGCTGCCAGCAGGCACACGCTGCGAGGACTGGGCGTGGGGGAACGGGGCCAGCGCACTGGGGGCGGGACTGTTCGACGCAGAGCGACCGCGTGGCCGGCCTTGTCGTCGAAGGGAATACGGAGCGGATCGTCGAGCACGTGCCGGGCGCGCTGGAGAGGTATCTGGCGTCAGGCGATGCTCGCCTGGCCGGTCAGCGAGGCGCTGGTACAGCGTCGATGTAAGGCCCAGCACGGGGACATCCTCCGTGATGGCAGGGCGCGTAGGGACCAATGCAGGGCTGTGCCACACAACGGGCGGCGCGCCTACTTGCGCATTCTTGCGGCACCATACGCTCACAAACAAAATACGCTTCATGCGTCGATTGTAGAAAAACGCAAAGGTCGACCACAATAAGCCAGCGCCCGCACCGGCCAAGTCGTCTTCGCCCACCAGGGGGAGCGTCGGCGATTCTGAGGCGCCGGCACCGCTACTCCCACTCAGCCCCGCGGCATGGCCAGGGGCGGACGAGGTATGCGTGGAAAACCCACCCCCGTCCATTTCTTCATCAAAGGCCGGCGTATCCATGCCAACATCGTCGACATCCATCGCAGGCGTCCCACCACGACTTACAACGCCATGGTCATCGTCTGCTGTGTATCCCTCATCATACGGATCACCTTCATCCATATCGCCGCCCTCTTCATCTGGTTCCACACTCGCATGTGGATCTGAGTCCATATCGGGATGGAACGTATATACTTCGCAATCAGCCGTCTGGATGATCTCGTCCACAACGACAGGCAGCGATGCAGACGCGGAGCGAGATGCACTTGCACCGCCTGATGGCGTAGACGTGCTGGCCGAGGAACGTGCCTCATGAGCCATAGGTGATCGAGCAAACGAGCCCAGCATGGGCGACTCATCCAGGGACTTGCCCAGCGAGCCTGGCGATCCAGAGCTACCACGCAGGCTGAGAAGGGTCGTAGTAATGCTATTGAGCACCTCTGTCGCATCGGACTCGCGTACAAAGTCGGTGGGATTCACTTCGCTAAAATCGTGGTCAGGAAAGGCACCATTGAGTGTTGCGATGAGCAAAAACAGGGTCTTGCGAGCCGATGGCTGGTCTAGGCGCCCAAATGGCGACGCTAGTGCCTCGGCCAAGTACGCAGGCGGCGATGTGGATGCCGACAACAGATAGGACGATTCCAAGGACTTGAACAGACGTTTCTCCTTGTTCACCGCTTTGCATGAATAGGCTTCAATTCGCGTAAATACTTTACATTCGGACATCTCAAACGTGAGTGCACGCGATAATACCTCGAGCTCAGGGTACTCGAGAAACTTCATCGCGGCTGTAGCGCCTACACCTCGCGAGGCTGTCGGTGCGTGTGATGTGATAACAAGACGATGCGCTCGGCCCGAGCGCAACGCGCCCTCCACGCCCCTTGCGACGCTGTGTACCCCAAATGCGTCGCTTTGTGGCCATTTACCGCCACCCCGCGCGCGCGCTACCCACGTGCCACCGCGTCACACACGTGACCGACGCGTGCGCGAGGGCGCTTCCAGCCACAACACGCCCACGCCGCTTGACGGCACGTCTCTCGGTCGGCATGCCTCCACGTCGCAGCACGGCGCGTTCTAGTCGTGCATCGAGCGCGGATGCCCCCGCTACGGCGGACACAGAGTCCCCTACTACACCTCCCAGGCGCACTACACGTGGCCGTCGTGCTACCGCCAAGGCGGCGAGCACTGCTGCTGCTACAACCGCAACCGAGTCGCCGGACGATACGCCTGTCGACTCGCCTGCCAAGACACCTTCGAAGACGACCAAGTCTACGTCTCGATCGCGTGCATCGAAGGCCAAGACAGTGGAGCGTGAAGAGACGATGGAGCGTGTGCACACGCTGCCTACGCGCACCAACCCGCGCCTGAGCGAAGTCAAGTCGCGTCAGGTCAAGCTGCAAATCATTCGTCGTGAAGACAAGTGCGTACACCTATTCACTGACCGCTAGGGAAATCATCATCGGACGTATTAAGCTGCCCACTGTGAATGGCGCTGAGCACGGGTTTTTGCTGAAACGGTACGTTCATGCTTAGTGCTCATGTGCAGCTTCGACACGAACGCCATTGCTGGCTCGTCCATGTTCCGTCTTGCTTTCCCGTATGCTGATGCGGAAGAAGAAAGCGCGGAGATGGCCTACCTCGAGTCTCGCTTTGATACGGATGTGGCGAATGGCGGCCTCCTCCCCGCGCCGCGCTCACGCAGCCGCAAAGCCACGACGGATAGTCCATCGACGAAGAAAGGCGGTGTATTGCCGCCTGGATCGACAGGCGTGCGCTTGCAAGGTGTGTGGATCCCCTGTGAGCATGCGGCGGCGATTGCCAGCGACTATGGTCTTCTGGAGTTTGCTCAGCCGCTGATCGAAGCAACAGCGTTGCTGCTGCCGAACGACACTGTGCCCCTGCTCAATCCCAGTGAAAACTTGATTAAGACGGCTGAGGAGGTTCGTGCGAGGGTGTGGGAAAAGAAGGACACGGACTCGGCTACGTCGACGCCTGCTCGGCAGTCTAAGCGTGCTCGCACTGGTACGTCGGCGGCGCAGGATTCGCCGGCTGCTGCGGCTGCCGCCGTATCGATGCCGGAGGGTGAACAGGAGGCCGAACCAGCGACGGAGACGCCCTCGAAGCGTCGCACTACGCGTCGTCAGACCCGCACGTCGGCCGCGACCTCTGCCGCCGCGACGATTGCTGAGGCGACGCGCGCTGCTGACGCGATGGTCTCGCCGGAGCCGTTGACGCCCTCGCAGGTGGACAAGCAGATTGAAGAGGCCAAGGCCCTGGCCGCCAAGATCCGTGCGGAGTCTAACACCGAGTCGGATGCTACCGGTGCTTCGCGTCACTCGAAGCGTCGTGTTGAAGAGGTGGACAGCGATGACGTCGTCGTGGCGCCGCAAGAGACGCGTGTCTCAGCGCCTACGCCGCAGATCCCGCATCGTCATCCTCTTGCGCGGGGTATGCTCACAGCAGCTGGCGCTGTGGGTCTCGGTGCTGTGGCATGGTACTCGGGCGGCAATGTGAACTTGTCGTCTGCCGTGCCGCAAGTCTTGCAACAGCTGCAGCGTGTGGACTATGCGAGTGCCCTCAACACGATTCAGAACAACATCCAGAACTGGGGCGTGTCGTCATGGTTCGGGTAAGGTCCGGGCCTGGCTTTGTACTGTTGTGGTGTTTCGTTAGGTTAGCTCTAAAGGTCGCAACCACTTAGTAGTTTTCTCGCGTAGCTGTGTGGAGAAAGCGAGGTAGGGAGGGGCGGCGGCAACAGCTGCCGCTTGGCAGCGCCTGCAGGTGGAGGAGGCAGGGCTCTCTGCGCCTGTCGTGCCCTCTGCATCCACAACGAACGTAGAGAGGGGTCCTCCTACGCCATGTCCGAGGACCCTGGCGTAGCAGAGAACCTGTATGAGCGTCGCCGAAAGAGTAATGGCTCTGTCCCTGCGCTGGTCCTCACGCCTGCCGATGCTTTAGATCGATCTGATCCAGAGCCTGTGCCCCTCTCGCCTCTCCTCTCGCCTGGGCAGGACGAGGACCTAGAGCGATGGGAGCCTGCGCCTGATCACAGGAAAGGAAGCTCGTCACGGCATGCGTACCATACCTCACAACGTACGTTTGTCAGCCGCCCAGCGCCTTCGCACACGGCGCCACTGCCTACGTTGCCACAGCGTGCCGAAGCAGGGCAGCCGGCAGGCATACAAGCCAAGCTCTTGCGTACGGAGCGCGCCACCCTGGCCTCCCATATCTGGCATCGATGGACAGGCTACGATGCCATGCGTAGCGTAGGCACATCCATGTCCGCTCTATCGCCCTACCATGTCGATTATGCACCGCCTGCCTTGCCGACACGCGATGCGGAAAATACCCCTGCTCTTGGCACGGCCGACTTTCCTACCATTGGCGTGCTACATCGTGACTCCAGCAGTGAACCCCGATCCATGACGCCCAGTCTCCGCTCTGGACCGTCTCGCGGTGCCTCTCCCTCGCCCTCATGTCGTGCGTCCAGCGCTGCGACCTTGCCTGGCATTCTTCGGCATACACGTACAGCGAGCCAGGAGCAAGCGCGCCTAACTGATGCACAGGACTTGCCGGAGAGTGAAGCACTGCGTGTGTCAGACCTCTGTGCGAATGTAGAGGCTTTGTCGCCGAACGACACTGCGGCGTCCTCTCGGCAAGGCAGTGTCACTGCACTGTCCAGTCGTTCAGGCATCGATCCTCTCACCAAGTCGGAATCTATGTCGTCTGGCTTGGCTGTACCGTGGAGGCAAATTCCTATGTACGACGACAATGACGACGACGACGACGGCACGTATTCGTCCTATTCTTCGTCGTCGAGTGATGATGAATCGCCGGGTAAATCGCGCCCGAGCCTTCCACCATGGCTTGCGCCGTACCAACAACACTACGAGTACCTGCCCACCATCTCTCTTTCACATGGTAGTACACTCACGAACAAGCAGATGCATTCGCGTATGCGCCGCCGCCGCCGTGTGCCTGCGGAACTGCGTGACGATGCGATGTCAAATTCACAGTTGTGGTCGCATCTGCGCTCGTACCGACTGCGGCCTGAGGCAGATGCATCACTCTCTGTCTCCCCGCCTCGCCGGGAAAGTCCGCAGCCGTCGCTTCCTCATGCTGCGTCGCGCAAGCACTCCCACGCGGGCGGGCACCCGAGCTTGGCGTCCAAACTTCGGACGCGGAAGCAGCGGGGTGATTCGGATGACGTCGCGTCCGTTGAGTCAAATACGCTTCAGCCTCCCGGCGCATCGAGGCCGTCCGTGCGTCCACGTGTATGGCGCCGTCGCGAACGGCGGGCGTGGAACGAGGCGCCAGCTGCGAACGATCTCGAGAACGACGGAGGAGATGGCGTTCCCAACTCACAGCGCTCACGTCGTACGTCGACGCAGCCTATGCGTGCTATGCCAACGGCACCACAGTCCAAAACGACGCAGGGCGAGCCTGATTTCGTGTACGATATGCTCCATGAAAACCAGCGTGGAATTGTCCTCTTTGGCGTGTCCAAGCGATTCAGTTCAAATGTGCTCTTCTTCTGGGATCCTGCGCCGTGGACGGATGCGCATGGCATTAATACGGCCTTGACGCCCACAACCATGCAGCTGCCTGACGAATCCTGGGAGTGGGTCCATTCCTCGTGGATGGTCGATATGACAGGCGATACCGATGAGGATGGATGGCAGTACAGTGGCAGCTTCACTGGCCCCCAAATCTGGCGGCGCACGCCGCAGATTCATTCGCACAATGGGCCGACCCAATGGATGCAAGCGATCCTCCAAAAGGCACGCTTGGCAGAAGAGAAGCATATAATGCGTGTCCAAGAACGTGATAATAAGCGAGCTGACGAAGGCATGGAGGCCTTTTTACGTACAATGCGCTTTCGTACGCGAAAATGGCACAGCGTGCCTGGCGTGTTTTCGTACGTACGCCGACGCCGTTGGGTCCGTCTACGGCGGCGTATCGTCAGTACATCGCTACCTGAGGGCATGCGCGTGCTGCAGGCGGATGGTTCCTCCACCGTGGTCCCACCCGCCTCTGTGGCAGAAGTACTTCAGTCGGCTACCAAGTCTCGATCCCCTATACCCAGCAAGTCCCGACAGGGTGGCTTGCCTACGATTTCCACGTCCTCTACCGCACCCACACCCGAAGTGATCCTCGTTGATCCACCCGGCCTGCACGCAGGAAGGCGTGGCGCACACGACGAGACGCCTGCACCCAGTCTGCTCGCCCCCACCGTGGCACGCTCGAACAGCTCATCCTCCAGTCCGCGGCCCAGTGTGTCCAGCGGCGCTAGCGATCTGTCCCAGTCGTACCAACTGTCGCTCGCCAAGGACCGATTGCATCAGCTCCTACCCTTCTTCCTCGTCCCACCCTCGCATCTTCCTGAACTTCTTCCTCCTGATACACCGCCTTTGCATGAGATGGAAGCGTGGCGCCGTCATTTCCGTTTCATCCTCGAGCAGGAAACTTTCTTCCAAAACCCCTTCTTTGCATTGGGGTGGGTCCAGCGATGGCTCGCCCGCTCCGATCTCTCGCAGGTCACACGGCCTTTGCGGGCACAGGAACGAGCGTACCAAAATGCGTACCGAGCTGATCCATGGTGCTTGGACGTGCCTGTGTCGTCGCTCAGCCGACGTAACTCGAGTCCCAATGTTGTCCCGAGGCTCAGTCTTACGCCAGCCGAGTGCTTGCTGCTCTCGTTAGGCGATACACAATCGTCGCAGCCTGCCCCCACACTTGTCCGCCAAGCTGTGGTCGAGCACAACTTTGAGATGGTGATACTGGCGATGCGTCTGTGTACTTTGGACCGCTTGCGAATCGATATGTGGCGCATGTGGCTCGGTCTCCTTGATCCTGCCAAGCTCCTCGATGCTACGGAAACTGGTGGCCCTGGCCCGCTGACGGTACTTCAGCAGGAGTGGCATCGGCGGCGGGCCAGGACACACGACATCCATGCTCTCGGGAAAACGCCTGCTATGTTTTCGCCGTCCATCGAGCGGATCCTGCGCAACCGGATCCGTGACTTTGGTCACTCGAAAACGGTCCTTCTTGACGTGTGGGACATCCTTGTGGCCCATGTATGTACTCGCTACGCACTGACTTGGCAGCTGGAGGATATATATCGTATGATGGACCATGATATGTCGCGCCACTGGCTACAGCATATTGTCCAAGATATGGCGGATACCAAGTTCTACCTACACCCCCAGACGTCTTCCGAGGCGAGCTGCCCGCATCCTGGTGATCCACGCTGGCGGTTTGTGCGTTCAGGGGTCTTGCAGCTGCCACGCGTACCCACCTTGCAGTGTTGCTCGTGTCCTGGCATGGTCTCCACGTGATAGTTTAGCTTATTTCAAAAATCCCTCTCTGTTGTTCCTTGCTTATGCAAGCCAAACGTGGGGCGGTCGCAGGCGGTTCAGAGTACCGTTGACATCCCCTTTCACGTCATGGCGGAGCACCTGGTACGTAGATGCCCGTGGATCCGCGGGTAGGGACTAACGTGATGCGTGCGCATGACGCGACATTTTCTACAGTCTGAAGGTATGTCCATTTTCTGAGAAGGTTGCTCACACGTCGCAGAACAAATTGCTGGTAGGTACCTGCGCAGATCGCCCGAGACTGACACCTGCGCTAGAATTCAAGGAGGCCTTTTCGCTGTTTGACAAGGGTACGTGAGCATTTTTGTCTGACACCATAGACGGCGATGGCAGCATCACTACGAAGGAGCTTGGCACTGTCATGCGTTCGCTCGGTCAGAACCCGACCGAGGCGGAGCTGCAGGATATGGTGAACGAGATCGATGCGGACGGTGATGGCACGATTGACTTCCCTGAATTCCTTACGATGATGGCTCGCAAGATGAAGGATACGGACAGCGAGGAGGAGATCAAGGAAGCGTTCCGAGTATTCGACAAGGACGGCAATGGCTTCATTAGCGCTGCGGAACTGCGTCATGTGTACGTACTGTCTTTCCACTCACCTTTGCCAGCATGACCAACCTTGGTATGCATGCCCCTATTAGGTATACTTACATGGCAGGTGAGAAACTCTCTGACCAGGAGGTGGAAGAAATGATTCGCGAGGCTGATACCGATGGCGATGGCCAGATCAACTACGACGAGTTCGTTCGGGTACGTATTCGAGTGCATGTAACGAGCCTGCAGATGATGATGAGCAAGGTATGTTAGCGCAGCGCCGTGCTTATGCGCAGTAAAATGTCACCATGTAGTCATAGACTTCCGCCCTCTATCTCGTTCCTACTCGTTTCCTTCTATGTATGGGGCATGGTCCTCCATGCTAGCTACGTAGTATGCTGTGCTCTCGGCCAGCGGCTTTCATGGTGTGGCGCGGCGGCCGAGTCTTCAGGAGAGATGGTTGGATGTCATGGTACGCCGCGGACGCCACCGCCTCCACCGCCACGTGGCCCCTGTGCTGCGCTGCGTTGCCCCACCGCGGCACACTCTTTGTGCGCAGGTACCTATTGACGCTTGGCCAGTTCTCCCGTGGACGCTGTGCTGCGTAGTCGTCTCTATCCCAGCGCAGTGGTGGCACGGTGCATGTACGCCGTAGAGAGCGTGAGCCAACTGTCGACTGTAGTGCCTTCCTCGTCCGGTGGGCCGACCAGGCCCTCTCCGTCGTTATCGGCGGGGAGTGCTGAGGCCCTATCGCCGGATGTGCCTGATACGCCTGCTATGGCGTCTACAGGCGTATCCCCTTCCATGGCGGGATACAGCCCGCCTGCCTCGCTGTATCAGATCTCCCCATCGCCGCCGATGCGATCTCCCTCGATCTCGACGTATGGCTCGCCGCGTCTTGGTTGGCGTATGAGCCATGACTCGTCGTCGTCATCGCAGCCTGCGCTGCCGTACACGAAAGAGTTTGTGGCAGAGTACCGTACGCGCATGAAAACCGATCCAGACCCCGAGGCGCAGTTTGCCTTTGCGATGTACCTGATCGATGCGGCCAAGCGTATTGCTGATCCGCATGATAGTCCCAAGCAGCAGCGCAAGTACCGCGATGCGTTGCTAGGTGAGAGTCTGCGGCTCATCAAGAAGCTTGCCACGCAAAATGTGGCGCCAGGCAAGCCACCGTGGGCTGAGGCGCAGTACTTCTTGGGCCACTGCTACGGCAAGGGCAGTTTGGGTCTGTCCATTGATCATGCCAAGTCGTACCATATGTACGTCCAGGCCTCGAAGCAGAATCATCCTACAGCGACCTACCGCACGGCCGTGTGCAATGAGGTGGGGGCTGGTACGAAGCGTGACTACCAGCGCGGGATGCTGTTTTACCGCAAAGCCGCGTCGTTGGGCGATACCGCAGGGATGTTCAAGCTCGGGATGATCTTGCTGTATGGACTCTTGGACCAGCCGCGGCAGCCGCGCGAGGCGATTGTGTGGCTTCGTCGTGCGGCGGGCCAAGCGGACGAAGACAATCCCCAGGCGCTGCACGAATTGGCCATGCAGCATGAAAACCCCTCGAATGCTGTGGTGCCGTACGACCCTGTGTTGGCGCGCGATCTGTATACCCAAGCCGCGCACCTCGGCTACTCGCCCAGCCAATGCAAACTTGGCGATGCATACGCCAATGGCGTGCTGGCGTGCACGCCCGATGCGCGTACGAGTATCAGCTGGTATACCAAGGCAGCCAACAAGGGCGATGGCCATGCTGAGTTGGCACTCAGTGGCTGGTACCTGACAGGCGCCGAGGGCGTGCTGCAGCAGTCGGACACCGAGGCGTATACGTGGGCGCAACGTGCTGCGAACAAGGGCATTGCCAATGCTGAGTATGCTGTCGGGCACTACACGGAAGTGGGCATCGGTACGGTGCCTGACGTAGAAGAGGCCAAGCGCTGGTACGCTCGCGCTGCTGCACAGCAGCATGCACGCGCGATCCAGCGCCTGCACGATATCAAGACGAATGGCGGACGTAAGGCGCCCAAACCTGTTGATGCGGATTGTGTGATTATGTGAAACGTGGATAGGGTCATGTCTGTAGCCTATGTATGTACTTCTTACTGCATTACGATGTGAGGAGGGCCGCTGGCGCTGGCGTCGGCACAGCCGTGGTCGTCTCAGGGGCGTTGGCATTCTGCAACGTCGCCAGCATCGCCTGGACAGTGGGATCGTCGAGGAACGTCTCGAGATCCTGTGTCCCCTCGCTTTCTGTGGGCTTCGCAGCCGCGGCCGGCGTCGTCGAAGGTGTCGTATGCCCGATAGAGTGCACTTGCGGCGCCGCTGGCAGCGTGGTCACAGCTGTGCTATCGTGCGGTGTTGCGCCCATATGCGCCGCAACACCAAGGCCCCCGCTGCGGGTAAACGCCTCAAGATGCTGGGCAAACGATGGCGCTTGGTGCAGTTCAATCCCGTTAAAGGCATCAACACTGAACCCACCTCCTTGGCCCTGCAGAACCATCTCGTGGCCATCGCCCTGCGCCGAGGACAGCACACCAAGGCCACACGCGGACAGCAGGCCGTAAGGATCCTCGATCAAATCGACCAGCGAGTCGTCGGCTTCCGACGAGGCGTCCGCTGGCGAGCCCGAATGCGACGACGTAGCGTCTTCCACCGTCGCTGGCAGAGGACGGCGTGCCGGTCGTGGCACGAGCGCTTGCGACGCGTTGGCCGTCGACGTCTTGGCTTCAGTCGACGGCGGCTGCGTCGTGTCCGCATCCCACGTGTCTCCCATCCACGGCGTCGTGGGCGCAGCAAACAAGTCTTTGATGCTCGCCGAATCAGGGAGGGCCAGGCGTAATGGCTCATCGAGGCCCAGCGAGGGACTGCCTGGCTGCGCCCACGCCTGGTCTTTCGGCATGCGGCTCGGCGTACGAATCTCGCGCTTCGGCGCGGGCTTGGCACGCGATGTGCGGCCTGCACTGGGACTTGGCGGCCCGCCCCCAAAGGTATCATGCTCATCGTCCATACTGCCGAGACCCATGAACGGGTTAAGTGGTGGCATCATCGTCGTACGTGCTGTCGTCGGCGACGTCAGCGCATCCCGAAGCGGCTCACGTACCCCGTCCTTTTTCGGGCCAGGTGACGAGGCCGCACGTAGCATCGACGCATAGGGATTCACATTCGCCACCGTGCCAGGCGGCTGCTTTCGGGGACTCCGCCGCACGGGGCTCGACCAGATCTTCCCACGCAGCTTACTGGGCGTCGTAGCCTGCCCCGCTTCGCGCTCTTCAAAGTCCATATCCGTTTCGTTCATAAGCGTTTGTAGCACCGTGTGCGGGCTGGAATTCATCATCGCAGTGGACACGCCAAACGCCGTGCTGGGGCTCGTGAACGCGCTAGGCCGCGACGTACGTCGCGCAGGACTCTTTGCCAAGCCAGGAGCGTCCCAACTAGGCAGCGACGTGGATACCGGGGGTCGGTTTTCATTGCGTTGCTGTACACGCTCTGCATCGCGCTGCGCAACTGCACTGAGCGTACGTGACAGGCCCCGCGGGGTATGGGCAGCGGATGGCTTTCCGCGCTTCGAGGCACGATCGGTCGTGGGCTTGCTTTGCGCCTCGCGTTTCTTCGTTTCGTCTTTCGACGGCCGCGCAACAAAGTTGCGTACATAGTCAGGCCGTGACACACCGTACTTGGCGTAGTACAGACCACAGGGGTTGCATGCTTGCCAACGAGCTTCGTGCTCCGTCTGGATAGGCCCATCGCCTCGGTCCTGCCGACGCCATGTCAGCGGCACTACATCGGTCGGTGGACGCTCTCCTGCCGGATGCTGTACGGTGACGCCCGCTGGCAACGTAATGATACGCCACGTCGACGCCTGTGTCGTCCCGCAATTGTAGCATACGCGTGGAAGCTCTGTACGTGGATCCCGCGCTCCCGGTCGTGCAGCGCGCTGCGTAGACTTTGTTTCGGATGGAGTCGGCTGTGTGGATGCTGGTTCTTGCGGTGCCTGGAGTGCCCCGCTTTGTACGGCGCCTGCGACCATGCCCAGCAGCCCCATTAGGTGCGATTGCTGCTCGGTCGAGAGCGAGCCTTGATGCGCTTGCATGGCTTGCAGCACTTGCAGCACTTGAGCCGAGGGCGTGCTGGGCGCTGGCGTTGGCGTCGATGTCGCTGTGGGCGTACTGGGGCCCGCCATGCCGCGGATCCGCGTTTGGTACTCTTCGCGCCCACGCTGCGTCGACTCTTTGAGACGCAGTACAATCTCCAGCACATCGCTCCCGGCGCCCGCGCCGTCCTCTTCATCAGAGCTAAATGCCGAGCTGCTTTGCGCCTCACAGCGGACGTGGCCTGTGACGTACGATGTGCCTTCGCCAGGCTCATCCAGCCCACCGCTAAAGAAGCCCTTCCCAACAAAGATCGGCGTAGCACTGGCCGATTTGCGTGGGCTTACCATGGGGGGCGTCGGGACATGCGATCCTTCTTCCGGGTCTGCGGCGTACACAATATAGTCGGTATTCTTATCCACAAGCAGTTCAGGACTCGCAAAGCAGATGGCATTGAGGCACGCCTTCAGAGCGACGCGCCCCAACAACTGGTGGTTGCGTTTGTGCCGTGCGACTCGTACCGGCACACGATGGCCTACTCGTGCAATCATGGTATGTGGACTGGCGTCCAACGTATAAAGGACCTTGACTGCCTGGTCAGTAGAGCATATACGTACCGTCCATCGCGCGGCGCTGGTGGCGCGACCGCGCGGCGGAGGACATGGTATTGGTGGCGTGAGAAAAAAATAAATACGAGGGAACCGCCTCGATCGCCACAACGAGCGTTCGTGCCACCCACCAACGATGCCCCGTCTGTAAAGGAAAGAAACGGCGCGTAGGCCGCCGCTTCACGCGCGCTTCGAACACGCGCCGCGCCGCGCCGCGCCGCGCTGCTCCCACGCGCTTACCTCATCGCTTCCACGTGATGACTGAACGACCTCGACGTCGCCCTCCACGCCGTACGACGTGCGTGGATCCAACAGGGGGTGGTGGCCGTCGTCGTCGTGATCATTGTGGCCATGGGGACCAACATGGACGACCCACTGTACAAGCTCGAGTTCCTCTCCCTTGTCTCCAAGATCACTACAGAAATTGAGAATCATGTTGGCATCAATGATCGTGTCCTGGCCGAGTTTGTGATCTCGCTGCATGAGCAGGCTGGCTCCCTCGATGCGTTTCAGCGCAAACTCGACGAGGCCGGCGCAGAATTTCCTTCAGATTTCGTGCAAAGTCTTGATCGGCTCATTACGACTTTGCATCCTACACACAAGAAGGCGAAAGCGGCGGCAACCGCTGCTGCCTCCGCCACGTCAACAGACGACGCCTTGGCGGCGCGTGAGCGTCAAGCTCATAAACTGCCTGGCCTTGCCATCAAAGATCAGGCATGGGAAGAACCCGACTACTACCGTGAGGCTCCTCCGAAGCGGCCCAAGCCCGCCTCTACAGCCCCGCCGGACGAGCCTGAGCGTGGTCGCCCCCGCGCGCCACGACCGCCGCCGGACCAGGCGCCCATCGTCTCGAAAATCTACGAAGGCCGCGTTGCTGCGATCAAGGACTTTGGTGCCTTTGTAACGCTAGAAGATGTACAAGGTCGGCCGGATGGGCTCGTACATATTAGTGCGCTAGGCAGTGGCGGTGGTCGAATCCAGCATCCGTCCGATGTTGTCTCTCGCAACCAGCCTGTCAAAGTCAAGGTGTTGGCCGTGGATGGAAAGCGCATCAGTTTGTCCATGCGTGATGTGGATCAGATCACAGGGCGGGATCTAAGTGCGAGCCAGCGCCCTGCGCCGGATCGTTCGTGGCGTGCTACCGGGGCCAACACCGCGCCGTTGGGCGGCGGGCCTGCCCCTCCGCCCAGCGCTGACGACCGACGTGGGCGCACGGCCAAGCGCCTAACCAGCCCGGAGCGCTGGGAAATCAAGCAGCTCATCGCTAGCGGCGTGGCGAAGGCCAGTGACTACCCAGAGCTGATGGACGAAGACTTTACGACACCTGCTTCTCGTTTGGCAGGCGACGATGCGGACGAAGAGGTGGAGATTGAAGTCAACGAAAAAGAGGCGCCTTTCCTGGCAGGCCAAACGGCTGCCTCGTTGGAGCTGTCCCCAGTACGGGTGGTCAAGGCGCCTGATGGCTCGCTCAATCGAGCGGCTCAGGCCGGCACGGCTCTCGCGAAGGAACGACGTGAGCTGCGGCAGCAGGAAATGAACGAGGCAGCAGATAAGCAAGCCAAGGATATGTCTACCGGTTGGCTCGATCCCATGGCGCAGGCCAGTGATAAGAAGTTCGCGCAAGACATGCGTGGCTCTGCGCTGGGGCAGCAGGCGCAGCAGCAACCTGCCTGGAAGAAGCACACGTTTAACAAAGCCACCACGTTCGGTAAGATTACCAATCTCAGCATGCAAGAACAGCGTGAGAGCCTGCCTATCTTTAAACTGCGGGAGCAGCTGGTGCAGGCTGTGCGTGACAATCAAGTGCTTGTGGTCGTCGGCGATACCGGCTCCGGGAAAACGACACAGCTCACGCAGTACTTGGCGGAGGAAGGCATGGCCGATCACGGGAAGATTGGGTGTACGCAGCCTCGTCGTGTCGCCGCCGTAAGTGTCGCGAAGCGTGTAGCGGAAGAAGTGGGATGCCGTGTCGGACAGGAAGTGGGGTACACCATCCGCTTTGAGGACTGCACGAGCCCCGAGACACGTATCAAGTACATGACCGATGGTATGCTACAGCGTGAGTGTCTGGTTGACCCGGACGTGAGGGCGTACTCGGTGCTGATGCTGGACGAGGCGCATGAACGTACGATCGCGACAGATGTGCTATTTGGCCTCCTGAAAAAAGCCCTCAAGAAACGACCGGAGCTCAAGCTGATCGTGACGTCCGCAACGCTCGATGCCGAAAAGTTCAGCAACTACTTCTTCAACTGCCCCATCTTTACGATTCCCGGCCGCACATACCCTGTGGAGATCTTGTATACCAAAGAGCCGGAACCAGATTACTTGGACGCGAGTCTGATCACCGTGATGCAGATTCACTTGTCTGAGCCACCTGGCGATATTCTCGTGTTCCTGACAGGCCAGGAAGAAATCGATACCAGTTGCGAGATCTTGTATGAACGAATGCGGGCTCTCGGGCCTGGTGTCCCCGAGCTGATTATTCTGCCGGTGTACTCTGCCCTCCCCAGCGAGATGCAGTCACGCATCTTTGAGCCCGCCCCGCCTGGCGCTCGCAAAGTCGTGCTGGCGACGAACATCGCCGAGACAAGTATCACGATCGACGGCATCTACTATGTCGTCGACCCTGGCTTCGTGAAGCAGAACGCGTACGATCCGCGCCTCGGTATGGATTCGCTTGTCGTCACGCCCATCTCGCAAGCGCAAGCACGGCAGCGTGCCGGTCGTGCTGGCCGTACAGGCCCGGGCAAGTGCTATCGTCTGTATACTGAGGCGGCCTACCGCAACGAAATGCTTCCGAATCCCATCCCGGATATCCAGCGGCAGAACTTGGCATCGACGATCTTGTCGCTGAAAGCGATGGGCATCAACGACTTGCTGCACTTTGACTTCATGGATCCACCGCCAGCCCAGACCATGCTGACGGCGCTTGAGTCGTTGTATGCCTTGTCAGCCCTGGACGACGAAGGCTTGCTCACGCGCCTTGGCCGCAAGATGGCTGATTTCCCCATGGACCCACCCATGGCCAAAATGCTCATTGCCAGTGTTGACTTGGGCTGCAGTGAAGAGTTGCTGAGCATTGTGGCCATGCTTAGTATCCCCAATGTGTTTTACCGGCCAAAGGACAAGCAGGCACAGGCCGATGCTAAGAGGGCCAAGTTCTTCCAACCGGAAGGCGATCATTTGACGTTGCTTACGGTGTACAATGGCTGGGTCGCTAGTCGGTTCTCCATGCCATGGTGCATCGATAACTTTATACAGGGACGTGCCCTGCGGCGTGCACAGGATGTGCGCAAGCAGCTTGTGGGCATTATGGACCGATACCACCACGATATCCTATCATGCGGCTCGAACTACAATCGCATTCGCCGCGCAATCTGCTCGGGCTATTTCCGTAACGCTGCCAAGCGCGATCCCCAGGAGGGTTACCGTACTTTGGCGGAAGGCGGCGGTAACGTGTACTTGCACCCCTCGAGCAGCCTCTTCCATCGTCCACCCGAGTATGTGGTGTACCACGAAGTGGTCATGACATCGAAGGAGTACATGCGCGAAGTCACGGCCATTGAGCCCAAGTGGCTCGTGGAAGTCGCGCCACGATTCTTCCGCACGGCCGACCCTGCGAATATATCCAAGCGCAAGCGCCAGGAAAAGATCCAGCCATTGTTTGACCGATACGCCAAGGATCAGGACGACTGGCGTCTCTCCAAGCAGCAACGTTTGGCACGTGTCGTGCAATCTCAAACCTTTTAGTAGTTAGTCTGCGTAGGCATCGCCTTCACGTAATCCTCTCAGGCCAGTCTGTCACGCCCTCATCGTGGAGGCGCCACGTGCCTTCATCCAACGACGATATACCATGGACCGCGCGTCGCTTGAGGACGATGCGATGCCGGTAGACGCCTCTGAGGTGGAAGAAATGAGCGACGACTTTGAGCAGGACGAAGTTGATTACGATGCAGGGGAGCCAGAGTCGGACCAGTCGTTCGAGTCGGAAGACGAGGAAGATGAAGAGGATGAGCTCGTCGACGAGATGGAGGATTCGACGCCATCGCTCGAAACGAACCGCCGCTCACGACGAGCGCCGCTACGTGTAAAGCTCATGCGACGCAATGTTGAAAACACACCGACGTCATCACCATCGCGCCGCTCGTCTTCTCGTGTGACGAAGCGAACGACGCGCGCACGTATGATGGACGATGGCGAGGAGGACGAAGACGAGGAAGAGGACGATGAGCTGGCAGATGACGACTCGGATGCGGACTCTGTCTCGACGAGTGATATGCCTATGACGGCGAGGCAGATTGCCCGTGCCAACCGTGCTCGTGGGATTGCGACCGAAGAACTGGTCGAGTTGCCGATGGGCCCACGCAAGCAGAAACTCTCTGAGACGGAGCTGGCCTTGCGTCGCTCCGAGACAGCGCGACGACGACGGAATCAGAGCGAAAAGAAGCTGGAAGATGATAAGATCGAGACCATCAACCGATTGCTCAAGAAGCAGGCTGGCAAAGTGCGTGGGCGCGACAAGAGCGAGCAAGATGCTCAGGATGAGCCAGTGAAAAAAGAGCGCGACTTGCGGGCAAACCACCCGCAGCCATTCTTCCGATACATTAATCGTGCACAGGGCTCTATACTGGCTGTGCCACTAGCCCCTCCGTATGTACAGGACCAGGAGGGCGGGGAAGGGTTGTATGACTATACATTACGTACGGCGTTTGGCAAGACGCCTGAGGCGTGGGCCACCTCGTGAGTACTAGGCGAGGCGTGAACGCATACCGGCCATCCGTTGCCACATGCGCTGGCCTGGGACTGGCATCATTTTCTCGACATGGTGTTCGCAGATTGTGCCTGTGGCGCGATCGTATCGATAGCGAAATACAACCGCGTAGTCTTGCAATGTTTGAGAAATACGATTTGTGCCGCGGAAGCGTATGCGTGCGATCAGTTCATCCCCTGGCGTAGGTCGGCCTGGCACCTGGACGTCAGGAGGGCGTCGCATGAACGAGAGCTGTTCAAGGAGGACTTGCGGTGAAGAAAACCCAGCTTGCAGGGAGAGGCGCAGGGCCTCGGCACTCATCAAGTAGCTTCTTCGGCCTCGGAACGTGAACGACGGCGTCCAGTGCATCTCTGATGTCGTGCTCACACTCTGTTCCTCCGTCACGTTGGACGTGGGTGTGCTAATCGTAGCTGGCGGCTTCATAGGCGCGAATCGAAAGAGGATCTGCTTGTGGTACAGGTGCTCAGACTTGGGTGCATGTGGACCGCCCAGCAAATGGTTCATGATGTTCGTACCGGAAATATCAGCTCGATCCACGAGTCCTTTGTCGAGGAACTGAGGGAGGGTATCACGCAGTACACGGATCGAGACGCCTAGTCGCACTTGGTATTCGTGCTCGGGCATCGGGGAAGGCGCTTGGACGATGTGCGAGGGCGAAAACGCCACGACATGTCGATCTGCTATACCGCGTAGACGTACCGCACGACCTCGTGCGGCCCACCCTCTTGGCATGGTGGCGGTCAATGCGCACGTCCGCAGGCGCCGCGGCCCTGTCACCCCCGGCCGCGTATGTGGAGGGCCGACCCCTCTTCTTCAGTGCCACCAGGCGCGTGCTTGCGTTTCGTCGACACCATGACGCTATCAGCGCGCTATGCACCTGCATGCGCAGCGCTGAGCGAGAAAGAGATGGAGAGTATCCATACAGCGCGCATCCTTGTAGTGGGGGCCGGTGGTATTGGATGCGAAGTGCTGAAAGACCTCGTGCTCGTGGGTGTTGGTCATGTGGAAGTGGTACGTACGACAGGCTGTCTTATACCAGATCGATCTCGATACCATTGACTTGTCGAATCTAAACCGGCAGTTCCTCTTCCAAAAGCAGCATATTAAACAGCCCAAGGCGCTCGTGGCGAAAGCTACTGCGTCTGCCTTCAACCCCGACGTGACAATTGTCGCACACCATGCGAACATCAAGTCGTCCGAGTTTGATGTGGCGTACTATGGCTCTTTTGATGTGGTGCTAAGTGCCTTGGACAACTTGGACACACGTCGATGGGTCAACAAGATGTGTGTCATGGCACGTGTGCCCCTAGTCGAGAGTGGCACTGCTGGCTTCCTGGGCCAAGTCCAGCCGATTCTCGCTACGCGGTTTGAGTGCTACGACTGTACCGCCCATCCTACTCCGACGACCTTCCCCGTGTGCACGATCCGGTCAACGCCTACGGCACCTGTCCATTGCATTGTGTGGGCGAAGAACTGGCTCTTTCCGCAGCTCTTTGGCGAGGACGATGACGCCGACGAACAGGAACTCATGCAGGCCGAGCAGAATGGCGAGAATGGTACGTAGATGCCTTGCTAACACGAAGCGGAGGAGCTGGCCAATTTACGACAGGAGGCACGTCAGATGCGGACGCTCCGTGAGGCCTTGTACGCATCTTCGTCGACGCGCGACGCTTGCACGCGGATCTTCGATAAGGTGTACAACACGGATATCCAGCGTCTGCTATCGATGGAGGATATGTGGGTACACCGGACCAAACCTGCCCCGCTCGATCTTGAGCGCGCTATGTCGACGCCTCTTCCCGACGAGACGAACGCCTCGACAACTTCGATGACGCTGCGGGATCGACGCCCTTTATCGCTGTCGGAAAATGCGGCTCTCTTCTTGTCGTCAGCCGAGGCACTCGTGCAGCGTGCGAAGGACTCGCCTCTTTCGTTTGATAAGGACGACGACGACGCGCTGGGCTTTGTCACAGCCGCGGCCAACCTTCGTGCACATGTGTACCATATTGCAGAGCAGACGCGCTTCGAGACCAAGCAGATCGCTGGCAACATCATCCCAGCGATTGCGACGACCAATGCCATTATCTCCGCCTTGGTCGTCATCCAAGCGCTGCATATGCTGGCAGCACGATGGGACCAGCTGCGTGTCGTCAGCTTGGCACGTCGCGCTACGCGGCTCTTTACCTCCTTCCCACCGGCGCCGCCGCAACCTCAGTGTGGTGTATGCCAGGATGTGTACATGCGTGTCGGCATCGATCCTGCGCATACGACCCTGCAAGATGTGCTGGAGGGCGTACGTACGTACCTCGGCTACGATAAAGACGCGTTTGTTTCTATATCAGCAGGTACACGCATCCTGTATGATCCTGACTTGGATGACAATGTGGGCAAGCGACTCTCCGACCTACGTGTACAGATAGGCGATGTCCTTGCGGTTGCCGACGAAGATGGCCAACTTGCCACAGCGCAATGGATCCTGGAACGCAGTCCAGAGGGCCAGCCGTTGTACGTGGCCCACGCCGTGACCCTCCCTCGCCGCGCGGCCGTTCCTATGACCGCAGAGTCGGACGACGACGAGATTGTCGAGGTGGATCAGGCCCACCTTCCCAAGAAGCGCGCGCGCGACGACACGGACGAGCCCCCCGCGAAGCGGACACGTCCAGCGGCGCCGGCGCCCAGCGCTGCGTCGGAGGACGTGATTGTCTTGGACTAGAGCGTGATCTCCCGCATCCACCGCGCATGCAGCGCACCGACCAACGCAATCGCCGCCGCCACGATAAAGCCCAAGTGGTAGTTCAGTGGCCACGCATGCGCCGTTGGTCCACCTTGGATGCTCTGCGCCCACACGATACCGCCGAGAATCGGGCCCATGCATCGTGTAAAGCTGCTCATAGTTTGGGCTAGTCCATTGGCCAGCGGCACGAGATGGATCGGTGTCCATGCATTCAATAGGACCATGACGGCTGTGAACGAAAGGATATTGGCCAACCAACGTAGCGCGGCACATAGAATCATCGCCAGCATCACAAATACATTCGTACTTGGATGCAAAAATGTTCGCAGGAAGGGGAAGAGCAAATAGCACGGCAAGTACAGGAGCATGCCCCACCGCATGACTTCCAGATGCGTCAGCTTGCCATTCGGGGGTCCTAGATTAGGGTATACATGGAACTGGAATACCAATTGACACACAGTCATAATGGCAATGAGCGTTGCAAAGTGCCCCGCCGTCAGTCCCAGCCCCCCACTCGGCACAGGCGTTACCAGGAACGCCATGAACACTTGGTCAAAAAGCGCAGAGTGCAGAGCCAGCAGGCCATAGTGCCCAATGATGGCCAAGGGAACGAGACGCAGCGGGGAGACCATGGCGACAGGCGCTGCCCCTTCGTCTGCCGACAGCTCTTGGCGTGACGAAAGCTCCTCTGTGGAATCTGTCAACGACGCAGCGCTGCGCATCCGCTGCATTTTCTGGCGTGCATAGTGCATCGGCGGCACATACAAACTCGAGGGCGCCCGCGACATGGTGCTCTCTGATGTTGTGGAGGCAAACAACGGCGGCGCTTCACTGTCCTCCGGCACGGAGCTCTGGCTCTCCTCGTCTTCCTCGTCCACTTCTTCAATCGCCGACGTGTCCTCTTCCGTGACATCCTCTGCATTTGACGCGGCTGCGACCCAGAGATCTGTAATACCCAACACTGCATCGTCGTTTGCCAGCACAAATCGCTCGACCAACGAGAGACGCGCCGCATCTATGTCCGTCGTACCATCAGCCGAGCCTGCCATCTCACTGTGTGGTCCCACACTGCCCACGCGCGATGTACTTCCCAGATCGGAGTGGTAGCCATAGGCTGAGCCTGGCGTCGACAAACGATGCGCGATAGACAAGTGCGACCAGCGCAATGGGTCTATCGTACGACGTCGTCCACGACTGCGTAGCGAACTGGACATCGACCAATCGCTACGTCCAAACAGCGCACTGTGCTCTTCCCCGTCCTCCTCGTAGTCTGGTGTAGATGCATCCTCATTGTCAAGCCGGATCGCACCGGATCGTGCGCCTGCATGTGGCTCGAGAAACAGGCTCAAGACAGCGCCTGTCGCCGTGCTCATCGCCGCCATGGCACAGGGCAGGAAGTACGGGTACTGCGTGAGCCACGCAGACTGACCAAACAGCCAAGGAAACTTGGTCACAGGATGCTCCATCACACCGCCAATGATCGGGCCGATAATACCTCCCATACCCCACCAAAAGCCCATCTGCGCATACGCTCGGGCTTCGTTGGTCTCATCGGTCAGGTCGCGAATGGCGCCTTTGGCTACACCCACAGCGCCATTAAACAAGCCTTGTGCGAATCGGAAGAAAAGCACCATCGGGAGATTGGTCGCCATGCCAAACGCAAGCAGGGACAGGGTGTTGCCGATCAAAGACACTTGCAGAACCAGTCGGCGTCCGTACTTGTCTGCGGCTGAGGACCATAGCAACGATGTCAGGAACTGAGAAAAGAAGAAGATCGAGGCTACAATGCCGGCCCAGAAGCCCACCGTACTTTCATCACCCAGCTGGAAGTCGTCCAGCATAAAAAACAAAAAGGGGCCAGCCACACCTGCCGAGCAAAACTCGCCAAAGATAAGCAGGCAGAGCACTGTGTAAGGGAGCATCGGCAGCGGATTCGAGGTAGGCGGGGCCTGTCGTGTAGGAAAGATGGACGGTACTGTCATGTGGCTCGCATTGACATACCGAGCGGGATGCTCCCAGCCGTCAGGGACGCCACTCATACGATACCGGCCTGGCAAGGCCGGCGTAGGACGGAACGACGCATCGCTGATCCAGCTACGTACACTGGACAGGCCGGCAGATGGATCACGAAGGCGCCGCTTGAAGGACATAGGTACGTGATCAAGTGGCGGCTCTTGCACGCCAATGGCCTCGTCGCCTACGAACGGCGACTTGGACCGGGACGGCCAGCCACCCTCGCGCAGCTTAGGACGCGACTTGCGCGAGGCAATGCTTGCCACTTCGTCCATGCCTGGGGCTGACGATGCATGTTCTGCCGTTCCCGGCATCGCCGCTCTGGCTAGGGTGGTGGGCACACAGGCTGTGCCGCTGTCACCACCTCCGTCCGTTTGGGGCCCGGCAGGTGGCGGCACGCATTTGTGGAGGGAGGTGGAGGAAGAAACTGACTGGCTCGTGAAGCGTGTCTTTCGTTCATCCTTCGTCGTCCGACCATGGCGACTGTCGCACCACGTCCCGGCGTGCCTTCTGACAATGTAGCGGCTGGGAACGCTACAGAGAAAGAGCCGCAGCCAGCGACACCTGCGCAAATGGCCGAGATTCGGCGTCTCGTGCAAATCATTGCACGTCTTTTTTACGACGATGGACATATCCTCCTTTTGGACCAACTTGTAAGTATCCCTGCGATCCCCGCCGAAGTGCTGGCCAAACGTGTGGGGCTGCAAGCTCGCGATCTAGGCTCCTTGGCTGCTAAGCTAGTGGAAGACCGTATTGTCTCTGTGTACCGGTGTCAAGAGACACGTGAAGGACCGTTTCAACGAGCCGTCGCACGGACATACTACTACATCGACTACAAACTCTTCCTGGACGTGACAAAATGGCGAATGATGGCGATGCGGCGGGATATTGATACCAAACTACGCAACGGCCTCGACAATAAAGGCTACGTCTGCCCACGCTGCCGCCGCTCGTATACCACGCTGGAAGTCGCCCATCTATTGGATCCGTTCCGTAATATGTTTATCTGCGAAGTGCCTGGCTGTGGCACGGAGCTGGTCGACAATGAAGATGCGGAAGATGTGCGCAAGTCCAAAGATACATTGACACGATTCAACGAGCAGTTGACTGTGGTCCAAAAAGCGCTACGTAGCGTGGAAGGCGTCGCTTTGCCGCCGATGAATATCCATGGATGGCTCGCGAAAAACAGCGCAACACCCCCGTGGCAAAAGGAGATGGCACGCAACGATATGGCTTTGGAACCAGGCGCGACCCCTGCGCCAGCTCGCCAGGCGCCAGCTGTGCGTGTGGAGATGGCGGGCGATACCGAGCGCGAATCGCAACTGCAACGAGAGCAACGGGCTCTTGAAGAAGAAAAACAGCGTGCACAAAACACCTTGCCCTCCTGGCACTTGTCTTCGACTGTCAGTGGCGAGCGCACAGGGCTGGGACACGCTGCCGATCCTGCACGACGTCCTTCGGACCTCCACAACGAAGCGCCCAAGGAGGTCGCAGTGGATGTCGATACGCAGGCTGAGGCCGATTTGGATTGTACGTACGACCAGCTTCCCTACTTACCACAGATTATGCACGGTATACCTCGCAATTGGACGAAGCAGCGGCCGGGACTAAACGCGAGGCAGAGGCGATGGTCGACGAAGAAACGGCCGCGTCTGCCAAGCGCGCCAAGGCCAACGACGATGCGGCCGACGACGACGACGATATGGACGATATGGAAGATGTGATTTAATGCTACATATAGTACAGGAAGGCCATACCTTGTTCCGTCTTCACTTCGGGATATCCATTCGCAAGTTCAACATAGATTCAATGAGACGTCGGCACAATGGGCACACGTATTGGCGGCGCGACTCCCGTCCTTGGCTTCGGTCCTGGGCGCGTGCTTTCTGCACACTATCGCGCACTTGGACAGCACATTCGAGACACAGCGCATGAGTGCATGGAAATAGGACAGTAGTCGATGGCTCCGACATACAAATGGGGCATTCAGCTCCTTCGCTACGATCCGATTCGGCCAGTAACGTGGCCGTGGCCATGAGGTCAGCATTGAACATAAGTGGCTCATGCCCTGTGCCCTGTGGCAAATCGTCTTGCTGCGTTCCCATCTCGGACGCAGACGGCACATGTTGCTCTGTGGACGCACTGAAGCCAAACAGCTCATGCAGGTGAAGGTGACGAGTGCCAAAGGTCGCCACTTGCGATTTGCTTTGGTACAGGTAATGCCCCGGCGAACTTGGGCTTTCGGAGCAATGCCAAATCGAGGTTAGTGCATTCGTACTCTCGAGGGGGCAGCCATCTTCCCCATACGCTTCCAGCGTCACTGCAATGGGGATCCAGCCTTGGCCGACCCAGTCGTGATCCAGCAAAAGAGGAAGTTGGACCGTTGTATCGTAACCTGTGGTCATGCGATGCGACGCAATACGCCACCCACATTCCTGCGCTTCATGCCCAAGGATCGGTTCAGTGGGTGCACGCACAATCGTGCCTTGTCGGCGTGACGCCAGGACGTACAGATCCAATTGCGCCTGTGGTGCGTTGCAGTCGCAAGACAACGTCAAGACATGCGTAGGGCCAGGGAGCGATAACAAAGCTTGTGTTTCCGCAGTCCAGGGCGGAATACTATTACCAGGGGTTAGTGGATTGATGCGTGTGCGCTCGCGATGTGTGTGAATGTACAAGGCAAAGGATGTTAAACTGGTGTGCTTTTCACTTTGATCCATCCACCACGTCAGCGCTTCAGGAGGGACTGTGGCGTGTCCAGGTACATTGGACATGGTAAAGTCGCCCACATTGGGCCCTACTAGACGAAGTAGCTGCTCCTCAGGCCTAGCCACAGGCGCATGAAGCTGGGGCGGGATCGCTGCATCAATTGCAGCGGTATGAGCCGGATTGGGTGGTGCAGGCCCAATCCGAGCTGGATGGATTTCCTGCATAGCCGTACCATTGCCTTGCTCTAGATCCTGAACTTCGGGATTGTGCCTTCTACGCCACGGCATCATTGCCGGGTGCCACATCGTACGACCGTAGCAGCACGCTCGAGCGCCTTCTGGTCGACCCTCACTCTCTCCACGCACGTCCGGCGTTATACCACGTGACCTCCACTCCAAAAAAAGTCGTGTGGCAAGCTCGTTCTTCGCTCAGAGACGCTTTGACGACGACGATGGAGTACCACGCGCCTGCTCCGCAGCACATGGTGCTGTGCGCCGATTGTGGTGTACCCATCGAGCCGAACAATGCGAATCTTTGTGTGAACTGTCTGCGCAATAGCGTCGACATTACCGAGCTCATTCCTAAGCAGGCGACGATCAATTTCTGTCGGAACTGTGAGCGGTACTTGAACCCGCCGAATACTTGGGTGATTGCCCAGCTGGAAAGTCGTGAGCTACTTGCGATCTGCCTTAAAAAGCTGAAAGGTCTCAAGTCTGTGCGTCTTATTGATGCCAACTTTATTTGGACAGAGCCACACAGCAAGCGTTTGCGTGTCAAGCTGACAGTCCAGAAGGAAGTCTTTACGTCGACCATTTTGCAGCAGGTGTTTGAAGTGGAATTCATCGTGCAGTATGGTCAGTGTCCTGATTGTGCACGTCTGGCGGCGAAGAATATGTGGCGTGCATCTGTGCAAGTCCGTCAAAAAGTGGCGCATAAGCGCACGTTTTTGTACTTGGAGCAGCTGATCCTCAAATACAACGCCCACCGCGAGACGGTCTCTGTGCTGGAAAAGAAGGATGGTCTGGACTTTTACTATGCACAACGTGCTCATGCGATCCGTATGTGTGAATTTCTCGCGAGTGTAGTGCCCATTCGGACGACCAAGTCAGAGCAATTGATCAGTATGGATGTGCACACAAGTTCGAGCAACTACAAGTTTACATACAGTGTGGAAATTGTGCCGATCTGCAAGGATGACTTGCTGTGCTTGCCACTGCCACTAGCTCGCTCCTTGGGCCATATCGGTCCATTTGTATTGCCATTCCGTGTGAGCAATGTACTGAAGCTCATTGACCCTGTAACGATGCAGATGGCGGATCTTACTGCGGAGAAATACTGGCGTGATCCATTCCCTGCGCTGTGTACGATTCCAGAAATGGTCGAGTTTTTGGTCCTGGACATTGAAACGACCGGTACGGTGGCGCATGGCCCGCATGGGCAAACAATGCAAAAGTTCCTCGCGGCTGAGGCGCAAGTTTCGCCGTTGAATGCCAGTACGTTTGGCGAGTCGGATGCTGTGTACACAGTGCCTACCCATCTTGGCCATATTTTGCAGCCTGGCGATACGGTGATGGGCTACTATCTGACCACTGCCAACTTCAACTCGCCGGCCTGGGACGCTGTGCCGGAAGAGCGACGTCCCGATGTGGTACTTGTGAAGAAGAGCTACCCGGACCGCAAGCGCCGCTCGAAGCGCAACTGGAAGCTCAAGAGTATCGCGAAAGAAGCCGAGGATCCCAGTGCTGGCGAGCAGGTGGTGGGCCGGGGTGCGCTGGGCCGTCGTGGTGGTTTGGATTCGCAGCGTGTCGAGCGCGACTATGAGCTGTTCTTGCGCGAGTTGGAAGAGGACGAGGAGATGCGTGCGAATGTCAATTTATACAAGGACAAGGAACGCATTGCTCACGAGGAGGCACGTCGTCTGCGCCGCGAGCAAAAGTACCGCGAGCCTACGCAGATGGACGAGGAGATGGACGACCACGGCGCTGGCCACCACGACGAGGATGGGTTGACCGATGTCGAGTCAGAGTATGGCTCCGACAGCGAGCTACCGCGTGTCCAGTTAGACGAGTTGCTGGATGATATGGACGAGATGGCCATTGAAGATGACGATATATAGTGTCTACAGATACAGCGAACTGGCATGTTAGTAAACCTAGGATCCATACGTACGGGCTGAAAATGATCGAGTTGGGCCGCTCCAACTTGCTCGACGCCTCTTCAAACTTGCGCTCCAATTCATCGTTGCCGATGGCCGTCGCTGCGTCCGCCATTTGATGCAGCAGCTCTTGCAGACGACGGAACGCACGAATAATCGAGCCTTCAAACACGTCTGTCATGCGGCAAATATCGGCGAAGCGCGCACCACCGCACCATTGCAGGACCGCTTCCATCAACTCCACTTTGAAGCTCTGCACATACTCTTGCTCTGACACAGTGAGCATCGCATCGCTCGAGACCTTGGCAATGTGACGCGCTGTGTCTTGCAGCACACGAAGCGGGCCGGCCAACTCTTCCTTGAGCCGGACAGGGTGTTCACTGCGCTCACCAAACACGAAACACGACAACAGCGCGGCACACTGCTCCGGCGTGAGGTCGTTAAAGGTGCCGTTGAACATGAGTTCCGTGAGCAGCAATTCATCTCCTGTACTGATCTCACAAGCTACACGGCCCTTCTTCTCGACAATGTCGTCGGCGGACGTAAAGCCAAGGCGGCGAAGCACTCGCTTGCGCTTCTTCAGCTCGTCCATCTGCAGCACATTCTGAGCGTCCGTCAAGCGCGCCTGCAATGCCTTGACCTTGTCGTCGGCCGCTTGCTTGGCCGCGTACTCCTCGTACAGCGCCTTGCACCGAGCCTGGTCCTGCGCAATGGGTGCCTCCTCCATCTTCTTCTGCAAGATCTCAATCTTGCCAAGCAGCTGCTGGAAAGCCAAATCATTCTGGATCTTCATATCTTTCACAGGATCCAAGAGCGGCAACCCTTGCGGGAAACGGCGATGAACTTCGGCCATGTTCTTGCCGATCTGCACACGCGCTTCACGCAGGCGCAGGTCCTTGGGCAAAAACACACGAATGCCACTAAACTCTTGCACATGCGTGAGAAGCACAGGCACCACAATCCATTCGCCTCCGTCCTTGGCGGGCTCGATGCCAGAGAACGACGGCATGTGCTCACGCTGCTTCGGGACGACGGTGCCAGGCGCACATCGCAGCAGCGTATCCACCACGTACTGCGATGGACCTACTACACTTGACGTCGGCGTCGGCGCGCCACGCGGTGGCGCCCGTTTCTGACAGGCTACGACGACGCCCCACCCGAAATCGCGCTCTTCGCCTTGCACCTGCACAAGACGACCAGGCTGCAAGAATGGCAGCGAGAACTGAGGGTTACGAATCACTTCACGGCGGTCCTCGTTGAGCTGTGCCAGCGTCTTCTTCATGGTATAATACGCTCCGATCTCTTCTTCGTCTGTCACGTGCATAGCATCGCGTTCTGCCTCGGCTTCCGAGATGGCGGCCTCTAGCGCTGGCACCGACGCGGCGTTCTGGAATTGGTAGAAACAGTTGGTTAGCATGTACTCGGGCGAGATACCTTCTACACGCATCAGGTTGAGGATCATATTGTACCCGAGGTGGAAGGCACTGTTCAGACGATCCGCTTCGCCTTTCACCATCACTTTCGCCGCTTTAGGCTCCAGCTTTTCGTCAAACATCATGATCACAATACCGCGGTCATCCAGACCACGACGACCTGCACGACCACTCATCTGAATAAACTCACCCGACGACAAGTTGCGGAACTCGTTGCCGTCCCACTTTCGTACTGCTGTGAACACGACGGTCTTCGCCGGCATATTCAGACCGATACTAAATGTCTCCGTGGCAAAGAGCACTTTCAGCAGACCTTCCTGGAAGAGAATCTCAATCACTTCTTTGAGGATCGGAAGCAGACCACCATGGTGGATACCAATACCACGACGCAACAGCGGGAGAATCTGAGCAATCTGCGGCAGCGCCTGATCGTCTTCTTCAAGCGCATCCATGGCATTAGCGAAAATCGTTTCGACCAACTTCATCTCCTCTTCGGTATTGAATTCGAGCTTGCTCATTTGCAATGCCAATGCTTCACACTGTCGCTTACTGAAGGCGAACACAATAACAGGGTTGTACTGGCGCAGCATAATCATCTTGACAATCTTATAAATGTCAGAAGGACCCGAGGTGCCGCCTTTCTTCGTCTGACCCTTCTTGCCTTTGCCTGCCTCGGCACTGGCAGGATCATCGCCACGTGCATCGGCCAGGGCGCTCATGGCCTTCTGGAAGTTGTCTTCGCGGAACGTGCCCTTTTCATCGACAACTAGGTAAATACCGTTGCCGCCCTGGGGGAACAGGTAGTGTTGCAACGGCGTTGGGCGGTAATTGGTGTACACCACATGGCATGGCTGGGCATGAATATGCGCAATCCACTCGGCAAACTGGCGTGCATTGGGAATCGTAGCCGAGAGGAATACATAGTGAACTTTGCGAGGAAGCAGAATGATCGTCTCTTCCCACACCACACCGCGCTCCTTGTCGCGCATATAGTGAATCTCATCGAAGACGACCCAGGCGACTTCGCGCATAATTTCTGAGCCACGATACAGCATGGACCGCAAAATCTCGGTAGTCATGACCAGGCACGAGGCACTAGGGTTGATCGTCACATCACCGGTCATCAGACCCACATCACCAAACTCCGCTGAGAACTCGCGGTACTTCTGGTTCGACAAAGCTTTGATAGGCGACGTATATACCACGCGCTGTCCATCACGTAGCGCTTGCGCGATAGCATACTCAGCCACGATCGTCTTACCGGCGGACGTATGCGCCGATACCAGCACACTTTCGTTCCGCTCAATACAGTACTTGGACATTCGTTGGAATGGATCCAGCTCGAAAGGCCACGTACGTGCAGGTGGGTCGTGTGGTACGTGCTCCGACAAGGGCTTGTAGTCGTAGCCGGGAGGCACAGCGACTTCGTGTCGAATATCATGCTTGAGTTTCAGGACGCCATGCTTGTTTTCATCGGTCGCCTCTTTCTCGTCGGCCGCAGTGGCCGCAGGCACCTCAGACTCCGCCGAGGCAGTAAACTCGTCTGTCACGACAGCATCAGGCTCAACAATTCGTGACTTTTTCGTCTCCTGCTCTGCATGAGGCACAGGTGACCACTCCTTCTTAACAGACGACGCACTAGGTGGCGTGGCATGCGCGCTACGTCGCTTGCTGCCCATGACGTCCACAGGTCACGACACCGTGAAGAGGTAGGCCAGTCCTTGGGCGTCTCGCACTTTTTTTCGTGATAGCCACGTGGCCCCCGATCGATCACGCCGACGCGTAGGAGCGCACCGACCGCTGTCGCTCCCTTCTCTCCAACGAGCATGACGACACCGGGGCCTTCGATGGCCATTGTGCCGCCGACGCATGCACCGCACCCCACCACCGATGCCAAGTCGACATTGCATCCTGAGCTTGGCGTCCATGACGCCATGCGTCACGGCCTTCGCAGCCTGCACAGTGAAACAGCGGCGGCATCGTACCATCCCATCCAGCACCGTTTGGAACAGTGGGACGATACGCAACGTCAGTGGAAATTGACTATGCAACGAAATATGTTCGGTATGGGGGCACCCATGCGGACCATGATGGAGCGCCACTTTGTGGCTCAGGTACGTGGCTTTGAACTGACCATCAGTCCCCTCATATGCCTGCACGGCGCGTGGCGAATTTGCACCTGGATGTCCTGGATGGCCGTGATGAGACGCTGGATCCGTCTGATTTCCTTCCTTGTGCGTATATACCTATGTATACATCTAACCAGCTAGCGGACACAACTGGCGACATGCGCGATCTCCATACTGCGATGGAGCGCAAGTGGGGCGTCTAGGACGCCTGGTTTGTAAAAGATTGATAGTCGGGCACGGTAGTCACATCCCAGCGCTGACATGTACGTGCGCAGCAGGGTGTAGGGGGCTTGGTGGGATCTGTGGACGTCATGCGTTCATACAGAAGCAGATACGGATTCTGTGCGAGCACGTCGTCCAACGTGCATACTTGGACGGTTTCGTCTGAGATCCGTGTCCACTTGCCTTGCGGTCGTTTCCGGAAGCACACGTAATGGCCATAGTTGTGAGAGCCATAGTGCGTAACTACCGCAACCAATTGGTACCAAACCGGTGTCGTGTCAGGTGTCGATAGCGGCCGTATGGCCGCCGCGGAGAGTGTGGATCCCACCATGAACGGCGCCACGTTGAGACGGTCCGGGAAGTGGACTCGGGCATGATTCTTACTCGCGCCAAACGCGCCCAGAGAGAACGAGGATCGATTCAGGTGAATGACAAGGACGGGCGGTGGCGAGGCGAGCATCACTTGCTTGGTCGCACAGGAGCTTTGTGCACGCGTCCAAGGGATCGTTGGATCCATATCTGCTTCGTGCCAGGCGCCTTGCAAAGCGGCACGGATCTGTGCAAGCTGAGCATCCAAGGTCTGTCGCTGCTTGGCCGTGCGCTTGCTAGGCGGTAAGGCATCGCACCGTGCCTTTTCGGCTACCACTCGCTGTTGCGTCGCGCGGAGAGTGCAGCCATGGCATGTCCAGTCGATCTGTTCCAGCTGCGTCCATGCGGCCAGGCACTGCTCGAGCGTGCTGGATGTGGGTGGGACAACCAAGTCCAACTCTGACATGGCAAAGAAACGCACAGCTTCCATATATCCGCACTCAGCACACGCTGTTCGCTGCGCCATGGTGCCATGGAAGATATTGGTTACATGATCACCATGCTGCCCCAGACGCGTACGTGGGAGACCGCGCTGGACATGCGACGGTCCCACAAGCGCTGCGAGGCCTTGCGATCCTTCTTGCAAACGCTTCGCGCGTGTATGCTGGATGCGGCCCAGCTCAGCGTCCAGCGCATGTATGAGGAGCACAGCAAGCTCGTGGGCATCCTGCTGCTGCTGCGCTGATACAAGAGAATACAGTCCATGCGACTGGGGCACGGATCGTAAGGCGCGCTGCAAGTCGCGTGGGACCAGCGCCTGCGATTTTGCCTGCGGCGTATTGAGCGCAACAAGCATGCTGCGCAGGGTATCAGACACAGGCGTATCTACGTCCCAACGGTCGGACATGTTCACAACTTCATCGAGGTACATGGCAAGATGATGCACACTCCCGAGACTTTGCACAACGCTGTTAAAAAAGCAGTAGATATTGGGGTTCACGAGACCTGCATAGTACGGTGTCGTGCGCGATGGTGTATGCTGCAGCGCCTGCTGGCTCGCATTGCGGGTCAAAGAGGAGCGTCTAGGTACAGGGGGATCTGCCTGTGCAAAGATATGTCGCCATGGCAGAAAGCCAGGCACGACGCAGGCCATGATGCCGACCAGAAGCCCGAACGCTATGACGCCTGTCCACAGCGCCACCGATGTATCAACGGCGTATTCCGTCGTCGTGCTAGCGCCCCAGACACGCCCAGTACAAAGAGCGAGTAGCAGCCACAGCCTATGTATACGGCGTAGACACCCCGCACGCATCCACAGCACAAGCGAGAAGCGTGTCGGTGTCGTGCGCCGTGTCGAGCGGCGGCCAGCTTTTAGCCAGCCAGGGACGCGCCGCGGACGTCATTGTGTGTACGGGGATTTATGCATCGCACGCCATTTTTCGGCACGCCACGCACGCTTGAGCGAGTGGACGTGCGACCAGGTTTTCTGGCACGATATCGCCATGGGCTTGCTATCGCTAGGCACGCCGCTAGACTGGCACAAGGCTCGTCAACTCGGCGAGCATGTACGCAAGCATGGCATTGAGCAGTTCCTAGCGGTTTGGCGCGAGCTGCGTGGCAGGCATGGCGACGAGCTGCTTTGGGGCGACGAGTTGGAATACATGGTCGTCAAGTTCCATGATGAGGCCAAGTCTGCGCATGTCTCGCTGCGGCAAGGTGAGATTCTTCAGAAACTGTCGCAATGCGATCAATCGGAGCTGCAAGGCTCCAAGTGCACAGTCATGCCGACGTTCCACCCAGAGTTTGGGCGGTACATGATTGAGAGCACGCCAGGTGCGCCGTTTACCGTCGCTGCCTCGGATCTGTTGCGTGTCGAAAGTGATATGCGTTTGCGGCGCCAGATTGCGCGGCGCCATCTTAATGCCGACGAGGTGCCGATGACCATTGGCTCGTTCCCGCGTTTGGGTGTGACCGATGCGCCCTTTACCGACCCACCGTACGAGGCGAAGGGCGAGGCGAGTCATTCTATGTTTCTCCCTGACGAGATCATTAATACACATGTCCGATTCCCGACGCTCGCGGCGAACATCCGGCAACGGCGTGGGTCGAAAGTGCGCATCAATGTCCCGCTGTTCAAAGATACACAAACGCCTTCGCCGTTCATTGATCCGACAATTCCATGGGACCGGCGCCTGTTCCCGGAAGATGTAGAAGCGAAACTTGGCGCGGCGTACCCAGACCACATCTATATGGACGCTATGGGCTTCGGCATGGGCTGCTGCTGCCTCCAAGTGACTTTCCAACTTCCGTCGATTGACGAGGCCAGGCGTATGTACGATCAGCTGGTCCCCTTCACGCCCCTGCTGCTGGCCGCTACGGCCTCGACTCCTGTTTTCCGCGGGTACTTGGCGGATGTGGACGCGCGGTGGAACATTATCAGCGCCTCGGTCGATGATCGTACACCGGCTGAGCGTGGCGAAGCGCCTCTGAAGCCCAACGAGCCTACGCACAACTCTGACTTGCCTGTCCGCCGCATCCGAAAGAGCCGCTATGATTCCGTGGACTCGTACCTCTTTGATGAGCATGATCGGCCCAGCGCACGGGCCTACAATGACTTGGACCTCGAACGCAATGCCCAGGTTGAGCAGCATTTGCAGGCGGAAGGGGTGGATCCATTGCTTGCCGAGCATCTTGCGCACTTGTTCATTCGGGATCCCATTGTGATTTTCTCGGAGAACATTGATCTAGACAATGCGACGTCCGTGGACCACTTTGAAAACTTGCAGTCGACCAACTGGCAGACGATGCGATTCAAGCCGCCGCCGCATGGTGGGCATATTGGCTGGCGCGTGGAGTTCCGTCCGATGGAAATCCAGGTAACAGACTATGAGAATGCGGCGTTCACCGTGTTCCTTGTGCTGCTTACGCGTGTCCTTACATCGTGCCCTGTCAACTTTTACATGCCCCTCTCGCTGGTGGACGAGAACATGCAACGGGCGCAAAAGCGCGATGCTATACACACGCAGCGCTTCCATTTCCGACGCAACACACAGGCCGAGCCACGTCGTACCACCGCGCGAAGTGAGGAGGCCGACGCCTCCCTCTCCAGCTCGGTCATGACGCTCGGTGAGGCGGATACGGCCGAGTACACTCTGGCCGAGCTGTTCCACGGCACGGATACCATGCCGGGCTTCTTGCCGCTGATCCACAACTACCTCGATACACTCTCTCTCGACGCATCGACCCGCACGCAGCTTAACGACTACTTAGACCTGGTCGCGGCGCGTGTCGATGGGCGACTCTTGACGGCCGCCTCGTACATCCGACAGTTTGTACAGTCCCATCCATCGTACCGCCACGACTCCGTGGTCAGCGACGAAATCAATTACGACTTGCTGCGTACGCTGGACAAAATTGAGCGGGGCGAGCTGGATGCACCTGGCTTCCTCCCTGCTTCGTATGCTGCGCGACGTCGCGCAGCGGGTATCTAATCTACATCATGGCAGCGCCGCACGCAGCTGCGCTTGCACTGGGGCCGTAGGACATCTCTCTATGAGCGCTCTGGCATAGTTAGTCATCCCCTGGCTTGTATTGTAGATACGTACTGGATCGCCATCCGATTGGCCTTGTCGCTCGTCGCGCCTTTGGCCACGAACCGCGCGGCTTCCTCCACATGTCCTGCGTGGAGGAGGGCTGCGATGATCGGCGCGTAGCCCTGCGGCGGACGTCGCGCGGTTCCGAGACGATACAATTCAGCAAAGTCCTGCGCCTCGATAAGCGCACGTACACGCAGTGCAAAGTAGCGCGCGTCAGAGACACGAAAATCATGCTTGAGCCGCTCCGCTCGCTTGGGCAGATTGTGGCGCAGGCAGAGGAGCATCGTATCGTGCAACGACACACCTTCCACGTCCTTCGCGGCGGCGGTGAGGCCCATCGCAGAGAGCTCCGACGCAAGGGTCGCTTGAAATGCGTACAGCTGGCATGCTTCGTCCGTACGCTTGGCTTCGGCCGCACAGCTTCGGTCATTGCTAAAGTGTTTCTGGGCCTCCCGAAGCGGCGACATACGCTCTTTCGGCGGCAGACGCAGCGCTTCACGTACACACTCTACGCCGCTCTCGCGGTGCCGGTCGTCCTGGTAGTAAAAGTCACGCAATAGATCCGGCGCTTGTGCGCGTGCGTACGACAGCAACAAATTCACCGCGAGGCCTTCGTAGGTAGGCCGCGGCGAGGGACGCAGGCCTACACTCTGATCATATGCGTCGTGCTCGGCCACAGGCAGCGTTTGGATCACCCGGAAAAAGGCACCACGTGCCATAGACGATTGCAGGGCAAACAGTACATGGTATATCAGGTCCGTATCGCCACTTTCCACGGCCTTCGCGAGGGCCAAGGCATGCTCGTGCATCTGCAATAGCAGCGGCACTTGGTCAATCGCACGTACTTCCCGCTCGACCAGGAGCGTCGCCATACGTGACCGTCCTGCCTCCCAGGCCCACTGCGCAATGTCCGCATACCGCCACGTCCCTGCTGCCTCAAACTTGGCCATTATCCGATGGGCCAACGCTTCTTCGTCCTCCAGGGACGTGACTCGTGCCCGTGCCATCTTCGCACGCGCCCAGTGCTTCAGCACGGCATCGGCACGTACGCCGAGGTATGCACACATATGCACGGCCACTTTGTGTTGCTCGCGCGAGGCAAGACGGTAGAGTAAGAGCGACATGCCTGCCTCGTCATACACGGCAGGCATCCCGATCGACGCATCGCGAACGGCATTTAGCACACGCAACGTACGCGATACACGCAAAAGACGTGACGTATCGTATACATCCACAAACGTCTTGCCAAATAGCGCAGCCCGCAGCAATCGCTGCTGCGCGTCCACATCCCACGCCTGCGCAGCCGCTTCAATGCACGCATCGATCGCCTCGACCAGCCGCGTATCAAGGGCCCGTAGCGCTTCGTAGGCCCGTGGATCATTTTGCTGCGCTAGCTGCGCGGCATCGACCAACACGGCTGCGGCATGCGTCGAGCCGGGACGAAGCGCATGCAGTGAGGCTTCGTCCACTTTCGCGACCCACTCATGCGCGTCACCATGGAGAATCCGCACACCATGCTGATCGCCGTACAGATAGGGCCGCCCAGTAACGTGCAAGGCAATGGGCTCCTCGTACGGACCCAGCAACAGTACACGATCGGACCAGGCCAACGCCACGGTATCGTCGCCACACCATGTGAGGGCATGTACACCGGTGCCGCCCAGCCCGCCACGGTCCTGCGGCGGCGCAAAGAGATCCATGTCCTCCAGTAGGGCCGGCGTACGTGGCGCCAGAGGGGCTTGTTGGTACGCGTCGCAGCGGGTCATGTCCCACACACGCAACAGACGCGCGCCATCCATCGTTCGTACATGCAGTTCATGCGACTCGGTGATCATCGCGAGCAGTTTGCCGCTGGGGCTCACGGACATACCAACGACCGCGCGTTGATCGATGGGCAACGCCTCGTACCCCTCCACGCCCAACTGCCACACGCTCGTATCGGTCGCCACCAGCACTGTCGGCGCGGACGACGCTGTCCACGACGGTAACCTGGGCGGCGGCTGACTGACTGGCGGCCACGTACGCGGCTCACGGCGCGGCAAGTGCTCGGCCCAGACCTTGGGACGCGGCTGTGCTTCCACAATGCCGGCCCAGGGCGCCTCGACCATGCTCCCCGATCTCAACAAAGCCCATATGCGATCGGGCGTGACGAGCGCCTGCGCGACACCGAGGTCCGCCGCTTCCTCGCTCAGGACGAACCACGTGTAGTGTGTGCTGGGCGTCGCTTCGACGCAGCCAGCCTCGCGACGTGGACATGGCACAAGCAAGGCGTACAAACGCACTTGTCCATCGTCGGTCACGATCGCCAATTCATCGCGAAACGTAAAGCCCATGGCCACCATGCGCAACGAGGCGTCCCACTGCGTAAGAAACATGCATACGTACCGGCAGCGTCTCTACCAGCTGGCCTGCTCCTGTGTATACTTGAATGCGCGGCTCGACTGCACCGACATCGCCTAGAGCGACCAACTGATGGGGGTTGCGTGTCAACGCTGCAGGCGTCAGTATACGTTCTTCCTACTCAACGCACCGATCAGTCCGCCATCGGTCGACATCGCGACAAGGTAGTCATCCAATGTCTGCACCGGCCATGATAGCTCATACTGCAGCGTGCGGCGGTAGTACGCCTCGCCCAGCCGGTGCCACTCGGTCATCGTCGTCGCGGGTCGCGAAACGCCACGACCCTCCGCTTCGCCTCTCACCCACCTCCACATCCTCCACGCCTCGCTTCGCGGTACAGGGATGCGTCCCAAGGAGATCGTGTACCTGTCGTTTGGCTCCACGGCGAACCATGTGGCCACGCACTTTTGGAATACGCAGCAGACGTACTTTGACTATAGCCCTCACGCCCCTCCGCCGATCGTCGAGCATGACGTGTCGTTCAAGGCGGGCTTAGGGACCGATGGACTCGATACGTACACACCACGCACCCTGCTTTTTGACGTGCGTGAAGAATTCGGCGCGCTCGCACGCATCAATGCTTTGTACGAAGAGAGTAGTGAGGATGCATTCGATGGCGAGACACTGGAAACCGTGCCGCGTGTGCAGCCCAGTGCAATGGCCGATGCCCTCACAGCGCCCGCGACGGCCACGAAGCACGAGGGGCCTCCGCGGTACTGGTCCGACTTTGCCCAGACGCCCTACCATCCCAAATCCCTGCTCCATGTAGCCGCGCCCTCCCTGTATGGCCACTCGTTCTTATCCAGCATGGGCACCGATTCATTGAACCCTACGTTCGACACATTTGCACAGGGCGTGCGCGTGGCCAAGGCCATGGAAGACGAGCAGCAAGTCATGGAAGACACATTGCGGTGGTGGGCAGAGGACAGCGATCTCTTGCAAGGCTTCCAAATGACCACCTCCTCGTCCGATGCATTCGCTGGCTTTTCGCATACCTATCTGCAATATGTGGCGGATGAATACCCGAAGAGCGAGCGTCACGTCGCTTTGCTTGGCCGCGCCTACGAGGCGAAGTATCAACCCTATGTCACTATGAACAATATTCTGTCTTTGGTCCACTTTTACGAGCAAGCCTCGATGCTCGTGCCGATACGTATGAGCGGGCCTACTACGGACTTTCTGCGCCCCGATTGGAACAGTATGTACGAAAACAGTGCCGTGCTGGCGGCTCTCTTCGAGTCGGCGACACTACCTTTGCGGTACGTATAATGTTGCCTCACACTCAGTCTGGCTCACCGCTCCCACTCCATGGTCGACATGCGTGCCCAGTTGGTGTGGCGGGGCGATTCACGCCTAGTGCAACTGGGCGGATGTATACCTACGCCGCTCCTGGCCGACGTACGTGCATCCACGTCGGTCGACCATTTGATCGATGCCATGTTTGCCGCTCGGGGTCTGAAAATGGAGGCGCTAGCAACGCCTCCGTCGTCGTCGACGGACAAACTCGGACCTGTATGGTGGGATGCCTCCCGGTCGTTTGGTCGTTTGTACATGCCTTCCACTGAGGATGCCACAGCCATGGCGGTGCCGTACGCTGAAACCATGGTCGCACGAGATGCAGATGCCATGGCCGAAAAGCCAACCCTGGATGCCATGCAAGCCTGGCAAAAAGACCTAAAAGAGCCCTTGATCTCTTCGTACGTATGGAGTCTACTTACGCAGCCACTTTGTCCCCTTGGCTTTCCCTACAACGCCTCCGTACCCATCGTTTTGGTATGGACTTACTCGCGATGGCCGACCATGGCCGCGGCCGCACGAGCGAGAGAAGCTGGGTGTCGTGGAGTCTGTGCCATGCATGGCCTCCCTTCGGTCATCACCAGATTCCCTGGATATGATTTTGGAAGCACGACAGTGTATTGTACAAATATTGCAGGGTCATGAGCCACTGGCTACGTATGGCCTAACAGATTTCATGGATCGTGATGGCCTGCTGGAAGTGCGCGAAGCCCTCGAAAGCATGTCCAATGCGTATGGCGGCGTCCCCGATGACCAAGCCGAGCCTGGCACAGATGAAGAGTGGGAAGACGACGATGAGTGGGATCTTTAGTACCGATACCGTGTCGAGTAGTCTGCCGATGAGCCATACATCTCCTACCCCACATACCTTTGGGACTGATCACCAAACCACGACCTTTCGAAGCACCACGGTACACAGTTTCAATGATATCGATCATCTCCTGCTTGCTATCAATAGCCCAGTTTCTGTACGGTGGTCAGTGCATGTGTACGTACATCTTGTTATTATTACCTGTGCCCAGATCAATCATGATGTGCTTGTTGCGGAAGAAAAACATAACTGTGCATGGGTCGTACAATTCATACATTTTGTTAAAGTCAGGCACTTGCGTGATATCCACCAGATAAATAACCGCAAAGTTCTTGACCTTTTCCGACACACCAAACAGAGTCTCGTCCATCTTCATGCATGTCTCGTCCTTCCGGTTAGTGTACTATGACATACCCAGTCATGACCGAATCGAAGCACTACAACGCGATCCTCTTCAGATAAAATCGCCTGATCAACATGCCAGCCTAGTGTGAGGACATAAACAGCATACCTGTGGGCAAGTGTGTAAGGAAATACGACATGGCTGATGGTAGAGAGAAGGTCTGGTAGGACGCGTGCAGTGTGCAATGTGGAGGAATACAGGGGCGCCGTGACTGCCTGTCGGCCCCCCGGCGCAGTAGTGTTTCTTGGCCCTGATGGCAACAGCGTGGCTTTCTACACGCCCATCCCTCGTTAGGCTCACTAGTAGCTCCCACCTCCTTCGTGCAATGTCTACGCAACTTGCAGATGGACACTGCGTTCCCTGTTCCAAGAAGGCGATTCGGGAGCAGGGCCTCTCTAAATTGTCAGACGCCGACGCACGCGCCAAGCTGAGCGAGCTGGAACATGGATGGAGTCTCGCTCCGCAGCCGACGCTAGCACATGCCCAGGAAACGTATCCACCCGCTCTGCACAAGGTGTATCGATTTCGCAACTTTGCCACAGCGTCCAGGTTTGCCTCCCAGGTGGGTCAGGATGCGGATGCGGAAGGCCATCACCCAGCAATCCTCCTGGAATGGGGCAGCGTAGCCATCTGGTGGTGGAGCCATTCTCTAGGCGGTGTACGTTCTCTGATGACTAACATACAGCTACACCAGAATGACTATATCATGGCCGCACGTACAGACCGCCTGGCATCACAGGCAGAGGGTAGGAAGCCGTAGCTACGCGATCGTGACAGGTCTGAATATGTGGAGGAACCCATAGCCTCGATCCGACTACCATGGCAGGGACATCACTATGGAAGCGACCGCTCGACTTGGCCTATTTTCTTTTCTTTGCTATGCACTTGTTTGCTAGCATGTGTGTGGATAGTACGTATGCTTGCCGCGGTAACCGTGAGTTCAAGGGCTAGTCCCGTCTCACTATGTGCCAGCGCCGCTACGGGATGTTCTCAGAGGTACGTCGTGCGGTCTCTCATTAAAGACTATCTCTTAAAAAGTCAAGATCCTCTCGTTCCGAATACATGGGCACCACGGTATGCGTGGTTCCGTATGTCGCTCTTTAGCGAATTCGTACTCCAAGTGCCCGCATTCGTGCTAGGTTTGTATGCGTTTTGGACAGGTGTGTATGACCAATTGAGCTCATACTCTAGATGATAAGCGGGCCTATCCCGTCCTGATTGGATATGGTGCTATCGGTACGTATATAAGGATCTAACTCCAGCTTGTTTTACCACCTTGCAGTGTATCGCTATGGTTACCATCGGTGAAGAGCGCTTGATGCTCTCGGAGGCCAATCTGACATTTATCCTGCAGTATGTATACACAATAGCTGGCTAACCTTCCAAAGGAACTACATTCCTTTTATGCTGATCCCAGGCATCATGATGGTCGATATGACGCTGCGCTGCATGCGTCTTATGCCGCGTCCTGCTACACTCGCACATGCCAAATCGCAATAGCGTTTCGTAGATCCTATAGTCTACAAGACCACTTAGTGGTGGTGCGCATCCTCCGACGAAGTCTTGATCTTGTAGCCGACAAGGCTACGCTTGCCAATCTAAATGTCAACAAATCCCAACACAATATACATACAATCTCGCCAATCGAGAAGATACCCAGAGCCTCAACACCGTACAGGAGCACCGTACGCCACTGGCCAGCCGGGAGCGAGTGCGTCCAGAACGAAGGGTTGGACACCTGCGACCAGATCTGGCGGTACGCAGACGCAACCTGCTGGAAAGACGACGGCGGAGCAAGCTTCTCAGCAATGTAAACCTGCTTGGCCAGCGAACCAGCCACCTTGAGGTTGTACACAACAGGCTCAGCGTACGCTATATGTTAGTCGTGGAAGATAGTACTTACAGCCAAGAGCACGCTCTGCCACCTTCAGGATCGAGGCACCAAGGTTCTGCGCACGCGCAGCAAGGCCCTGCGCGGTGCTGGGGGTGGTAGAGTAGCTGCGTACACCATGCATACGAGACATGCGAGCGGCCTGCGCGAACATCTGGCGGTTCAAAAAGTTCATCGTAGACCAACGAGGTGAGAAAGAGGCGCCGCCGAACGGTACGGAGCAAACAACGTTGGGCACTTTTTGGCACCGACGGCCTGTTTCCGGTGGCCTACCAGGTGGTACGGAAGATTTCGGCCGATGGCTACTCACGTGGAGATGACCAACGCTACCCTCTCCGCATAGACGCCGTGGCGTGCGCGTGGCCCAAGCGACGTCGGCTAGCACGACAGCCTATGGCTGCTGCAATGGATGTCGGTGTACCTCAAGTACCTATTGATTATACAGCATTGCTATGCCGGATTCCAGACTCTAATGCTACAATTCCCGATCCTCCTTCCTCCCTGGACTTCTTACATCGCATCCTTCGGGAAAAGTCGCATGCCTTTGAAGAGGAGACAGAGGAAGATGTCCCTAGCGAGCCAAACGATGAGCGAGAGGACAAACATACACTCACCAATGCGTCTCATGATGACGTAGATACGGAACTTGTCCCACCGGATAATTTCGCTATGGTCAATTCTTGGGTGTATCGAAGCAGCTTTCCTAAGAAAAAACACTTTCCCTTTCTAAAAACGCTGGGTTTGCGGAGCGTGTTGACGTTGATCTTAGAAGATTATCCTGAGCAAAACATCAACTTTTTAGACGAAAATGGAATCAAGTTTTTTCAGTACGGAATTCCAGGCAACAAAGAACCATTTGTACAGAGTATGTCCATCCTTTGCCTAACCCCAGTTCCTGGTGCCACGATTACTGCTGCCTTAGTTACAATTCTCGACAAGCGTAATCATCCTATGCTTATCCATTGCAACAAGGGAAAAGTAGGTATACATGATGTGTTCTAACATCACAGCATCGCACAGGCTGTTTGATCGGGTGCCTGCGGAAACTACAACAATGGTCGCTAACAACAATCTTCGACGAATACAGGCGTTTCAGCTTCCCAAAATCGCGGAGTATGGACCAAGAATTCATTGAACTTTATAATGAGAACGCTGTGTGGCCTCAGATTGACCCCAATTGGCTACCACATTGGACCGTGCTAAGTCGAAGAGAGATTTTAGCACGCATTACACATGAGAAGGATGAGAAGGTTAGCGAAAACGAGGTAGTGCGCGGTATGTAGCGCTATAGTGTACAACAGTGTATCTTAGACATCTTCCTCCTCCCGTTTGTAGGCCACCATAGCATCTACGCGATGCACATGTGTCGAGAAGCTACGCAATTTCACCTGCTCCGCCTTACCCTCGGCAATTAAGCGAGCATTCGAATCAGACCATTCCACAGGCACTTCCACGTCATGGTCAGTGTAGGCGAGAATCTGGAAGGCACAGGGCTCTTCTAGGACAGGTAAGAAGGTGCAACTGGCCGTGATCTGCTTGATAATCGCAGCAATTTCTGCCTTGACCTGAGCGTCTGTCTTCTGCATAGACTTAGGTAGTGACGATGTGTCACTGGGTCTAAACGTTAATGCTTGGTCAACGTACACATTCTGTTCATCCACGCCGGTATTTACGACTTCAATATCGAATTGCCAACGCTCCACCGTTTCTTGGGACTCCTTTTCCACAATGGCCACCACCAATCGACGCACTTTGCCTTGCTCAAGCCACCGTTTCATCTGAGACATAGCTCGATCCAAATAATCAGCCAGGTCATCATCGGTGGTAGCAAGCATTTGCAAGCCAAACTTTTTGACGGTACGGAAATCCTCAGACGGATAAATCGATCGCTGGTACAAAATGCTTTGCACAGAGTAGTTGAAGAACTCATGGACAAGCGCGGTAGACCCCTTCAGTGTAAGATGTGTCCTTGTAGGCGCCTGCTGCGCCACGGCCTGTGCCGCCGCCATGATCACTACACGTTTCGTGGCACGCTCCCAGGCGGCATCCAACACTGCCAGGAACGCGTACCATTTATTGTCACGTGATATAGCGCACATGGAGGACGACGACGACAAACGCGGTACGGTGCGGCAGATGAAATGAGGCTCCGATCGCGTCGCTTATCCCAATCCAAGTCGTGAGGGACAGTTATGTCGCGCTCGGGAGAACCATCGCCTGGTTCCCAGAGAAGCCACGACGCGCACGATGCGTCGTCTCTTGGGCTGCCATCAAGCAGTCCTGGCCGCGCGAGCTCGCAGCCACGTCTCTTTCCGTCTGATTCATCGTCTGGTACGTACGTTGCTACTCACGTTCTAGTGGCTAGTGGCTCACCATTGCATTTTCCTACATCATCACCCGGTGCTTCTCTAGGCTCCGTGCACACACCTTCAGGCCGGCGTGGCCGCCTGATGGCTTCGTTCTCGAGCCAATCTGGCGACTCAGAACCGCTCTTTTTCCCGCCATCGACAAGCACGACACCACGGCGCCCAACACGAGGCGATATTCACTCATCGATTGCATTCAGCTCTCCTTTCTTACGCCGTCGTCTGCACACGACAAGTTCAGATGTAGATCCAACGGCTACGCCTCGCGCGTCGCAAGCGAGTATGTCGCAGGCCAGTGAAGACTTGACTTTCTCGCATGGCACTTCGGAAGCGGAGGTCCCGCGACCACGAGATGACAGCAAGGTGATCTGGGGAACGAATGTACACGTTCAAGAGACGAAGCAAATGTTCCAAGCTTTCTTGCGTGGCTTCCGCGTCAAATATCGTTGGGCGTATGCACGTTCGCATGGCCAGCCTCAAGCTCGTACGCCGCATACAGATGGAGAGACGCTTTTGTATGAGGAGTATATGCGTCAGATGCGAATGACGCATCAAACGAACCTGAACGTGCGCATTAGTGACTTGGCCGCCTTTCCACCGTCGAAAAAGCTGGTCATGCATCTCATTCGGTACCCTCAAGAAGTAGTGCCTCTCATGGATACTACCTTGCAAGAGCAAATGATTATTATGGCCGAAGAAGACATGGCATCCAGCTTGTCGGATGAAGAGAGGAGTTTGATCCGTGAGCAGATTAAGATGATTGAAGGCACCATATATAAGGTGCGACCGTATGGTGCTACAGCAAGGAACATGCGTGACTTGAATCCATCGGACATTGATAAGCTCACGACGATTCGAGGTTTGGTGATTCGTGTGACCCCCATTATCCCTGATATGAAACTGGCCTTTTTCCGGTGCTTGGTATGCAATCACACAGTGACCGTGGAGATTCTGCGTGGACGCATCACTGAACCCCAGCGCTGTCCACGCGATTTGTGCAACCAGTTGGGCTCTCTTTCACTGATCCACAATCGATGTTTGTTTTCCGACCGGCAAGTCATTCGCCTACAAGAGACCCCAGATGTAGTGCCAGACGGGCAGACGCCGCACACGCTGAGTTTGTGTGTCTATGATGAGCTGGTCGATATTTGCAAGCCTGGTGATCGCATTGAGGTCACGGGTATTTTCCGCAGTGTGCCTGTGCGCATGAATCCGCGGCAGCGCACACTGAAAAGTCTGTTCAAAACATACATTGATGTACTGCATGTGCGTCTTAACAACGCACGACGGTTGCAAGTGGATATTTCTACCCGCGATGCTGCCCAGATGCAGTCTGTCGGCGTGGGTGGCGATGAAGAAGGCGATGAATTCGACATGCGTGCATTGGAGACCAGCGATACAGCGTCGGCCCCGCCGCCGTCGAGTGGACGTTTATCGCTGCTGCCTACAGATGAGATGCAGCAGCATATTGAGCGCTTGTCGCAACGCGAAGATGTGTACGATGTATTGTCTCGCAGTCTGGCTCCCAGTATTTATGAGATGGATGACATGAAGAAAGGTGTGCTGCTCCAGTTGTTTGGCGGTACGAACAAGTCGATCGCCACAGGCGGTGGTCTCGGTGGTCCGCGCTACCGTGGCGATATCAATGTGTTGATTGTGGGTGACCCTGGTACCTCCAAGAGTCAGATGTTGCAGTATGTGCACAAGATCGCACCACGTGGAATCTACGTCTCAGGGAAGGGCTCGTCCGCAGTGGGTCTCACGGCGTATGTGACACGCGACCCGGAGACAAAGCAATTGGTCCTGGAAAGTGGTGCATTGGTCCTTTCCGATGGCGGTGTGTGCTGCATTGACGAGTTCGACAAAATGTCAGATGCTACCCGCAGTGTCCTTCATGAAGTGATGGAGCAGCAGACCGTGTCCATTGCCAAGGCCGGTATTATCACGACCCTCAACGCACGGACCTCCATTTTAGCCGCGGCCAACCCCATTGGATCCAAGTACAATCCGCGGCTGCCGATTACCAAGAACATTGATTTGCCGCCGACACTCATGAGTCGTTTCGACTTGGTATACTTGGTCCTGGACCAAATCAATGAATCGCTGGATCGTCGTCTGGCTCAGCACCTGGTCGGATTGTACCTGGAGGATGCGCCAGCCTCGGCAGCCACGGATGTGATCCCTGTCGAGCTGCTGACAGCGTACATTTCATACGCCCGTGCCAATGTGGCCCCTGTGTTGACAGCGGAGGCGAGCGACTTGCTAGCGCGGCGGTACGTGGAACTGCGCAAGGCTGGTGAGGATCCTCGTAGTACGGAGCGCCGCATCACAGCCACGACCCGGCAACTGGAATCGATGATTCGGTTGTCAGAGGCGCATGCGCGTATGCGTCTCTCGACCGTCGTCACCGGTGCTGATGTCGAGGAGGCCAATCGGCTGATTCGTGAGGCAGCCAAGTCTAGCGCTACGGACCCTACGACTGGGTTGATTGATTTGGACTTGCTGACGACGGGTCGTTCGCTGCACCAGCGGCGCATGGCCGGCGATTTGCGATCCGAACTACTGACGATTGTATCACAGCTGGCGCAGGCCACTGGCTCTACATCGCGTGCTGTGCGTCTCGCAGATATCATCCGTACATTCCGCGAGCAGAGCTCGATTGCGATTGATACGAGTGAAGTGCAAGAGGCACTTCGTAGCTTGGAAGCGGAAGGCGTGATTCAGGTCGCTGGCGATCGTGATCGTCGTACGGTCCGTTTGATGTAGGTAGGCATAAGCACCTTGAGAAGAATCTAATCGTACACTACATGCTCACTGGCACCGCCTCTTCAATTTTGGGCGCAGGCATTTCTACATCGCTGTGCTTGCCTTGGAATAGCATGGTGGAGCACACAGGCGCCAGTCGGAAGGTATCGGTCAGTGTCTCGCTCGTCGATTGAATCATGGCCACGAGCTTTTCCACACGCTGTTTCAGCGTCTCGGTCAAGCAGTGCACCGCCATAGTTTCGAGCTCGATAATCGCCGGGTCATCGTCCAGGGCCACTTTGATGGCCGGCCGAACAGGCCCCTGAATCAGCTCCAACAGACGGTCCAAGGCTGGCCGTTCGTCGTTTTCCTTTCCTGGCGGCTCAGTCGTGGCCACCTGCGCCTCTGGACGGTCTGTCGCATCGGACGTAGAAGCGGTAGCGGACGACGATGGCTCCATGGCCATGCTCGTTTCCGCTTGGGCATCGTAAGGGTCCGACGGTTCGGAAGCAGATAGCATTGGCTGACCACCCACATCCAGCATAGCAACATCCCCGAAATGCGCTTCAAGGACAGCCATGAGTGACTCTAGCTGACTCGCATGCGTAGCAGAGGTCTCGGCAGGATGGTGATGGGCACAGACGTGATCGTGCATCGTCATTTTGACAGTGGCGGGACAGCTATCAATGCCCAACAGCAACGCGACCACAGAGTCAGCGACCATATCGTTGGACACACTGGACTCCCATTCCAAGAGCAGTTCGTGCGTTGTTGGCTGCTTGATATCGACGACATTCATGACGCGCATGCAGCGGACGCCTGCGTCATCCACGCCTTCGTCTACATGGCCGTACATGCCTTCCAGGTGCCATCGTGCCAACTCCCAACTTACGTGCAAAGACACATGCTGCCGCTGCAACATGCTGCTCATGGTGAGACCAGTAAACTCAGTCAAGTCATCAGGGGCCAGCACCGTGTACGAAAAGTCTTTGGCAACCAAGAGCCCATCAATGGGACGATCTGGCTTGGCCGGCTGCGACGCCAACGAGCCGATGACTTTCGCTGTACGCTCGGCCCGGAACGACAAATATAGCGGCTCACAGTTGCGTGGCATGTAGATTTGTACATCCTCTTCACGATCGCTGTACCGACTCTTAAGTGCGGCCCGCAATCCACTCATGTTCTTCAGCTCGCCATGCACAAGCACCACATGCTTTGCTTTGACCTCATCGATAAAGCGCGAATTCTGCGTATAGTCAACGTGTGCGGAAAACGAGATGTAGTCAACCGACATACGACGCGGAATACGCTGTCCATTCATCGCGATAATCTCGTCAGGGTCACTCAGAATCTCGCGTGCCATCGTGCCCTCGACCGAGTAGCCGCTCACAATGACACCGTTGCGCTTGTCTGGTGCCCAGCGCTCAAGCAACTCGCGTGAAATACCGCTCTGCATAAAGCCAGGACTCGCCATCATAACACAAGGCCCCTTGTCGTCAAACTTGTCCAGACTTCGGAGATTGCTCACATGCTTGAAAACAAACGGGTTGTCACGTCGGTTGAAACGTGAGCGGATATGCTGGTTCATAGTGTGGATATACGTCTGGTAAATCGACATGCATTTCCGTGCGAGGGAGGAGGCATAGTAAATGGGCACAGAGTGCAGTTCTGGATGTGCTTCCCAGTACTCGTCCAGAAGCAGCAACAGTTCCTGCGCTCGGCCCAATACAAACACAGGGAGAAGCACACGTCCACCGCGTTTGATGATACTGTGAATCAGCGCTGTAAACCTCATTTCCTTATCTAGACGCGGTTCCAAACTTTGTGTTCCATAGGTGCTTTCGCAAATCAGTACATCGGGTCGAATAGGCGGCACTTCGGCTTGTACAAGATGCCTGTCTTCTTCGCGACTGTAATCACCCGTGTAGAGCACACGCAACCCAGCCATTTCAATCATAAACATACAGGCACCCAGCACATGCCCTGCATGGTACGGTGTAAAGCGCAAACCACCGCCCAAGACGACTTCCTGGTGGTAATCGACAGCCTCGATTTGACGCCATGAAGCCAGCATCTCCGACTCATCAAACAGCATGCGATCCGTGCCAGCATTGGAGATACGCACAAAGTCCGACATAAGAAAACGATAAATAGCTTTGGTGGGGTGTGTCATATAGACTTTGCCTTTGCCTTCGCAAAAGTTGGTCTTTTCCATAATGTATGTCAAGGCAGCCGCATGATCCAAATGAAAACTGATCGTAAGTCAAGGGTCAACATACTGAGTAATGAGCAGCGCATCTACCGTACTCCAGTCTAGATTGTCGATGAAGGGAAGCGCTGTTAAACCTGTATACGCTGGATGCACTGCCACGTTAGCTACAACATATCCACATACCGCCTGCATCACACACAATTGTGAAACCTTTCATGAGTCGACCAGCAACGTACCTTTAAAGGTGATCACACAGCAGCTTCGACCCACCTCCTGGCCCGCACCGAGCATCTCGATGCATAGCTTGTCCTCCCCGATCGGGGAGTCACGCTCATCGCCGGCCATGATGGAGAACGCCAGGAAAACCGCAACAGTCCTTGCCGTCGTCCATGTGGAGGGCGTGTCCAAGGACAGGTGCACGGCCAACCACGCCACGACACGACACGACATCGCTGGCCACCTTGACGATGCGGCCCAGCGCCAAGATGGCGCAGGCGCGCTGCCCTGTGTCTGTCCACCCATTAGAGGTGCATAGAGACGATGTTGGATCTATATCCCCGGTCATACCGCCAGGCGACACCGTCGCCGCAGGGCCCTGTGCACCGACACCTGTGCCTTTGTCTATGCCGCCGGCCCACGTAGGCGTACTCTTTGATCATGTCAGCGCCGACGCATGGTCCATCCTAGCACGTATACCCAATGAGGAGGCACAAATGCAAGCATGGCTGGATGCTCACGACGAAACTACTCGTACTTTGCTCCTATGCCTGGCTCAAGCCGTCCAGGCTACCCTACCTACACATGTGGCTTCCATGGAAGAGACGCTGGAAGAGGCTATGCGTGATCTATCTGTATCGCAAGAGGACGAAGTTCGGCCAGCATCGCCGCCGACGCTAAGCGCCCTGGACATACTGGGGGGTGTGGTGGCGCTAGCGCACCAACATACCACGTCCGATCACGCTGACATGGCAGAGAAGGATACACCGTGCTTCACGCCCTTCCAAGAAGGCCCGAATCCACTCGAAAGCCCGATACCCACAGAGGACGACACGTCTCTGTCTTTTTCGCTGCGAAGTCGCGTAATGGAATTGGCACCGATTGTCCCTACGGAAGCGCGACCACCACCAATGCTACCACGGCAAACGCTGCCATGGGATGAGACGGAGGCGCCGGCTTATGTGGACCGATACGGGTTCTTGTACGGGATGAGTGTGACAGAGTACTGGAAACGCGTGCACGGCTCCACGTCGCCTACGTTGCCTGAGGCATCGATCGCTGACGATGGCGGTATGACGGTAGCGCCGTTGCTTACGCCCAGCGCAGCGACGCTTGATATGCCCACCAAAAGCACTGAGCCCATGACTGCCACTGAGACGACGACGACGACGGCCATCGCTCTGCCCAGCACAGAAGAATCGCAGCTATGGCCGACGATTCCTCGACTCGTGCGACATGTGCATGACGTGTACGAACAGCAGCAAAAAGAGAGACTGCCTCCATGGGAATTGTTTCTCAGCGATATGGCAGAGCAGCAAGACCTTCTGGACGAGCCTGAAACGATATGGCACAAGACGTTTGCGGCGCTGCGATCCGCGGACATGAAGCCCCTTCGCACAGATGTGCAACGTCTGCAAGACCTATGTCAGCGTGGCATCCCAATGGCCCATCGTCCCGCGATGTGGGCAGAATGTACGCGGGCGCGTGACTGGGCCGAGCCAGGACGATACCAAGACCTGCTGCGTCAGCCGAAATTCAACCGACAAATTGATGTGGACGTGTATCGGACGATGCCAACGAACCTGTTCTTTGGCGGCCAAGGCCCTGGCGTAGCGAAACTACGTCGCTTGCTAACGGCCTATGCGCAGTACCATGAGGAAAACGGGTACTGTCAAGGGATGAACAATTTGGCTGCAATTCTTCTATTAACATATACAGATGAGGAAGATGCATTTTGGGCGTTGGTCGGTTTGATGAATACCATCTTACCACCAGGGTATTATGCATCAAATATGGTGATACCGCGGGCCGATCAGCATGTCTTGCTAAAACTGATCCATTCCGGCATGCCGAAACTGGCAGCTCATATGCATGCGCTCGGCGTCGAATTGCCAGCGGTCACACTTTCATGGTTTTTATCGTTGTTTACCGCATGTCTGCCCACCGAAACGCTGTTTCGCGTATGGGACATGCTGCTGTTAGAAGGCCAAGTGGTCTTGTTCCGTGTTGCTTATGCAATCCTCGCCCTCAAAGTCAAAGCGCTGCTGGCGACCAAAAACGCGGCGTCCTTTTATCATCAGCTTCGACTCGCCGCTGCGCATCTCTTCGATGCAGACGAGCTGCTGCACATGTGCGCGTCCCTACGCGAGAAAATTCGAACGCCAGACGTGGCGCTTCGTCGTGAAAAATACATTAAAGCAGGTACACAAGATAACTCTGCTTCATAATCGATACCCTGGTACCCATACAAATAGGACGGTCATGGCCGCTGTCAATAGTGCCATGAGGAGAAGAGCTGCGAGGGCATGGGATCGATGATACCGTCTCACCTGAGCATCCTCCACGCGAACGAACACAAAGGGACTCATTTCACTTCGGCCACAAAATGCCAAAATAGGGTCCACACAGTACCAGTACGATACAAGGAAGTAAAAGCCGATCAGGAAAGGAAGAAGAACCTGGCATAAGATGATAAAGCAACATACCCATACACGTAGTGGCCTCCGTGCCGATAAGAACACCATTGAGTAGGCTGTAGAGTAGGCAATCCAAAGCACAAGCCAGCCGAGGCCAACTCGAACGAGACTGTGGGTGCGTGAAAGATTCTGGAACGCATGCGATTGCAAAAAGTAAGGGAAGTGATGGGCTTCTAGGCGAGAAAAGATATAGCTGCGGTAAGATGAAATGTAGACATACCGTTTCTGAGCATCGAATAAATGAAGGAGTTCTTCCACCGAGCCAGAAGGATGGGAAAGGGACGTTGATTCTCGTGGCAAGGGCGGGAGTAAGATTTCCTGCGGCGCACCAGGCGTCAAGAAATGATCATGGATGGATTGTGCGCTTGTGACAAGATCAAAGTAGTCTAGAGGTACATTCTTCTCTCCCGTATAGACCGCATCGTGCTTATCGTAGCCATCTGAGAGGAGATAAAGCGTACAAAGTCGTTCATGCTGTTGTACAGCCAACCAGAACAACAAAGCATCTTCATTACGTGACCTTTGAAGAAAGCGTGAAAAGGCAGAGACGTCCACAGGCGATTGCGAACGTCCCTCCAGCACCTCGAGTAGGGTAGGTAGACGTAGTGACATGGCCACGACGTCCACCGCGTACCCAACCCCACACGCGTTGGTCGGTGCAACACGAAACAACGCCGCGCGCGTATGCACGTTCCTGGCGGTGCCCTCGATCACGTGATAGGAAGAAGCTGAACCACATCGCTCCTCCGCTGCGTAGTCCACTCTCTCGTTGACCGACAAGGATGCTAGCGCCTGTCTCGCGCGTAGCCAGCCTGCGAGCATGGCACGCAAACGTGGCTCGTATACCTCCCATGTTGTCCGCAACATCATACCGAATGCGCTACGCTCATTCAGAGGCGAAACCGGATGCGCCTGCAAAGCAAGGTATGTAGCATACCTCGCCTGACATATGCCAGATCTCCCTTCCGCTGCCCCAGCTGGTACAGTGTTCACAGGTCTTTCTATCTACAAGGACAAGCCGGACCCCGTGGCACGACCTGATAACGAATACCCATCTTGGCTTTGGGACTTGTTGGAAGACCCAGCAGTGAAGCCAAAGAAGGCATTGATGGTGGGTGATGTGGATACCACAGGCATGTCGAAAGGTGAGGCCCGTGTCGCCTTGAAGCGGGCAGCGAAAATGGCGCGTGCCGCTGCGCGGAAACAGGCCGCAGAAGAGGCGAAAGAAAAGGCACGATGGGAAAGAATGACCGATGCGCAACGTGCAGCTGTGACTGCTCGCGCCAAGGCGGAAAAAGATGACAAGCCCAAAACTGCAACGCAGATGTTTGAGCAAGAGCGGACCAAGCGACGCGAACTTCGCAAAGCGAATCGCGCAGCCATTAAGGCAAGCAACTTTGTGCGTTCGGCATAATACATAGATGGCATAGAGAAGCTATGTGACGTATCACTCTGCTAGGATGCGTCTATACCTAACAATGCACTACGCACGTACATACTTGCACGCTTCTCCGCAAGAGAGCTACGGTATCCTCGAAACGTGGGCCCCATCGAGAGGCAGAAGTGTGGAGGTAGCACATGCAACCTATGTGACCTACAAGGTCGAGCCGTGCAAGTGCCTCCCGTCCGGGCCAGACTATCGCACCGACCACCCACCGAACGACTAGGTCTCATTCACCATGTCGAACGCGATGAACGATGAGGAGGTCATCACCGAGCTGAAGAAGATGGTGGCCTTCATCCGCCAGGAGGCTGTTGAGAAAGCGCGCGAGATCCAGGTCAAGGCTGACGAAGAGTTTGCCATCGAGAAGGCCAAGATTGTGCGTCAGGAGAGCATGAACCTCGACACACAGTTTGACAAGAAAAAGAAGCAGGTGGAAGTGTCGCAGAAGATGTATGTGTACTTTGCTACTAACAGTCAGCGCCAAGTCGAACCAAAACAACAAGGCTCGTCTGGAGGTGCTCAAGTCTCGCGAGGAAAACCTGCAGAACTTGTTCTCGGCGGCGCAAGAGCAGCTGGCGACACTGAGCAAGGATGGCAAGGCGTACAAGGAGCTGCTTAGCAAGCTGCTTCTGGAATGTCTGTTGAACCTGCACGAGCCGACCGTGGAAGTCCTGGCGCGCTCGACGGACGTCCAGAATGTCCAGAGCGTCGTCAAGGACGCGGTGAAGCAGTACAAGGAGATGACCGGCCGCGAGACGGAAGTTGACGTGAAGGAAGGTCTTTCGAAGGATTCGTACGTATCTATACACTGACATAAAAGCGCTGGCGGTCTCATTTTGACGGCTCAGCAGGGCCGGATCCGCTTGGACAATACGCTGGAGCAGCGCCTGAAACTCCTCGAGGAGCAGATGCTCCCGGAGCTGCGTCTTGACCTGTTCGGCCCCAACAAGAACCGGAAGTTCTTCACATAGATTGATACATATCTGTGCATAGTTGTAGTGATTGCACTATGGTAGAATAGAAAGCTAGCATAACACATGTCGACCCCTGTCGCCTGAGCAGACCAGAGGTCTAAAGAGGTACAAAAATTCAAGTGCGTCGCTTCGCCGATCAATGCGGGCGCTCGCCACGCGGCTGAGACCACTGGCAACTGAGAATAAGGTTGCTGTATGGGTATCCGTCCAGCTTCTGGCGTGCCATATCGGCAGATGCGCGATCTTCAAAGTTGACGTACGCAAAGCCCTTGCAGGCACCGGTCTCGCGATCGCGGCCAACAAAGATACGTGTAACACGACCGTAGCGACGGAAGAGATCGCGCAAATCCTCTTCTTCTACATCCTCGCTGAGGTTCGTTACACGCAGCGTAGCCGTCTCGTCGCGCTGCGTAGGACCGCCCATACCGGGGGTCGGCACAGCACCTGAACGCAAGCTCGGTGGTTTGTACTTGCCTGGACCAGCTGCCGCAGGGTTCATCTTGTCCGCAGCAGAGTCGCCCGAGAGCGAGAGACCAGCCGCGGCTGCAGCAGCCACAGTATCGCTGTCGGGCACATCGCCACCGGCGCCCGGGATGGCCTCGAGTGTATCGCGGTACGGGCAACGAGCCGTGTAATGGTCGCCCTTGCAGAGACGGCACTGCACACGCTTGTTCGCAAGCTTCTCGCGCATGGCCTCCGTTGGGTCAGGCTCAGGCTCCTTCTGAGCACCAGCCGTAAGCTTGATCTGCACATTCGCACCGATCGATGTCGTACCCGAATGAGGTCCTGGCGCGGCGCTCTTTTCGAGGCCAAACTTGGCCCACGTCTTGCGCTCCGCCACCACATGGTTCACCTTGGTGCTTACAAGCGTACGCTTAATGCGACGCGTCACCTTGACCTTCTTACCATCCGCGTTCGTGCGGTATTCTGTCACAACTTGAATGCCGTTGCCCTCGTCACGCGTTTCCACACGAGGCACTTTGAGTAAGAAAAATCCCGCTTACAATATACGTACTGGCATCATCGTTTTCGTCATCAGCCCAGTTCGCACCCTTTGGATGCTGGGGAGGAAGACTAGATAGGTCAGTCATTTCCGTAGCTATACATACGTCGCAGCAGCAGACATCGTATCGTGAAAAAAAAAAAATCCGTCACCGCTCGCACGTCGAGTGCAAAAGGCAGCGACTTTCTTAGTAACTTAATTCCCACACGTGGATATATGCAGCAGAGGCGACCACCAGTTTTGTCGTCGTGGCTGGCGCGAAGAACGCTTCCCTACTTCGAGGCCAGCCATGCACCTAGGACCTGTTTCGTTGCGGCTTGGGCGCCTGGCTCTTGCCCCTGCCCGTGTAGCGGGAGGTGCACGAGTATCTATGGTGACTCGTTCGTCACTTCTTGCTGCTCCCTCAATGCGGATGCCATTGCGTGCTCTGAACTCGCAGGCCAGCTGTTACGCAGCTGCGTCGTCGCACGCTATGACTAACGCTACACCAAGCAGCAGCGGACCTTTGGGATCAAATCTGGAGCCATCAGATATACTTGCGTTCTTGAATAGCCCCGAATTCTCGTCATACCAATCTGCGTCGGATGCCCACGGCGCCCTCCTGGGAGACGATGCCACACTCGCTGCGACCGCACTCACACACGAGAGCTGGATGCATGGCGTACAAGGTCATAACCGACGTCTCGCTTTTATTGGTATGTTCATGCCATGGAGCACTAACTCTATCAGGACGACGTGCTTTGAAAACATATATGTCGCTGTTCCTTTTTGATATCCTAGCACAAGCGACGCGCTCCCAAGCGTCGTCCGCCGACTTGACATACTTGCAAAATATCCTTGCCACGCCTCACTCTGTGGACCAACTCGTGGCAACACATCGTCTCGGCGATCATGTGGGTCGTGCAATGGGCCTCGAAAAGGTGATGCGTTGGCACCCGACGGTGCGACTTGATGGTGCCTCTGGGCAGCAAGAGTCAGGCTTGTTTAAGGTGCGCGGTGCCTGCGTGGAAGCGGTACTGGGTGCTATTTACCATTACAGGGTATGTTCTAAACCTCTTCTAGACACTGACAACAAAAGGGGGCGCAAGTGGCACAGCAATTTTTCCTGGCACGGATTCTGCCGCATTTGAATATGCTTCATGAGCAGGCATCCGACCTTGTTCGCTCCAAAATTTCTCAAGCGAGCGAAGAGGCCACACAGGCCTTGTCGCATGCTCCGTAATAGATAGCTATGTCGTATGTGTAGAGCTGCGCACGCTTGGGAATTATGAAAGTTCGTGGCAGCTGCAGCGGCCAATTGAAGCTTATGTGGCATGTGGAATTACCGCAGCCCAAGACATGGCAAAGTGGAGTACCGAAACATATATAAGCAGCGACCCGCACGAACGTCGGTTTCTTCATACTTGTACGTACTCGTCGCCCACCTTATGGAAAACTAACATTGTAGACCTTGACGTTCCGCAACGCGCTCAAGCATACGGTGCGGGAGGGGAGGAGTCTGTCATTGCACGGCGACCCTTTTGTCCATACATCAGCATCCTCCCCTCGCTGCTACCCGACGGGTGGCAGTACGTTTGAATCTTTAGATCGGGCAGACGTGCCCTTCGGGGTAGCGTCTGCCTTTCCCTTTTGGTCCCTATTGATTACGTAATCAGTTTTCTTGTTGAGAGTGATGCCGGTGCGGTGTTGAATTAGTGAAGGCCGGGCGTCGGTGCGCACCGGCGGCATTGCACGTGAAGGCAAACCTAAGCGCGCACGGTGCTCAGTAGACTCAAAAAGATGCGCATGGCGCTTGTTGGGAACCCCACTGCCACACATTGTTGGTGGATATCAAATAGAAGCTGGAAGTTACCGGAGGATCACCCTAGGGATCTCCTTCGACACGATGAGTCGTGAACGCAAAATAGTGAGTGAGAAGCTCACATCCCTTGAACCTGTGGCTATGTCAGCCAAAGACATGGAGGAGGACGAGTACGGAGATCAAACGCCCTCGGGCTCCTCAACGCCCAATCTGTCAGAAGCGGTGGACCAAATTAAACGTTCTCTGAGCATTTCGGCGTTGCAGGAAATGTCTGCCAAGCCCTCAAAGGAGGTCCGACGATCTATTCAGAATAAGCTTTGGCGTCCACACGACGATGAAGCTCGTCTACCGAGTGATTGGGAGCGACTAATTGTACACGTGTTCCGTGCGGGGAGTCGTGCGTTCATGTTGTCGTATGGTCTCCGAAGCACCATTTCGTTTTTGGTGGTACTCATCAAGGCCCTCCGTACTCGCAAAGGTGTAAACCGCGTCGCCTTGAAGAATGCATATGTGGGTGAAGATACGACCCGCTTTGCTCTCATGTTTGGTGTATGGGCTGCCATTTACAAATTTGTGAACAACGCTCTTCGTTTGCTCACGCCTATGCCTGTGATTAAGTCCAAACCGGTTCGCCCCATGATGCGACGTACTAAGACTGCGCCTGCTTCGACAGGGAACATGGATATGGCCGATGAAGGGCTCACCATGAAAGTGAAGAGCAAGAAGCCAGAGAATAAGAAGAAGATGGAATGGCAGCATCTCTCGGCGTATGACCCTCGTGTTCGCAGCTGGCATGCATATGTAGCTGGTGCCCTGTCGTCGGTCGCATTCCTCATCGAAAAGCCTAGCTTTGTGCAGTCGCTGGGTATGCAGCTCTTTGTTCGTGGCCTAGAAGGGTCATACCGCCAGGCACGCTCCCATGGCTTTATTAACATTCCTCATGGAGCTATCTTGGTATTTGGACTTGCGAACATCCAAATTATGCTGTCCTGGCTAGGTGCACGCGGCTATTTGAACCGTGGCTATCGCTCTTGGATTGACAAGGCATCTGGCATTCCCAAGCCTGCCACCATAGCGTACGAATCGGGCTTGAACAACACGAGTGTAGACCCGTGGGCCCTTGTGGATATCTTTGGCGGTAAGGTGCCCGAGCCAATTAGTCAAAACCCACGCAAGTTTGCCAGCTTACCGCCCAACAAACACAGTCCCATGGGCGTGACAGGTGAAACAATCGAAAAGGTGTATCAATGGATGGAGCGTGGCGAACTGAACCGTTACCCTACGTGCGCCTTGGCGCATCCTTACTCGAACAACCACTTGTACGTGACATACCAGAGCTTCGTTCAATCGTGGAAATTTATTATGCCCGTCTACCTTACCCTATACATCGTCCCAGCCGTATTTCTTCGTCCGAAATCTCTGCTCAAGTCTCCCAAGACGGTGGCCATTCGTTCTGTCATGGGCGCTTCTCGCTCTTCTGCCTTCTTGGCCATGTACACTGTGATCTATAAGACGATCTTCTGCTTGCTGCATGAGGGATCTGACCAGATTCGCAGCAGCTCTTTGGACAAGTATCCATTCTTCCACAAGCTGTCCAATTTGCTGGTTGACCACCGCATAAAGGCTCTGCCTGGCTTTATGACAGGCTTATCCCTTCTGGTCGAGCACCGACGTCGTCGCAGTGAACTGTCGGCCTATGTTCTGCCCAAGGCATTGGAAACGTTCTGGAAGTCGGGCCGGTCGCGTGGCATCTTCCCTCCTGTGCCCTACGGCGAATACTTGATTGCCGCAGCCAGTCTGTCGATGATAATGGGTACCTATGCTCATAACCCTGAGAATCTTTCGCACCTTGTCTCGCGTGTGATCTACCAATTTATTGGACGTAATTAGTAATGTGTAGTATCCGTGGATTTGAGTTTACACAAATACGAAAGTCAAGGCCCTTGCTTATTCCAGATATTCGATAGAACGCAAGTGTATTTTCTTAACATAGGGAAGCCGCAGGGCAGCCGTGGGTCCTCCTCGGTATACAGAGCATAAGTAAGTCCAAGTCGTGCAACTAGGACTCATTGCCATACTCGTGCAAAGCAGATCGGAAACCTTCGTACGATAGCCACGCCAAGGCATTGGATGGCATGTGCGAGAAAATGCGGGGTGTAAGACCACGCATAAATCCACGGAGCCCTTCACGTGCGTAGATGATGCGCCCTGCTTGCCACATCGACTTGGCATGACGAATCTCAGGATCCGAGCTACACCCTTTCGTCTGCAGCAAGGTCTTGGTAACATCCAATGGGTTGGTGCAGGCGGCTGCAATCGCACCAGCAAAGCCACCACCCACTGCATGTGCCATGGGCGAATAGTGGTTGTTGGGGTTGAGCACTTCCTGGGCCCACTCGTATGTCGCAAATTGAATCGCAGTAAAGGGAACAGTCATAGCAAGCGTGGTAGGGTATGATACATAGAATGCACGCAGGCCTTCACTGCGGAAAAGATGTGTTGCGCAATGGGTGATAGATGTATACGGGCTGCCATGCATTTGCATACGCTGCTTGATCACATCAAAAGGGTTCATGAAAGCATCAGATACGATCGTGGCAGAAGCGCCAGCCAAAGTGGTGCTAAGAAATTGAAATCCCTCCTTGTTGCCACCAGTCAAATCTTTTACAAGTTCGTAAGTGCCAAAATACAGCGCATGAGCGGGGCCAGCGCCAAGGATGACAGAAGCGATACCCTTCCAAAGCGCACGGAAACCTTCCACCGAACTGATACGTGCAAATGCATCAGCTATACCGGTGTATGTGGCAGATGGAGATGTAGTCAACACTTGCATGCGAGTCTGGATGGTCAGTAATAGTCACAAGACAACGCAACGTACCCGAATCACATCGACAGGGAACATGACACCGTGTTCCGTAATGCCGGCAAGAGATCCTGCAATCATATTGATATGAAGAGGATAGTTCCCACCAAGACCTTCGTAATCGAGCTCTGGTTCAATAGCCAGATCTGCAGAACCTTCTGGAGCCATAAATGGCACTTGCCGATCATGCTGATGTGACATGATAAACGATTTATGGGTAGTAAGAGTGGTGAATAAAAAACAGTACTGCCGGAGCGCAAGGAGATGGCAAAATTAAACCGCCACACACACGCTTGCGATTACTTGTCCTTGCAGGCTGATGGACTGAGACTGTAAGTCGCCCGACGGTAGCAAGAAGACGCTCATCTGATATGACTAAACTTCGCCGTATCTACCAAACCCAGCTCCACGGACCGAAATTTCGCAATTCCGCAACGCTCGCTGGCGTAGACAGCCTAGCATGAAAAGCGCATCCCGAAGGACAAGAATTGAGTCTATGGTATAGCACACTTAAGTAAAGCACACAACATAAAGGAGCCGGAAATAGGGTACATTCACCCGTATAGGTAGAGGACTATCAACCGTAAATCTCCCTTACACGAAGACGGTAAATGAGGGCGTAGCAATCATCATCATGTCTACGCTCGTGATATGAGAATCCGTGGGCCAATGCAGTACAAAAACATAATACTAGAGACCACACAGAGTCTGTGAAAGGGTACAATTTGTAACCAGACAACAGTCCTCCTTTTGAAGTCATCCATTTACTTCTTCTTGTTCGCAACGGTGCGACCGCGGCGACCCGTAGTGCGGGTGTGCTGACCACGGGCACGAAGGTTCCAGTAGTGACGAAGACCACGGTGGGCACGGATCTTCTTCAGGCGCTCGAGGTCATCACGGAGCTTGGCCTCGACGTTGTTCGACAGCACCTGCGAGTCCTTACCGGTAGTGAAGTCCTTCTGACGGTTAAGGAACCAAGTCGGGATCTTGAACTCCTGGGGCGACTGGAGGATGTTCACAATGCGCTCCAGCTCATCCGAGTTCAGCTCACCGGCACTAAAAAGAGGTTAGTACATGCCACATAACGACACATAGGAAAAGCAGATGAAAGTTTGGATAAAGCAATACCTCACTGCCACTCTCCTATGCTTTTGTTAGATACGTACCGCTTGTTCAGGTCAACATCGGCCTTCTTGCAGACGATGTTCGAGTAGCGGCGACCCACACCCTTGATCTCAGTCAGGGCGTACATGATCTTGCGCTTGCCGTCCACGTTAGTGTTCAGCAGACTGTGTGAGTGTCAGTACATCATTCTCCTTGCTTTGTGAGCAAACATACCGAAGAATGTGAGCAAAGTTCTGCGACGGGTCCGGCGGCACGAGCGACATGGTGAGTTGAGGTGACTAGCTTCTCTCGCAGAAGGTGGCCTCGACTACCCACACTGCGCTCCGCTCAGCAAGTCTGGTCACGTGCGGGTATATACTTTGTGAGAAACATGCACGTGATAACGGCCAAAACAACGGGGCCTTGGTAAGCCATGTGCGTGTGTCGCAAATGTATAAATAGGCCACGCGCTCGCTCCACTACGATTCTTCATCTTTCTGCATGGACAGGATCTACGGTCACTGAGGTAACAACCGAGACGTAGACTTTTGCTTATCGCAAACTAAACGAACCACAACGTCTGATTCTATTTCTTTTGAAACATGATTCAGCAATTTTTCTCCTTGTGATTCCTTGCTATGAAAGTGCGAGCGCTAGTTAAGTCCACTTGCGACTGATATGGCCTACCCTTTCATAGTGAGCACGTCACTTTTTGAAATGTAGATACATGTAATTTAGTGGACAACAATATGGAAATTATGGGCATTCTTATGGACGCTGGAATGTTTAGATAGTGGGGACGAAGACGTCATACTAGAGACCCAAACACCATGCGCATGCGCACGTTTGAGTGCACAAGGATCGATGGATGGCTTACAAGATAGTTGCCTGATATCCCGGCCCGTGGCCGCAGATGTCTAGCTCCTGGGTGACTAAAACCGGCGATTGGCAGCTCTCAGCCTATGAGGACAGGTGGAGGGCCAATGGGCTTAAGCATCCCCGTGCTCCGCACGGTCTAGTTCGGCTGAAAAAAATGCACGACACGGGTGTCATGCGCGTGGAATGCCTACATTGCGAAGCGGAGTAGATTGGGTTCCTACCTCCCCCTTTCCCCTCTCTTCTTGGAAGTACGCTGTGTCCAGCATGACGTCGTCCACCCAAGCTGAGGGCGACACAACTCCCTTTGTTACTATTGAGAAGATCCGTGATGATCTTCATTCCCTTGCAGGCATCAAGGCGCGCCGTCTGCTTGTGGCCAACCGTGGTGTATGTGGATATGTGGTGGTGCACTAACATTGCCAGGAAATTGCTATCCGAATCATGCGCTCTGCCTATGAGCTGGGTATGGAGACAGTAGCCATTTACAGTGAAGAGGACCGCCTCTCGGCGCACCGTCACAAGGTATGTATGGAGTACGTTATAAGATACGAGCAGGTATAGGCCGATATGGCATTTCAAGTCGGCAAGGGCATGGCCCCGGTGGCTGCGTACTTGGCCATTGACGATATTGTGCGTATTGCCAAGGAGAACGATGTGGACTTGATCCACCCTGGCTACGGTTTCTTGGCTGAGAACCCTGAATTTGCTCGTAAGGTAGAAGAGGCCGGGATGGCCTTTGTCGGTCCCAAGCCAGAGACTATCGATGCGCTGGGTGACAAGACCAAGGCGCGTGATCTTGCGCGTCGTGCTAATGTGCCAATTGTGCCTGGTACGCCTGGCCCTATTGCGAATTACCAGGAGGCTGAATCGTTCATTAAGGATGTGGGTTTCCCGGTGATCATCAAGGCGGCTATGGGTGGTGGTGGCCGTGGTATGCGTGTGGTACGCAGCCATGAGGAATTCCATGACGCATTCGACCGTGCGGTGTCGGAAGCTCGCTCGGCATTCGGTGACCCCACCGTGTTCATTGAGCGGTTCCTCGACAAGCCGCGTCACATTGAAGTACAGCTGCTGGCTGATGGCCAAGGCCACTGCATGCACCTGTTTGAGCGTGATTGCTCGGTGCAGCGCCGTCACCAAAAGGTCGTGGAGATTGCGCCGGCCAGTGGACTGGATGACAATGTGCGTCAAGCGATCTGGAAGGATGCTGTGAAGCTCGCAGAGACCGCTGGCTACCGCAATGCAGGTACAGCGGAGTTCCTGGTTGACCAGCAAAATCGCCACTACTTTATTGAAATTAACCCGCGTTTGCAGGTCGAGCATACGATTACAGAGGAAGTGACGGGTGTGGATATCGTCAGCGCGCAAATTCAAATTGCAAGCGGCCGCACACTGAGCGATCTAGGTCTGTCGCAGGACACGGTCAAAGTGCGTGGCTCGGCCATCCAGTGCCGTATTACGACGGAGGACCCGGAAGCCAGCTTCCAGCCGGATACTGGCCGTTTGGAAGTGTACTACCCGGCGGGCGGCAACGGTGTGCGTCTGGATGCTGGCTCAGGCTTCGTGGGTGCGCAGATCACGCCGCACTTTGACTCGTTGCTCGTCAAGGTGACGTGCCGTGCTGCGACGTACGAGCTTGCGCGTCGCAAGACGCTGCGTGCGCTGATCGAGTACCGTATTCGTGGCGTGAAGACCAACATTCCCTACTTGCTCAACCTGCTGACCCACCCTCACTTTATTGAGGCCAAGACGTGGACAACGATGGTTGACGATACGCCTGAGCTCTTCAACTTGTGGCACTCGAGCAACCGTGCCATGAAGGTGCTGCACTACCTCGGCAATCTGCTGGTCAATGGCAGCTCGATCAAGGGTCAGATGGGCGAGCCTGGTCTGCGCACGGAGGTCCCCGTGCCGGACGTGTTTGACGGCGAGAAGCGGATCGACACGAACCAGTCGTGCCTGCACGGCTGGCGTAACATCATTGTGAACGAAGGCCCGGAGGCGTTTGCCAAAGCCGTGCGTGGCTACAAGGGTACGCTGATTATGGACACGACATGGCGTGATGCGCACCAGAGTTTGTTTGCCACGCGTCTGCGTACCATTGAGATGGCTAACATTGCCAAGGCTACGTCGCATGTGTTGCAGAATGCGTACAGTCTGGAATGCTGGGGTGGTGCGACATTCGATGTCTCGATGCGTTTCCTGTACGAGGATCCGTGGGCGCGCCTGCGTGAGCTTCGTGCGTTGGTGCCCAACATTCCCTTCCAGGCGCTGATCCGTGGCGCAAATGCCGTGGGCTACACGTCGTACCCTGACAATGCGATTTACGAGTTTAGCAAGCGCGCTGTGGAGAATGGTCTGGACATTTTCCGTGTATTTGACTCCCTGAACAACTTGGAATCGCTCAAGCTTGGTATGGACGCTGCCAAGGTCGCTGGCGGTGTGGTCGAAGGTACCGTGTGCTACACGGGCGATGTGGCCAACCCCAAGCGTCACCCGAAGTACACGCTCGACTACTACATGCACCTCGTCGACGAGCTGGTGGCTACAGGCAACCTGCATGTCCTCGGTATCAAGGACATGGCCGGCCTGCTTAAGCCAGCCTCGGCGCGTTTGCTCATTGGCAGCATCCGTGCAAAGTACCCGGACCTGCCGATCCACGTACACTCCCACGACACGGCGGGCATTGCCGTGGCAAGCATGCTGGCGTGTGCCGAGGCCGGTGCGGATGTGGTGGACTGTGCGATCGACAGCATGTCAGGCACGACGTCGCAGCCATCGATGGGTGCGTTGGTCGATGCGCTGGAGCAGTTGGAGCTGGGCACCGGCATCTCGCACGAGAACATTCAGCGTCTCAACCTGTACTGGTCGCAGGTGCGTCAGCTGTACGAGTGCTTTGAGCAGAACGTCAAGTCGTCTGACTCGTCGGTGTTTGACCACGAGATGCCTGGTGGTCAATACACCAACTTGATGTTCCAGTCGCAGCAGCTGGGTCTGGGCTCGCAATGGGCCGAGATCAAGACGGCGTACATGCAGGCCAACATGCTGTGTGGGGACATTGTGAAGGTCACGCCGTCGTCCAAGGTGGTCGGTGACTTGGCGCAGTTTATGGTTGCCAACAAGCTCTCGCCTGAAGATGTGGAAGCGAAGGCCGCTGAGCTCGACTTCCCTGTGTCGGTGGTGGAGTTCTTCCAGGGCTACCTCGGCACGCCGCCGGGTGGTTTCCCGGAGCCCTTGCGCTCGCACATCATCCGCGGCAAGGAGCGTGTCGACCAGCGCCGCGGCGCTACGTTGCCGCCTATGGACTTTAAGAAGATCCGCGCCGATCTCACGAAGAAGTTTGGCCGTCCGATGACCGAGTGCGATGCCGTGAGCTGGGCGATGTACCCGAAGGTCTTTGAAGAGTTCCAGACATTTATCTCGACCTATGGCGACCTGAGCCACATGCCGACGCGCCACTTTTTGGGCAAGCCTCGAGTGGGTGAAGAGATGTTTATCCCCATTGAGAAGGGCAAAGTCCTCAGCGTGAAGCTTATGGGTATGAGCGAGCTGCATGAAGCGACAGGCACGCGTGAAGTGTTCTTTGAAGTGCACGCTTCGCCTCGCTGCATTACGGTCAAGGACCACAGCGCCAAGGTCGAAGAGGTACACCACGAAAAAGCCACCTCGGAGCCTGGCAGCATCGGTGCGCCTCTCGCTGGCGTTGTCGTTGAGATCAAGGCGGAAGAGGGTGCGCAGGTGAAGAAGGGCGAGGCGCTCTTCGTCATGAGTGCGATGAAGATGGAGACGATTGTTTCTGCGCCGCTAGATGGTAAGGTCAAGCGGCTGGCTGTGAAGCCCAACGATTCGCTTTCGCAGGGCGACCTGCTTTGCGAGATTGAAACGGCCTAGCCAAGCCATTTTTTTGTGATTATACATAGGTATATATGGATGGAATTGGACCGATCGTTCTATATGACATATTACAAAGCCAAGGCGCCGAGCATCACAGCGCCGGCGACGAGCGAAAAGAGCATTGTAGGGGAGAACAACGCACTGCGTACCGCATGCGATTTGGCAGCGGCGGCCAGACTCGCAGGCGAGAACGACGGCGTCCCTGTGACCCCTTGCGTCGCCTCGCTCTTCCGCATTTGCTCAAGCAGGCCAGGGATGGGCGTAATCATGGTCTGTTTCTGGATGTTTGTCGTAAAAGTCGTGTACATCGACGTGCCCTGCGTCGTTTCGTAGCCATATTGACACTTCCACCCCGCGTACGACGTACCGCGACTGCACTGCAAGTCAAAGGTACCTGTAACCAGCTGATCACCTGTATCCGCGGTAAGAGCGATGTGGCCCAAGTGGATCCCAGACGGGCCCTGGTAATAGTAGTTGGTCTGAGGACCGTCGCCCACGCCGGACGTGCCGGTGATGACGGCGTACACGGACGTCTCGGTATGGAAGCCCTTACCATAGTACAGCATCGACGTAGAGGGGAATTGCATTGTGCCATCGTTCGGTAGATCCAGAAGCAGCACAGACACAGGAGGGAGAGTCGTAGTGATGGGCACATCTCGCGCGGCCAAGGCGGTCGTAGGGGTCGGCAGTGTGGTCGTCGGCGACGCAGAGGGAGATCCCCTCGCTTGCGCAGGCGCAGGCGCCCATGCTAGGCTTAGCCAAAGAAGCCATGCTAGCAGCGGCGACAGCAGCATCGAGACAAAGCGGTGCAGCAGGCAGGCCTCACGTAAGGTCGTCAAGGAAAAGAGAGGCGGGGGCGCCTTGGGCGACCAAGTAGGGAGGTGGTGGCGTGGAAAATCTAAGCCAATCATATCTCTGCCTACGGTCTACGGTCAGGCACGCTGAGCCAAGTTCTACCTCCACCATTCAAGCTCGCTAGCTATACCAAGCCGGCCTCGGCCGCCGCCTCCTGCAGCGAGGCGTCAAAGATCGAGAGCGCGTCGGCGAGCTCAGACTCGGACACCGTGAGCGGAGGGATCCAGCGCACCACATCGAAAGAGCTGGTGCTCAGCAAAAGCATGTTGCGACGCAAGCAGGCCTGCGTCAGCTTGCCAGCCACTGGGTTGTTCTTCGGCGTGTTGAACTGCACACCGATCATCAGACCGTGGCCACGCACGTCCTCAATCAGCTTACCACCCGGTGTGTGACGGATGTTCTCAAGACCGCGGGCCAGCTGCGTGTGGCGCGCAGCCACATTGTCCAGCACACCTTCGTCACGCATCACACGAATCGTAGCCTGCGCGGCAGCGCACGCCACAGCATTGCCGGCGTACGTACCACCCATACTGCCCGGCGGCATAGCATCCATAATCTCCTTACGACCAGCAAGACCACTGAGCGGGTAGCCGTTCGCCAAGCCCTTGGCAAATACCATCAGATCAGGACGCACGCCACTGTGCTCGATAGCAAAGAACTTGCCTGTACGGCCAAAGCCAGCCTGGACCTCATCAATCACCAGAAGAATGCCATGCGCATCGCAAATGTCACGCAGGCCTTGCAAGTAGGCCGTCGGCGCAGGCACGTAGCCGCCCTCACCGAGCACCGACTCGAGAACAATCGCAGCGGTATCGCTTGGGGCCGTTTCCTGCTTCAACAGGAGCTCAACACGGTCCAAAGCCAGCTGCACCAACTTGTCCATAGGCGTGTGGTACGGCATGAACATCTGCGAGTAGTACGGGAACTCCATCGAGAACACACCGGGCATCAGGGGACCCACGCCCTGGCCGTACACCGTCTTGCTCCGTGTCATCGCCGCGGTGGCGGCCGTGCGGCCATGGTACGAGCCCTGCGCCACGACAATGTTAGGACGACCCGTGCTACGACGAGCGACCTTGACACTCGCCTCTACCGCCTCCGAGCCCGAGTTCCACAGGAAAAACGAGTCCAGCGACTTGTGTGGCATGATCGTTTGCAGTTCCTTGATCAGATCAAGCTGCGGCTGGCTGTAGCCTATGTTGACCTGCGCATGCGTCAGGCGTGCACACTGCTCCTGCGCCGCCTTGGTCACGGCCGGGTGGCAATGGCCCAGGTTCACGACACCAATACCACTATGGTCAGCAGAAAAGGCATACGTACGAAGTCATATCGAGGAGCCGCACACCCTGATCGGTCGTCAAGTACGAGCCACGGCCCTCGGTCAAAACATGCTGTGACAAGCGGCCAATGCCGCGCGTAATATGCTGGGCACCGAACTTCGCACCCGCGCTCATAACGTTCACTAGGCAAGAGGCTATCGGCGTAGGTCGGCTCTTATAAAAATCAAGCGGTACGAACTAAGACTACAGGCAACGCACGGGCTCTTGGCACCAATCAAGGGCACGGACCGAAATTAGCTATACAAAACGGACAAAAAAAAATCCCATGGACACGCCATCAAGGCACGTGGTCCAACGCCCACGCCGATCGAAAAGGCACACAGCTACCAAGCGGAGGTGTCTGTCCGCTTCATATCCAACGGCACAGCGTCAGGCCATGACGTCGGCATGGCTTGGTCCGGGGCGTACGAGGCAAAGGGTGCGGCAGGTACCATCGGCACATGCGCTTGCAAGTTCGTATAGGCCAACGGCATACCGCTGCCATGGCCACTGCCTGGCATCGCTGTGAGCGGCGCTGCGCCAGCAGGGCCGCGCTTGTGGGGCGAGGAAGACATCGGCATAGGGTAGTCTGTCGGGACGGCCGCGTTCTCATGCAGGCCCATATACATCATGCCATAGTCAGGTAGCCCATTGGCCGACGAACGCATGTACATAGGATGCAATGAAGGCATCTCCAGCATAGACGAGGAGGAGGCCCGCCGAACCGCGGTGGATGGACTGGTGCGTGTCGCAGAGATGGTGTGCATAGGATGAGGCATGTGCATGGCCCCGGATCCGGGCGTAGCTAAGAAAGAGCGAGAAGTTGAGGCGGACGTATCGAAGCTCTCCGACTCGGCCTTCTCCTGCGACGACGCGCCGAGAGGCGAGCTGGAGACCGGGCTGGTGGGAAGCTCGTTGGTCACACGCATAGGGGCGAAGCGCATAGGCTTGGATGTCTTGGGCCGCTTGAACGACTGACTTGCATCCGAGATCTCTCCATCGTCCATGATGGCATTGGGATCATGAGGGCCCAAGGGAATCCGTTTCTTGCGCGGCCGCTCGTCCAGCACTTGCGCCGGGGCCGACTGCGTCGGACGGAAAGGTCGATGCGACGTGGCCGAGGCCGGAAGAGGTGCAGGGGCTTTCGAGGGCGCGGGCGCGAGCGGCGTGGCCGTCGGCGCCTCGGCACGCTGGCCATTCGGCAAATACAGTCCGTTCTGGAAGCGGTGCTCATGCCCAGGCTCAATGGCCCACCAGCCACCCTTGCCTGGGATACTCGACTCACGCTCCAGCTTGACAAAGCTCTTGTTCAAGCTGAGATTGTGCCGAATACTGTTTTGCCAGCCGCGATCGCCCCTTTCATAAAAGGGGTACACTGACGAAATCCACGTATAGATCTCCGCGAGACTCAGACGACCGTCCGACGACGACAAAATCGCCTGCCCAATGAGACCTGCATACGATACAGACGAGGGCTTTGTTTTGCATGTGCCATGCCCAGGCGGCAGGCGGAAGTAGCGTGGCTCCGGCTCCTGTTCGAGCGTGCCCGATTCCAGGGCGGCTTGCAATTCCTCCGAGACAAGCTTGACAATGCGGCTGCCGTCCGGCTGATCCCATTCAGTCTGCTTGGAATCGCTGGGTGGCACGGCATCGCGAAATACGTCTTTGAACGAAGGCGTGGTCTCAGAGGTATGCGTAAACACATCGTTGCTGTGCGTCGGCGTCATAATCACAGCGGCCGAGGCGGAGCGCGCCATGGTGCTCTTACGCCGCGGCATTCGGACGCGCGGTAAGCCATGCCGCGTCCGGCGATCCGGCGACGTTGGGGTGCTCATCTCGTCCACCTCACTCTCCGGCGGAGAATCGGACGCCGTAGTCGAGGCGGCGGCAGTGGGTGTACTCACCTCTGGCGAAGGACCGAGCATCGCCACACTCGCGCGACTCGCCGGCGGCGCCGTGCCGAAGATATCCGCAGGCCGGATTGTATCGGTCCGCCGGAACGGCGTCCGTGCCTCGACAGGCGGCATGGACGTCCATAACGACGACAAGGGCGTGGGCGCTGGCGCCGATTTGGTCGGACTGGCCTGCGCCAGCGACTGGCCACGCGTGCTGCTCTTGTCGGTCAAGGGACTGGGCCAGTGGGCACGTCGCGTAGGCGATTCCAAGGGCCGCGCTAGGGGCGAGCGGCCCGGGAACGATTCAATGCATTGCAGGCGCGAAGGCGACGAGGTGCTTACATCGGCACTGGGCGGAGGCAAGTGAGAGAGCGGCGTTGACGATAATGCAAAGTGCGAGCCACGCACGGTGGCTGTGGACGACGCGAGGGGGTGGGCGCCGCTGCCGTCGGTAATGAACGGCGAGCTCGGCAAGTTTGAGAGGCCAGCATTCGACATAAGACGGCCTTGGTGCGTCCATGGCGTAAGCATGTTCGGCGAGAAGGCCAGTGGTGCTGTGCGCGATGGCGCGCAATCGTAGCCCAAGCTCGGCGAATACCGCATCGGCGTGATTTGCGTACCTGGGTCGTAGCGCGAGAGCGGCGTGATGGCGGTGAGGGGCGATACGGCCGCCTCCTCCCGCGACGGAGGACGACGAGGCGTCAGTGTATTGGCCGACCAACGCATCGAGGCGCTAGGTTGCCGACTGTGACTGGGCCGCATAGCATCGCGCGACGACTCAGGGGCATCCAGCGAGTCGGTAGAGACATCCGCCCAGCTCATCATACTTGCATCCCGCGACGTCTCTGCACCATCGAACTGGTCGTACGCATACAAATCCAGGTCAGTCGTGTAAGCCTCGTCACCACTGGCGCGCCGCGCACGCGCCTTGGCCTCACGCCGAGCTCGTCGTGGACTGGTTTTGCTCAGCATGATTCGATCAAGCAAGCTCATACTTTTCATGCAGGCATTCAAGTTGTCCGTCAAGGCAGGCCGCGCGCCAGGCCGCGGACCCCAGCCCAGGGACGTACTGTCGGACACGTCGCCCGCCTCGTCGATACTCGGCTGCGAATCGTCTGCCGTAGCGGCCCACGAATCTTCACTGCGTGGCTCTGTCCATTCGTCCGAATGTGTCGTGGGCCGCGGCGCGAGCCATAGCTTTCCATCCGCATCCACACGAGCCATGCGATTGAGTACGTGTGCATCAGGCGTACCGGGTGGCGACGTACGTGACGTAGCAGGGTCCTCTGACATGCTCGGCGTAGCAAGACGCCAGCGTGGAGGGGTACTGCTACGTGCCACACCGGACTTGGGCGACTCAGGCTCGCCATAGTCGCTCGCAATGGACGCCGCACGGATCGTGCGCGCCGGCGACGATGGCTCGGTCAGCGCTGGTGATGCGGCCTCCAACGGCGCTACACCACCGCATTCAAGCATCATTTGCTTCTCTAGAAGCCGCCGACGTCGCTGCCGACGCCGTCGCTTTTCTTCCGCACTGCCGACCTCGTCCAGGCTGAGCCGTGTTCGTGGCTCATCGCTCGCGCCTGACATGGGGTGCACCACAGCCGTGAAGAAAGAAATTTGGCCACTCGTCGTACGAAGCCATCGGGAGAGCTGTGGGGCTGGCTCTGCGTCACCAGGCGACGGCGAAGGAGCCCGTTCTGGGCGCCGTACATTCTCCTCGGAGCTATCAGGACAAGGTGAGCCGGACGGCAAGCGTTCCGCTTTCAAGAACGCAGCCACGCCAGCGCGTGTACGTTCGTAGTCAGTCCGACTGAGTTTCAGGCCTAGCGCCTGAGCTCGCGCGAGGAAATCGTCTGCCGCGTCGGAGGTCGACGAGGAAGGGACGTTGCTAGCACTCGTACTCACAGGGCGGGACGTTGTCTCGGCAGGCGCAGGCCGTACGGCCTCGGCGCCTGCCTCCGACAGGCGATCGTGCGCTGGCGACATGAGATCCAGCCAGCCTGAAGATACGCTCACGCGCACACAAGTCCAACACTTACGACAAGAGAACGAGCGAAAAGTAGGGACCGCGCCACGGCGAAGGCCACACATCTTACCACTGGCCGCACGGCACGCGTGTCGATGCAGCGCGTCCCCACGCGTTCCCAGACCCGACACGCTGGATTGGCTGCGGCCGGACCACCTCGACGCGTTTCTCCACGTGACATAACGCGGTTGATACGCAACACAGACACGCGTGGAGGCACTCGACAAACTGACCCAGCGCAATGCACAGGTCGCTGCGTCACACGGCGCAGCTGCGGTTTGCAAACGCCCGCCACAACGTAGGCAGTCGATACGGGAAATGGCGTGGTGGGCCAAGCGGCACTACGCTACATACTGGTATACATGTCGGGTATCCGTGCGCTGCCAGGTTAGTCATGATCAGGTGTAGATGGCCTACCTCCAAGTATTCTGTAGCGATGTAAGTAGCCTTGTCCAAACGTACCTCGATCCAACAACGACTCGATGCGCTTCTTGATTAGGGCCGGCGTGGGCTGGAAACGAGGAAGCAGCTGCTGCACCACCTCGTTGACCAGCTCATTGTGTGTCATTGTCTTGCGGCTCTTCATAATGCGCACAATACATGCCTCGACTTGATTCTTTCGCTCCTCTTCGACTTTGGCCGTAGTGGCTTTGCGTTCTTGCGGCGTCTCAACTTTGGCAGCCACCTGCGCAATCTTGATCCGCGCCAGCGGACACGTAAAGTCCGCGTTGAACGCAAACACGTCGGTCTCATTCACATCACGGCCTTTCGGCTCCTTCCGAAGCACCTTGTACTTCGCACATGCCAAACTCTGCAGTGTCCGCTGCAGATCCGCTGCAGGGATCTGCGTCGCGGCAGCCATGTCTTTGTACGACAGTGTCGCATCATCTGGCACCGACTCAAAGAGAAGCAAGACCATCAATGCGTACGTCGAGACAATCAAGTCATGCGAACGAGCCTTGAAACGTACCCGCACTTCTGCTGTGCCTAACGAAGGCTGCCATGTGAGCACACGGCCGCGATGCCGCGACGCATAAAACTGCTCGAACACGTCGCAAGCCTGCTGCATCACAGGAGGGTACACGCAGGACTGAGTAGGCGATGAAATGGGCCAGTAGGTGGCAGTGAGTACATTCACATTCATCTGCAGCGGCAACGGCGAGGCTTGCAGCACACTGGACGACTGGAAGGCTGAGAGCACGTCTTCGCTGAGCTTCATATCGTTCAGCATGCCTTGCAGTTTCTGCACGTAGCCATGACCACATTCCACTTTAAGCTTGGCGATCATGCTACGCTCAGCATCGTCCGAGACACTGCGGTTGTGCAGCAGACGACGCGTAAGGTGCATCTTGTAATACCGCTCGAAGACATCTTTCTCGTGCACAAAACGGAAAACGGTCATGGTCTTATCAAGCACATGTTCCCAGTCGGTATCCACCGCGGACCGTGTCCCTTTCTTCAAGTGCTCGTCAATAAACAGCGACAGGAATTCCGGCACACGCTGGTTCATATTGATGAAGGATTCCATGGCTTCATTGATGGCCGCCTCGCAACTCTTATCGCCTTGGAAGCTTGAGTAGAGCACGCCGTCCATGCGGCGCTTCAAGTCCAAAACGTGCTCGACCCATTGCATGGCAATCTCCAGAGTAGGCGTGGACGGAGCCTCTGCATCGCGTGACGTCAATGCTCGCTCGTTGATCGCTTTGCCACGCTCGGCCACGTACGCCTTGAGGGCATGATTCAGCGCTGGAAGTCCAGGTGTGACGCGGCGGAATAGGCGATACATACGCTCCAACGCAGAGCGCGCATCCGCTTCAAGCAAGGCGACTAGCCCACCATCGGACATGGAGACGATAGCCTCCAGATGCTCAGTAAGGAAGCACCGTTCGACCAGGGCCTGCAGCGGTGCGGCCGTGGACGGCGCAAGGTACGCGGCGACACGCGCGGCTTCGTCGTGCAGTCGCCGTTCGGTTTCTTCCAAGTAGTAGGTGGCCATGCGTGTATCCAGCAACCGATGAGCCTCTGCCGTGAAGTACTCTGACGATGTGGCCAGGAACAAGGGTTCCCAAGCATATGCATACATGCTGGTGGCCGTCGAGTGCGGCAGCGCAAGGAGCATATCTGTAATATCCTTAATAGTGCGACGTTCAATGGCTGTGCCTTCGCGCTCACAGTAGATCTGACGTAGGAGCGTGACCATAAGCTGAACATAGTAGGGGACGTGCGAGGATTGCAGCAACGTATCACGAAACACATCGAGGCCCATCTCCCAAATCGGCGCACGCTGGTGATTCGGGACGTAGACACGGTCGACGTACTTAAGGACATCGCGAATCTTGCTCATGCACGAGCAATGATCGGTCCATACGTCTGTCATCGCGCCAAGGAAACGCTCGTTGGCCGCCATCGTAGGTACGATAGCATCCGCAAGTGCAGGTAGCAAACCGAGCGAATGAGACAGATGAGAGGACGATGGTGCATCCATACCTTCGGCTGCCATCGCGACCAGATCGCTCTCGACGGGGAACAGAGGGACCAGTGTCGTGCCGCCTTGGTGTGCCAAGTGCGACGTGACTTGTTTTCGCACACCTGCATACAGCTTATCGCCTTGCTGGTTCTGGCATGTAAGCACAACAGACGTACGTACCAAGATGAGATTGTACGCGTACCGGTAGTGTTCCTCGTAACTTAGCTTTGAGATATTGTGCTGCTGGATCTGCGTTAACGCGGCGGACAAACGCGCCCACATTTCATCCACGGACATGGATAAGCCATGCTGCATGTCAGCCAGGTGTGTACGTACGCTGCGCGGCGCCCGAAGTTTGTGGTGGCGCATCCCCACCCGACGAGGCGGGCCTGTGGACGACATGGGAGCAAGCTCACACGGTCCTCCGCGCCCAGTGACACTGAACGACGGCGTGGCGTGGGCCAGACAGGCCTGACCAACGCCGCCGCGCGTGCAGGTGTGTGTCACGTGATATGTGTTGTTCTGGGGCCGGCTGGAGGCTCGCGCTCGCGCCGCCAGAGAGGCCCTAGCACCGTGCGTGCCTCGGTGTACGACAGCGACAGCGCGAGAGACCCAGCCAGGAAAGGCCTCGCCGGCACAGGCCTCGGGGATGGGAACAGACATTCTCGAAGCATGGGACGTACGGCATGCGCGTGTATGTGCAGTGCTACACACGGCCGAGGTCATGGCAGCCGTCGCGCCGCTCGCGACGTACTCGGCGCGGCATGAGGCCATGGTACGTATCTTGCTGACGCAACTACGACCCGACGTACGTGAAGAGTGTCTTCTTGGACACGAGCTGGACTGTGCCTTGGCGCTGTTATGGTGCACGCCGCACGTCCTACAAAACCCGCTGATTGATCGAGCGCGTGCGTTTGCGCGTGCGCGTCTCGAGGATGTGCAGCAAGACATGCTGCACCCCAACGACTTTACGTCGCAGACAACGCTCCAGCATGGCGCTACAGGCACGGTCGAGGTCGTGCGGTGCCGTATGGATCGGCGTCTGTACGTCCTCAAAACGATCCTCAAAGGCGTAGCGCGACGTGAAGCCTATCGCTTCTCGCCTGTGTTTGAGAGCCAGATCTTGGCGCATGGCCACCGTACAGACGAAGATGCCTCGTTCACATACACCCCGCAACTGCATGCGGCGTTCCAAAGTGCGCGATCCGTGCACCTGCTCATGGAATACTTCCCGGCCGGCGACTTGGATGCGCTGCTCCAAGCGGCCGCCCAAGCGGGGCCTGGCTACCCCGGCAAAAGCGACAAGGGGCTCCTGCAAGAGGCCTGGGTCGTCCGCTACGCCATCGATATGGTCGCAGCGATCGGCTGGCTTCATGACCTGCACTTTGTGCATCGGTATGTATACGGGACTCAACTTACATGGAAGCGATATCAAGCCCTCGAATTTCTTGCTGCATCGCAGCGGCCGTTTGAAACTGTGTGATTTTGCTACGTGTGCGCCCTTTGCGGCGTTTGACGAGGGCGCGACGACCGTACGACGCGTCTTGGCGTTCTATACACAGCGCCCCGCTGGCACGTGCGACTACATTGCCCCGGAGGTTCTCAAGTGTGAGGAAATGCGGCTGCAGCAGGTATGGCCCTCGCCCTCGGGCACGTCGCCCAGCTCGGTGTCCCTGCCGGAGTACGCCCCCGATCGACGAGTCGCGGGTGGGTACGGCCCCGCCGTGGATTGGTGGAGTTTGGGCGTGGTGTTGTACGAAATGACGCTCGGTCGTCTGCCGTTTTGGGCGCCGCGTCCTGCCGATGTCTACGCCCACATTGCGAATCACGAGCAGCACTTTGCGATGAGCGCTGATGCATGCTCCGACGCGCTTCGTGATTTGATCGGCTCGTTGGTGTGTCCCGAGTCGCGGCGTATCGGCCGCGACGCGACGGCCGACGTCCAAGCGCATTGTGTGTTTTCGCATGTGGCCTGGGATCGCATTGAGTCGCTTCCCCCGCCGTTCGTCCCGGAGATCGCGCCGGGGACGGGCGGCGGGACGGATGCGTTGGTAAGTGTGCTGCATAGTCCTGCGCCGGCCGGGTGGGACTCGGTCACGATGGAGACGCCGCCAAGCTTTTCCGCGATATTCCCAGGGCCTGTCGACCAGTTCCCGGGGATGGAAGCATGGGACGACGACGAGGACGACGACGAGGCCGCTGCCGCCGCCATGCCCACATGGGCATCACACTCGCCCACCGACTCCGTCCCGACCTCGGCAGAGGCCTCGCCAGCCCCCGCTGCGATGCTCACGCCGCCTTCGCCGCTCAGTTACACGGCTTGTGCCGATATCGATACGCATTTCTGTGCGTTTAGTTTCTTCCCGGCCGCGCACGCCTTCCAGCCGGATACGGCGGTGGCCGAGCCCGTCCCCCCGCCGCCGAGGCCCCCCAGCGCGTCGGCCGCGGCGACGAGGCCTCCGCCGACTGCCTCCACACCGTTCAGCAAGCCGTCCACGGGAGGAGGAGCAGCAGCAGCAGCAGCAGCAGCGCCGCCCATTACGCCGGCGATGCTCCTGTCGCCTGATATGCTCCTCTGGCGTCGGCCGCCAGACGACGTGCCATCGTCGCACATGGCCTCGACGCCGTTCCGACCGACGTCCAGTACGTTGGCGCCTGTCGTGACGGCCACAGCGCCGCCGCGCTCGCCCTACCCGTTCCCCGCGCCGCCGCGGCCTACGCATACGCCCCACTCCCCCGCCGTAGCGAGGCTGCGCGATACCATGGGCTCCGATACGCGGCATTCAGGTGGGAGTACGTGGAAACGCAATGTATCGGAGCGCCAGGCGTGGAAAGAAATGATGGACGCTGTGGAGCACACAGCGCGCCAAGCCGAAGGGCCAGCGCCGCCGCAGCGTGCCGCTACGTCGCGGCTGTCCAGCACGCCCGTACTCCCGACGTCGGCCTACCAACCGGCAGCGCCGACGTCGCTGCGACGCGTGCCGGAAAGCAGCGATACATCGACGGCGTCCAGTATGTCGTCGCCCGACAGTGCGCGGCACCTTGTCGCCGAGGATCCTACGGCGGAGGAGAGCCCGGCGCGGTCGCCGTACCTGCGGCGCGTCGTTTCGTCCATGGACATGGCGCGGGCGTACGGCTCGGCGGCCGTCGTAGGCGCCGACGAGCATGCGCCAGGCGGCGGCGAGTTGCGGCATCGGCGCAGCACGCGCCAGCTCTTGCTGGACGCGCAAGTGACATCCACCCCGACACGCGCAGCACGGAGTCTGTCGCTCGTACCGCCGCCGAGCCACGATGCGTCGCCGCCGCGTGGGCACACGCTGCGTACGCTGCGTGGCAGTGCGTCTGTGCGTGATTTCCGGCAAGAGTACCTGCGGCGCGAGACGGAGCAGTACGTCCTACCGACGCTTGGCGAGGCGCAGCCCCTGGCGTCGCCCACGTCGTCGTCGTCGTCGACCCGCCTCCCGTCGATGGACAGCCACAAGACATTGTCCGAGTACCGCCGCACGCATTCGCAGGCGCTAAGTGAGTCGGACGACACGTTCGGCAAGCGCACGTCGCTCTCGCACAAACCGATGCCGTCCGCGCGGCGCATGCAGTCGTCGCTGGGCCTCTCGGGCCTCTACCGCCACGGCCGGCCGTCCGCGGTGATGGCCAGCGTGCCGGAAGGCACCGCGTCGAAGCCCATGTCGTGGACCTCGGCGCAGTCGTCGGCAGGCCGCGATGCCCTGGCACGTATGCGGCGCGAGCAGCAGCACATTGAGCAGAGCGTCACGGATTTGGAGCAGGAACTGGACGCGCTGCGCACCCGCGTCGACCGCTTGCCCCTGTAAGCAGGCCGGTCCCGAGGATACAAGACACTCCGTCCGCTCATGGGCCGTTCGTACTACGTACACGTACATACAGCCCCTATGTATGCATAGATCACCAAGGCAGAGAAGAGAGAGATGTACGGGAGAGAGAAGGTGGTGTGCGTGGGTATACGACGTCCAGCGTGGACAAACTAACACCGCACCATCCAAGGCATCCCTTGCCTGGAACAGGCAGGCTCAAGTCAAGGCTGGTATAGAAGCACCGTCTAGTGAAGACGGTCCGGGCCCCGAGCGCGCCACGCCGAGGGCGAGACGCGCGGCGGCATCTCGGTCGAGGGGGAGTGCAGACGCGGCGGAAGCGCAAACGACGACGGCACAGGCGGCGGCGGCGCAGACATGCCCATCACATACGGACTGGACGATCCGGCACTTCGGTCGTAGCGTGCGTGCCGGTACTCGGTCAGCGCACGCTCCGTCCGCTCCAGCAGATCGTCCAGGCGATTGCGCTCCAAGTACAGCTCATCGCGCAGACGCTCCAGCTCGTGCATCCGCGCCGCCGTGCAGGGCGCTGCAGTCGACGACGTGTACGGCACACGCGCATACGGCATCATCGGCATCGGGCGCGGCATCATACGCGCCTCCGCACTGGCCATGTCATGCGCACTGCGCATCGGCGGCACCTCGTTCGCCTCGTCGGCCGCCTCCACTTGCGGCGAGGCACTCGCGGGACGACTGCCCCATCGCGAGGCACTGCCGACCTCCATAAGCACCATCGCCGCTTCCCGGTCGCGCTCGGCGCGCCCTGCATGCGTGTCGTCGTCCCGCGCTTTGAAGCGCGTCGTGGAGCGCGCCGCCGCCGACGACGCCTTGGCGCCGGTGCCGGCCGCCGCAGGCGCAGCCGACGACGGGCCCTTGGATGACGTCGACGTCTGCGTCCCAGACGAAGCCTGGTTCGACGTGCCCATCAGACGCTTACGTCGCTTGATGACGGTCTTGCGCATGCCGATCGGTCGATGGGTACCATGCAGCTTCTGGTACAGACCACAGGCATTGCAGATATTGTTGCCGTCTTCATCACGACGCCACAGCGGCGTCGTCGTCGTCTGGCAGTTCGTACAGCGAAGCGCTTCAATGGTGTGCCCAGCTTTCTCATCGCCCGCCTTCGCCGGCTCCTTCTTGCCTTGCGCGGCAGGCTCCGTGCTGGCTACCTCCTCCGTCTTCGTAGGCACAGACGGCGGTGGCAGTGGCACAGACGCCGTGGGCGACGCATGCGAGGAGGACGTGGACGAGGTGGCTGCTTCCGTCGGCTTGGGGCTGGGCTCACCGATCACATTGTTGTACGTAGGACAGCCACTGCACTCATGCGAGCCGCCCATGCCATTGCACAAGCCATGGCCTGGGCAGGAGCCCACAACAGGTGACGCATCCACCGCCGCCGAAGACTTGGACTCACGCGGCGCAGCACACGCAGGCGCGGCGTCCTCGTCGTGCGCCGTCTCGGCACCAGAGAGCTCAGCTTCACTCGAGTCAGAAGCCCGGCGTTTCTTATCCGTATGGGGCCACAAAGTCTCCCTGGGCTCGCGCGACGCAGGGCGCTGAATAGGCAATGCACTCCCCTTGACCATATCAGGCGGAGGCGGCATCCCACTCGCATAATCGAAATCGTAGCGTGGAATACCTTCGCGGGAAGAGGAAAGGACGTGAAGTTCCATATTAGATATAGCCATCGTGAAGAAGAAAAAGTGGTATCCGAGTTCCAGCTAGAAACAAGTGTGCTAAGACAGAGAACAATGAACACCACAGACGGACGATCACCTCGAACCCTTCTTCCTGCCAATGATCCAAGTTACAACACGAACACAGAGAAAGGAGACTGTGTGGCACGTGTGGATCAAAGAGCTAGTGTACAGAGTTACACAAAGATAACAATGCTACCACGGAGCGATAGCGACGGAAAAAGAGACTGTTGCCCTGTATGATAACAAAGCCTGCCTGATATCAATCCTCCCGGTTTCTTGTGCAAAAAAAGGTCTTTACTTGTTCGCCACACGTGGCCAATGCTATAATCCCACCTGGAAGACTCAGATACGATAGGCCACGTAAAACTGATTGGCTGCCGCCATGCTGGTGAGAACAAAGTGGAGGCAGATGCAAGCCACTTTCACCCTGGCACGGCAAGGAACCCCTGCACGCAGCCCCACGAAAAAAATTCAAAGAAAAACAAGTCACACTGCCTTAGATAAGATGAAGAAAAGCAGTCTGGCGGTATCGGCGGAGGACGACCCGCCGGCCGAAAGAAATTCAAGTCTGCTGGGCCTGCAGCCCCACGGAGCGAAAATTTAGCTATCGCATTCCAAATGTACCTGAGACATGACGCAATATGTTCCGTGGATCGTAGCCGTCGATAAAAGGCTGGCAAAATTGAAGAGTCACCATACAAGCCTTCCCTAGTCTCATCATAGGCGAAATCATAGGAACAGACATGCTCCCAAGCTCAGGAGAGATCACTTGCAAAGGCATGGATCCCCCCTGAATATGCTAGCACAAGAAAAGCTATGGAATGCGCACAGTGCATAAAAAAGAGAGTAGGCATAGGCCCTTAGAGAATTCATTGCTAATGCTCGTCACTAATAAAAAGTTCAAAAGAGGAAAGGAGTGGGAGGCAATCAGAGCCGCCGTGAACAAACGATCCCTTCTTCCAAATCAAACTGGCAAAAATAGCAAAGCCTACCAATTGGGTTCGGAAAGGTTGTAGAGCAACGAAGCACTAGTGCAAACACATTCAGTCCATAAAACAGGCATCTTGAAAGGAATCGCGAGAATACCGGCTGGAATAGTTTACGCACGAGCACGGTTCTCACGCTCAGCCTGCCTGATACGGTCCTCAAGGGTCTTCGACTTGTGCACCTGCGAGGCAGTGAGGCGGTCAGGGTCAGCCACGCGGCGGTTGTCCGAGTAGCGCATGCTGTCCGCCACCGAGCCCTGGAAAGAGGACGTGGTGCGGTGCAGCTCGTTACCACGGTTGGTCTCCGTACGGTTCAGAGACTTGTCCTTGTTACCACCACCAAGAGAAGAGAAGCACGATCCCTAGAAAGTGTTAGTATGCTATTCAAATCATCTTCCAGGGCAGGGCCTACGCCACCCTGTGCCTCACGTACCATTGTAACTAGTTGTTGTGTCAGAGAGAAAAAACACATCCACACGAAGTGGTACACAAATCGGATTGATCCGTGGGCGTCACGTGGTTGGCGAATCCCAGCGAATAACCTTGAATCTTCCATGCTAAGCCGTTACCATCTTTTAAAAAGGGCTGTGCGTACCAAATTCTTGGCACGCCCACCATGTCAAATCGCACGGCTGATGAACTACTGAAATGGGGTCTGCGCAATGCCCCCGTAAGCGAAGATGGATCTTCCTCGGTAGCGCAAGTAGCGGCCGATGTGGCTGCAGGTCGACGCCCTGATCTCGCTGACCCTGGCCTGTACGATGCCATTATGGGAAAGAGCGAAGCACAGATGATGCAAGAAGAATTAAGTGTGGCCGTGGACACGACACGCACCGTGGAGGATCGATGCACGGCCCTGGACAACTTTGAAATGCTGATTGAACAAGTGGACAATGCCAATAATATGGAGTCTATGCGCATGTGGCCTGCCGTCATTGCCTTGCTCAGGGCAGCCGAGCCTGAGATCCAGATGGCTGCAGCTTGGATCGTAGGCACCGCGGTACAAAACAACGACAAGGCACAAGCCATCGCGCTAGGTCATGGTGTACTTCACACTCTGCTCCCTCTACTGACGGCGCCGCGTACGGATGTCCGGAACAAGGGCGTCTATGCGCTGAGTGCCATGCTGAAACACTACGCTGCAGCGGTCCAGCAATTCGGCGAGATGGACGGATGGTCAAAGATCCGAGTGGCCTTGGACACAGAACATCTCGGTGTGCGCCGGAAACTCGTGTTCTTGCTCAACCAGCTTATCCTGCAGACGCATGATGAACCTGCTAAGGCTGTACCGCCGCCGCCGCCGAACAATGTGCACCTGCCTGCACCACATGAAGAGGTGCCCGCGACGATGCGGGATGGTGTGACGCATCCTCCTGTGGCGCAAATCCTTGTGGATACAGGCTTGGTTTCTACCATTCTTGACTCCTTGGCACCTGTGCAAACAGATCCTCTGCCATCGATTGCACTGTGCCAAGGCCAGCCTGTTAGGGACGATGACGACTACCTGGAAAAGGCTGTGCAAGTCATTTTGACGTTGCTGTCCCAGTCACCACCGCCCTCGCCGCTGCCTGTGGAACAGCTTCAACAATTGGCGCACTTGGTGTCGGGGACACGAGCTACGGAATTGGGTTTGGATACCCAGCCCTTGCGCGCCTATCTGGGCTAACTATGCAGAATGGACGACTCGTCCATGGATACGCTCTGCTCCTCGGGCATAGAGAGGAAGCCCTCTGGCAACCCTTGTGCAGCACGCGCGTCGAGAGCAAGAGCGAGTAAATCGGTGCCAATAGGGTCACGTGGATCGATGCCCAGTCCTTCATGGTACCATCCCACGGCATCGGCCAAATCGCCTTGGCGGTGGGCACACATCCCGAGCGCAATGTACGCTGGGGCACACGCTGCGTCGTACTCTATCACACGCAAGAAACAGGGCCGAGCCTCGTCATCACGGCCAAGTTTTCGATAGGCCAGACCGAGGTTCAAGTGCACGGTGCACCACGCCGAGGCGGGCTGCTGCGTTTCTGCGGCTGCTTCCAAGGCGGCACGGAACAGATCGATGGCCTCGTCGATGCGCCCTCCTTGGAATAGAGCCACTCCGCGTTCATTGGCACACAGTGGGTCATTTCCGAGTTCCTCCGCGGCACTCTGCAAAAAGAGCTGCGCCAAGCTGTGATTGCCCTGAGACAGGTGTTCCATGCCAATGAACAGGCGCGGCAGCCCGGAATTGGGGAACTTGCGTGCGGCTGTGGAGTACGCTGTGATGGCCTGGTCGGATTCGCCTTCGAAGGCAAAGCTATGCCCAAACGCGATCCAAGATGGCGCAAAGCGTGGGTCCAAAAGGGAAGCCTTGCTAAAGTGGCGGCGTGCCTCACTCCATCGCTGTGCAGATGCATACCATGTGCCCACAGCATACCATGCCTCGCAGCTGTCTGGCTGCGACTCGGTAAGCGCATGGGCTAGTAAAAACAGCGCTGGACGAAGGCGTGGTAAATAGTACATGCATGCAATGTGGATAGGCAATGCCAGTGTATACCCTGCATCCAGTGCAAGTATGTGTTGTGTAATAGCATAGGCATCTTCGTACCGCATAGCGAGCCATAACGACTCAGCCAGGCTCAGCAGCACCGTAGGATTCGCCCGCATGCCCTGGTGATGCTGGACGAGGGTTTGGCGCGCTGCAGCGACACGCGCTGCATGCGCAACGGTGCGCTGTGATAGTCGCGTGGTATACATCCACCGCACCCACTCAAAGTCGGCTTGAGCCTCAGCCTCCGAGCCGGCCTGAGCGGCGAATTCAAGTGTTTGGATCAGGTCCCATTGTTCATCTTCGCCTAGTAACTGTCCGTCGATCAACGCCGAGAAACTGTCATAGTTTTTCACGTCCAGGGCAAGCGCCAAGAGAAATGCCTCTTTGGCCTTGGCAGGCTCATCCAGTCGCATGTAGATTTGGCCACGTAGGTGACACACACTGGACCCTAACTTAATTCCGCCATCAAGCGAAGGTGCTCTAGCAGAGGCACGGCCAGTCCACCGGGTATGGTCTTCACCAGTTAGATCGAGGGCCTCTTGCAGTTTGTTCAGTCGAACTTGGCACTGCGCAGCGAGGTATCGGCATGGCGAGCTCCAGTTGACTAAGCAGGGCCCTTGCGCATCTTCGTCTTGCTGCACAAGAAGCTGGGTGAATTCGGTATCGATACTTTCCACAGTAACATCAGGTGCATGGAACGGATCTGAGGGAGAGGGAGATCGCTTTCGGCGACGAGATACGCGACGAGCTGTGGACGTATTCGGTGTGAGATGGCGGTGCGACGCGCCAAGGGCCTCCGTCTCCTCAGACGGATGCGTCCATGTGACACTAGCATAGGTATCGGCATGTGCATACCGCGACCGAATGGAGGGCGGTAAGATACTAGAGGCCCTCGTAGCAGCTAAGGCAGCGTGAAGAGCGTCGCCATGCGTCCCGGTAGACGTCGCGCCTGACGCTGGTTCTGGCGGCGTCACACCGCTTCGTAACGGCGTGGTGAGCAGCTGTTCAGCGCGCTCGTATTGGTGCGTAAGAAAATAGGCTTGTGCGAGCCAGTAAGCGTCGTTGTAGGCGGTTTCTGTCGCTGCATTCCATTAGTTGGTGAAAAGGTACGTACGCTCAAGTGCGACCACTTGTTGACCCCAGAATATAGCCGTTTCATAGAGGTGCTGTTTCAGGGCATCGTGCATCCATCGACGTAGACGAGCTGGCAACGTGGATCTCGTATTTGCGGGCGCAGCCGAGGCGGACGCGGGGCCGGAAGGGGACTTGGTCTCCTCTTCCCCTTTACTGCTCTGTGATGAAGTCGAGGGTTGCTCCCATCCACTAGGGGGGGTCTCGTGTACAATTACGCTGGCATTGGACTCTTCCGAGGATCCGTCCCCGCCCATCGATGTGCGAGCCTGCGCACGAGTCCATGGCGCGCCATTGCGAGACACTTTCCGAGCACGTCCTTTACCTAGTAGAGGCGGAGGCATACGTGCCGTATCGCCACCCAGCACAGGTGTACTCATGACGCCAGTCGTGACCGGCGTGGGGGTACCAGGCATAGTGGTCGATCGCACAGTCGGTAGATTGGGCGTTAGGTCTAGCAGGCCACTATTGTTCGCTTCGTCGTCGTCACGCACGACGCTCAGGCTTCCATCTGCATTTATATTAAATGGAGGTGATCCCTGTTGTACCAGGGGACTCGTATCATCGCGCGGTGGTGTGACGCGTACCGATCGCGCACTGCGACGGACAGGCATGCTGCTGCACCACACCAGCAACCCAAGCGATGGCTGGAAGGAAATAGGCCGATTTTGCGACTCCTCCACTCCAACAACCCGACGCCTTGCCACGACTCAGAAAGCGCGTAGCGACGCGCTCCTGCCTCCACTTTCGAACCACGACGCGCGGGGGACAATGCCACCTGGTCGAACGGCACGCACCCCAAAGGCGGCCACCTGGGCGTATCTGCACGAGGCTCGCACACCAGGCGCCATACCCCAACCAGCATACCCCCCACAGCGAGCACACTGCGCCTCATACCATCGCCCTTATTTACTCGACCGGCCTGATATTGCTGACAAACTTCTGGCGTGGTTCGATGGAACGCAGCATGACCGTGATATGCCCTGGCGAAAGCCATGGATCGATCTAGCCGAGCCGGAAGCTAAAAAAGGAGGAGGAGGAGAGGGTCGACAGGATCTGCAGCGCCGAGCGTACGAGGTATGGATCTCTGAAATCATGCTGCAGCAAACGCGCGTAGAGACTGTGCGCAAGTACTGGTTGGCATGGATGGACAAATGGCCTACGATTGAGGCACTTGCGCATGCCTCGGTTGACGACGTGCTGAGTGCATGGCGCGGTCTGGGTTACTATGGCCGTGCTCGTCGGATCCACGAAGCGGCTCAAAAGGTCATGAATGATTCCGAACTACAAGGACAGTTGCCCGAATACGCCTCTGAGCTGTCTAAGCATATCCCTGGAGTTGGGCCCTACACTGCTGGCGCTATTTCCTCTATCGTGTTTGGCCACGCTACTCCTATCCTAGATGGCAACATAGCTCGCGTGTTATGCCGACAAGCTGGACTGTACGCAGATCCTCGTGCAAAAAGTACAACTGATTTACAATGGGAGCTCGCACGCATGCTGGTGGAAGCAGTGTCGCCAGACCGGCCAAGTGGCGTACCAGGACGCTGGAACCAAGGCTTGATGGAACTGGGAAGCACGCATTGTACCCCCACGAACCCAGGCTGCGAAACATGCCCTATCCAGGCTACCTGCGCAGCCTACATTGAAGGTCAAGTGTACGAAAAAAAAGGCACCTCTAGCGCACGAGCAGAAAGAGACATCGAGGATCTATGTACAATATGCCAACCGCTACCTGACCCTGCAGATGCTGGTGACGACGCCGACGACCCACCACCCTCCTCCCCCCCTCGTAAGAAAAAGCTGCAGCAAATGACCCTAATGGGGACTACTATGAAGACAGCGGAACCCAAAAAGGCCAGGGCAAAAATGGCATCGGCCATCAAATATGCACAACTGTTCCCAATGCGCATACCCAAGCAAGCGCCACGAACAGAGCATCGGCTGGTATGCATCGTTCGAACGACAGGCAAAACACCTCGGTACCTTCTCGTGAAACGGCCCGATCAAGGATTGCTAGCAAGTCTATGGGAATTTCCAACAACGACGCTCAATCATGATGAAGATAAAGACGTATCCGCCTTGGCTAACGCCTACATACAGACCCTGGCAATTCCGCCGCCAACAGCGGGCGATTCACCCTACATGACACTGCAAGTGAACAGAATCCAGTCCCTTGGCACAGTGCGCCATGAATTCAGTCATTTGCATTGGCTCATGTACGCTGTGCTTGTGGATGTGACATGTCATGCAGCATCGGGAGCATCTGACATCGACATCAGTCGATTGCAGTGGCAGACAACTGGCGGGGTAGAGGCTGCTTCGATGGGCACAGGTCTGCGGCGGTGTTGGTCTCTGGTTCCTACTGATGAGCCATGTCAATAGTGCATTATTGAACGACCTGTGCTCTATGCTATGCAACGTTGGCTGCAGTCCAGCTAAGCCATTGGCATGTGGAGGTCAAAGCAGCATAAGAATGCATAGAACGCGGGAGATTGCCCATTAATATCATAACAGCGGGTATATACACATGTCATGACCGTATTTCTCCACAATGATTCGCTCAGCTAATTGGCGTACGCGCTCCGAAGCATTACGAATGAACTCAAAGCAACATTGCTTGCACGGCTATACTGCATGCCGTGTTGGTAAAAAGCAATCGGGTCTGTAAAGACGTGCGAAAAGCCTATTTTGGATAAAAAGGCGGGGGGCAAACACTTCTGCTTTCTCAACCTCCCTTCGACTTCGTCACAGGTCCCCCCTCCTCTACCCTAACTCACATTCACGACTGGTCGTGTTAAGACACATTTCTACCATCAACCCAAATATTAACTATGAAGTTCTCGACTCTTTTCACTGTTGCTGCTGTCCTTGTGGCCGGCGTTGTCTCGGCCGCTCCTGAGCGTGCTCACGAGCTGAAGGCTCGCGTGCAGGCTGAGAACGGTCTGGAGAAGCGCCGTGGTAACGGCAAGATGACCTGGTACGGTGGCGGTATGCTTAGCGCCCCGGCTTGCGGTGGCTCCGCTCCCTCGGACAGTGACCACGTTGTGGCTGTCCCTGCGGATGGGAACACTGGCCGCTGCAATCAGCGTGTTCGCTTCCACTACCAGGGAAAGACGGCCGAGGCCGTGGTTCGTGACTACTGTGATGGCTGCGAGTACGGTCACTTTGACGCTACCCGTGGTCTCTTCCAGAACTTTGCTGACCTCGACGCCGGTGTCCTCACTGGTGTAGACTACGAGTTCATCTGAGTGCATTAGTCGCTTATCTGCGAACGCACTTTTTCTATTTGGGTGTTTTGAGTTATGGTTATTTTGAGACGGTCTCAATGATTGCATGCGGCTATCTCACGTCTCATTTGTGAATGTTGTGCAATGAGTGAAAGTTGACAAACGTTGATGGGCCAAGGCCTTTACGGGCCTGGCTCGCCTGTCGACAATTAGACAATGATACCTGTGAATATTTAACCGGGAGGGTTACCGGTTGATTTTATTCTTTCTGACCTTTTTCTTCCTATTCGCCTGATGACATTTCATCCCTCTTTCGCATATATTAGTTAAGTATTCATTTCTGCTGCTTCATGGATGCTGGTCATCCATGGTGCCTCTTTGTTTGAAATGTTATTTATTCTTGTCTGTTTCCCATATTTCTGGTTTTGTGTGTGCATTGGTGTTGGGTATCTAGAAATTCGCTACAAGAATGGAGATCGCATAGTCGTTCGTGCTGAGCCACTCCCGACTGAACTCCAGTACTGTCCACCAAACTGCTGCAGCGCACTAAGCGCATCACTTCCTCGTTCTGCAATGCTACTCAGTGACACGTTGTTCCACTGCGGAGCCAAATATGACGAGGCATTCTGCGCTGCTGTAAAGGCAGCCATAGCACCTGTAGAGCCTTGGGCAGACGCCTTGCGCGCTTGCCGAACCATGTTAGTAGCCTCAGCAATTTTTTCGATGTTGGTTTCCAGAACAAGTCCACCTTGAATGATCTGGTCTACCACTGCATGGACTTCATCAAAATGGAAGATCAGATCCAGCTCACATACGTTCTCAAAGCTCCGGTCCAGCGCTTCCACTATAACCTGAATAAGATCCAAAATCCCCAGCTCACTTTCACTTTGATCCACCACAAGAACAAAGTATAGCGTGGCATAGTGACGGTAGATGACGCGTAGCTCGTCATCAGGCCGCCAGCGATGTGTAACACTTTGGCGTTGTGCATTGGATTCTATCGCATCGTAATGAATCCAGTAATCTGTATCATCATCGTCATCACTTGTCACTTCTTCATCTTGGCTAGAGTTTGTACTTTTGTGACTTTTGAGTTTCGACCATGCGTCGTTCACAGGTGGTGGGAGAAGGGGTGTCAATTCAGGGGCGTCTAAGAAGTTGCAAACCGTCGCATCGTCTCTACGACTCACAAGTTGAAAGATCAGCTGAATCAGAGCTTGTTGGCGGTCCGTAGGTAGTTGAGAATAGAACTTGGTCATACGTGGACGACCATAATTATTGATGATCAAAGCTGCCCGGATGGTCATGGCAGCTTTCTCAGCGTGGCAACGCAAAATCGAATGGAATACGCAGCTTGACGACAGTGCGCGGCGCTCACGTCCCATCTCGTGACCTCCACAATACGAAGCTACGATGCACGGTGTTTGTCTGCTATTGATGGCACTGGCTCTTTGTAGTAGTATAGACGCGATGAAATATCGTCTAACAGCCAATCCATGCCTGCATCTACGTTAAGACCCTGTACTGCGCTTGAAGCTTGGATGCGCCATGAATGGGATTGAATATCATCTAACCGTAAAGACTGGTATAGAGTTAGTATGACGTTCGGGACGAATAGTCTTACTTTACGAATAGCATCGGTTGTCTGCGCACCCTGCACATCTTGTTTATTAGCGAAGACGAGAAGACTGGCTCCTGCTAAGCGCTTGTGTCTGTCAGATACACTATGCCAGTCACGTACATCTTCATGCAGTAGTTTCCATAGCTCAGTGCGGCAGTCTTCCATGCGGCTCAAGTCACAGCTATCCACGACCCAGACCACACCATCGGTCTTTTCAAAGTAGTTCCGCCAGTATGGGCGAAGGGTACGTTGTCCGCCCACATCCCCTACTATGTTAGCTTGCTCACACCATGCTGTGTCGTACAAATATTTACTGTAAACCTGATGGTCAGAAACATATAATCTCACGTACCCTTTTCGTACCAGTGTTCGGATGGAAAAGCCAAAAGTTGGACTAATGGTATCTATGGGCTCATGCAGGAGCCGTTTTAGGGTGGTGGTTTTCCCTGCATTGTCCAGGCCGAGAAATAAAATTCGAACTTCACGATCTTTATCTAAATGGTAAGCTTCTGTTTGACGCACACTTGTTTTTCTGTATGATAGACAGCAGCCCCATGCCTGCGTGCAGATCCGGCTCTTGCAGCTCTGCGCAGATGGTGCTCCTATCGTTGTGGAGGGCGATTTCTTCCTCCACTGCCCGGCTGAGCGCCGGTAGGGCCGGATTTACGTTATGCATTGGCCCAATGAAAGGAACTCTATTGCTCGGCTCGGCTATCACTCCAGTGGGGAAAGGTCTCTCCGCCCGCACGATTTTGCACTTTCTTCACCTAAGACATCATGCCTGAATTGAAGCGTTACTCGCGTGAGGAAATTGCAAAGGTACGTCGTTTTCGGACAAGAGTCCCCAGGCTAACAATATACAGCACAACAAGCCGGATGATCTTTGGATCATTATCGACTCGTATGTGTACGACCTGAGTGACTTTATCGATGGTCACCCAGGTGGTCAGGCCGTCCTTCTTATGGAGGACATCGCCGGTCAGGATGCCACTGAGGCCTTCTTGTATGTATAAGACGCATGTTTTCTAACTCTGATAGTGGTCTGCACCAGATGGAAGTGCTCATGCGCTACCAGAAGCTCCGTATCGGCCAAGTTGAGGGCGAGGAGCCGAAGATTCACGTACGTCTCTGTGTATGAATGTTGCTAACCCAATAGTACCCGCAATCGGGTGAAATCTCGCGTGTGCCATATGCTGAGCCAGCTTGGCTTGTGGAGCCGTTCTCTTCGCCATACTACAACGAGTCTCACCGTCGTCTTCAGCGTGAGTTCCGTAAGTTCGTGGACGAGAAGGTGACCCCTGTTGCTGAGAAGTGCGAAGCTAGCGGCGAGCGTCCTGACGTTGAGCTTGTTCAGCTCATGGGTAAGCTTGGCATCAACGCCATGCGTCTCGGTCCAGGCAAGCACCTGCATGGCCGCAAGCTCTTTGCGGACATTAAGCCAGAGGAGTTTGACTACTTCCACGAAATGATTATTACCCAGGAGCTGGTTCGCACCGGCTGCCGTGGTTTCATGGATGGTCTTCAGGGTGGTATGGTTATCGGTCTTCCCCCTGTCATCAACTTCGGTTCGGACGAGATGAAGAAGGAGATTGTGGAGCCTGTGTTCAACGGTGAGAAGTTCATCGCTCTTGCCATTACGGAGGCTTTTGCTGGTAGCGACGTTATGGGTCTGCGTACCTACGCCAAGAAGACTGAGGATGGTCAGCACTACATTGTAAACGGTACTAAGAAGTGGATTACCAACGGTAACTTTGCCGACTACTTCACGACGGCTGTGCGTACCGACGAGGGCTTCGCCGTGATCCTCATTCCTCGCTCGCTCGGTGTGGAGACGCGTCTGATCCACACATCGTACTCGCCTTGCGCTGGTACCGGTTTTGTGATGTTCAACAACATCAAGGTGCCAGCCAAGAACGTGATTGGCGAGGACGGTATGGGTATCCCGATTGTTCTCTCGAACTTCAACCACGAGCGCTGGGTCATGTGCTGTGGTACCATCCGTGGTGTGCGTGCTGTGTGCGAGCACCTCATGCTCTGGATCCACCAGCGCAAGGTGGCCGGCCGCCCGCTCACTGCGCAGGCTGTCATCCGCCAGAAGATTGCGTTCCTTATTGCGCAGGCCGAGGCTGGTCAGTCATACCTGGAGCACATTACGCTGCAGATGAACAAGATGTCGTACAGGCAGCAGGCCAAGTTCCTTGCTGGTCCGATTGCTCTGCTCAAGGCGTGGTCGACGCGTATTAGCCACGAGGCTGCCGACAACGCAGTCCAGATCATGGGTGGCCGTGGTCTTACTCGCAGTGGTATGGGCAAGAAGATCGAGAACTACAACCGTAACTACAAGTATGACGCCGTTCTTGGTGGTACGGAGGAGGTGCTCGCCGACCTGGGTATCCGCCAGTCGTTCCGCTTCTTCCCTCACGATGTCAAGCTCTAATTGAGCTGAAATAGCCTTCTCCTCTCTGATTATGCCATCGTATAGATAGCTTGTGTACTCAACCGTCTATCTCTAGAACGAATTGCGAAACCATGTATGCCTATCATGTTGTTGGGCCCTACGGCGGACCACATGGCTGCTGTCCATGTGGAGGAGGTCCATCGCTCGTTTCTCGCATTTTTTATTTTTGTCGTCCCCCATGAGCCGATCCACGCTGTCGAAACGCGTAAGCAAAACGTCAACGGGCACTCATGCCTCTTCGAGTCCGAGGTGCAGCAAGAAGTCAAAGTCCTCCTTTCACCACAAAGCACGCGATGACGAGAAGCGTTGCGAGCTTGACCAACTCATGCAGCAATGGCGTACTTCGACCTCGCCGCCTGTTCGAGTGCGTATCATGAAGTCGACTTACCCACCAGTCTACCCTTAAAAAGACTACCAAAGGAAAGCCGTCCGTTACTACTATCAGCAAAGCGCTACGTGATTTTGAACACTTATCAACGTAAAACCTATCCTTCTTTACAGTTTCGGCTTCACTACTTCGCCACCCACACGGATCGAGTCGATGGGCTTGGCATCGTGCAAGGTGGCGTGCACATGGTGCTGGTACGAAAAGACTTTGCGTTGGTACTCTGAAAGACCGTAATCAGGTACCATGCTCGAATTGTTGTCAATGTGCAGCAAGCGCGATGTAATCAAGCGACCGATCATCGGCATAAACTGGGCATGTCAGCTTGCTTTCCTATATGAGCACATACCTTCAGGCCATGACCTGAATCACCTGAAGCAACCAGAAGACCATCCACATCGGGGTGGAAATCAATCAAGAAGTTTTCGTCCGCCGTGTCACAGTACCAGCAGATGCGTGTAAACAGTCTCTTCGCTGTGGGGTTAGGGCCGTCGAGGCGAAGGATAGGGTACATGGTCATGAGCTCCTTCGTCATTACCTCAACGTATTCATGGTCGTCTGCACGTGGGTATTCCGTGCTGTTGTAGTCACGCGGGTCCGGTGTCGGCGATCCAGCCTGGCCATGTGAGACAAGATTGATAACATACCTTGTGGATGGCACACTTCAAAATGCCATCTGCATTCGGTTCGAACGTGTACAGACCTGAATCCATGTTGAATGTCACAGGCGTGCCACGGAATAGCTCTGCCACTTCAGGGAATAATTGGAATGTAACGACACAGTGCGCCGAAGGACGCAACACTTTTTCTTTCAGCGGCACCTGCAATGTTTCCAGGAGCGATGGCGTCCAGCTGCCCGCCGCAATCACCACGCTATCTGCACGGAACTCGCGACCATCACTTGTGATAGCACCGCACACACGGGGCTTGTTGTTTGAGCCTGGGGTAAATAGAAGTTTGCTAATGAGTGCATCCGAGACCACTTTCACGCCCAGCTTCTTGGCCTCATCCAGGACAGCAAACGTCGCGTTGCCCGCTTCCGCCCAGCCGGCCTGCGGATTGAAGTAGCCTGTCTGCGCACCAGGACCAAAGGTCGTGAAAGCTTCGCCCAGGTGGGGGCGCAGGGATTCTGGGAAGGCATGCTTGGCCTCTTCATTTGACGTAATCGTGCGGGCCAGCGGACGCGTTTCGCGGGACGCTGCTTCGTACGCATTCATGACAGGCTGACCTGCAAAATTCACGCCTTCTTTGATCCATACCGAGTGGGGGCCTGTTGGCATGCCCGAGCGGAAAATAATGCCCACCTCATGGTAAAAGGGGGCATACAGCGGATCTGAGCGCCACAGCGCTATGCATTTCTTGCCGAGATCACGGTACAATTGGTCCTAGAGTGTAAGCAAGCATTAGTACGTACGCCATAGTCTGACCGAATAATTTTGTTCAAGTCATTCGAAGCTGCATTACCAGATGCATGGCCATCTGCCGAGCGATCCACAATCGTCACCTGGTGCCCCAAGCGCGCCAGTTCCAAAGCTGTGGTCGCACCGAATGTACCAGCTCCAATGATTAAGACGTGGCTGAATGCGCTCATATCAATGCCAAATACAAAAGTAGTGGTAGAAGAACAAGACGATAGTTATGTGCGTCCTACTTCCCAAACGGCCTTTGTCCGAACGGCCACAATCTTCTGACTATTATTGCGCAAAAGTGTTGCCTCCTTTTATTGAGTCATGTCTCGGCGCTAAATCTGGTGACATGCAGGCCCCAATGAAAATTTCACGCTGACCCCTCATTTAAGCACCACCCCACGCGCACGGGGTCCCTTATCACCCAGTGTATTTCTGTAATTTTAACACGACCAGCGTTGCGTGCGTGTAGCTAGACAAGTGTTTCGACGCGTTGTCGAGGGGGTATGGACAACGACGCCGCTCAGGGTAGCCCACCACGCTCACCATCCTCTGCTCTGGACGAGAGAGGTGTAACCACCCAGGAGCTTATCATGGGTATGTCGGAGCCGGAGGACCCTGTACTGTTAGACGACGTACGTGTCGTTGAAGTCTCGTCTACCCAAAGACCAAATACCTCCGCCCCTTCTACGGCTACCACCACTGGCTTTTCCCTTACTGCACCAGCACCTTTGCCTTCTACCCATCCAAGAACAGAGAGTACGAAGAATCCATCGCCTCCTATTCCAGAGGCGGAGCATCCTGCCGCTGTAGTGCCTCCTGCAGAAGATGAGGCCGTGACATCCAAGGCCGATGAGCCTGCGACCAGCACAGCCACCTCTCTCGGATCCTCTACGGACAAGATCGTTTCAGAAAAGAACACTCCGTCTGGTAGTGAACCTGAGCGGCCCACGACATCCAAGGGCACAGATGCGGAGAAGATCATCGGACGTCCTGCACCGTCGACCTCGGAAACGCCCACATTAGTACCAAAGGGCAAGGAACCAAAACGAGCCACCCTCACAACCACACAACAAAGCAACACTGCCAGCACATCTTCTCTTCCCGAGGATGAGGCGAACGCTATAGATAAAGAGGAAATGCCACAAGCCTCCCAGTCACGCAAACGGGCACGAAGCCCCAGCCCTGTGGATCCATTGTCTATGCCCGCACCACCACGGCCTACTATTCGCCTTTCATTCCCTTTGCATAAAGAGGGGAAGGGCAAAAGTGAGTATATCTACAATATTCCCAAGCTGGCTGTCAAACAACTCAAGAACAAATACCCAGAGTGGACGTCGTGGTACAGTGCCATGTACTTGGAACAGGATGAAGCTAAATCTACGCGTGAATTGGGTCTGTCTGTCCAAGAACTTAAAGATCTAGGTGGACTCGCGAAGCTCTTACACAAATACCCGACACAAGGCCCTGCTACGCACTTATCACGCAAACGTCGTGTGGACGAGTACGATGTTGGCTCGTATGATACCAAGGACCCCTTTGTGGACGACTCAGAGTTGGGCGTGGATGAACCTACGCACATTGTACGCACACAAGCAGATGGCTTTTACGTCGCGCAAGGCAAGGTCGAGTTGGCCCGTGCAAAAATGAGCGCTATTCCATCGTCACGCTCAGCCTCAGCATTCCGATCAAGTATCGGCAGCAGTGGTAGTCGTGGATGGGCTGCGGGTCGCACCAACAAGCTGCTGGCCAAGCGAGCTGCGTCGCGTCGACAGGAGGGTAGTGTAGAGCCGAAATCGCCATCGCCACAAGTTGCAGCCGTGCCCAACCCTACGTCCGCGCCCACCGAGTCGGTGCCTAAAGCGACAACGATATCATCGGCAGAGACACCCAGCACTTTGGCTACCACGTCCGCGCCATCAGCCGAAGCACCACTGACCGAGTTAGCCACTATGGCCCCTGCGCCCAGTCAGAAGGAGGGCAATGACAAGAAGAAGAACAAATATCCCACACGCCCAGTTCACCCTCAACTGCAAGCGATGTTTGACCATTTGAAAACCCTGGTGAGTCAAGCTAGCTTCGCTGTAAAGACCAAGTTCCCGCCAGAACTTAAACCCCCGTTGATCGAAACGGCCAAGCTGGCTGTGGAGCTGGATGAGTACAATGAGAACTTTTTTAATTACCTTCCGTCTATTTTCCCATACAATCGGTTCACGATGATGAAGCTCACCAAGCGTGAGTTTTTTCACAAGCATATGGCGTATTTTAAAGAGTTGCAGGAGGAGCACTTTGAAAAGCTTGGCCGGCTAATTCAAGAGAGTTTTCCTGCACAGGTCGCCGAGTATGAAGCGCTTTGTCTGGAACGCGGTGTCGAAGGCAAGGATAACACGGATGGTGGTGTCGACGACGAAGTGAATGAAAATGGTGCCGGCGAGGATTCGCGCCTGCTGGAGACCGATGACCTCGTGAAGCGATTCCGTTGGAGCGATGATATGCGTGATGAATTGTTTACCATTGTTACGGTGGAGAATGCTATGAGTGAAATTCGCAACGAAAAACTGTATGTGGTGATATCGTCGGCTAACGCAACCCTAGAAAATTGGAAAATTCACCGGAGACGTACAGTGAAATCAATGCACGCAAGTCGTTGTACAAACGTGTACGTACCAAGCCACTTTTCTCACAGCTAGCTCGTGGAACTGTTCCCGCAAGACGGGTGGGTCACTTCGACGAACATTTCCCGTGAATGTATGTATATGGATGACTAACAACAGATGGGCTCGTGAAAAAACGGCGTGATCGCGAAGATGCATTGCAGTATGAAGATATGGCGTATTAATTATAGCTCTGTAGTCATCGATGATGTATTCATAAACGCATCCAATTCGGCATCGAGGTCGGCCGCCGATAAGGCCGGCCGCGATGTCGGTGCCGATTTTTTTGTACGTCGTGGTTTTTTAGGTCGTGCCTCAGAAGGCAACGGTGCCAGGCGCGCAGCGAGTGACGAGTTGGTGGTCGGCTCAAGAGAGACAGACACATCGAGAACTTGATCATGAAACGTCATGCCATGCAGTTGTTGCTGCACTTTTTGTGCATCAGCCTCGTTCCTGAACCACGCTGTAACTTGGCCTGTGGGCCGACCTGCTGCATCGTACTGGTAGGTAAGAGAACGGGTCCACATCGACGTACCTGTATGGAAGGGCCTTTCACAAGGGGGGCTATACCCACAAGAAGAGATCGAATACGGTCAGGAGCTACTTCGTAATGGACCTGTCGCAGCACGACTTTGATACCATGCGAGGAGGCAGGTCGTGAAGGCCGTGCGTGACGGCGTGCCTGGCCGTCCTGGTGTTCGTCAAATTTATCGTGGGTCCACGGCTTTTCGTACGGGGTATATTTACGCCGCGCTACGTGTGTGGACTGACCACGTAGCTGCGACAACGATTGCTGCCACAACCGTGAGGATGCCATAGCCTCCTCGTACGTCGGACGGTCATCACCTAGGGCGAGGTTCCTGCGCCTTCCCCACATCACTTACCTAAGCATATTCACGTGGCGGGAAGTCGAACACGGTGGAAAGTGGAAGATTACGTAGGGCCAACACAGAGCTTCGCAATGCCAACGTGGAAGCCGCCGGCCGCGCGGGCGTATTTATTGAGAGCCACCGGGGGTCTTCGCCGCTTTCTCCCACTTCAAGATGATTGCATCAGCGAAGCCAACACTGCTGAGCGTAGTGTTCGCGCTCTTTTCGCTTCTGTCTGTGTCGCTGTTCCTGTCGTCTACGCCGTACGGTGGTACCGGTGTGGCTGCGCAGGACAAGCGTAGTGAATATGGTACAGTGATCGGTATTGACTTGGGTACGACCTATTCGTGTGTGGGTGTCCAACGTCAGGGCCGTGTAGAGATTATCGCGAACGACCAGGGTAACCGTATTACGCCGTCGTATGTGGCTTTCACGAAGGACGACGAGCGTCTGATTGGTGATGCTGCGAAGAACCAGGCTGCACAGAACCCGGAGAACACGATCTTCGATGCGAAGCGTCTGATCGGCCGCAAGTGGGGCGAGTCGGATGTGAAGAAGGACCTGAAGCACTTCCCGTTCAAGCTCGTGGAGAAGAACGGCAAGCCTGCGATCAAGGTCGCTGTTCGTGGTGAGAACAAGGTGTTTACGCCGGAGGAGATCAGCGCTATGGTGCTGCAAAAGATGAAGGAGACTGCGGAGGCGTACCTTGGCCACAAGGTGACGCATGCTGTGGTGACGGTGCCTGCGTACTTCAACGATGCGCAGCGTACCGCTACCAAGGATGCCGGTACCATTGCCGGTCTCGAGGTGCTCCGTATTGTTAACGAGCCTACTGCCGCGGCCATTGCCTACGGTCTGGACAAGAAGGAGGGTGAGTCGCAGATCATCGTGTACGACCTGGGTGGTGGTACGTTCGATGTGTCGCTTCTCTCGATTGACTCGGGTGTGTTTGAGGTGCTGGCTACCGCGGGTGACACGCACCTGGGTGGTGAGGACTTTGACAACCGTGTTTCGGAGTACATCCTCAAGCAGTTCAAGAAGAAGGAGGGCGTGGATGCCTCGGGCAACAAGCGCAGTGTTGGTAAGCTCAAGCGTGAGGTCGAGCGTGCGAAGCGTACGCTGTCGAGCCAGATGAGCACCAAGATTGAGATTGAGAGCTTCTTCGATGGCAAGGACCTCTCGGAGACGCTGACGCGTGCCAAGTTTGAGGAGCTGAACGTGGACCTGTTCCGTCGTACGCTTAAGCCTGTGGAGCAGGTGCTTAAGGACGCTGGTGTGAAGAAGGACGAGATTGACGATGTAGTACTGGTTGGTGGTTCGACACGTATCCCGAAGGTGCAGCAGATGCTCAAGGAGTTCTTCAACGGCAAGGAGCCCTCGAAGGGTATCAACCCTGACGAAGCTGTCGCCTGGGGTGCCGCCGTCCAGGGCGGTGTGCTTTCCGGTGACGAGTCGCTGGGCGGTGTGGTTCTGATTGACGTCAACCCGCTGACGCTCGGTATTGAGACGACCGGTGGAGTGATGACCAAGCTGATTCCGCGTAACACTGTGGTGCCGACCAAGAAGAGCCAGATCTTCAGCACGGCGGCGGACAACCAGAACACGGTGCTCATCCAGGTGTACGAGGGTGAGCGTTCGATGACCAAGGACAACAGCCTTCTCGGCACCTTTGAGCTGAACAACATTCCGCCGGCGCCCCGTGGTGTGCCTCAGATTGAGGTCACGTTTGAGATCGATGCCAATGGTATCATGAAGGTCTCGGCTGCCGACAAGGGCACAGGTCGCAGTGAGTCGATTACCATCACCAATGACAAGGGCCGTCTCTCGAAGGAGGAAATCGACCGCATGGTCGCTGAGGCCGAGGAGTTCGCTGAGCAGGACGAGGCTATTCGCAAGCGTGTAGAGGCCATCAACGCGCTGCAGAACTTCATCGGTACGCTGCGCAACCAGATCACCGACAAGGAGGGTCTGGGCGGTAAGCTCGATGACGACGACAAGGAGACCATCCAGCAGCATATCAAGGAGGCTGAGACCTGGATGGAGGAGAACGCCGAAAACGCTGAGGCGCAGGACATTGAAGAGCAGTTCAGCGAGCTTCAGGCGGCTGTAGCGCCGATCACCGCCAAGGTGTACCAGGGTAGTGGCGCTGGCTCCGATGAGCCGCTCAACTACCACGATGAGCTGTAATCGTAGAGAACACGCGTTGGTCATAGGTAGTGTTTGCGTGGCGCTACAAAACAAATCCAGATGTGTGCAGTTGAGTTGATACTTTCTATGTTACAGATTATATATGGGGATCAGTCGGGCACACTGTAATGATTGACGGCAAAGGGGGCATTCGGCCTTCTCCTTCGCCCATTCCGTAATACAGTCCCAGCAGAACACATGTCCACACTCTGTTACAGCACTTGTGCCCTGCTCTGGCGCCCGTCGGTCCATGCACAAAGTGCAGCGCAATACATCCTCGGCAATGGCTTCGAGCTGTGTCGTCTTTGCGCGTACAGACGCTTGCATGGCATCCCAACGCTCTTGGTCGGCAGCCGTTTTGATGGGGCCCATACCAAGACGATCAGGTGTAACAGGCACATCTGCGTCAGGGTACTGCAGTGGTACAGAGGTTGCAGAGAGCGTGGCGCCTTGCGACAAGGAATTTTCATCGCCGGGCTTGATAAAGGTATGATCCAACTGCACGGCCTGGGCAGGACGACTAGCGGTAGGCGCTGCCTTCATGGCATCGGATCCCTCGAGCATTTCCTTTTGCGCTTCTTGGGCTTGTGTCCACGTACGATGAAGTGACATGCTAGCCTTGACAATCAACTGGATGGCCAACAACACACCTAACACTTCGTACGATAATGGCTTGGACCCGGGACGACGTGCACTCGCATAGATGTAGTCCACCTTCGCAAGGCGGTGGGCAATGGTATAGTAGCGTCCCCATAAATAAAAGACGGCCAGCTGTGCTGCTGATGCATAGGCCAACCAGCCATCCGACGCACTAAGCACATGCGAGCCTGGCAGTGTCGCGGCGAGCCATTGGATGCTGTCCTCCACTCGATCTTTCCAAGATCGCCGTTGCGTGAGAGCTGCTACATCCAGCTCCCCGGTGGCTTCGGCCATACGGGCCTGTAGCTCCGCTCGTTGACGTTGCTGCGTTATACGCTGGTCCTTCCGCACAATCCATGTACGTGCTCGTCCATAGGCCCGCGTCAATACATAAGGCGCCAGCACATAGAAGGACAAAAACACAGCACGTCGCTTCACGCTGACAACGCGCCCCGAAGAACGATGCCGCATCATGGAATTCACATACTCTTCACCAAGTGACTGTGCACCACCCAGTGTGCTCAGCGAGAAGTACGCAACGCTCGCGATCAGTGCAAGAGCCTCTTCATACAGGTGAGTTCGACGAGATCCAAATAGGTTTGTTGCCACATCCTTTAATTGTTCGTAGAATAGATCTCTATAATATGCATCCTTCTGGTGTAAACGGACAATCTCTGCCTGTGCCGCACGAGGGTATCCTAGCCTGGCAGGCGTACGACGCCTTTCCGCACGATCCATAGCCCCACACTCGTTCACGGTGGTGTCCAAGTCCAATGCCTCTCAATTGCTCTCACGTGGTCGGCACATATGCACGTGAAGCCGAGTGCACGGATTCAAGCGCAATCGTATCTCGCCGGTAAACAAAAACCATCGTCTTTCTTTCAACGGTAGAGCCTACGCACTAGAGTTCAAGGTACACCGCCACTCCAATTCGCTCCCGTGATTGGAGAAAGGGAAGATCATTAATGTCATTTTACTTATGTTACATTGGATTTTTGTAATTATAAATAGAGTTCTGCCCTAGTTCACTGTAGGAATTTCCGTAATTCAGCCTACCAATTAAGGGGTAGATGTGCGAATAAATGCCACGTCAACACCTGTAGTGCAGGTCCGCTCGTTTGTTGGTTAGAGTCATTCTAGCGGACATACTGTGGCGCACCAATACTTTTCTCCCTGGCCGTAGCTGTGTGTTTCGGGCGGCCCGTGTACAATTCAAATTGAGCGCTGTTTGCGAATCTGTTCCCCCTACCCCTACCATCACACAAATGTTCGCTAAGACCTTCTCGGCTCTCGCTATCGTTTCGGCTGCCGCTGTGGTTGCCCAGGACAGTGGCATGACCGTTGCCACCCCGCCTGTGGCCAACCAGTGCCAGCCCCTCCAGATCACCTGGAAGGGTGGTCAGGCTCCTTACTTCCCCCGTATCACTGCTCCGGGCAACCCCTCGGAAGTGGTGGACGGCCTTGACAAGTACCAGAACACTCAGGACACCAAGATCTCGGGCTGGCCTGTGTCGGTTCCCCAGGGCCAGAAGTTCACTATCTACGTCTGTGACTCGAGCGGTGCTTGCAACGGTTCGGCCCCTATTACCGTGGGTGCTGGCTCGGACAGCTGCTTGAACGGTCAGAGCGGCGGTGGTGGTGCCGCTGGTGGCGCTGCTGGTGGCTCGTCGTCGAAGTCGTCGGGTGACAACAACTCGTCGTCGAAGTCGTCGGGTGACAACAGCTCGTCGTCGCAGCAGTCGTCGTCGCAGTCGTCGTCGCAGCAGTCGTCGTCGTCGTCGAAGCCTACCTCCAGCTCGGGCGCCGGTGCTGCCGCTGGTGGTGCCTCGAGCTCGGCTGCCGGCGGTGCCTCGTCGGTCGCCTCGCAGGCTACCAACGGTGCTGCCACCTTCAGCGGTGTTCCGGCCGTTGTTGCTGGTGTCGTTGGCGCCGTCGTTGCTGCTCTCATCTAAATTTGATTTTTAATTCTATTGTCGTAGCTAGTAGGCGCGATATTTAGTTTCTGTTCCATATTCGCTATGAGCAAGATCATACATTGAACTAAAATTGTGGCAAACATTGTGTGTTATTTACTTGGCGCGGGGATTCGGGTAAAGCCGAATGAGGCCCGTGCTCTATGAGAATCACTTAGGGCTTAGCACTCTCGCTGAAGAATAACTACTGAGAATTTGCCGGATTTTAGCATCACTTGAAAATCTTCTAATGCTGGAATCAATTCTTATATTGTTACCTGTCATATTTTTGATAGCATATACAATCCACAAACATCTCCTATTGAAAGGATTCTCTAACGTCACGCCTCTGATGCCCTTCGCTTCAAAGCGTGCCAATATACATTTTCACCCATCTATCTATGTACTATCTTGAGATCAGACTATCTTTCACATACAAGCCCTGCTATCCATATGAAATACTACGTAAAGATATATATATATCGAGTCATATAATCACATAACGACACAGCCTTTGCACCCCTTCGGAACAGTGCCGTTGTCCTGAGGGCGAACAGCTGCCGTGCCCGTCGCACCTGGCGTAGCAGCAGTATACGCGTCTGGCTTGGTAAATGTTTGCTCCTGATTGTACCGGCGAATTTCACTAACAAGGTCATTGAAAGCCTCGTCGACATTTACACGGTGCTTGGCCGATGTCTCGACAAATGGACACCCGATCTGCCTTGCCATAGCATACCCCTCTTTTCATATTAGCCGATGAAGTAAAAATACATACCAGAGGTGCTTACTTGCCTCTCCGACTCCAAGTCACATTTATTAGCCACCATCACCATAGGGAAGTAATCTTTGTCTTTCACTCGCAACACCTGCTGGTGGAATGTTGCGATTTCTTCAAAAGAGCTCCGGCTCGTGATACTGTATACCAACAGGAATCCCTCTCCTGTACGCATGTACTGCTCACGCATTGCTCTACTGGTATTAGTCGTACCCTCTTGCAGCGACGTACGAGTATTCTTCTTGTCCTGCGGTATCCAATACATCCAGCAATGCCACTTCATCATCAATCATACATTGTTTACGGTAAGAATCTAGAGTGTGTTAACCATTGGTCATTTGCATGCAGTTTACCTACCTTCAATGGTTGGGTCGTATTCGTCCACAAAATGGTTTTGACTAAATTGGATGGTGAGGGCGGACTTGCCTACACCCCCGCCACCAACAACAACCAGTTTATATTCCCGAAGAAACTTCGCCTGCGGCTTGGTGTCAGCTCTCATTCTAGACATCTGAGACAGGCCGCCATGCACAGCGCCTACCCGTGCACGGTGGATGACGTACCTTCGACATAACAGCTGTGGAGTGAATCAAGGATCACCGGTCCAGGTATCAACTAGAAAAGAGACAGTATAAGCCCGTACACAGATCCCGCTCTGTTCACCACGTTAACGTGTTCCTTTGATCAGGGTGCGACGCCGAGTGGTAAGGTTTGTCGCCAAATACCAACGTGTCAGCTGCCGATATGTGTCGCCCGCCTTTCACGTGACGTGTCCAAGCAACCAGCCGATGGCAGCGAACGTGGAGGTACACACGAGCGCGTCGCACTCCGCTTTTCAGGTGCGCGTGTGACGTTAGCTGGGCGGCAAGCCGCGCGTTCGCTCATGGTTGGCCTAGGCACGTCTCAGGGGCGAGAGAAAGATGGGTCCGTTCAGATGGAGCGGTTTCGTCGTAGCCCTTTATCCTCTCCATCGAGTGTCAACGAAACATCTTTACTGTGGACAGACCAGCGGAAATACACGGTCATTGTTGATGCCGGTTCATCTGGGTCGCGTCTGATGGTCTATTCATGGCGAGATGTCGGATGGGACAGAAAGTACCGACTGCATCACCAGCTTCCGCTCGATGTCTTACCTACGATCGAGCGGGGCGTACCGCCAGAGTCCGACCAGGCGTGGCAGGTAAAAGTTGAGCCAGGTCTCTCTTCGTTTGCGGGTCGAACGGGTGAGCTCCGGCCCTACTTGGAGGGACTACTTCTACATGTGCGTGCTGTGGTACCTGAGCATGCGTTACCGCATACGCCCATTTACGTCATGGCTACGGCAGGCATGCGACTGCTCGAACCTGTAGAGCGACAAGCGATTCTCTTGGAAACATGTCGTGTTCTTCGTGAACATCCCTTTCAATTTGAGGGGTCTCTTTATGACTATACGGATGCCGATGCAGACAGTGCTTGTCAGGGCCAGGTCCGTGTAATCTCAGGCGAAGAAGAAGGGCTCTTTGGCTGGATCGCTATCAACTATCTCATGAATGGATTTAGTACGTCGGACAAAACGTTTGGGTTTTTGGACATGGGTGGTGCTAGTACGCAAATTGCCTTTGCGCCAGCAGACACGTCGACCGGGGCCGATCTGTTCAATGTGACGCTACAAAAGCTCGATGCATCCAAGGAATCTCACCATGTGTTTGTCACTACGTTCCTCGGCTACGGTACGAATGCTGCACGAACACGTTATCTATACTCGCTGAAGGACGGCGATACTACTGCCTTGCCCGATAGCTATGTTGACCCATGTTTGCCTAAAGGACTGCAGCTGTCGTTGGACGATGGTCAAGGGCATGTGCAAGGCACGGGCTCTCTTCGGCAATGCATGGCGCAGCAAGTGCCGTTGCTGGATCAAGGCGCTGCATGCTCTGTCCCCCCCTGCCTCTTCCATGGTGTGCACGTCCCGCCCATCGATTATACTAAAAACGAGTTTGTGGGAGTGTCTGAGTACTGGTACAGCTCGCATGATGTGTTCGATTTAGGCGGGTCCTATGACCACAAGAAATTTCATCAAGCGGCGGACGAGTTTTGTGCGTCAGACTGGTCGCAGTTGGAAGCGAATTTTAAGGCACACAAGTACCCCAGTCAAGTCACACTTTCACGGCTCCAAATGCAATGTTTTAAAGCGGCGTGGATGTCGACGGTGCTTCACGAAGGTCTCCAATTGCCTCGTGAGCACAACCAAAGCCTTTTTCAAAGTGTCAACGATGTCCATGGACTGGGCGTCAGCTGGACGTTGGGCAAGGCCTTGTTAGAAGCCAACAAGGATGTCACGCTGCAAGCGCCTCATTGGCCGATCCCTGCATATGCCGCCACTTCCTGGCTGTGGCTCGTGGGCTTTCTCGCTGTGGCTCTTCTGGGCGCTGTGGCCTTGGCTCTCCGACGCCGCTGGGATCGCGCTCGCGTCCTTTGGATGCCCTTGGCCACCACCGACTCGATGGAGACACCCGTGGAGGAGCACAGTATGGTCGTCCCTATGCCCCAAGCTGATGAAGACGACATATCGGACGCCTCCACGCCGTCGTTGGAAGACAAGCGCAGTAAGGCCGGGGGTGCCTGGGGCCGCTTCTTATCACGTACGGCCTCCTATGCTTCGCTGCAATGGGAAAAAATGGCCATCACGCCGCCACGCAGTGCGTCTGTATCCGCCTCGCGACGGTCTAGTATCACGCGCCCTCTTCCACGCCTGGGCTCCGACCGTTCGGAAGCGCCGTTGCGCGTGACGAGTCCCCCCATGCCATGGACACCGTCGTGGATCCACCGTACATCCTCGCCACTTACTGTCAAGATACCCATCCTCCCTCTCAGTGACACAGCGCCTGACGCATCTACGCCTGATGCTCTCACACGCTCCGTCTCGCCCAAGTCCGATCGGCGCCCTACGCTATCGACATGGAGTGGCGGTGGTCCTCTTTCTCGCGACAACTCGCTCGTGTTCACTACAGCGGTATCGTCAGGCTACCTAGGCTCGCGCCCGCCATCGCGTGTTTCATCACCTCGGCCCCTCGATGCACGTCGTGCATCGTCGCCGAATGCCTTGACGTTGCCTCTTTCCTTGTCGGTGCGCTCCGATATCCGTGGACGTCCCACGTCCACACCCAGCCCAGGGCCAGGCGCCAGTCCGATTTTGCATGCTCGTACGAATCCTCTTCCCAGTCCCGATATAAGTTCTTTCCCGGAGGGGCCTTAGCGCCCCCTCCCACCCTGCTAGCGTAGAGTAGTGCCTATACCATCGTTTGTGAGGACTGTATGTGGAGGTGTGTATATACCCGCGGTCAGCGGTGCGTCACGCACGGTGCGCCGCCTGGGCTTGACGACGACCATGGCGTGGAATGCAGGCTCGTCCAGCAATTTGCTGGCCGAGTACCTGAAATCGCCCGATGACCTTGCGAAGATCCCATCGCTTCGTCGCAAGCTTGCGCGTGAGCAGGCCATGCTCTCTGCGAAGCTCAAGATGGGCGCGAAAGATCAGCTGGAGGCGACGCGCGAAGGGCTACTTCAAATGCAGTCCACACGGCGCGACATCGCGAGTGTCCAGGAAGTGTTTGCGCAGATCGAAGGCATGTTCCAGGATACGGCAGAGGACGGTTCTCAAGCACGCGAGACTAAGGGCGGCAAGAGTTTCCGTGTCATCTGCGAGCTGTCGCAGCTGCGCCGCGCGTTGGTCCAGACGTCGGACATCCTCAAAAAGATCTACGAGATGGGCAGCGAAGTTCAGACACTCACACAGCTCCTGGCTTCGTACCAAGCGAACCTCTATGGCCCTGCGCCTGACCTCCTGGCGCTGCACTTCCAGATCTCCAAGTGGGAGACGTTCCGTAACGAGACGCTGCACTTGGCTGGGTCCAGTGCTCCAGATACACGGCGGCAACTTATTCAGATGCTTGCGCCTCTGGAAGACTTGCTGGATGCGTTCGAATCGTACATGCTCGATCTCATGGCCCATGTGCCTGACTTGGTCCGCCATGGCCAAGCGGGTGTCGTGGTGCGCATGGTGAAGATTATGGAGCGTGAGAACCGAGAGGATGAGCGTACAGCCGCAATTCGCCTTGCTAAGCATGCCAAGATTGAAGGTGCAGCTCGATTCCGTGCGATTGCAACGTACGGCCATACCATCAAGTTGTACTGGCACAAGTTCCAACATACTGTACGAGCCGCGGCCCTGCAGCGACTGCAGGAGTTATGGGCGCAGCTGCCGGAGCCGAGTCCCAGTGCACTGTACGAGCAAATCGACTGGCTGTACAAGGACTTGGACTTTGTCCGCCACGCTATCGTCCCGCTCTTCCCACCGGCCTGCCACGTCTACAAAATCTATGTACAGGCTCATCATCGCGCGCTAGGCGACCTGTTCCAAATGCATGTACCGCTGGAAACGGCCGAAGCGGCGTCGTTACTGGAGCTGTACCACGTCGCGAACGAGCACGAGTCGCGTATGTTGCAGGCGGAACGTGAGGTGGACAGCGCGTGGCTCGAGCCGTCGTTGCTAGGCGGTCGTGAAAAGAACATCATTGACGACTATGCCACGCTCCTCACACGCAAGATGGACGACTGGACAGCGACGCTCATGTACGACGAAATCACAGCGTTTGTCAATCGGGAGCGGCCGCCGGAGGAGACGGCGGAAGGTATGTACCAAATGTCGAGCTGCGTCATTCTCTTCCGCATGCTGCACCAGCAAATGGACCTCGCTGCACAGACGGGCAATCCCGATCTGCTGGTGCGTGTGATTGATCATGCCTGTGTGGTGATGCACAATACGCAGGCCCAGTGGATGCAAACGGTGCAGCAGGAATTTAAGAAGCAGACGACGGCGAAGCGCCCTGAAGAGGTCAATGGCGGATTGGTCGAGTACATGATGGCGCTCGCGAACGACCAACTGGCCAGTGCCGACCAATCGGAAGCGTTGCTGCACCGTATTGAGCCCATGGTCGCCCAAGAGCATCGCGCGCATGTGCGCGAGGTGCTGGATAATACCCTGAACGGTTTCCTGGACATTAGCAAACACTGTGTACAGCTGCTTGTGGAGATCGTCCTATTTGACCTTCGCCCTGCGTTCAAAGACTTGTTTACGTTCCCGGCGTGGTACATTGAAGGCACGACGACGATGATCACCGAGACGGTGCGTGACTATGCGAGTGACTATGCCGCGCGCTTGGAGCCGAATTTGTACGATGTGCTGTCGGATGATTTGGTCACGCGGCTGCTTACCGCGTACCTCACGACGCTGCGTCGCTCAGCACGTCTGCGTATGCCCAAAGCAGCGGAGCGATTCAAGATGGATGTGAGCGAGCTGGGCAACCTTATTTCTCACCTGCGACCTGCCGACGAGGCGCAGCAGCGTGTGGAAGTGCTGCATATGATCCATGCGATTCTTCACGCGGCTCCGTCCATGATCTTCTTGCCGTACTGGACCTTTGCCAAGACGCACGGCCCCAACCTTGCGTTCTTCGAGGCACTCTTGCGTGCGCGGGATGACGTGGAGAAGGCCGACGCCACCGCGTTGCTGGAGAGCGCCAAGCGCAAAGTACAGCAAGAACAGCTGCCGGACGTCCCAGAGAGTGGGCCGACCATCATGAGCGTCGTCTCCCAAACGCAGGCCTCCGGTCTCACAGGGCTTCTGGCCGGCTGGAACGCCGGGCCCGAGGGCATTGCTTGGAGTGCCCTTGCGCAAAGTGCTCAAAACTACTTGGGCGCCGCAGGATGGCGGCGTGATACATAGCATAGCTACATAACTATTTTTGGAACGTTTCCTATCCCAGCAAAGGTGGGCTGTTGTACAAGCCTGAGGCGATGGTGCGCATCCCCATGGCGAAAGGGGGAAGGGTACGGGACGATGACGTTTACACGCTCAGGTTCGCCATCGCCGAGGTCGGAGCCTCTTCGCCCTCGTCCTGACGACCTTGCTCCCATCCGCTGGGCATGTACGTCGCCATATCCACCGCGCCATCGTCATCGTCGTCATCGTCATCCACGAACATGTCGGGGTTGAGCGCAAACATCTCACGACCACTCAGGCCGGCCATCTTATTCGCATGCGCCTGCGTCGCCTTCTTCAGTCGTAGCGCTTCCTCTTCAGCAGCCTTCTTGTCCATACGCTCCTTCTTCCACTTGGCGAACGATTCAGCGGTGACAGGCGTGAGGTTCGCACCCAGTTTGTGCCGCGCACTCTCGAGGAACTCTTCCAGCGAGATTTCATTCGCCTTTTCAAGCGCCTCCATCTCTTTGCGCTCGGACTTGAGAATAAAGCCGGGCGGCAGCGCATGACGGTACATGCACTTTTCACCACCATTCGGACATTCCCAGAACCAGCCGTACTTGCCATCTTCCACCGCCTGCAAGAAGTACTTGCACACCTTGTCGGTCGTCGTGCGCGGGTTGCCGTGCTTCATATTAATGACCTTGTTCAGACGCTCCTGATCCCACTTGTCCATAGTATCGTTCTTCTTATCGTCCTCCCCATTGTCCTTCTGATCACGCGTGTCCGTGTACAGGTCCTTCTTCTGCGCCTTGCGTTGGGCGTCGTTCGAGTGCGCAAACTTGCACTTGGAGCCCTTATCACAACGTCCAGCCTTCCAGAAATTGCATGTCAGACTCTTGGGATCCACACCAAACGGCACATGGGGCTGCACAATCGTCGGCCCTTCCATCTTGAGGCGCTTCTCCGCTTCCGCCTTCGCACGCTTCTCCTCTTCACGTCGCTTCTCCTTCGCAAGCGCCTCCCGGGTCTTGCCTGCCTGCTGTTGCTGCTGCTGGATAATACGAATTTGCTGCTGCGCCTTCGCACCCTTCTTATTCTTCATACCGAACGTCTTGTCGATCGTTACCTTGGGGGCTCCACCGCCCCCACCACCGCCCTTCTTCTTCGGCGGCATGCTGTGTCGTAAGCTTCAAGAGGCGTCGTAGGGCCGTCGTCTGCCCAAAAAGAAAAACGACTCGCTGTCGGCCGACAAGAGAGAACGCTCGTCGCTGCCCCGTGCTCTGTCCTCGACCATGTCGTCGCTGTCAGCGCTTGAAAGCGAGACACGGACGCACGCCTGGCTTGGGATCGAGAAGCACCCGGCCCTGGCAGAAGTCCAGCAGGCTGAACAGGCGAAGGAAGTGAAAGACTTTGCCAAGGCGACACAAACATCGGCGTCGGAGGAGGAAGGCGGCGATGATGACACGTCGTCCATCGCATCGTCCATCGATGCCAGTATTACGGACATGAGTACCGTGGCACCTACCTTGCCTTCCATCCCTCCCGCACCAACGGGTGAGCTTACCTTGGCCACTATCATGGCCCCTGGCCTGCCGTGGCGACGTCGCTTGCTGCTACTTACGGCGTCGCTCGCCATCAACCTCGGCTTGCCTTTCATCAATGGTGTGATGCTCGGCTTTGGCGAAATCTTTGCACGAGCTTTCCTTGCACCATGGATCGGCCTTGCGCCGCCGCTGCCGCAGGACCCATTCTCGCCATCCCCTGCCGATGTGCCTCCTATTGCCTCTATACCCCGCGGTGGCCTTCGTACGTGGATGTATCAACGACGTGGTGAGCCTATCTACACGAAAGAAGACGAACGGAAAGACGATACTGCCTCTGCATGATCGGTGCCCGTACACTCCCAGAACGCTAGCAATGCTGGCGGCATAGGCGTGCGAAGCTCGTCACCTTCTTGCTGCTCGAGCGACTCCATATACCAATTCCGTCGCTGTGACCGTTCTTGAAAGCAAAGCTCCCATGACCATGGCAGCATAGGCCAGTCAATGGGGCTCGGCAAGGGCGACTCGGTGCATATTTTCATGGTATGCGCTGGATCATGCCCATACCCCAATGTGCTTGGCTCACTGGCCCACTGTACAATATGAACCCATTGTTCGTGACTAAGCACATGCGCTGGATCCAGGGCTTCGAGCACCAAGGCCCGAAGCTCGATTGGTAGACGTAGGAATGGAAACGTAGATGACGTTGTTGTCTCCGACGCTTCCCTAGCTTTGCATCCTACGATGCGTGCAGGCGTCAAAATACGTGCAGCGACGTGACGGCATTGATCACGTCGTCGTTCGTTCTCTTCCAACTGCTGTGTGACCAGCGCAAACCAATTTTCTTGTGTCACGGCCGAGTAGGCCTCCCAAGGGGCCCATACTGGCGCCTCCGTCGTCGAAGCAAGTGAGTCAATGCCCGTCGAGAACAAGTCGATGTGTACAAGGCTGGTATTAGGCGGTGTCATATCGAGCATCTCGGTGGGGGTGTCATGGGACAGTGTGCCGCCCAGCGTACATGCCCGTCGTGAGCCCATAATGGCATGCGCAATGATCCTCACGCCTGCCCAGCCGAAGTGATTGCCATTCAAGTGTAGGCATTCCAAACCACGACACGCTTTCGGATCGCTGAGGAAGCGGGCAATACTGAGCGCTGCTTTTAAAGAGCCTGATTCCGACTCAAACGTGTTTACTGACATGTACAAGGTATGCAGCGGCGAGCCTGTCTGTGCGAGGGTATCAAAGAACGCCGCCATCCCAACATCGCCGAGTTGATTGGCCGTCATATTAAGCATACGAAGACCACTGGAGCCTACCGCTTGCGCCCACGCCTGAATCTCATCCGTCGTGTCACTGTGAGGTGGGACGACCAATTCGTTGCCTTGCAACTCCAGTTGGCGCAAGATAAAGTTGGACTGTACAGCCTCCATCAAACCTGCCTCACGAAATGATGTGATATGGTTCGAAGAAAGATCTAGGCGGCGTATTCCGCGCATTTTCCGATCGTAGGCCTCGGCCTGTGAGCGCGGCAAGGCAGCCCAGCTAGCACGTAGCGAGTCCAGAAGACGTCGACACCGTCGATTGTCCAGCTCCGCAAAGGATACTGTGACAGCAAAAACATCCTGAACTGGTATAGAGTCTTGAATATCCTTTTCTAGACGTGAAATTGGTGCCTCATCGCTATCGAAGGCAAGATGACGCATGCTCGTCGCACGTCACGACGACGGCGCGGCATGTCACTTGTGGCGTCTGTGCGCGGTGTCATCGGCTGACTAAAGCGTACTCACCACTCGACCTTTTTTTTTCATGGGAGGCCGGCCGCGCATTCTCTTGGTTAGTACGACGTGATGGACCGTGGACAGACTGTCGGTGTCCTGGGCGGTGGCCAGCTTGGCCGCATGTTCGGCGAGGCTGCATCGCGCTTGAATGTCACTGTGCGCTTCCTCGATGTGGGCGATAACACGCCGGCGAAGCAAATTACTAGTGTGCCAGCGTCGTCAGATGGACCACAACATGTGGATGGCAGCTTTGCCGACAAGGCCAAGATTCATGAGCTGGCGCAGCAGGTGGACATCCTCACGGTAGAAATCGAGCATGTGGATGCGGACGAGCTTCAAACGGTGCTAGACAAGGGCCTCGTCAAGGCCGTCCATCCCGCGCCTTCGACCATTCGGCTGATCCAAGATAAATTTGCGCAGAAGGAGCACTTGATGCGTCATGCTGTGCCTGTCGTCGAATCAATGGCCATTGAGGCCGGTAGCGATATGCGCGCCTCGATTCAGGCGGCGATCGATCGCTACCAGCTCCCTCTCATGCTTAAATCACGTACGCAGGCTTACGATGGACGTGGCAACTTTACGCTGCGTTCTGCGGACGATATCGAGGCAGCTATTGATGCTCTAGGCGGTGGATCTCGTCCTTTGTATGCGGAAAAGTGGGCGCCCTTCTCGAAGGAGATTGCTGTTATGGTCGTACGCAGCGTCGATGGCCACGTCGTGTCGTACCCGGCTGTGGAGACAGTGCATGAGAACAGCATTTGTCACAGTGTGTACGCGCCTCTTCGCAGTAACGTGCCAGAACTGGCAGAGCGTGCGCGTACCATTGCTGAGCGGGCCGTGGCAACCTTTGAAGGCGCTGGCATTTTCGGCGTAGAGATGTTTTTGATGGACGATGGCGAGATTCTGCTCAATGAATTGGCGCCCCGGCCGCACAACAGTGGTCACTACACGATGGATGCGTGCGATACGACACAGTTTGAGAACCACTTACGTGCGATCCTAGGCCTGCCCCTGGGCAGTACAGCGATGAAGGTGCCTTCAGCAGCGATGCTCAATATTCTGGGCCTCGCTGACTTGAGTAAGGATGCGGATGCGTTGGCCAAGACGTTGGCACCGGCCGTACGTAGTCTCTCTGTGCCTGGAACCACAGTGCATCTGTACGGCAAGAGTGGATGCCGCCCTGGCCGCAAGATGGGCCACATCAACGTGGTAGGTGAGAGTGATGCGCGAGTGCATGCGCGTATGAGTGCCTTGCTGGAAGAGCTTGCGCTGGCGCAGGACGCAGCGAAGAGTGCTTCGGCGTGGGATCGGGAGGCTGCCGCGAAGCGAGCTGCTGCCGTGGCTACGCCCTCGGATAAGTCTGCGCGTGACTATGCGCATCCCCAGGCGCTGGTGGGCATTATCATGGGCTCGGACAGTGACTTGCCCGTGATGACCAGTGCGGCTCAAACGCTGAAAGACTTTGATGTGCCGTTTGAGCTTACGATTGTCAGTGCGCACCGCACACCGGATCGTATGCGTGACTACGCGCGCAGTGCGCGTTCGCGTGGGTTGCGCGTGATCATTGCCGGAGCTGGTGGTGCCGCGCACTTGCCGGGTATGGTGGCTGCTCAGACCGCTTTGCCTGTGATTGGCGTGCCTGTCAAGGGCAGTACTTTGGATGGTGTGGACTCGCTGCACAGCATTGTGCAGATGCCGGTACGTGTGGACTATTTATGCTAACTTCTCTCTAGCGTGGCGTACCTGTCGCTACTGTCGCGATTAACAACAGTATGAATGCTGCCTTGTTGGCGATTCGCATGTTGGGGACAGCCATGCCTGGCTACCTAGACAAGATGGAGACGTACATGAGCGATATGGAATCGGGCGTGATGCAGAAAGTGGAGCGCCTCGCGCACGATGGCTGGTCTTACAAGGTGCCGGGCAAGTAAGTAAGTAGTGGTGCCCCCTTCTCCGACGTAGTCGCTTCCGTAATCGTCCCCCCCGCATTTCCCTGTACGTGCCACGTGGCTGTTCCTTTTTTTTAAATGAAGAAGAATAGGACCCTCCCAGTTCTTCCATTTTCCCTCTTCTTTTTTTTGTGTCGTTGTTCTAGTGTGATCTCGTTTGCTTTACTATGGCCCCTCGTGCTCAAAGTCGTCTGTCTGCCGTTGTGTCGCACTTCATGTCACAGGGTGGTGAGGAATTTGACTACGTCATTGTGGGTGGTGGTACCGCTGGGTCGGTCCTAGCCAATCGTTTGACCGAAGATGCTGGATTGTCGGTGGCTGTGATTGAGGGTGGTCCTTCGGACGAAGGCATGGACCGGTACGTCTGCTTGTGGTATGACATTTTCTAACTGGCAGGGTGCTCAACCTGCGCCGCTGGCTTGAGCTGCTCGGTAGTGACATCGACTATGACTACACTACGACGGAGCAGCCCCGCGGCAACTCGCACATCCGTCATTCGCGTGCGCGTGTGCTAGGCGGCTGCTCATCGCATAACACGCTCATTTCGTTCTTCCCCTTCAATGAGGACCTGAACATCTGGCGTGATCACCATGGCTGCCCGGACTGGGGCGCGCCGACGCTCCAGCCGTATGGCACTCGCTTGAAGATGAACATTACGCCTATTGCGCCGCAGCAACGCAACCACGTCGTGCGCGACTGGGTGGAAGCGAGTTCGGCTGTGACAGGTGCACCGATCATGGAGGACATGAACTCGCAGATTGCCTACCGCGGTGGCTTTGACAAGGCCGTGGGTTTCTTTAACATTTCGTACGACCCGTACAACGGCTACCGCAGCAGCGCTAGCACGGCGTACATGCACCCTATTATGCCGCGTGGTGCGTCGCCTCGTAAGAACTTGCACCTGTTCCTCGAGACCTGGGTGCATGCGCTTGAGTTTGACGAGAAGGACCCGCTGCGTGTGCGTGGCGTGCGTGTGACGACCAAGACTGGCGCCCACAAGGTGATCCGTGCGCGTCGTGAGGTCATCTTGGCCGCAGGTGCGTTTGACACGCCGCGTCTGTTGTTGCTTTCGGGTATCGGCCCGAAGAACGACCTGGAGACGATCGGTATTCGATGCCGTCACGACCTCCCGGGCGTGGGTCTGAATCTGAACGACCATCCCGAGTCGATCATTATGTGGGAGACGCGTGACACCCCCAACGAGACGGTCATGTCATCGGATGCCGGTCTGTTTGTGCGGGCTCTGCCTGCGGACGCCGAGCCTGTGCCGCATCCCGGTCCGGATCTCATGTTCCACATCTACCAAGTGCCGTTCACAGAGAACACAGCGCGCGAAGGCTTCCCTGAGCCCAAGCATGCCATCTGCATGACACCCAACTGTATGCGCTCGCGTGGCCGCGGCAGGCTGTCGTTGGCGAGCTCGGACCCGAAGGTGAAGCCGTTGATCGATTTCAAGTACTTTGAGGACGAGGACCGCTACGATGAGCGCCTGCTTATCGAAGGTATCAAGCTGGCCCGCAAAATTGCCGAGCAGGAGCCGTTCAAGCAGCACCTGGTCCGTGAGGTGGCGCCTGGTCCCTCGTGCCAAACGGACGAGGAGATTAGTGCATACGCCCGTAAGGTGGCGCACACGGTGTACCACCCTGCCGGTACGTGCCGTATGGGCACACCGCCCAAGGCGGGTGCCTCGTCGGTGAGCGACGATGCGCGTACGGTGGTTGTCGACCAAAAGGATTTGCGTGTCGTTGGCATGAAGGGTCTGCGTGTATGTGACGCGAGCCTGCTTCCTACCATTCCGTCTGTGAACCCTATGCTGACGATCTTGATGATCGCTGAGCGTGGTGCTGAGCTCATTCGTAACGATGGCTGGATCAATGGCCAGCGCCGTACAGACTGGGCGTAAGGTGTTTTTTTGACATACAACCTCATACAGGCTATGTAGGTAAAATCATGACCATGACTTAAGGAGCGTCTTACGTAGTTCTATTTACTTTACATGTCTTCCATATGGTGCGATGCCATCGTCAACAACAGATTGAAAGCTTCATCGCGACGGGCCATGTTGGAAAGGATGAGTGAATTTTTGTGTCGTCGCGTGATCTTCAGGCCATGGCTATCCCACAGCCATAGCCGGTTGTGATGCGTCTTTCGCAACCCAATCATATCCTCCAAGCGCGTCACATAATGTTTCCCTGATGAGCCGACGACACGTACCGGCGAGAAATACATGTGTGTCGGCGTGACCACCAGATGGCCAGGTACACCATAGTGTTGACACAAAAAGGAATCCAACTTGCGCTTGTCCATCCATTGCCGCTCCTCCTTCTGCTTCGCCGCATGGTTTGCAGGATCCCGTCGCTTGAAGTAGGATTTCGGCATATCGCTGGCACCTCCCGGGGAGTGTGGCGTATCGGATCCACTAGCTCCACCGCTTTTACTTGCCTTGTAGGAGTCCGTGTTAGCTAGGAGCCAGTCTTGGTATCGAGCATGACGCTGACGAAGAAGTTGCACAGCCCATTGAGCATCGGTAGGCGAGCCCAGCACGGCCCACCACAGCGGGTTGAGCGCACGGCGGTAGCGTGGATACAGCGTTTGCAGCGGCATGAGCGCAAAAAAAGTAAATCCAAGGCCAAAAAAGAACGTCTTGAGGACCAGTGCAGCACTGCAGAACATGGTGAAGATCACAAGCAAAAAAAGCAACAGTGCTGTACGCTGACTTGCTTTGGGATTGCGCCATAATAGCAAGTTTTTGATTTTCTCATGAAAGTCAGCCACGTCGCCCGTCGCCACTTGGCTAAACACGCCGTAGGTACTCGCCCACCGCTTGTACAAGTCCAGAATATCCAAGCGACTACGTCGCTTCAAACGCTCAGCTAAGCGATTCGCATGTTGACCGCGCACCATACGCTCGTGCACCCGCTGATGCAGTAGTGATTCATCTTGCGGGAAATACCGAAATTGTAGCACGTAGTAGAATAGTGTTAAAAAGAAGGCGGTAGGAATCAGTTCCGTATACCATAATACAAAGTAAATCATCGCCGCAGCAGCTGTGCGGCGGCTATCTTCCCAGCTGTACAGCGCACGAAGATAGATCGCCAACTGCTCCCAGAACGGCGCAATAATGTACAAGCGTTCCACATGCGATCGTGCACGACTCTCGCGGTACTCTGTCACAGGTGCTTCGTCTAGATCATCGGGCGCATACTGCTCGACCAACGCTAGGAAGTACGCAATACAGTAGGCCACACCATCCACATGTTCTTCTTGGATCTCCGAAGAGATGCCTGTGACGTCCTTCTTCTGCACTGTATGGTGCGGCAACGGCTTGTCGTCTGCAAATGTAATATCAGTAAACGGTGGTGCATTGTCCAAGTTCGTATCCGAATCATAAGACAAGGGTGTGTGGATGGGCGTAGCATCTGTGGGCGTTGTCGGTATACTTCCTCGCACATTACTTTCCATAGGATTTGGCACCATAGGCAGCTCTTTCGCTGCGCTCGTAGGCAAATCCTGGACTTTGGATGAAGCAATGGGCTCGGATAAACGGCCCTCCTTCTCCTTCGAGCTGAGAAGGTTCCCAGTGGAAGAGGATAAAGTGACCCCTTCTACCATCTCAGGCTTCTCCAGTCGATGCAAGCCACGGTCTACGTGCGTAAGTAGACGTGAACGACGATGCCGATCCGCCAGTCCTGCACTAGGAGCAAATGGTTCCGCTCCTTCCTCTTCTTCTTCATCGGAGGAGTAGACAAAGTCCGACCATTGTGGCATACGAAGAAAGTGCTTTACGGCGCCTGGCAAATGAACTTCACGAGTATGCCGACTAAAGTGATTGAGGAATTCATTGATTTCCACTTCATCCAGCTCATGCAGCGTCTTGCTGAGTGCTGTCGAGCTCGGCGCACTTGGATGAAATTCAGGCGCGCCATTCTTCACTGAGTGATCTTCTTCGTCAATGATACTCCATGTCTCATCCACATCAGAATGCGCTGGCGATGAGAAGCGTAAGTCATCATGATCATCCGCTAGCCGTGCCACTGAAGCTCTAGGCCTCTTACTCTTGCTTCTTGGTCTCCAAGATCGATGTGATTTACGCTGCGCCGGGTATGAAAAGTAATCCTCTTTCACCTGGTCTTTCTCGACGAGCTCAAATTCTTCGGACCCAGGTGAGTCTGCATCCATATGCATCATACCATGCTGCTTATCCATCCCATGGTCTTTCTCTGCAGCCGACCTGGTCGAACCATCCGCCTCAGTTTCTCTTGTCCAAGGGAGAAACCCTGTATACCCACTGGCGGAGTCTTCCAATCCTAGCAAAGACGGAAGCCGCAATGATGCCATGATCAGCTCACGCGCGCCATTACTCTTCCCTAGCCCGTCCTTATGATAGTCCGAGGGATCCGCTATTAGACCATGTATATGTCCACCTGGCATGGTGGGTCCTTGCGACTCCTCCCGCTGCATAGCTGTTGTGGCATCCCCTTGTTCCTCTGTCTCGTCGGCTTGCATTGTCGTATCGGCTTCTAGCTCATTAGGAGGCGTAACAAACCCGGACGAGTCATTCGCATCTAGTTTCTCTTGAGCGATACCCGCTTCCGATATAGCAGGCGCAGCTTTAGTTCTTTTCCGCCATTCGCGTGTATTTGGTGTTTGATGCCATTCATCACCAACCACACCCATGCTCCTTCTCCTGGAAACAAAATCTTTATGAAAGAAGGAGCTTGAACGTGTACTTGAGCGTGAGAGTTCGGACCCAGAGGCCTCGCCCTTTTTATCGTGACTCTTTCGGCTGGAAGGTGTGAAAACATTTTTTATGGATCCCACGACACTACGGGAAAGCTTTCGCTTGGGCTGATTTCCCTCCATAGTGCAGTCCTCCTATTAAAAAGTCTTCTTGGTATTGTATTACAGTACTTCAGCAAAGATAGCCGATGTATTCTCCTCCCAATGGTGATGCAATGCAGATGTGTAAGGTCCGGCGATCCTCCGGGTGGCGCTTTTTTTATTTAGCATCGCACGGCCTACCTCCACACGGCCTTTCACGTGAAATTGAAGTAGAACAGGAAAACGCAAGAAAGTGTCCTATTTTGAAAGTTTCATTGTACGCGGAATCTTTGCCGGGTTGGATTGCTACGACCCTCACCTGGACATAGAAAATATTATCGTACAGGTTTCGCTCTCGTGTAGCATTTAGGGTGCTTATACCTACACAGTCTAGTGACCTTTTGATTAACATGGTTGAACACGGTCCTCTGACTTGATCGAAATTTCTTATCACAATCGCATCTTTAAAAAAGACCTTTCTCTCACGCATAGACATTGAACACACAAGCAGCTATTATAGTTTCATAGAGGCCAAATGGCACACTTCCATTCCTGCTACTAAACACTGCATTTCTGGAAGTACACAAAATAACAGTAAACCGGCTCAAGAGACCATATCATAAACCCGTGGTTTACGAGCGGCGCTTGAGGTTAGTGCTCAGCTGAAGGAGTTAGCCAGTGTCCTTATATGTACTCCTGATACATACCCATTCGAGACCCTCGTACAGGCCATCACCACTGGTGGCGCAAGTGGCCTGGATGAACCTAGAGACCTGTTAGCATACACATCGTTATTTTGTAATACATACCATTGACGCTGACGCAGGCTGTGCAGGCCAAGCTTATCGGTGATTTCAGCAGCGTTCATCGCGTTCGGAAGATCCTGCTTGTTGGCAAATACAAGGAGAAGAGCGTCACGAAGCTCATCCTCATTCAGCATGCGCTGGAGCTCTTCACGAGCCTCGGGAATACGCTCACGGTCGTTAGAGTCAACCACGAAAATGATACCCTGGGTGTTCTGGAAGTCTTAAGGTTAGTTGTTCTTGATCAAAAAATACATACAGTGACGCCAGAGAGGACGAATCTTGTCCTGACCACCAACATCCCACACGGTGAACGAGATGTTCTTGTACTCCACCGTCTCGACGTTGAAACCTGTCCGTGTTAGCCTCTGCACTCTCCCTAGACCAACAAAATACATACCGATAGTGGGAATAGTGGTGACAATCTCACCCAGCTTGAGCTTGTACAGAATGGTGGTCTTACCCGCGGCATCCAGACCTACCATCAGGATACCTGATCATGTGTTAGCACATCGAAGGTACCATAGTATGAATATACATACGCATCTCCTTCTTGCCGAAGAGGCCCGAGAGCAGTCGCGACACAGACAATCCCATTGTGTTAGTACGTGTCGAAAGTGAACAAGTTTCTTGTTGTGAACGGGGGCCGGAAAACGACAACCAAACACGATAGTTTGCTTATGTGTTGATGTAGCCTTGTAGGTCGTGTTCTGGCCACCGGGAGGCATGCAGGTGTCGCATTTGCTGGCGCGTGCCGCAGTTTGCTTATGTGAGGAGGCCCGATTGTCTTGTGGCGTACGGACGCGTAGGGCTCTGCCTTGGTGGATGGTCCAGGTACAGAGTGAATTCCCAAGGGGAGTCTAGCCTTTGTATGCCTTTCGTGTTTGTACTTTCTTATGTGCTAGAGTAGGATGAGCTGTCTCTATGTTTTGGCTCTTTTTTCTACGAGACTCCTAATTTCAATGTAGTGTTGATTTGTGGAATGACCTGCTAGCATTGCAATACAAGTTGCTCATTCCCTCTCTGTCCCTTTCCTTCACCATCCTCTTTGCTAAATAACTCTAGTACTCCAACCAGGATTGATATATCACGTAGTACTCACTCATTCTATCTGAAATGTAGGGTCCCCGATTTTCAATACCAGAAAATGGAGCTTCGAGCCAGAATATTACGCAGCAAAAAAATTCCACACTTCTTTTTCTTAAACTCTTACGTTGTCTGCTATACCAAGTTGGTGTGTCGCCCCATGGCTCATCGACATGGACGCGGACCTACATTGAAAAGGGAGGCTACTAATGCGTGCCGGTAGACCATGTTTTGCTCGTTGACCGGGGCTGCTTCGCTGCCTCCCAACATATATTTATCGAAATGGCCAAGTCGTATGATGATTTTGATACCAGAGTCTCTCGCGCCGGAGCAAGTCTGCCTTTTGGTACTTGTCTAACGGGTGAGGCTCGAGGCTGCCATATGTCTGGATTTTGGGGTGCAGTGCAGGGCCTTTGTTTGCTACTAACGAGTTCATTTGCACCGCATAGGCTATTGCCCACTGCTCAAGTGTGCGAGGTTGACGGTCTTTTGCGTGTTTTTGTTCTACGTGCAAACTTTGATGCTTTCGCTTCTGTTCTTCAATTTGACTTGTCCTGGAATAGGTTTGGATACGGATTTGCTGACTGACATTGTCCATGCGGATCTGTATACATTCATGCTTCCAGTCCACGTCTGCTATGCTGAGACAATGAAAGCGTAGTTCCAGATCTTGTCTCATGCCATCCGGGGCCGAATATAGAGTCCCAACTACGCGGCAGTGCCTATTACTCCCTTGCAGCCACGACTTAGCTTGGTCACTTGCATACGTATCGACCCATTTTGTGACCGGGGTTGAAGCATGCAATCGATGAAGCCATTTCGCGGCTTGATGGAGGATATGCAATGCTTCGAATGGAATGGGCTCTTTGCATGGCTTGTGGCAGAGCAATGGCTCCTTGTCAGGGTTGGGTATGTTATCGCCTTCATCAGCCAGTAGTAGGACTGCATATTGCCCATGCGAAGGTATGCGCCAGTATCTCCATGTAGTAGCCTTACCACTTATCAGGGACCGATTCCATGCCGCTGTCAGTTCGCCGCCCATGTGAATCTGGAAATAACCATATTGGTGTCGATGATAACTAGGAAGCATTCCCCATGTACTTAGGCTGGACAGCTTGTAAGCTTCTATGTCCGCTTTGGTCCATACACGCTGCGTCATGGCGGTGCAAAGCGCGTTCTGCGAGAGAGCGCGAGGTGCATATGCTCTTCACGTGACCTGATCAGGAGCGCGTTGCAGTGCCAGTGAATGTCCAACGCTGTGATGGCCCTTGCTCCCTTGACACGATGGGGCGTAAGCGTACACGTACTACACGTACCTCTCGCAAGCTGACAGAGGCGCAGATCCAGGAGGTGTTGGAGAATTTTGACCTGGAATGTATGTCTCGTCGTGCACTAACCTGTAGGCGAGAAGCAGATTGCCCGTGTCGAGCGGAGTGCATATCGTTACTTGGAGGCGGCCAAGGCGCAAATGGACGCTCGCATCCATAAAATTCCGCCCGATGTGCGCCATATCACGTTGCAAGAGTACTATGATCTGCATGCACGCTCCGCCTCTGCGGAGAGGGGGCGTCACATTCCCCCTTTAGCCATGGCGTCTTTGCCTGATACATCTCTGTCTACGAGCAACGCTATTTAGCGGCGCGGCGGCCCGCGCTTCCGTTGACTTGGGAACGATAGCGGAAGACGAAGACGCCATCGTCGTTCTTGCGTGGTCGTCACGCCTTCTTCATCGACGCCATGCTGTGTCGCCTGTGAGCTCGAGCAGCCCAGAGACTTGAACATTTCGTTCACTCTAGTAGAGTTAGATACCCATATACGCATGATGCACATACCTCTGCACGGGGACAGCCAACTCTTGGGCCACAGGCTGGGGTGCAATGTTGAATTCCTCAAGATGCAGACCCAGCACTAGGATATGAGCCAGCAAGCGCGTCTCGCCTGTGGCGGTCAATACATGCCTGAGATTGTTAGCTTTGGTGTGCAACATACCGTTGCGAGCTACGAGCCTGCTCTGCAAACTGCGACGTGAGGTGCTCAATGACGATGTCCTTCTCGTGGTCTGGCAGTCGCATCTTCTGTGCCACATGCGACGCGCCATCATCGCTTTTACCCAGGCCCCGAGCTTGCTTACGGAAAGCGAGAAGAATGGAGATATAGTAGCCAAGACGAACCAATTCCATCGCCTTGGACGAGGAGCCTGCGTCATTTTGAGCAGTTTGCACCAACTGCCACATGCGAGGGAGCAGCCAGGGCGATGGGAGGGACAGAGAGCGAAGAGACTTTCCGAGGTCTGCCTGCGATGTGCACTTGAGCAAGTGACGTGTGTGCAATGCCTTCAGTACCGTCGCAGGGACCAGTTCGTCCATGGGATATACATCAGCCGGCTCGCCCGCGTCGACATGGGCCTGTGGCAGTGCACGGCTAGCACTTAGCGCAGCGGCTAGTTCCTTTTCGGAGGGAAGAGTGGCTGCCGATTCATCGATGCCCGAGGCGACATGCTCCAGGATGCTGTCCATGTTCTCTGTATTGACCTTCATACGGTCCATATTGCGAGCTGCTTGCTTTTGTTTCTTATTGCCAAAGGCTTCACCAAGATCGCGGCGTGCCTTGGTATAGTCAAAGCCATCGTTCGTACCTGTCTCTGTCGCCATAGCGCTAAGTTGCGACAAGGCCTTTACAGAGCGGTTCATCGTAAAGAGAGGCACAGTGCGCAACGTCACCTGCTTGGTCTTTTTATCGTACACACCCAGCACATAGTTGCCCGAGTATCCACGTGTCTCACGACGCAGCTCTGGCGTGGTCTGCGCCGAAGCGCCCCATCCCCAGTTGCTACTATTGTATTGCATCACATTGGTATCCCCTGCCAGCAAAAGACGGTCGTTTAGTGTTGCCGACTGTGGCGCATGAGGTGTTTCATCATTCCCATCGTTCGATGCACGGTACAAGTGGAACTTGGTACGCTTATCTGGGCAAAAGTCCGACAGAGATACTGCCTGTTAGCGCCAACGATGGCGACGTACCTAAGACTGGGCCGATTGGCTCTGTGTCATCCGCTTGCAGTGTGACAGCGTCCTTGCTGGAGCTGGACGCCTTGCGTTTGGAAGTGGGCTCTGATCCAACCTCCTTCGATGCACGGCGCTTGGAAGCACTCGACTCCGACGGCATCGTGGGGACCCAGCTGGTGGAATGAGCTCACGCACCCCTCCCTGCCGACCCATTTTTTTTTGACGGGGGACGAAGCAGCTTAGCAAGCCTCCACTGTCGACAGGCGCGTGCACGAGATGACAGCCGGCCTTGCAAGCTTCGCTTGCTGCGTGCGTCATGTGGTGGGGTCGCTCTGCCTTGCGTGCTGTGCGCGCACCATGGTCTCACAATCCGCGTAGACTGCTACTGAAGGGTGTGCGGTGGAACTCTGTAGATGCACACACGAATGAAGGTGCCCTTAAAAAGATCCTGGTGGATTCGATCAAGGTACGTGCAGAGGTTGCTCCTTGGCTAACTCCCACCTAGACTCGTGGACCTCTTACGATTCCTGCGTACATGCAAGCATGTCTTACGAACCCTGATTATGGCTACTATGCAAGTAAAAGCAATGCGGATACGACGGGGATCCTGGGTGCAGGTGGTGACTTTATTACCAGCCCTGAAATTAGCCAGGTGTTTGGTGAGCTGATGGCCATTTTTTTCATCTCTCGTTGGCAATCGGCTGGCCAACCGTCGCGCGTGCGCCTCGTAGAGCTGGGTCCCGGACGTGGTACGCTGCTCAGTGATATGCTTCGTACGTTTGCTGCCTTCCCAGATATGTTGGCGGCGCTGCGTTCCATTGAGTTGGTCGAGGCCTCGCCCTTGTTCATTGAGCGCCAGGAAGCGATGCTGAACGAGACCTTGGGCAAGTTCGGCCGTTCGCTGGCCAATGCGGATACGCCTATCGACGCGCTGGCGGAGCATGAGATTCGTGTGGAATGGTTTGCTTCCTACGACCAAGTGCCGGTACAGCCGGATGCATGGACGATCGTCATGGCACATGAATTCTTCGATGCGTTGCCCATTCACATCTTCGAGAAGCAGCTGGATGGATGGCGCGAGGTTATGGTCGATATTGACGAGGCGAAGAGGCCTGTGACCGTCATCAAAGCCTCTGACCTGGGCAAATCGGACCAGGACAAGGAGCCAGAGCTCCGCTTTGTTTTGTCGCCGGGTGCTACGCCGTGGTCGCAGCTCTTGGCGGCCAACTCGGAACGTTTCAAGGCGCTCCAGCCGGGTCAGCGCGTTGAAGTGAGCCCCATTAGCTGGGCAGCGGCTCGTCGCTTTGGCGAATTGGTGTCCGGTTACCCTGCTTTGCGTCCCACGACCAATGGAGAGACGGAGGCGCCCAGTGCCGACGTGGCGGCGCAACGGACCAAGCCATCCATGGGCGGATGTGGCTTGATGATCGATTATGGTGCGAACCATTTCTTCAGCCACAGTTTCCGTGCCTTCCGTGCCCACAAGATTGTGGACCCTCTCTCGCTGCCGGGCCAATCGGACTTGACGGCGAATGTGGACTTTAGTTTCCTGGCCCAGGCTGTGGGGACGACCGACTCCCTGAGTTATGGCCCAATGCCTCAGCGCGAGTTCTTGACGGCGTTGGGTCTATCGCTTCGTGTCAAGAAACTGCTCGAGTCAAACCCGCCTGCGCGTGCGAAGGTCATTGAGCAGGCGGCCGCTCGTCTGATTGACGCCCACGGTATGGGCAAGCAGTACCAAGTCCTTGGCGTATCCGCGCCGGCGCAAGCCTCTGCGGGTGCGAACGAGCCAGAGGAGGTCTACCCTTTTATGTAATGAAGCATGTAGTGATTTTACGTACTACGAAGCCGGCGCCTTCGCCTCAGCCTCCGCGTCTACCTCCATTTCGCCCTCGGCTTCTGCATCGACGTCCGCCTCGTTCTCCGCCTCAGCGTCCACGTCCACATCTGCGTCAGCATTGTCGGAACGCGACGGCGTCTTGCGCACACGGTTTTCACGACGCTCGATCGACTGTGTCAACGTGGTGGTGCGCTGCGTAATACCACGCGTCTTGTCAATGACCGACTGGTATACATTCGGACGCGATTGGTTAATGCGCACCAGGCCATCCTTGAACTCGATCTTGCTGTCTGTCTTGCCATCCGCCGCCAGCGACGCAAGCCACTTCTCACATTCGTCCGGCGACTGACTCACGCGCTTCGCGAGGTCGGCCACCGTGACGTTCTGGTGAATACGGCAGTACACTTCTGTCGTAAGCAGACGTGCCTGCTCCATGAACGCAGTCGCATGGTCACGCAGGAAAAATTCCGTCGAGATCGCCTTCTCTGCCTTGGCCAGCTCTTCCGGCGCGTGATCAAAGTCCAGGTCCACGTAGAGGTAACGGAAAAAGTCCACAAACGGATCCGCACGCAGACGGTACGACTCCATCTGGATCACCTTGGAGACCTCACGCAGCGCAGCCTGCGTCGACATCTTGGTGTTTTGCGAAGAGCCACTGCTGTCGACAACGAAGCCGCGCGTCGCTTGCCGCCGGGTGAGAATAAGGGCTACGACGAGGTAGCGCAGCAGCCACCAGCACGACATCTGCATCGTGCTCAGGTACGCCGGGCTCAGGTACATTTCCACCAGCTTCACACGGCCCGTTGGGTTGTTGAAGAACACAAACAAGCTCCAGTGCAAGAGCCACACACGCTTCTGCAAAATCTCTTCATGCGTCGCAGTGTTCTGGCCCAAGGCGCCAGGCGCCGTCGTGCGCTGCGCATCGATGTGCTCCCGCAGCAGCCGCACATCGTCCAGGGCGCGGTCCCACTCTCCTGTAAGGATCGCGCAGGCCAAGCGACCCCAAAGGCACGACTCGGTGTTCTTACTCTCTGGCGAGAGAATCCAGTAGTGGTATAGGTACGACGAAGCCTCCTTGTACTTGCCACACGAGAAGAGGAAACGGCCATAGTCATACAGCACGTTGACCTGGTCAGCGGTCAGCTGGTAGTTCTTCTGCAGCCACTCCATGTTGACGGCCTTGTCCTGCTTCAGTTGCGCGGCCACATTTGGGTCTTCAATCACCGTCAGGACACGCTCGGCCTCCTTCTCCAGCTTCGACTTCTTCTCTTCCAGCATCTTTCCGCGTTCCACCACGTCGCTCGGCTCTGCTTCGCCAGGGAACGCTTCGCGATGGAACTGCAAGGTAAAGTCTACCATGTCGGTCAGCTTAGCCAGCTCATACTGCGCCTTCGCTAGCTCCTTTGCATCAAAGAGCTTAGTCGTGTTCAAGTGCGCCAGCAGAGGGAAGCCAAGATGCGGATCCAAGTACGCTAGAAGCGTCTGCGTCAGATCGTACTCCGCCATGGTCGATCCAGCAGCAGCGTAAGCCGTCCGAAAATGCAGAGACAGTTTTCTTCGGGCATGTGGACCTACTAGGTCATTTTACATAACTGCTGACATGCACGCTCCCTCGCCCATTAACATAGACAGACTGACCATCAGCAGGACTGAGTGTGCGCGACCTTTGTGAAGACGTTCGCCAAGTGATCCGCCAGTCCTTCTGGACACAGAACAACGTTCGGCTTCCCATACAACAAAACTAGCAAGCTCCTATACGATAGATCGGCTTTTATTGACGATGTCGACGCACTAGGCGTATACCCACACAACATCTCCCCACCCCAATAAGCAGAATGGGGCGGGCATCTGGCAGCCACTCTCCTAGCTATCGTTCGTTCACACAGCAAGATGCAATTCCAAGGCTCGTCACAACGAGACTGTGCATTTTTGACCACTATGTGGCTAGTATATAAGGCGTACAGAAACGAGCACCTTAGTGACCGCTGCGGCGCTGCTCAGCGATGACACCGGTGAGGATCTCCATCTTGCTGTACAATGTTAGCATTTTTCAGAATATCATAGATACATACCGCTTAGCGCGGCGCAGGGTACCAATGCGGCGCTTGATGAACTTGCGCGCACGCTTGTCCTGCAACGGTTAGTATACAAGTCCATGCCCGCAAGCCAGTATCGACGCTTAGAAAGACATAGATAGTGAATAGAGAGCACACCCCATCGTACGATACATGTCACCACCATGCTTTCCAAGTGGTGTGCACTGGCTTGCTTGTCACACATACCTTCGAGTTACGGATCAACTCCATAGCACGGCGCTCGTAGGGAGCGAAGCCAGCGACCTCACGCACAACGCTGCGGATGGTCGTCACGCGCTCACCCGCGACAGCCTTCTTGCTGACGGGCCGGGGAGCGAGGACACGGCGGGTGGTAGGGTGACCACGGTTAATACCCCAAACGAGACCTGATAATATGTTAGCCCCTCTATTCTCATGATGATGATGATGAACACATACCAGTGCGCGGGACGCCTGCCTTGTGAGCCGGGTTCGAAGAGCTGCCCATCTTGTTGGCTTCTTGACGAAAGGTAGGGAGCAGCAATACGCGGCGCTGGGCTAGACGGCCTTCCCTCCCACAGAGCTAGAAAATGTCACGTGATGGACTACATTTCTGTGATGGATGATGAGTCAGCATCCGTGCGCAAGGCCCACCCCGCAACGCGTGTACGCGCAGGGTCGACGGGGACTGTGGTGCGCACTGTGTGTCTTGTTCAACGATGCCGCTCCTTCCTCTAGGGGAGCCTCCGTCGTTTACCGATGCATCGTCGCAAGAAAAGATGGAGGAGGCAACACCTTCATCTTTTGCGTCCATGCCTCCACGGCTTGTATTGGAGCTCGACGACGTACTTGTTGTGATGAAGCCGGTGCCTTCGTCTCTTGCGACGGATGCCAAAGAGGCATCAGCCTCCGGTCGCCTATGGCTTACAGAGGAGCATCTTAGTTTTCTCCCCTCTGATGGCAACGCTACATTGCTACCTGGCTTTCAGCTGACATACCCGATGGTGGCCTTGCATGCCATCGCTCGATCTGTGCCTGAGGAAGCCCAAGCAACTGGTTCACACTGGTACCAAGACGCCTGTTTGTACAGTCAGCTGGACGAACATCCCGAGCGGGATGCGGACGATGAAGAAGAAGAAGAGGAGGTGCATGAAATGTGGATCTTGGCGCGGGATGACGTTTCACGTATGTATCCTATGCTGACTTACCTATAGTGGAGCGCTTGTACGAGGCTTTATCGCATTGTGCATCACTGCATCCATCTGTGGCTCCCGAATCCAACGATGCGCATCCCTTTGCAGGGATGGCACCGTTTGGCTCTGGGCTTTCACATGGGGATGACGATGGCCACGATGCGACCTCGGACGCAGAGGAGGAGACATCTACGGGAAGGGTGAGGACCGATTTCCAAACACCGGATGCACGCTATCGACCATATTAACGATAGATACCTACTTCGCAAACATGGGACGAAACGAATACGCTCATGTTTGCCAATATTCCCACGGCGTTTTTTGAGTCTGAGCCGCTCATGGACTTATTCCATACCCTGTTGCATTCGTACGGCACGTTGGTCTCATGCTCTCCCTTGCCCGCGTTTGGGCGGTGTATTGCGGTGTATGAAAAGCCTGAAGAGGCTGCGTATGTAAAGCATGCCCTGGACCGACTTTTGCTGCCGTATGAAAGGGAAGAGTATGGCGATCTAGGTGAGCCCGTTCGTGTGCTTACGAGAGACTTTTCCTCGGCACACAAGGAAGGGTACGTTTTGAGGAAACTGACAGTCAGCGCCATTTTGCGGGTGTACTTTGATCGGCCTACACCGCTGGTCTTACTGCCTTCGGGGGAGTATGTGCCTGCGCGCACCCTCGAGGCCTCCAAGCCTTATTTAGAGCCGCCAGCGCCTGAGCGTGAATTCCTTATTAGTCCGCCAGGCAGTCCACCGGTAGGCTGGGAACCACGATCAGAAGATCGGCCTAATACTGATACCCTTGCAGAAGACCTCATTGAAGCGCTACAGGCTTTGTCTGCCGCACAGGCCACAACTGACGACACGGATGTGTCCGAGAAGACGCCGACCGCGCCTGCCTCTAACGTGCCTACGATGCTGATCCCTTCTACAGCCATGACGATCCCTGGCGTCGTCTTGCATGAAAGTGAGACGATGGAGTCTATGACTGCACCACGTTCTTCCATTCATCAAGTCAAAGCCACAATAGAGAGCCTTCATCAGCCTACAGCACGTCCACCTATGTAGATCAACATATTATCACTTCGCTTTGGTATCACTCTCCGTCTTGGTCTTCGGCTCAGTCTGAGTCACAGTCTTGAGCTCGGTCTCGGCCTCCGTCTTTGTCGTGGTAGTTGCACCAGTCTCTGATGCCGTCTTCGGTTCGGTGGCCGCTGCGACGGTGTCTGCGTGAGTCGGTTCTGGATACAGCGTTTGGGCTGTCTGACCATACTGCTGACTGGGCACATACGCCTGTTCAGGCAGGCCCGTTTCGTCGACCTGCTCCGCCGCCTCGACCACTTCATACATGACAGACGCAGCCTCGGGCGCCGGCACCTTGCCAGTCAGCAAGTCCATGGCCGGAATCGGCTGGCCATAGAACTGTGCGTTGGCATCCTTGCGTTCCATAAGGACGGTGCCCTCTAACGACACGCCACCGTACAAGCCCTTGCTGCGGCTATACGTGAACATCGGGGCGGCATGCACGATGGCTGAGGAGACAGCTGCACCCGTACCGATCGGACCGACCGACGTGCTCAAGTTGCCTCCGATCGTTAGGTTGCCCGACATGCCAAAGGAGCGCACAGCCTCTTCACTGTTCATCACAATCACAAACTCAGTGATATCAGCGCCGATTTGGAAGCCGAACCCGACACCGCCAGTCATAATACAGCTGGGTGCTGACCATGAGCCGTCCGGCAGCCGTGCCGTCACAACACCACTACCAGCCTTGCCTGACCACACGAAACCTGCTTTAACGACTGTGAAAACAGCCAGGCCCTTGGCCTGCAGGAGGACAGCTTTCGGGATGGAGTTCAGGGCGGACGTAGGGTTGGATGGGTCCGCCAGGAATCCCTGCAAAATGCTAGCGGCACGCTGGCATTCGGCAGGCAGTCTGTAGGTTAGGGAGGGCCACAAATACGTACGTAAATCCAGCTTGCACATTGCGAGCCTGTGTCTCCAGCTGCGTCTGTGCACGCTGTGCATACATGCTAGCCTTGTCTGTGAGTTGATCATAGAGAGCCTACCTGGGTACCTGCCTTACGGGCAGCCTGCTTGAATCGGTCCATATACGACATGGTGGCGTGGAGCTTGCGTCCCCGGATGAACAGGCCACGTCCTCAGGATGGTGGTGGCCGGTGCGTCATCACGTGCCGTGCCTCGCGTACCTCGTCGTGGTGTTAGACGCTCTTCCTCCACCATTCTCCCACCTAACATGGTAATGGGCCGGGCTGATTGGCAGGCATCGTCTCGGCCCCTGCTGTTTATTGCAGTGAGCCTAGCTATGCTAGGCATTGCGCTCTTGTCGTTCCAGTGGACGCCTCAGATGCTGGATTTGCGACAAGAGTGCAGTATGGCGTACATGCATCCCACGTACGTCGTGCACGATGCGCAGCTTCGCGCGTTCTCATCGTCACGTTCTCCGGTGATGCAAAAGTACTCACTGCGTGAGTACCGCGAGATGAACGCAACGCCGAGTCTTACCACGAAAGACCGTACGATGCATGCCTCGCCTGTGCTTTTTATCCCTGGGAATGCAGGCAGCTTTGCACAGGTCCGCAGTATGGCCGCGAGTGCGTCGGACCAGTTTTGGGCGAAGTACTTTGACAAGCCGAACGAGGAATTTGCCGATGCGCCGGGCCCTGTCAACTGGTTCACCATCGACTTCAACGAGGACTTTTCTGCGTTCCATGGCCAGACGCTGCGTGACCAGGCGTTCTTTGTCAACGAGGTCGTGCGGTACTTGCGTGAACTGTATCCTCTGTCATCCAGCGAAGGCAACGCTACTGTGCCGTTGGTAGGCCATAGCATGGGAGGCTTGGTCGCTCGCCTAGTGCGCCACCTGCCGAATTACGTGCCTGCGAGCGTGGATACGATCGTCACGCTCTCAACACCGCATGCGTTCCCACCCGTCCCCTTTGATCGAACAATCAATGACGTGTATATGCAGCTTGAACGGCCGATCGAAGGCCCGGAGCCGCTGCTTATCTCGATTGCAGGCGGTTTGCTGGATACACAGCTCTCGTCTGATGCCTCTTCCCTGACACTTGGCGGGATTCATGCGCCAATGTCGCGCTTGTCGACGTTCACGACGTCGGTATCTGCGCTCTGGAGCTCGACAGATCACCTGGCTATTGTATGGTGCGACCAGTTGCGATTCAAGATTGCGCGGGGGATGCTGCGTGACTACAAACACTACGGTCGTGTCTACGAAGCACGGAATACCCCGTCCGTGCAGGGCCAGCGCCGTGAGTTTTGGCGACATCTGCTGGGCATCCCACTGGACGCAGCCGCGGCGGACGACAAGGCCGTGGCTATTGCAGCAGCATCGGAAGGGCCCACTAGCTCGATCTACCTGGACCGCCATTTCCTACATACGGATCTGGCCAAGTATGAGCCTGAGCTCTTAAATCGCATCCACGTGCCGGATATCAATGTCGCGGTATTCAAAGCGCTTGCGCCGCCTGGCCCGCGGCAGACGTATACCGGCCAGGTGACAGAGAGCGATGAGGCCTTGGCTTTTGAGCTCGTCACCAACCTGGCCATCGGCGCCAACCCGGACGTGGGCCATGTCGTGAGCCAGATCAACGAAATCTTTGTCACCGTCTGCTCGCGCAAACCGGCCGTGGAAGTGGAGCAGGGCGAAATCGAGCCGGCATGGTGCTACCCCATTTTAAATACAGCGTTTGACCTGCTTCCATGGTCTGTCCCACCACAAGAAGAGCCACAGCGTGCGCCCTTCTTCCCTGAAGCCCGCTACCATTACGACCATCCCAGCATTTCGCTGCACCGCTTGTATCTCAGCCATGAATTCCTGCGCGCACACCATGTGGAAACCGTGCGTGTAGAGTATACCCGGCGACCAGCGCAGCATCCAAGTGCCTTCAATGTCTCCACGGTCCTGGAGATGGGGTGGACAGAGAACAAGCCGTTTGTCTTACGTGGCGCTCCGTCCTGGTTCAAGTCTACAACATGGGACTTGCCTGGCGTGAACGTGCTTGATCTGCTTAGCTCGTTTGAAGAGCATGCACCCCTATGGGAATGGGATCTGCCCGATATGGATTCGTCGTTGCTAGCCTATACGCTGACGCTAGAGCCAGCTCCTTGTGCGGCGCGACTGAACCCGCCGCCACCACATACGCCGCCGATGGTGCGTGTGCTGAGCCAATCGACAGGCGACTCACGCCTCTTCCCCTCCCTCGATGTGTTCCATACCAACACGCTGCCGGTTGCATTGCATGGCCCAGCGCCGTTCATGCCTGTGCCATCTCATCATGGCTGGCGTTTCCAGTTGTGGCTGCTTGATACGTACAGACACACAGTGTTCTCCAGTACGTACAACGAGCGCTGCCCGCTGCCCTTCACGACGCTTCGTGCTTCTGTGCATTGGCGTGCGAGTCTGGGATTGCTGGTCCTTCGCTACCGTTTGGCCCTGCTGGTCTTCCCGCTCGGCTTCCTGGCACTGGCACGGTGGCAGCCCGGCACGCCATGGCATGCGCTTACGTCGACTGTGCTAGGCCCAGGTATGGCCTATGCGCTTGGCACGGCAATTCTCCTGCATGTGTTTCTGCATCTGGGCGGCGCGTTGGGTGCGCCCAAGCACGCCCTCGGTATCGGTACAACATCGTTCCAATTCTTGTGGATCGGGCCTGTGCTTCTTGTTCTCGCAGCGGCACTGGCCCTGACGATGTGTGCGATCACTACTGGCGGCCTTGCGCTATGGTACGCCCTAGTACGCCGCTATATGCCTTCGCTGGTCACACCTGGCGTAGCGCCGGAGCCATTGACCACGCTCCCTACGCGTCTTGCATGGACGCAGTGGCTGACACGCCGACGTACCTGGATCTCTATCGCGACACTGCTTACGCTCTTGATCTTTTTGCCGTACCAAATTCTTATCGTGCTGGCGGCCATGGTCCACGCGGCTACCACGGCGCAATCGTACATGGCATACCACGAAGCGCGGCGTCGCACACCTGCCGATCCACGCCTCGTCGAACTTCTGCAAGAGTCGTATACGCACAACGCATGGCTCTTGCAGTTCCTCGTCTGGTTCGTGCCCTTGCATGCACCGGTTCTCGTGGTTTGGATTCGCAACGTCAACGCTGGCTTCTCGATGGGCGCAGCACGAACTGAGCACAATGCATTTGCGGTGCTGCCATTGGTGGGTCTAATGTACTTGTACGCAGCGCCATGGTCGTTTACGCGGCCCACCGAGTCTGTGTTTACTGTGGGCACACGCGTCATGTACGGGCTTCTAGCGCTGTGCGCGCTGATTTACGGCATTCGGTACAGCTATATGGTCTATGAATCGTTTGTTCTAGTCCTGCTGTGGGAAATCGCACAGCTTGTGTGGCCTCTGTACCACCCTGCACCGGTCTTTGAGTCCATCCAGCTGGACGACGTATCGCATTTGCAAGTCCCACCTGCCGTCGAGGCCTCTTCGCAAATCGATACGTTGCTTGAGACGTACTTGGCGACGCTGGATGCGTACTTGCAAGCACGAGACCAGCTCACGGAGTCGCTCCAAGCTGGTTTCGTGCAGCTGACACGCGCCAAAATGTCGTTGGAAGGCACGTTCGGGCAGCGGGTCGGTCGAGATGCCTACGATGAGCGCATGTCCGCACAGATCCGTGTTGCGATGGACGCGGCGATCCCTTCTGCCCCGACAACGTCATCTCCTAAGACCGAAGGGCTGCGTCGCCGTCATGGCACACCACAACAGACGGACAATGAGCCTAAGGAGCGTGAGATTCCTACGCCTGAGGCGCAAGGCTTCGATCCTCTGTACCAATTCAGCGGCCTCCCGCCACGGTCCCTAAAAGCCGCGCAACGTCATTTCCAACAAGCCACATCGATTCTAGTGCAAAAGGACGGGGAGACAACTGCATGGAAGACCATCTACGAACTACAACAATCCTTGCACGCATTAGAGCAGCAAATTGAAGCTTGCCGTAGCATGTAGGCCTATGTCGAGGCATGTAATGAGTGTATGCATATTAGTCCTCTGTACGAGCCACCTTTGTAGGCTCCTCCTCCTCGTCCTCGTCGTCGTCGTCGTCATCACCATCATCATCGTCGTCATCATCGTCGTCCTCAGCTTTGCGCTTTTCGCCCACTTTGGCACCGCTGCCGTGTCAGTCTCTACCTGAACCACGTACCTTGCGCCAGGTGCGTTCTCTTCCTCGTCGTCGTCGTCGTTGTCGTCGTCATCATCATCATCATCATCATCATCATCCTCCTCGTCGTCTTCTTCTTCGTCAAAGTCCTCCTCGTCGTCATCGTCCTCGTCTTCGACCTACTCATTAGTGCACAGTTTTACGTACAAAGTCTTCATCCTCTTCCTCATTGTACTCCTCCTCCTCGTCATCATCGTCATCTTCAGCGCGAGCCTTACCGGACTTCACGTCCGAAATAGGCTCCGATGCCGTGGCAGGCGCACCTGCCGAGGTTTCAGGCAGCACAGATTCTTTCTCCGTCACAGACGAGCTCATAGTGTGGGATGAAGCGATGGGATGGCACCGAAGCGCGGCTTAGTCCGTGCGCCAATCCCACATTCTGATTGGCTGACACTTCACCCGCGTCCACTTTCGCGAAGTACGAGAGCGAAAGAGGCCTAGAGCCCCTGGCTATGGCATCCTTGCTGATCGGTGCAGTCATTGGCCTCATTCAGGAGGGAAAGCGACGATGGACCTTGCGAAAAAGAAAAGCATCGCGCGTGCCTCTTAACACCGACGCATAGATCTTGCTTTACGTGCGTCAGAAGCAGGTCCCCCAGCGACCCCTCCCTACCAAAAAGCGTCTACATGCCATGAACTGCATTGGTTTATTTCTGCTCCTTCTTCCCCTGTCTATATTTGCTCAGTTTGGACCACAGGTATCGCAGGGAACGGCCAACCCCAGCCGTATACAAACCCTTCAGTGATTGCTTGCGTGCCGGTTCGCTTACAATCTTGGAAACTTCCGACTTCAGAACTTTTTCAAACGATGGCTGCTGAACCACCGTCAACCAGAAAGACGTGGCTTTTTTCGGTAAACTGTTTCTGTCGTCTTCGAGCATCTTGTCAAGTACCTCAGGCGTGAGCTCTGTGTCTCCCAGCTTGCTAAAGCCCGAAGGTCGAATGGGCATGAGCATCTCCGGGTCTTCATCCTTGAGTTTGGCGAGAATAGGGTGTAAGCCAGGTTTGGACAAGAAATGCTTCACGATGCGCATGCGAAGCGTCTGAGGCAGGTTCGCAGCAACAACAGCACGCATCGCAGGCGACTTGTCCTGCTTCATATAGAAGGTGTTTTCATGCTGCGTCACGGACACAAACCCAAGCCGCGTGAGCAAGGCAGAATACATCACCCGGAACCACAGTTGTTGGTTCTCAACAATGTTGCGAATCTTGTTTTGGTTCTCGCCGCCAGGCACGCTCATACGAAAATCACCCATGTAACTGAGCGATGACACGGCGTAGTACAGTTCCTTTTCCGTAAACTCTTCCGGGAGAAGGAGGAGCGCCGTGCGTAAAGCAGATGCCAAATTCGCCTGCTCAGCTCGCGGCACACGGTCTTTCGTAGCATCGAAGAGACGCGCTGTAGGCTTGTGCATACGGCCACTTGCATAGAGCGTGTTCCAATAGAGCAGATCGTCACACAGTTTGTTTGTATCGATGATTCCGTACTTGACAATGTCACCCTTGACTTTGACGTACGGGACGTACCACATACCCGCACCCCAGTTCTGTACCGAGCGCATAGTCAGGGCTCCCAGCCACCGGGTCCACCATGGGTAATGATCAGGATTCTTTTTCATATTCATGGCGTGCCAATGAGCTGGGTCTTTTACGGCAATGACCAAATCAATCATAGGCGGTTTCCCATCGGTGGATTTGGACTTTGCGGTCTGGCTGAATACGCCCGATCCATACGCAAATGCGTATTCCACTTGCGGGAGATTTAGTGCTTCTAAGAGCCCAAGGATATTACGACGATGGACTGACTCTTCCGATGCCATCGACGAAATCTTGGGGACTGCTGTCGGAAGCACAAACGAGGCCGGAAACGCTGCCTTTTTCTGGCTAGTCGTGCTTGCATTTTCCAAAACAATTCTGCTAGTATGGAGCAAAGACTTGGGGTAGGCCAGGGGCAAACACGGCCCGCGTCGCTGAAGCATAGTACGCACGGACATGGTCGTTGCAGTCTACGGCCAAGCATGTACGTTTCTCACTAGGGAACTACCTCGCTTCGATTATGTGGAGGTGAATAGGGGACGTGCGCAGCAACGCCCCTCGACCCACATCGCTATGACATCGACTGTGTGCTACGCAAGCCATTGTCCAGCATGCCTTGCGCTTGCAAATGTGCCATAAATCCACCTACTAAGTGCAGGCTTCCTGTTACGAATACATTGGGGATCACACCAGCTTTGGCATGCAGCGAACGCACAGCATCCATGACATGTTCAATGCTTGGCACGACATGCGCCACACAGTCTTGCGCCCATGTCACAGTGAGAGGCTGGTCTGCACTGGGTCCAGCTACATGCTGCAACTCACACCATACTTGCAGCAGCTCTCGCTGGATAGACATGCTCTCCAAGTCTTTGGGGTCAATTGATAGTGACTTCAAGTCACTGGCCGACCCGCCATCCGCGTACGTATTGTTAGTGCAGAAGTAGACGTGCTGGAAAAAGGTAACAGGGTCTACTTCTTGGATCCGTAGCTCATCGATCATAGCGCCCAACAAGATCATTGCCGAACGGCCGTTTGTACAGTTGAAGGCCAGTATATTCGGCTGTGTGCTAGTACGAACAGTCTGGACAAACCATTTGACACAGAACCGCACACTTTCCATAGTGTGGGCGCCATCCAAGCAGTACGTAGCACCGGCCGTAATGCTAGCCGGTACCGTTTGACAGCGGCCTGGCCAGAAGGCATCGCTCAGCCCCTCCTTAATGATGTCGTTGAGAGGGCTGCCACAGTCACCGAGCACATCGGCTGCGCCGGGAAAGCAGGCTTTGCCTGTCTCCGAGTGCGCAAAAGCACGTACTAATTCCACAGCCAGACTCGCATTGGTTTGTTGGTGATCACCCGGGAGACCCAGGCGAATCGACGCAAGCTCAGGTTTCACAGGGACCACTTCGTACGAAGAGGCACCTACCTTGTTAGCATATGATTGAAGCACGTGCAATGAGCTCGCTGGCTGCTCTACAGAAAGAGCAGGTGCACCCGGCTTAAAGATACCGGCCTTTTGCATGGCAATATCTTCAATGGTATTTCCCAGCAAAGCGGTATGATCCAGGCCCAGCGCCGTGACACCTGTCACGACGGGATGCTGCACAATGTTGGTAGAATCGTACAGACCACCAATTCCCACCTCTAGCAACGTAGCCGAGACTTGCAGAGAAATGAACACGTGAAAAGCCAAGATCGTCATGAAGCGGAAGTACATGGGACGCAGCGGCGTTGTCTCGAATCGACGGGTTGGATTCTGCTCCAAACGGTCCCATACTTCCCAAAAGAACTTGGCAAACTGTTCTTCGCTAATGGGTTCGCCATCAATGCGGATCCGCTCGCGAGCCGCGACCATATGTGGGGAAGTGTACAGTCCGATTTTGCCGGCATGGTGGGTTGGACGTACTTTCCGAAGTAGGGTATCGCAGAAAGCCGCTGTCGAGCCCTTTCCCTTGGTACCAGTAATATGAATGACATGAATGCGATCCAGATCAGCCCGTTGGTGTCCAATTCGTTCTAGATACTCTGTCATTTCCGGTTCATTGAGCTCGTTGACGGTCCTGCCACTACGGCGAATTGCTTCGAGTGTAGCTGCATTGGACTGCAGGGAGTTTAGTGCATCAATGGCTGCAGCATAGCTGCGGGCCGACGAGGCTGTCGTGGTGGACATAGTGCGGTAGCACGCGCTCAGTAGTCGCCCCAGAGACCCGCGTCGTACTCCTGCTGCACTTCGCAGCATTCGAAGACCATCGCGTGGCCGGCCGAGCGCGCGCGGACCACCTGCTAGCCACGTGGCATCTCACTCCACTCGGCCGTCAGGCTATCTAGTTTTGAAGTTCTTCACGTGACTACACGGGCGTGAGTCTCTAGCTTCTTCGAGAGCGTCGCTCGTCGTGAGAAAGCGTCGCGCACGCCGGTCGATTTCTACTTCCAACCATCAAGGCCGAACTTAGTGGTTTCACTTCAGTACGTATTCTACTGCGCGAGGATCGGCGCGAGCTTGGAATACGACTGAGCATTGAGCGAGGGATTCTGAGCCGCTGCTGTTTTCATCCTACGTTGCATTTTGTCGTGACGAACAGTACTAACCTACTTAGCGTACCATGGCCCGCAACAGCACTGTCAGCCCGTACGTTGGTCGTCTCGGCCGCAGCCAGCTGTACTCGAAGAAGGGTGGCTACAAGCACACTGACCGCAAGCCGGCTGCCGCCGCCGAGGAGGCTCCCGTTGCCACCAAAGAGAAGACTGTCGGTGGTGCCAAGAACGCTGGTAAGCGTGTGCTCCCTGTGAACAAGGCTCCGCGCTTCTACCCGGCCGACGATGTGCGCTCGAAGAAGGTCAACCGCAAGACTCCCAAGCCGACCAAGCTGCGTGAGAGCATCACCCCCGGTACTGTGCTCATCCTCCTTGCTGGTCGCTTCCGTGGCAAGCGCGTTGTCTTCCTGAAGCAGCTCGACAGCGGTCTCCTCCTCGTGACTGGTCCGTTCAAGCTGAACGGTGTCCCGATCCGCCGCGTCAACCAGGCGTACGTGATCGCCACCAGCACCAAGATCGACCTCAGCAACGTCCAGATTGACGAGAAGCTGAACGATGCATACTTCCGCCGTGAGAAGGCTGCCAAGGTGAAGGCTGAGGCTGCTTTCTTCGCTGACCCGGCTAACAAGGCCCCGCTCGCTGAGAGCAAGGTCGCTGACCAGAAGGCTCTGGACAAGGAGATTCTCGCTGCTGTGAAGAAGGAGGGTCCGATCATGAGCAAGTACCTTGCTGCCACCTTCTCGCTCTCGAAGGGTGACAAGCCCCACGCACTCCGCTTCTAAGTGCGATGATGATACATGCGCATAGCCCTTATCTTATGTTTGCGTGGGCTGATGGCTATGTGCCTGGCATGAGTGGTGGAGACAAGGCGCTCCTTTTGCCATAGAATTCACACTCTTGTCTATGTTCCAAAATAGGCCGAATCGAATACGAATGTGCCAGATGAATGTGGTAGTGTTGTTCTTCTTAGCTCGTCGTTAACTATGTATGTGCCTGGCGTTTGGATTGGTATACTTTGGGCTTTTGAAAGGCGGTGGTTTTCGTCTCTTGCTGGTGCTTATCATGCCCTTGTCGACTGAGTTCGCGAACCCGTTTCACGGTCATATCCGGGTAGCGTAGCCAGCGCACGGGTGTCGTGGGCACTTTTTTCGGGGCTTCATCGAGGGGTATGGTATTTTGCTTTTCGATTAGTTCGCGTGTCGTGTGCTGCCCTGGCGCGAGCGGCATACCTATCGCCGTACCATCTTCACGTTCTTCCAGGAAACGCTTCAATGCGTCTGGCCGCTTGCCTAGGACCTCAATACGGTATGCTTCACGCTCATTGAGCATGGCTACATTCGGCAGGCACAAGGTTCGCATGGCCCGCTGTCGCTGCCGAATGTCTTTGAGGTTGGCATGCACTTGGTCCTCACTCAAATCATGTCGTGGCGTGATACAATAGTCCACATGCCAATCCAATTTGGATAGATCGTCTTCATGGCGACCATGCAGCATATCTTCCAGTTGCGATGCACTCTTCGGCCCATGGAATTGTGCCAGGTCCACCGGGCCACGCACCAAGGCCTCGTTCACATAGCGGTCCATTTCGATATCCAGTTGAAGAACTTGCGGCGACGAACTTGCCTCGACAATCACAGACATCGATCCAGACCCTGGTCGTGTCTCCATGGTGATGGAGAGCGTTTCATTGGGTATGCATTCCGTCGCTGTATCGAGGATGCGCTCCAGTAAACCAAGAGACATGTGGTACGCCATATCGCCCATTTCGTTACTGCCGAACAGACGCATATTCATTTCCTCCAGACTGATGTATTGAAAACCAAAGATCTGCGCTGTGTTGTGGTAGGCCACAAAAATGCCGTCCATATGCCCAATACGCACTTGGAAATTGTACTTGAGAAAAGCGGCTCGGACCATGTCCCAATACTCTCGCTCGAACGACTCCCAAAGGCCACGTGCATGTTGGATTTGGTAGCCCGAGCCTTCCGCATAGTTGGCACGATCATTGCGGATCGAGACCACAGCGCGCGTCTTCAAGTCGAACGTCTTGTTCGGTAGACGAGGGTCCTGGCAATCCAGCTGCGAACGAAGGAGGAAGCGGTCGGTTTTGGCATAGTGGTATGCTTCTTTTTGCGTACGTTCCTTTTCTGTGAGTTTCCAACTGTTCACACGCTCGTACTTGGCATACTCTTGCGGCGACGCCGTCAAGAACTTTTCCAAGCTTTTGCCCAGCGATGTAAGCACATAGTTCGTGTTGTCCGTCTCTCCATCGGAGCCCTTATCAGCGTCCACGGCGTAAAAGCCACCAGGTTGATATTGCAGCTTGATCGAGACGGGAAGCTTGGCCCCTTCACTAAAGCCTGACGACATGTCGCTAAAGCTTGGGCTGAACCCGCCCATCTCCGGTTCCTTCCATCGACTCAGCAGAAAGTAGCAGTGGCTCAGCAGGCCTGTCATGCTACTTGTACTGCCGCAGTATTTCATCTTTTGCTTCTTGGTAATTTCCAGCAATTCTGGGTCCCGACTGGAGGTCAGATAAGGCGGCAAGGCACTGTAGTCAAACAGATCTACATCCAACACGCTGCGAAGATGGGGATCAAAGTTATAGATGCCCGTTCGTTTATCACGCAGCCAGTGAATGCCAGGGTTAAACAGGACACGATCCAGGCCATGAGCGAGCGTTGCCACCTCCATGGGACGCAAGGGCTTCACTGGTTTGATGCGGACGTCCGACGAGGACAAAGTCCCAAATCGAAGACCATGCTCTGCTTCCTTCTCGCACATTTCCAGACGAACCACACGTGCCTTTTGGGCCTCGTCGCCAAACAAGAACGATGTGGCTCGAGTATTCGAGTTGGTTCTTGCGCTGCCAGTGTCCTTTGTCGTCGCTCTCTTCTGCTTCTCATCGCTCTTTGCATCGGTATCGGCATCGTCATCTAGCTTTGTCTCTGCTTTTGTCGCACTTGACTGCGTTTTGTTCTTGTCTTTGGCACGCCGTTTTTCTTTACGTGGGGTTTTCACTACCGTGTCCTTCCTTGTGGCCGACGTACGTGTCTTCGTCTGCTTTTTAGGCACGCTCAGCGATGAATGCAATCCTCGCGCGCCTATCAGCACAGTAGCAGGCCTGGGCACGCCCATCTGCGGCCACCGAGTGCCCCATGCGACCCACATGCAGCAGCGTCCACAAGAAAAGCAAAGGCGAGAACCTCCAGACGCGAATCTTCATCCACATTGCTTAGTCAGAACAACCTCCGATCCTCGCAGTTAAGACCCTCGGTGCCTGTGTACCGAACGAAGAGCAACATAGGGGTATCTAGCTAAGTACAAAGTGCTATTTTAGTTCGCGCGTGTGCCAAACAAGGAGAGCCTGTGCCGGGTAAGATCTATGCATACGTACCATACTTGTGGCGGCTGAAGCCAGTTTTGGCCCATCCCTTCGTATTCGCGTGGCCAGAGTTCCGTTGCGACATAGTCTGTAGGTAAGACATTGGCGATGATACGTACAGATATGGCCCAGAACCAATCCTAAAACCTGACGTCCGTCGCCAAACGAGCCATTAAAATAACCCAAGAACAGTTCCAAGATCGGCAAATAGGCAGCGCTGATGACGATCAATCCAAAGAATCCGACCCGCAAGTGTCGATTTTTGCGGCTCCACACATACATCAGAAGCCAATACAACGGCTCCGAAAGAAATCGAATGGAGCAGGCAGAGCCTATTAAGAGCGTAGCCAGAGAGGCACATAGCAAGAGCCATGCATACTCTGCGCGGCGTGTCGATCCAAATGTTTGGGACTCAAGCATGAACGCAAACCGCACATAGTAGAACAAGTTGAACAGCAAATTGAGATTTAGCGGTCCAAAGTACATGAACGAAGTTATCAGACGCCAATACTGCCGCCGTTTAAATACAAATTGGGGTGAGTAAAACATGTAATAAGGAGATATGATGCCCCAGCTCTCTAGCGCAGCTAGGGTAACACCACCTACGAGCCATAATGTGGAAAATGGCGGCAGTGTATCCAGATCCATGGTAGTGGTCGTGTTGGTTAGGTGGTTAGCGAGGTGCGCGCCCTGTGTCGCCCAGAGCCTCCACATAGATGGGGCGGGGCGTCTCGGTTTCTCGACGTTTAGCAACCATGGCCAGTGAACCTATGCAAGCTGAAGGTGCTGCGGCACCTTGCCTGCAGATGCTCCTTCAAACACCACCAGGACAGCTCCAGAATGTGCTTCAAGATCTCAAAGGCATCATGGCCTCCTCCGTTTCCGACTCTGAGTTGTCGGCTCAACTCCAACCGTGGCTCGAGCAACATTCGCATGAGCAACTTCCTACTGTCTCTCTTGCATATGGTGAGCAGAAGGGTGACGCTATTGTATGCAAAGCCGCGAAGGTAGGCGACAAATATATCGATCCGAACCTGTCGTGCCTGTTTACCTACGACCATGCACAGGAGTCAGTACGCGATGTCCATCCTTGTGAGCGTGTAAAGGGGCCTGTAGAGGAGGTCCGATCTTCGATCGACCAAGCCCTAGCGAAGTATGTGTACAATCACTACCATACGGGTATATCGGCTGCCTACACGCCCACCGCCTATGTGGACATGGCTCTGGCGGCTGTGGACACGTCTCAACAAACCGAAGCGAGCTCAACGACGGATGCACCGACAGATGCACCGACAGATGCCAGCGGCAGTAGTACAACAGAAGCCCCCGGCACAGACGACAGCAATGTGGAAAAGGATGTCGAGGCGCCGTCTCACTCTGATGACCCCCCGCCGACGGAGGCAGCGACCTCCGCTTCTTCGCAGGCTTCGGACAAGATCCCAGATGTAAACTCAAGTGTATTTACACTACATATTGTCGGAAACAAGTACAATCTGCGCAATTTCTGGGCAGGTCGATGGCGGTCGACGTACTCTTTCGACGTGGCAACGCGCTCCTTCACGCAGGCGGACATCCAAATCCAATCGCACTACTTTGAGAATGGTAACGTGCAAATGCATGCAAAGCAACTGGCGCTGCCCCCGCGCATTGATACCGATGACCTCACCCAGTTACCGGCGGCTCTTGTAGCAGCTATTGAGGCCCATGAACAGGCATATCAAGGCATGCTGTTTAATACCATTGAGATGCTACGTGAGAAAGCGTTCAAAGCTCTACGTCGTACTTTGCCCATCACGAGACAAAAGATTGATTGGGATAAGGCTGTGAGCTACAAACTTGGAGCTGAACTTGCCAACAAATAAAGGGGCTCACGCTGAGTCTGCTTGTGTATGTGTGTATGTATGTATGTATGTAGCGCTGAATGGCTTTCTCTCACGTGCCAAGATTTCTTTGTCGTGGTGGAGCAATGACGCGCCTTTGTCTTGGCCTGTGCTCCGTGCAACAAAGCCACGGAAGCGGCAGGTGTTGGATGGATAAAGACAGCAGGTATGCGTGCCCATGCCCCTCATTGCGTCTTGCATTGAAGCGTGAGTAATGCATCGTGCTGTATCGATTCGTGAGCAGGGTGTTTTGCAATTTCATGGTGAAAAGGCGTACGTGGTGGAGCCTGGCCAGGCACGCCGTCTCTCTGTACGACCTCGATCTAGGTCCAAGGCATGGCAGGCCATGTGGTCTGCCAGCTTCTGTGGGGCCTCGCGTATGCGCGAGTATGTACTGGTGCACTCGGAAGCACCGGCTACCTTCCACACACACCTGTATGCCATTAAATCGCCTCATTCTCTTCAAGCGTGTTTAGCCTTGCATGCCGAGTCACGCACGGATGTATGGCAGGCGCCTAATGAGCATGGTACTTTGGTATGGCACCTCAGCGCTGCAGGTATCAATGAGGAAGGCACCATGGTCGAATGGGTCATTTGCCTGAACGCCAACGAGACAGAGGCGAGGATGTACTTGCAAGCCCTGCGCAGCAGTATTCGGCGTCTTGCGCGGCTGTCAAGTGGGCCCACATCCTATGTTTGCCCCGCCTCACATCCGTCCCAGGAGCATGATACGTATGCGCCATACAAAAGCAAGCTCGAATGGCTTGTAGGCTCTGATGTGCCTGTGCTCATTGAGTCAAGTCCGCGGCCTGCGACACGATTGCCATCACCCACACGGCCAGCCTCGGTGGCTACCATTCGCGCACCTTGTCCGGCGGAATGGTCGCCCATTGAGACGCACTTTGATTCTCTACTTATGTCACTCGATGCCCATCATCTGCCTGCAGCCTTACAGGCATCGATGGAATGGATCGACTTTGATTCGCTCTCTGCCGCCTCGTCGCCCAGCATCTCTCCGACGCCGTTGCGTCGTGCCTCCGGCCTGCACTATGGCTCGGCTGGCCGACGTGCGTCGTTGGTCGTTTCGCCTCGTCGTCGTACCTCGCTTGTGGCTGTGTAGTGTAGAATAGATCGTATGGTATGGACATGTATTTCTATCGCCAAGGCCGTTTCATCGCATACGTCATCTACGCGCCACGCGATTGGGCTATGAAGGTGTCCAGGTAGCGCTTGAGCGGTTTCGGCTCGAGCGTCTGTATGTTTTTTAAGAGCTCCATCGCGAGCTCTGGTGGGCAGTGTACACTTGGGAGGTACACCGTCGTCAGGTACTGCCCAAACTCATCGCCACGCGTTGTAGACAGGGCTTTGAGTAGCGCACTCAATTCCGCGAGCACTAGCTGTGACTGGGCATCCGTGGTATCAAACGAGGCCTTCGCCGGGATCTGGAACACCAGCGGCAAGAGGGCCTCGTACATAAATTGGTCGAATCCAGCGAGGGCCTTATCATCCTGCCCGCCCCACAGCGGCACGAGGCGCGTCAAGACACTGAGCGCTGCCCGCTGTGTCACAGGCTCGCCATGCTCTGCATAGTAAACGTGGCTTTGCAGGACCGTTTCCAGCTGGGGTTTGTTCTTCTCCGAGACAAGAAGACCATCGAGGCCGGCGGCCAGCAGTGCATTCATGAGACCAAAGTACGCACGCTCGGTATCTGCACGTCGGACCATATCGTCGGTGCCTTGGACGCCCTGGTTCAGGAACGAGAAGATGCGCGTAATAAGCACCATCAGCAAATCGTCCATCACATGGCGAATGCTCTCCTTGTACTTGTGGATCAGCAGCCCAAAGAAGTTCAATAGGTCGACCAGCTCGGCCTCTGTAACTTCGTTGACCAACGCATGGACCAAGGTGGGTATGTAGGGCAGAATAGCCGGGCCAGCCGACGCCACAATGCGTGCAAACGCTCCACGCGCCGCCTCGCGCACAATCAGGAAGCGATTCAGCGCCGTGGTGGCCATCACGATCTGCTCCGTCACTGGCTTCACTTCCTCGATCCAGGCTGGCTGTGTCGCGCGTGCTGCATCGTAGTCTGGGAAGCCCTTGGCAATCGTGCTCAGCGCCAGAATCACATGGTGCACTTGCAGTACCAACTGCAAGTTGCTGGGATCCGCCGCAAAGGCATGCACACTCTGCTGCAGCTTCTCCGACAATGGCTGCGTGATGGCTTTGAAGAGCAAGACCTGTGTCTCAGGCATATGACCCAGCTGCGCAAGAAGCAGGCCGCATGTGTCGAAGAGGTACAACTGACTGTCAAAAGCACTTGCTTTCTCGGTGGCCTTCGCCAAGGGATCTTCCTCCGGCGTAACACTAGGCAGCGTAGCATGCACCACTAGCGCCTCTTGCATACTCTCCAGCAGCTTCGGAACGAATTCCGAGGGAATCGCCGTGCGTGTGTCACGCACAAACCGGTAGAACAGGTAGTTGATGCGGCGGCGCATACCTACACGTGGATGACGCAAGCCACGGTGATCCAGGAACGCTTCGAGCGCCGTAGGCAGCAAATCTGGCCACAGGACAAAGCTCGTAGCATACCGCACGACCGTCTCAAAGTACTGCAGCTGGACCACTGGATGCATATGTGCGCCAATACGCGAGCGGAACAATACCTGCAAAAGCTCGCCCAGTGTGTTGGGCGGTAGCGATTGGTACACACTCAGCGACTGACGTACATTGCGTGGCTTGCCAGGCTCCGCTGGCACTTGAACGTACGAGTGCGGACCCAGGCCGACTTTGTTGCCACGCACCGACGAAAGCACTTCGCCGCAGCAGAACGCTGCGTACAAACACACTTCCGCCTGCTCCCATGGCAGCGCACTCGGATCCCCCGCTGCTAGCGTGTTGGTCACAAGTGCATGAACAGTATTCGAGACAAGGGGCTCGTCCATGGCTGCAATCGCCCCGAGAATCACTTGCAGCTGCTTACGCAGCTCGTAGAACTTGACAAGCTGCTCATCGTCCTCTTCCGATTCGTCGCTGTCCATCTCAGCTGGACCGCCGACCAGCGACGAATCGTCCCATTCCATCTCAGGGTCACACTTCATCTTACGCAGGACCAGCGTAATCAGTTCTGAGACAAAGGCACTTTGCGGTGCACTTAGACCCTGCGCAGCGCCATGGGCCTCATTGTGCCGCTTCGTCTTTTTGTACAGACCCAACACAAGGTGAATGCTAGGCAGCACTTGCTCGGCCGGCTCATCGTACTCGTCGGCCAGGAAGGCGAGGGCCTGCGGTAGGAATGCCAGCAGGCTCGTATGTGCCGCCTCGCGCGTATCTGCGTCGGCACCTGTGGTATCTTCGGCAATTTTGCAGAGCTCCGTCACAATGGCATTCACCAGTTTGGCTAAGTGCTCACGCAGCTCGGTATGCACATCGTCCTGTGTACGCGTCGTCGCCTCCAGCTGCTGCAACGCCGATTCCAAGCTGAGGCCCTGGATCAGTGCTAGCTTGTCCGCAGGTTTCATACCTTTGCACACAATTTCACAAAGTGTGTCCGCCGTAGCATAGCGCAAGGCATGGTGCGACGAGTCCAGTGCATTGTACAGGACATGCACCGTATCCATCGAGACAATCAACGAGATATCAATCCACGACGCATAGTCGCCGACCACTGCCATAGCCACAGTAGCTACGTGGCCGGCCGTACGTACGGTCATATGCTGCGGCGCGTCATCGCCGGTATCAGGTGCTTGCAGCGCTTGCAACGCATCACGAATCACACGCCACAGCAGCTCTGCGATACTCGCTGCATGATGCGCGCGAATCTCATCGCGCACTACGGCATCACGCTGCAGACGCTCTTTGCTGCGGACGGAACGCAGCATGACATCTGATCCCAGGTGCAGCGACAAATCGTGGAGCACTCGCAGCATCAAGTCTGTGACAACGACATGAATACCTTCTGCGTCGTCTGGGTGCGCGGTGCAAAGGGCCAGCGCCGAAGTGAGGAACGTATACGAGGACGTCAGGCTATACGTCTGCAAGGTGAGCAAGGCCAAGGTCTGTGCGATTTTGTTCTTCATAAACGCCACGCCCTGCTCGCCTTGTCCATGGACAAACTCCGTCTGAAGGTAGGTCATGGCGCCTTCCTGCAGGAAGGAGAGCGCTTCCGAGCCCTGTGGCTGTTCATGCACGCTGATGGTTAGATGACGCAACACGTACCGTCTGTCGAGGAAATCGTCCACAAGGTTCAGGCCAAACAGACGGATAGCATGCTCATACTTCGGTGCACTGCCGTCGTCATTCCGTGCGATCCATACGCGCCAACCGAGACTCCAGCTCTCGTCTGTAGCCTGCTTCAGTTGCTCCAAGTACGCCAGCGCTTGGCTTACCAGGTTCGCATCCTGGACAGCCGCTGCATTGGATGCAATTTCGACAGCTTGTACGAGCTGTGCTTCTTGCGTGTCCATCCGGCGCTTGTATTCCTATCGAGTCCACTCGTACACCCACGCGCTCCAATCGACGAGAAGACAGACGAACGAACTGCGCGAAGGAGGTTCGAACCAACACTGCGCTGGACCTGCGAGCGAGAGACAGAGCGAGGGTTTTTTTCGTCACGTGCATACCACGTGAGGGGAGCCCTGGCGCTCGCCCTAGGCGGAGAGGCACCGCAGCCCACGCACGCGCTGCGGGGGTCCAGCCGTCAAATCGCGTGCAGGGTATTTCGAAGGGTGGGCGTGCGAGCGATCGTGCATTGTTCCCTTCATGTGGCGTAGGACGTTGCGTGTACGCGCCTTTTCCACCTCAGCGCGGCAGTCGAAGCCGCCGACTGCCGTGGTCATGATGAACATGGGCGGTCCCTCCACGCTGGACGAGGTCCAGCCGTTCCTCACTCGTTTGTTTCTGGACCGCGATTTAATGCGTTTGCCGTTGCAGTCCCAGCTGGGCCCCCTCATTGCGAGACGACGTACGCCCAAGATCCAGGCGCAGTACGATAAGATTGGCGGTGGCTCGCCGATTCTCCCGTGGTCGCGCACGCAGGGCGAGGCGATGGCTCGTATGCTGGACGAGCTCTCGCCTGCGACGGCGCCGCACAAGTCGTACGTGGCTTTCCGATACGCCTCGCCTCTCACGTCCGAGTGCATGGACGAGCTTGCGGCGGATGGTGTAAAGCGTGCTGTGGCGTTCTCGCAGTACCCGCAGTACTCCTGCAGCACGACGGGCAGCAGCTTGAATGAGCTGTACCGTGAGATCCAGCGGCGTCAAGCACGTGGCGCGCCGGAAGGGTCGATTCAGTGGTCGGTCATTGATCGATGGCCGACGCAGCCTGGCCTGGTACGTGCGTTTGCGAATCGTGTACGCGAAGCTGCCGCGCAGCTCCCGCCCGAGGTCGCACGGGAAGCGCCGATCATGTTCAGTGCACACTCGCTTCCGATGCAAGTTGTTTCCGGCCGTGGTGACCCATACCCAGCCGAAGTCGCTGCGACGGTAGCAGCTGTCATGCAGGAGCTTGGGTGGGCGAACCCCTACCGCCTCACATGGCAGAGCCAAGTCGGCCCTTCGGCGTGGCTGGGGCCTCAGACGGTGGACACGCTCAAGGGCTGGGCGAAGCAGGGTTTCCAGCACGTGATGGTCGTCCCAATTGCCTTTACCAGTGATCATATTGAGACACTGTATGAATTGGACGTGGAGCTGCAAGAGGATGCGCATGAGCTGGGCGTGCACCTTGTACGTGCGCCCTCGCTGAACGACGAGCCAGTGTTCTTGCGAGCGCTCGCTGATACCGTGCAAGTGCATTTGGCCTCGTCACCGGAAGGTACGGTGCCGTGGGCGCAGGGGGCATGCAGTCGTCAAATGCGCCTTCGATGCCCAGGTTGCACGAATGCCGACTGTCACGCGCAAAAAGCATTCTTTGCGGCTGTGTAGATATGTCTATGTACCCCACAATGCATTCCACGCACGGCGTAGCATGCTGGGCTCGTCCGTAGCCGTCGCATCTTCCTCTTCCTCCTCCTCGGCCGGCGTTGCATCGTCTATGGTCGCCGGCGTCGCATCCGTGTCGGCAAGTGCCGCTTCCCCCACCGCAGGCCCTGGCATGGCGCCGACGACTTGAAGCAAGGCATCGCGTGTTTCGTCGTCCACATGTTCAAGCACTTGTTCAATCTGCTGCGGATCCGCCTGCTGCTGCATCTGCTGGAACAGAGCCCAGAGCCGTGCATGCGCATTTGACTGCGACGTAGCCTGCTCCATAAGCGCACCATAGTACGCTTCATCGTAGCGTGTGCCGTCGGCCGGCGGCAGCGGATCAAACGTATCGAGGCCACCAGGCGGACTGCGGACGTGAGGCGGTAAGTACCGCACAAGCTGTTGATGCAGCGCCGCAGGCAGGTCGGCCACGAGGACGTGGCGGTACACGCCCAGGCACGTCGTCGCCTCCGCGGTGCCGAGCGTGTACGTAGCACCGACGAGCGCTGGAAGCACAGCCTGGGCGATGGATCGGAACCACGTCGTATGGCTCGCTTCTTTCCACAGACTCAGGGAACGATGGACGTACAAGTGCGCCAGCAGTTCGTCCAGCGCCGGCGTCGAGGCAGCATACATCCCCTGCATCGGGAAAGCACGAACTACGTCAGGCGGCATACTCACATCCAGCTTATCAGCCAGCAAGATCGCCGTGCGTGGATGCCGCGCAATGGCCAGGCGTAGGGCCGCATCACTGGCCTCTGTCTCGTTCTGAGCACGCAGTGCCAAGGCACGGGCATACTGCAGTCCAGCACACCAATCCAGCGTGCCATGCCCTGTCTCGCGCGCCATCGTACGCTCGTGATCCAGCGGTGTACAAGCGCGCACGTTGTCGACCGCCATACGATCCTGCTGCGTCGCTAGGTGTGCATCCAGTGCATCGATGAGCGATAAGAGCCAGGCACCTTGCTTGCTTTTGATCGCTAGGAAATCCATCCATAGCAGCATGCCATGAGGATCGTTGACATCCAGGCTCAGTACCAACTTGCACCATTCCAGCGAGGTACGCCACGTCCCACGCCGCCCAAACAAGTCAATATTGCGGTGCGCCGCGAGCCAAAACGCGCGGTTCTCTGCACGGGCAAACGTGCTCAGAGGCGGGCCATGGCTCGACGTGAGCGACGTGACAAACGTCGACGCCGCCGAACGTTCCATTGCAAACAATGCGCGGTCCACAAAGTCCGCTGCCTGGCCCAAGTCGCCTTGGTATCGCGATACATCCGACAGCTGCAGTAGTGTATCAACGTGCCATGGGAACACACGCAGCAGCGCGTAGAGCGCTTGCGTATCGTACGAACGCACAGCCTGCGCAAACTGAAACTGCGCTTGCTTGTATGCGCGGCTGTGCTCCCAGCTGCATATGCGGCCCTGGGGCGTATCGCGCGTCGTCATCGACAAACCAACAAACGAGCGTCCGAGATCCGGCCAGGTAGGTTTCGGTGTGCTCAGCACGGTCCGAGCGCGCATATTGGAGTTGAGGTGCGCGCCACGATTCCGCCCACCTGCGCGCGTTGGGGCTTGGTTCTTCTCACGCTCGTACGCTTTGATCGCAGCCGCACCGAATTGACGCCGAAGTTCCTGCGCTGGATCGAGCTGCGTTGCTTCCAGGGCAAGCACACTACGCAGCGTCGTCCATGGCGTCTTGGCGTGTGTCGATGGAGTTTGTGCATCTGTCGACGACGCTGGCCGTTGCGTAGTCTCGCTAGCAAGGAGCGCATCCATTTCCTCGAGCGACATGGCATTCACATCCTTCGTCACGCTAGCCTTCGCCTTCTTTTTCTTTTTCTTCGACTTACTCTGCGATGGTATACTGGTTTCTGGGGCGGCCGAGGGGACATCATCCGCATCGTCTGGCGTCTCATCCAGGGCCAACTAGCGCGTGAGTCAAACGTCTATGCGTACATACCGATGCAAAGCCTGTGGCTATCGTCGTGACAGGCGCAGCTTCCTCGTCCTTGTCGTCATCATCAGCCGGCGGCACAGCGTCAGGCGGTACCTGTTCCGTGTTGCCCGGCGCCGAGAGCTGCTGCAGTTGCGCCAGCTCTTCTTGCTGCCGCTGCAATCGCCGATTCACGCGGCGGCTCATCGTGCAAGGGCAAAAGCACAGACGTTCCAGCGACACTCTTTGGCCTCGGCCGATGTACACATCACGCCAAGAGAGCACGCTCCACCACGCCACGCCATCTTCGACACCCCCCTTCCCCTGCGAATGATCTCTATGCTGCGTGCCTCTGCGCGGCCTTTACGCGTTGGCGTATCGCCCATAGTGCGTCAGCGTATGCTGCCACTCCCTGCTAGGGCCTTGCCACAGCCTTTCCGTGCGTTGAGCACGGAAGGCGAGCGGCCCACTAGCAAGGCGTCCCACACCACCTTGCCGCCGACCAACAGCACAGGTGTACGTACCGCATTGGTCGTACTAACATACAGCCATTCAATTTGCCAGCGGCGGCGCTGTTTATTGCTACAGGTGTCGGTCTTTACTTCTACTTCCAGCATGAAAAGGCCAAGATGGCCGAGGCTAAGCAGAAGAAAATGGAAGAGCAGGCGGCGATCGGTCGTCCACGTATCGGTGGTCCCTTCGAGCTGGTCTCTTCCACCGGCCACCCATTCACAGAGAAGGATCTGCTGGGTAGCTTCAGCTTGATTTACTTTGGGTTTACCAACTGCCCTGACATCTGCCCTGAAGAGCTCGATAAGATGTCGGCCGTCGTTGACGAGGTGGCAAAGACGCACGGCTACGTGATCAACCCTGTCTTTATTACTTGTGACCCGGCGCGAGACCGTGTGCCGATGGTGGCTGAGTACATTGCCGATTTCCATCCACGTATGGTCGGTCTCACAGGCTCGTACGAAGCCGTGAAGGCGGCTTGCAAGGCATTCCGTGTGTACTTCAGCACACCTCCTGGCGCGGACCCTTCGACGGACTACCTTGTGGACCACTCGATTTTCTTTTACCTGATGGATCCTGAGGGCAAGTTTGTCGATGCGTTCGGCAAGAGCTCGACGGAGGAAGAAGTGCGTGATAAGGCCCTGGACTATATTCAGCGCTGGCGTGCGACCGGCCTCCCGCTGGAAGAGGCTAATGCGAAGCACAAGGCGGCAACAGATGGACGCGCTTTATCCACGGACCAGGAACTCTTTTCCGAGCCGAGCTTGACACCGTCTGTCCCCCCGGCGGTCGTGCCTCAGGACCGCCTCATTTAATTGTGTAGTTCGAAAAACAAGCATACGCGTATAGAGAGCGCGACGATTACCTACATGCCATGGGTAGACATCTATGCATAGGAAAGACCCTTCCTATCGAGGTCTTGCACTATGCCTGCATACACACAACCAAGCCGCTCCGTATCTTCGCGCCCATGGGAGATAGGGTGTGCCTGCCGACCAGCGCAAATGATAAACGCGTGTCTATTTTAGATAAAGTCGTTTGTGGCTGGCCCGAAGAGGGAACGGACGTCGTCCGTGCACACCATGTGACCAATCAGGTGCAGGTATGGGGTGCAACGTTTACACACGCGCCAGTTTTGTGGGCCACATTGTTAGGGGCACGCGTTTGTGCCCTCGTGCCGGGGCCCACGACAATTACACATCCACTCCGTCTTCCCAGTCCTGATTCTTTTCTTCTGAAACGGACTCCCGCGCGGATGATACGGTCTACGAACCATTCCCCGATGCCCATTCCGGCCCCAGCGGCGCCGCCGATGGAATCGCGCGGCTCTCACTCTCCTGTGGAACTACCCACCCCTCCTGATGGTGTAGGACTTCCAGCACCGCCACGGTCTTTGCGGGAGGGATCGTCATGGCTCAGCGCCACACCACTCACACGCAAACCGTTGCCTACACTTACACCAGCGTACCGTGCCGAACTTCCACGGTACTCCTCCGTGCCGTACATGGGTCTTCGGCCGCATGGCTCGGCGATGTCGACATTCCAGCTCTCCGCGGAACGTCAGCATGCCTCGGAGAGTGCTGACGATACAGATATGTCTGTGGACGATGTCTTTGCAACCTCGTACCGTGCGGACGACCGTCGCACACGGACCGTTTCTCACTATGCTGATGTGGACGATGTAAGTCCCAACCTCGTGCCGCACATGGACAACGACGAGATGGTGCCGTCGTTGGAACACAGCTATCCGCGCTCTCCCCTCGTACGCCGCACCTCGTTGCGAAGTGTAGACACTTTCAACGTCGTGCCAGGTCCCAGTTCGCGCCGCATGCCTTACAACATCCCCTCACGATCGCCTGGCGCCGTGGGCCCTCTCAGCCAAGCGTATGCTATGAGCATGACGCCCTCGTCGACATCGATGCGGACAACGCGCCTTCCGCCATGGACTTCGTTCCACCGTGCGAGCAAAAGCACACGGCCAAGCACCTCTGCGCCGATGACGTCTCATGGCGTGTTGTCAGCGTACGATGAAGATGAGACGGACGATGAAGTGAGTGCAGCCGGCATTGACGATGAGATGACCGACGATGACACTGAGCTGCCGATGCGGATACACGGACGAGGCGTGCCTATGCACACGACGAAGCGTTCGGACATGATGATGCCGACCGTCACTGGCGGTGGGCGTTTGTCTCTGCCTCACTCGCTCCCGACGCGACCACTCTCTTCCTCCTATGGGCGTTCGCCTGATGAGTCTTCTCGTTCTCAGATGCACATGGCTGTAGCAGCGCTGGATCGCTTGTCCATGGCAGGCACGAGTGTCGAGGACGAGAAGAAGATGTCGATGCGGACGTACGTGGATGAGACCGACGAGGTGGCTGCGATCCGCGATCGGCTCGGCGGCGCTGCGAACTGCTCAGCTTTCATTTCCAAGCTGTGGCACTTGATGATCAACCCCGACTTGTATGGCAAGTACATTCACTGGAACGAGGCTGGTGATGCGATTATTATTAATAGCGAGCCCGAGGTGGCGGCGGAATTTGCGGCGGATGTCCTCCCAAAGCTGTTCAAACATGGCAACAATGCGTCGTTTGTGCGGCAGCTCAACTTGTACGGCTTCCAGCGTGTATCCTCCTCGCGACTTTTGGATGCTGTGGAAATGCAAGTCGTCGCTGCCCGTACCCAGCAAAGTCAGCGCATAGGAGCAAGCACCACAGGGCCTTACAACACCGCTACCGAGCTCTACGGCATGCACTCCAGCTTTGCTCACCCACGTTTCCGACGTGGTCAGGAAGCCTGGCTGGCCAGCATGAAGCCACGTTCGTCGAAGAAGCCCAAGAAGCCCCCTACGAGCGAGGCGCGACCTTGAGGATCGTGTTACAGTGTACATGTGTTTTCTACGATGCGTTTGTTTGTTCTTGTAGTTTTTTAGATGTCATGAAGATGTGATCGGCAGCCATGGGCAACAGGTCACGAGCTGGGATTGTGGCGTACGTCGGCTCGGCACGTAGCTCCGTCCATACGTCGCCCTCCTGCGGCTCAGCTAGGTCGATTTTGTCCAGCAACTGCGTGCGCTGTGCCTCGCCATCCGGCTGCGACCCTTCAAACAGGTACCACCACGCCCAGCCATCGCCCCATTGCTTGGCAGACTGCACCGTCTTACTGAACCAATCGCGCGCTTGTGCCGCCTTGCCTTCGTCCCAAAAGAGACGCGCCACCGTCGTGATGACATACGGGCTATCGCCGGATCGACGCAGCGCCTCTGCTGCACGCGTCTTGCGCGAGGGCCGTGGCTCCAGCCAAATCGAGGCACTGAGCAGGCGGCCACTTGTCGGGCACGCTTGCAGACCACGGCTGAGCAGTGTTTTCGCCTGCATCGCACTGCCAGCGCGCAACTCAATCGCGGCGGACTCGGCCCAAATGGCATCGTCTTGCGTCAGCATTTGCCGTGCCTTTTCCAGCAAGGCACGAGCACGAATCGTGGAATCGTTGGCTTCTTCCCATCGACTCGCCCGAATCCACAACGCCACCGAGGTGGGGCAGGCACGCCGCCCTACAGCGTAGGCTTCGCGTGCTTCTGCCACATGGTTCTGACGCTCATGCCAACGGCCATGCAGCTCATGCAGTGTGGCCGACGCAGGGTATCGCTGCAGCGCTTCTTGAATCAAGGTCAGCGCCTCGTCCCAATGCGCCTGACGCCACGCAAGGTGGACACTCGTATTCCACACACGCTCCGTCTTCACTTCAGCGCGTGCGCGCTTCAGCAACGCAGCCGCAGCACCCATCTCGCCATGGTCCGCTTCCAGCGTCGCAGCGGCCAGGGAAATGGCCTCCGAGCCCAAGTTCGCCTCGAACGCGCGGCTGAGCACTTCACGTGCGCCAGGCACATCATTCGCACGTCGTCGCTCGTCCGCGTAGAAGAGCCAGAGAGTTTCAGCATGTGGGCACTGCGATACACCGCGCTCGAGGAGCGCCGCGAGGGACTCGTGCGTCCCGTGCACACGTTCAATCTGCGCTGCATGCTTCCACAGCTCGAGCGCATCCGGGTACTCGTCCAACGCACATGATAAGATCGCTCGGGCGGTCGAAGCACGGCCATGCTCCAGGCATGCCTGGGCATCTTCCAGCCATACACGTCGCCGATCTTCTTCGTCCAAGTCCAAGTAGATCGTCGCTTTGACGATGGCCGCGCATGTCACAGGTCCGCCTTCCTTGTCGACCTGTTCGGCTTCTCGAAGCCACTGCTCGCGGCTCAGCAAGGCCCCAGCTTTGCGCAGCGCTTGCACGGCCGCGGCCATCGTCTTATCCACACGTTCAGCAGGTTCTTGCCCTTCTTCCAATAGACGCGCAGCCGCAATCCAGATCTCGTGCGAGGTGGGCACCGTCCGACGTGCCCGGTTGAGCACGCTCTTGGCCTCCGCGGGAGGCGAGAGCCGCGCTAGCGTGAGCCACAATTCCACGCTCATGGGTACCGCTTCCACCGCCCCTGCCAACAGAACACGTGCATCGTCCGGCTTTTCTTCCAGATTCACCAGTTCTTTCCATAGCTTGACCGAGTCAGGAATGTGCTCCAGCGCCTTGCGCAGGACACGCTTCTTGCTTTCCGTGTCGGTCTCCAATTCCATCGCCCGAAGCCATATGTTCACTGACTGGCTCAGGTATTGGATAGCCCGGGCAAGAATGACCTTGGCATTTTCCACCGAGTTCAACCGTGCACTTTCCAGCCATACATCTTCACTGCGTGGGCATTGCTCACAGCCTTGCGCAATGACTTTGCGTGCCAAGGCCATCTTTCCAGCCACTTCTTCTAGACGAGCGGCGGCAATCCAGCCTGGGGCATGCTTGGGATTCGTCTTGATGACCGAGTCCAAGAGGCTACGTGCTTTCTTGATATCACCGATTTCCACATTGGACTTGATCGAGACGCCAGAGAGCGCTGTCAAGTAGCCGGTAGGGTCAATGGAGGTGGATAGGCCAGAGGAGGCCACAGCGCTTTGCGATGAGGCTTGGTCAAGCTGATGCGAGAACACCTTGTTTCGCGCCTCGCCAATCTCAGTGAGAGAGCTCACGGCGCCATCGTCCTGCGCTGTAGAGCTGACCTGCGCTTGATCGCGTGCAGAGAGCAGGACACTATCCGGCACGGCATAGGTGCGATTGTCGCGTCCTTCACGCAGCGACGCAGCTTTCCGTCGCTTGCCTGTAAGATTCCCTGGCTCCGGCAAGGAAGCCCACTCTTCTTCGCTGACAGTCGCCAAGTTCCGCTTCAAGTCTGCGAACTGCGCCTGGATCTTTGGTTGCGATTTTCGCGCCTCTTCTCGCTCTGCAGCCTCGCGTGCTTCACGTTGCTTACGGCGCCGTTCATCCATATGCCGATCGACACTCTCCCAAATACGATCGGCCTCTTCATCGTCTTTCTCATAGACTGTATTCGCGAACAAAGCCGTCTCTTCTTCAGGGTCCTGGAATCGCTCGTCATCGTCATCGTCTGCATCGTTGGTATCTTCACCACGCCGTGCACGCGCCGCGGCAATGGTCTCCGCCGAGGGTCCTTCACGCGCAGGACCGATATCGGAGCGTGTCGTAAAACCAGTGGCACCACGTCCAAGACCAGCTACGTAGCCAGCTGGCGCCTGCATTGACAGGAACGCCAGTTTATTGGGTCGACTACTCGCCATCACGTCGACGTTCCTTCGCTGCGTAGGTGGAGCGACCATGATCGATTTCTCGCAGTGTCGCCCTCGCATCGTCTCACGTGATACTCGCGCACGCTCCAGCAGGCTCGTGCGAACTGACGCTCCCCAGAACGCGTCCGTCTCTCGCCCAGCATCGGTGCCAAGGCAGAAAAGCGCAACGTGCCTTCACAGGCATGGCCTGCCTCGTTTACACAGCTGTACCATACCTTCAAAGTATGTTGTTTCGATCCTCACACTAGGCACTATGCACCGTGTACACTTTTTGTTCCGCACACAAGCAGGTCGTACCCACCGTGGAGACGCTGCAACGTAGCACAGCATCTCTTTTGCACAGGCCATTGGAGCTGGATGATTTGGCTCGTATCAAAGCTGTTTGTCCTGATATGATTCACTGGGCCTACGTCTCTGCCATGTCGTTGCCAGACTCGGCTACACCGCCTGCGAAGCGCCGACGTCAGGACGAAGATCTATTTGCGCTGCCTCGTTCGCATGTCAACGAGTATACCATGCTGTTCGAGTTCACTGATCATGGACTACATACTGGCAAAGCTACATCGCGTCGCTACGTGGCGGCATCTAAGCCCAAGCATACAACCTCCATGGCACTGATTCAGCGGCGTACCGATACCTTTGCACGCGCGCTGGACGATATCGTGGAGGCGGCACACACAGCGCAGCTGGATCCAGAGCAGCTGTTGGCAGAGGCCGTGCATGCTGTGTATCCGACTGGCCCGCCTGAATCAATGCCTGGTGTGTCGTCGTTGATACGGCCTACAGCACGGCCTACTATAGCAGCGATGTTGGCATCCCTGCCTTCGCTGCCGTGGTGGCGTGACCAAATAGTGCCAGGGGGTCGACATACATTTGCTGCACGCCCTGCCATGTACAGCGACGTGGATCCACCATTATCGTCCTTGATCATGGATGCATTGGACAAGGCCTATCGTATCACATCATTGTATACGCATCAAGCCTTGGCCTTGACCAGTTTCCAGCGTGGACAGCATGTCGTGGTAAGCACAGGTACATCCTCAGGCAAGTCGCTTGTATACCAAATTCCCATGGCGATGGCCTTGGCAGATGACGAAGCGACAGCCCTCTGTATCTTTCCTACCAAGGCGCTAACGCAAGATCAGCTGCGCTCGTTACAAACGTTCTTTTCTCATTTCCCACCGACGCATGATGTCGTCGTGGCCACCTATGATGGTGATACACCTATGCCGCAGCGCAAAGCGATACGTGAGCAGGCTCGTGTGCTCTTTACCAACCCTGATATGCTCCATCAAGCGATCTTGCCGCACGAGATGGGATGGCGCCGATTTTTTCGCGGCTTGCGTGTGGTTGTCTTGGACGAGCTCCATATCTATGCAGGTGTCTTCGGTACACATGTGGCATGGATTCTGCGGCGTCTTCGACGTCTCTGCCATGCGCTTGGCAATGATCACATACAGTTTGTAAGTGCCAGTGCAACCATTGCTGAGCCAGCGGATCACATGGCGCGTTTAGTAGCGCTTCCCACGACGTGCATCGATGTGGTGGATCAAGATGGGTCGCCCTGTGGGCAGAAAGAATGGGTGGTTTGGAATTCGCCGCTCATTGATCCACGCGATCCTAGCCATGGCCGTGTATCGACATTTTCGGAAGCGTCGCAGCTGTTTCGGCACCTGCTTTGCCAAGGCATACGTACGATTTTATTCGCCAAGGTACGGCGTACATGCGAGATTCTCGTGCGAGAAATTCGCGAAGATCTCCTTCGTGAAGGGCATGCAGAGTTGGCCGAGCGTGTGCATGGCTACCGATCAGGCTACTCGGCGTCTGACCGACGTAGCCTGGAACAGGACATGGCATCCGGGCATACCATGGGCCTAATTGCTACCTCGGCGCTTGAACTGGGCGTCGATATCGGTGGCCTGGATGCTGTTCTTTTGTTTGGCATGCCGTATTCGTCGGCGAGTTTATGGCAACAGGCTGGTCGGGCTGGCCGGCGGCAAAAAGATGCGCTGGTCGTTGTGCTTGGCGAACCATTTTCGGTGGATCAGTACTACATGCGACACCCGGAGCTTGTGTTTGCGAAGCCGTCCACGGCATTATGGCTGGATCTCGAGAATGAATTGATTATGGAGCGCCATATCCACTGTGCTGCGTTTGAAATGCCCTTGCATGATACCGACGAACCGTTCTTAGGGGCCCGGTGCTTGGACGTAGCCAAGCGTGTATTGGAGGCTGATCAGGATGGGTACCTGCACTGCACGCATCTTACTGAGACACCTGCGCATACCATCGCCATCCGAGGTGCGCGGCAGGACACGTACAAGTACGTGGATGCGACCAGCGGTGCGCTGCTAGAGGAGGTGGAGTGGGAGCGTGTGTACTTTGAGGCGTATGAAGGCGCTGTGTTTTTGCACCAGGGGCAGACGTACATCTGCCAACATGTGTGGCATGAACAGCGCATTGCACGTATGATGCGGGCCAACGTGCTGTACCATACGCGGCCTCGCGACGTGACGGACATCGATGCACGCGAGACGTGGCGGATTCGTACGTTGCCGCATGCGAGTGTGTATGCGTACTATGGCCGCGTCGATGTGTGTGTGCGAGTGTGGGGCTACTTCAAGGTGGACCGGCGGGCCAACATCCTTGACGCAGTAGACATCGAGGCAGCGCCGATGGTCCGACCGACTGTCGGGCTGTGGATCGATGTGCCATGGCCGATCATCGAGGCCTTATCGCAGCGTGGCATTCATGCAGCAGCCGCGATCCATGCAGCAGAGCATGCGATCCTCAGCCTTACCCCGATGTTCATTGCCAGCATGGCCGATGACGTGCGTACCGAATGCAAAGTAGCGAAGCGGGAGTATGGCCGGCGACCGACGCAGCGCAAACGACCTTCGCGTCTTATTTTCTACGATAAGCCCGGCCAGGATGCAGGTGTATGTGCGCAAATGTTTGGGCATGTCGACACGCTTCTGCAGATTGCCTTGCGTGTGATTGAAGAGTGTGGATGTACCGAGGGATGTCCAGGCTGTATTGAGACGCCGACTTGTCTGCACGACAATGACGTCTCGTCAAAGCTAGGCGCCATGGCCGTCTTGCGTGGTCTGCTGCAGCGCGACCTCTTTGCCGACTGGGACGAGCCACGGCATGAACGGGGACATGCCCCCAGCGCCTTGAGCGACGATACCATGTTCTCACATACGCTCTGCGAGCCAACGCCGGTCCCTCAGCGTGTGGACACGATCGTAGAGGATATTACCGAGCCGCCCGCCCCAAGTCCAGCGCCGAGCGCCTACGCATCTACGGCCCCTTGGGGCTCGTCCCTTGCATGGGAGGAAGAAGAGTCTACAACATAGCTATTCATGTCCAGGCCTGTCGTTGCAGCTGCAATCGCTCTGTAACGTGCGACCATGCACTCATAGAAAGATCAATCCACTGCGTCGTAGCTCGTTGGGACACTGGATGTGATGCCCAGGCTTGAGCAAGCGTCGCCCACGACACCGTATGTGGCGCTGGGGGTCCACGGACGACAATGACAAGGAGAGCGTCCACTGCCTGCGCCAGCTGATCCAGCCGTGTAAGGTACGCTGGGATGTCATCGTTCGCGTCCCAAGCAGCGTGGCCCTGAGCATCGACAAACACAAATTCCACATGGCATTGACACTGCAGCGCTCGCGCCAGCATGGCGCGGCCAGCAGCCGTGGAGTAAAGGAGAACTCGATCGCATGGCACAGAGGAGGGAGCGTGGCCATCGGGCGCATCCAGCAGCACATGGACGAGGTAGTCGCGCGTAAGCGCTTGGATCATCTCATGGATGGCCGGCATCGAAGCGAGCTGCTGCGTCCATGCAGGGTCCACAGGGAACGAGAGACTCAATGTCGGATTCTATTGTGAGTGGGTTTCGGTACATACAGCTCCCTTGCGCTTGGAACGTGCCGAGGTATCAGGTCGATCTTTCTGAGAGGTCCAACGCCATAGCGCTACGCCCAGCGCGATCGCACCACTGGCCGCAAGCACAGGCGCCACCCACTTGGTCGATCTTCGTGCGGGGGCCATGGAAGTGTGGAGTAAGCCGCGACAAAAGGGGCCCATTTGCCTCTCCACCTGCCGTCAAGCCGTCCGTCGTCGTTGACCATACGAGACGCATGCCAGAGACTTCATTTGACTTTACAGACTACGAGATCGATATTATATCGTAATTAATGATCATAGCTGGGGACCCACATCTCTTGCTTAACCCAGGCCATGAGCTCTTCGTCGCTCATCTTCGCCGTGAAGCCATCGTCACGCGAGAGACCATACTTGTTCAGCGACTTGATGCAGCGGAATGCAATGTAGTTCGACACTTCACGCACACGCTCCAATTTCGGGTAGATACGGTGCTCGTCCTTCTCTTCCTGCGTCACAGCATCTGCGAGCGCAAAGGCCGACTCTGTGATGACATCTTCCGTAATGTGCTTCGCACGCACCAAAGCACCAGCCAGACCCACACCAGGGAAGATGTAGAAGTTGTTGCCCTGCTCGGCAAAGCGGCGACGGCCATTATAGTCAATATGATGGAACGGTGAACCCGCAGCGAAGATCGCCCTGCCATCCGTGTACGTCAAAGCTTCCTCGAATGTACATTCAGACTTGCTAGTCGGGTTGCTCAGCGGAAAGATAATCGGATGCTCATTCAGTTCCGCCATCTTACGCAGCACCGGCTCACTAAAGGTACCAGGCACCGTCGAGAGACCAAAGATGACAGTCGGCTTCACGTAGTTGACAATGTCAAGAAGCTCCTTGTGCTGCTCCTCGCCGTTGTCAGTACGAGCAAAGTACTTCTTGTGCTCCGCCAGATGGTCACCGCGGTTCGCCGTCACCAGACCCTTGGTGTCCGTCGTCCAAATACGTGAACGGGCCTCCTCTTCGCTCATGCCATGCACCAGGAAGAACTGCATCAGCTGCTTCGCTACACCAATCGCGGCCGAGCCCGAGCCGACCATAAGAATGCGCTGGTCCTCGATCGGCTTACCCGTCTTGTCCGTCGCAAGACGAGCAGCATTAATAAAGCCACCAAGAATCACAGCACCCGTACCCTGGATATCGTCGTTGAACATGGGGTACTTGTCCTTGTAGCGGTCCAGGAACAGGAACGCCTTCTCACTGCTCCAGTCCTCGAACTGGATAATCAGGTTCGGGTAGCGTTCATGCAGCGCTTCCATGATCTCATCGACCAACTCAATCTCCTCCTCCTGGCTCACACGCTTGCGGCGCAGACCCAGGTACAGCGGGTCGTTGAGCAGGGTTTCATTGTCCGTACCAACATCGACCGCAATCGGGATTGTCGATTGAGGGTGCACACCAGCACCAGCCACATACAGCGAAAGCTTACCAATGCAAATGCCCATACCGTTCCAGCCAAGATCACCGAGACCGAGAATACGCGAGCCGTCGGTGATCACAGCCACACGCGGCGTGTCAGAGGGACGAGGCCAGTTGGCAACGCATTTCTTGATCGAGCCCTTGTCCTCAATAGTAAGAGTGAGACCCTCGGGGCGGCGGAACATGCTCGAGAACTTCTGGCACGCCTCACCCACCGTCGGGGTGTAGACAAGCGGAAGTGTCTCCACCATGTTCTTCAGCACATAGGCATAAAAGAGGCGCTCATTGCGCTGACGCAGGTTGCTGAGCTCAATGTGCTTCTGGAAAGAGCTCTTCTTCGTGTCCAGTTGGTGACAAATACGATCCACCTGCTGGTCCAAAGTTTGCTGTGTGGGGGGCAGCAAGCCACGCAGGCCAAGGCGTTCACGCTCCTCGTCATTGAACGCAGAGCCTATGTGTTAGTCCTCCCATACCTACCCTTGTTTGTGTACAGGTCACGAAGACAGGCAGCACCGCCGTACTCGTGCTGCTCAATAGAGTAATGCACAGAATCTTTCTTTACACTTGGATCAGCCTGAGTTATGGCATGGTGTGAACGAGAGAAAACGTATGAGCTCTGACTAATACGGTGCCTTGGTTGAGCAAGTCGCCCAAGGCATCCCTTGGCCAATACCTTACTTACCTGAGTGGAAGTGGGCATCGTGTAAAAAGAATGGTAAGAAGCACGGTTCACCAGTTCCGTTCCTTATTACTCTCGTCCGATCGTCTGAAAGGCGTGACTCGCGACTGACTCCAAACTTCCCGCCTCGGCCGTAGGGTCCGTGCCCATCTCATTCATTCCCACGTGGGTGTCACATATCACTGGCACTACGTAAGGCCCGATGTGCTGCGTGCATATTGCATGTCGTCATGGGTGCATAGATAGGTGGGTTTGGCTGAGACCCAAACTCTTGGCAGCAAGATAACAGAATTTGCACCGGCATAATGCAAGAAGAAACATCCATATTTCGTATAGGTGTATCCAGCATATATATCTGGTCGACCTGGGAGTCTAGGACGCACATGGCGCCGTTACGTTCTCGGACAGGTGGCGTTCTTGGGTGTTGGCGTGCCCTACTCATGGGCGCCTATTCCATTAAGGGGCATCTTAAACGGTAAAGGCATCTTGTCTATGCCATGACCAGGCTTATTGCATATCCCATAGCATATATACATGTACACATCCTAGACCGAGACCCGTGTCTCTCTATCTGATCTTATCATTCTGTCGTATCAAGGTGCGCCTTGTCCGTTCGCTTGCTGGGCCCTGATCTCCCATGCATCAGAGGTCTGTGCGCCACGTAATGAACCACGTGGCAAACTCGGGCACGTTCGGCCCTCGCTGAACTGGCTGTCGGGCCGAGCGCATCTAGCGTCTTTCTTCTACCTACTCCATCATGTTCGCTCGTGCTGCTCTTCGTGCCCCTATCCAGGCCGCTCGTGCCCCGGCCTCGGCCCGTCTCTTCTCGCAGACTGCTGCTGCGAACAAGAAGGTTACTGTTCTCGGTGCCTCGGGTGGTATTGGTCAGCCTGTACGTCCTCTTCCTGACTGCGTTCCTAACACCTTTTAGCTCTCGATGCTGCTCAAGCTCAACCCGTACGTGACGGACCTGCGTCTGTACGACATCCGTCTCGCTCCGGGTGTGGCTACTGACCTCTCGCACATCAACACCCCGTCGAAGTGCACTGGTTACGCCCAGGAGGACCTTGAGAAGGCCCTCGAAGGTACCGAGATGGTTGTCGTTCCGGCCGGTATGCCGCGTAAGCCTGGTATGACCCGTGACGACCTGTTCAACACCAACGCCTCGATTGTGCGTGACCTCGCCAAGGCTGCCGCCAAGGTCGCTCCGAAGGCCCACATGCTCATCATCTCCAACCCGGTCAACTCGACTGTGCCGATCGTCTCGGAGGTTTACCGTGAGGCTGGTGTCTACGACCCGAAGCGCCTCTTCGGTGTCACCTACCTGGACGTGACCCGTGCCTCGACATTCCTGTCGGGCATTGCTGGCTCGGTCCCGGCTGAGACCAACGTCCCGGTCATTGGTGGCCACTCGGGTGTGACCATCGTGCCGCTCCTGTCGCAGGCTTCGCAGAGCTCGGCTGTCTCGGCTGGTGAGCAGTACGAGAAGCTCGTTCACCGCATCCAGTTCGGTGGTGACGAGGTCGTGAAGGCCAAGGACGGTGCTGGTTCGGCCACCCTTTCGATGGCTTACGCCGGTGCCAGCTTCGCTGACCACCTCCTCCGCGCCATGTCGGGCGAAAAGGGTGTCAAGGCTTGCGCCTTTGTCGAGAGCCCGCTCTTCAAGGACCAGGTGCAGTTCTTCGCTAGCCCCATTGAGCTTGGTCCGGACGGTGTGGCCGACATTCCGGCTCTGCCGAAGCTGACCGGCGAGGAGCAGAAGCTCCTTGACGCTTGCCTGCCTGACCTTGCTAAGAACATCAACAAGGGTCTGGAGTGGGCTAAGGCCAACCCGTAAATCAGCTATGTAGCGTAGCGCAGAATAGGTTTTCGCTTGCTTCTTACTATACTCTAGGGATGGACTATACCAGTCGCGCTACGTCTGTGTCGACGAACGTAGTGACATCCCAAGGCTGGGCCGGTGAAGATACCACGCCTGCCTTCTCCAAGGTGGCCAGCGTATTGCGGATCATGCCGCCAGATAGCGTGAATGCGTTAGTTTTCTGCGCTTGCGGGTCTGTCGGCGTCACGCCTTCCGGATCGGGAGTACGCTCACCAGCCCAGCGCACTTGGCTAGCCCATGCTTTAATATCTTCTGGTCTGTAGTGGTGTACCATCTCGATATGCGCTTCCAAAGAGCCATCCTTTCGTGTTTCCTCATTTGCAAACGCACGAATCGTCTCGTCCAGCTCGTGCAAGAATTCTTCCAAGACGTCTTTCCGATCCATATCGTCCAGCGCCGTATGTGTGCTAGCGGCAATCGTCCACGACGGCCACGGCGTCGGCAACGAACCTATATAGCGCACCTCGCCTGCATCTTTAAACGGTTTGGTGGTGAACCATTCCCACATGAAAAAGCCTGTCTCATGCCCAGGCTTTTGGTTCACACCATCCCGCAGCGTTTGAAAGTCGTTGTTCACCACGAACTCACGATCTTCTACACGCCCTTCCGACGTGACCCATCCTTGCTGCAGAGCCAACACACTAGCCATCAGATGCGAGCCACTTCCAATGCGGCTCACTCCTACCTTGGCATGCCGCAAATCGCCGACCGTTTGGTACTTGGCAGCTTCAGGGCTTGTCCCTGTAATAATAGCCCACGTCAGACTACTGCGCACATAGCTGCCCACTAGTTTGTAGTCTGTTCGTCCCTTGGCAATACCAGTGATCAGACCTTCAGTCAGGGCCACAGCCACATCGATCTTTTGGCCACCAGGCTGCGATCGGTCTAGCGACGTTAGCATTTGGCCTGTACCCGAGGCTTGCTCGACCAGCTCCATGTTCTTCGAGCCCTACAACAATGAGTATAGATCGCACGTACCCATGGCGAGTTGGCCAGCATAAGAAGGGGCGCGGAAAAGTGCTCCGGTACATACCCTACACGCAGTTTCGCCGTGCTCATGCTGTCGAAAGTCGTGAACAGCCACCTACCCAATCTATCTACTCCGGCCTCGTCTCCACGTGGAGGAGGCCTGTGCTTTCCTCCTCGTCCTCAGGTGTGGAGGACGCGGCCCAGGTGGCCGAGAGCGATTCGACCAACGACCGCCAGCCGAGCCGTTTCGAGTGAACGTCGTCACTTCGCCAGTCCAAATGTACATCCGTAGAGCTTGGCAACCCTTTGCGTGACGCCAAGGAAATCTTGAAAAAGTGGCTAGGGTCAGAGAAAAACCGATCAAAGTAGTGCAGTAAGTACACGCCGCAATCGCAAAAGTTTGGCTGCGAAGGCACGCGGACGTCAATGTGGATCGGGTCGCCCAGTTGGCGCATGTCGATATCGGAAGGTACCATGTGCTTATCGCGTGCTTCTAGCCGAAGGTAGTCGCGAAGGGCCGTTTTCACTGGCCCATGGCTTGTCCCTAGGCTGTCAAAGACAAGAACGTATGTACATTCCTCCTCGGTCGGTCCAGAAGCCGGTGTACGTGGAGGCGACCGTCGGCTCTCGCCTGGTACAATGCGTGTAGGTGTGCGTGGGCCCGCGTTTGGCTTCTTGGGACGGTCTATTGCCCTTGGTGTTTCCTCCACGGCCATGGGCGGCGGCGGCGGCGTTGTGGGTGCGGCGTGCCGTTTCATCCATGGCTCCCACACCGCTCGAGGACGGACAATGATGGCCATGTACCAATGCATATTCTCATGGATGGGAACCACCACATACTTTTTATCAAAACTGTTGTGAGCGCCGTATCATACATACATGTTCACACGATGTGTCCATTTGCGAACTTTGTCATACGACTTGCTTCGATCACGAAACTCGGTCAGTTTATGGTAAAAAAACGTATTAAACACATAAATCTGGTCCGCCAATGTGGGATGTTGCGCTTTGATCTGCTCCAATTGGTACCGCAGCCCAAATTCAATCAGGGTATCATTCAAAAATTCTTCGTCATTTAGTCTGCGCACGTCTGAGCGCAAAAGTGTCACGGCAAAGGGGCCATGTGCTGGGTATCGAAGGATCGGCTCATTGGAAATAGCATCTTCTGTCTCTGCGGCCTTTGTCTGTGTGCGGGTATAGTGTTGAGCCATAGCACCTGTGGCCTCGACGGGGGATGCAGGTGGAGAATCCACGTCAATGGGGATCGTCTGTGTCTCTTTTTGCAGCGTAGCGCGGGTAGTACGGCTTCGTTGCGTCCTTCCGGGCGTTGGTGCTGTGATCTGATGTAGTGACGAATCCGACGAAAGCACTGTGTGGCCGGGTACATGGAATGGCTGTGTGCATTGCTGTACGAGGGATTCGTACATGCTCTTGCTACCTGGCTCCGGTAGGATTTCTGTCTGCATACCATCGCGGATACGTCGACATAGTGCCTTCCATTGCGAGTCACAGTTGGGCTCGCCTGTGCGTGGACACAAAAACAAGTGGATGGTATCATGCAAGGAGTCCGCACACAGGGACGATATGGCTTTCCCTGTAGTGCTGTGCGGCACGATATCCAACGCAATCATGGCATGTGCACTTCCACCTAGCTTGCAAGATATGACATCGCGCCAGGCGATCTTGACACAATCCTTGTTCTGATAAAACAGCGTCATATGCTCACGAAACGATACCAACGTCAGCCCCTCCTCTTGGCAGCTATTTGTTGTGTTGACAAACATTGCAGCTAGATCAACAGAGATGCTCTGTGTCGGCTGCGATGTGCGAACATGACGGACCGAATCACGGCGATCACCTTCGCGCGAACGCATGCGATCATGGAGGCCTTGTGGGGGGGTGAGGAAGTCAATTTCGTCACGACTATCGTCGTCTCCCTCAGTTGTTATGCGAGGCGCCTTACCTTTCACCAATGCTACATCCGAAGAGGGTATACGTTTTGATCGGGAAGGACTGGGACTCGCATAGAAGGAGGCTGCAGCGATGGGTGTGCGGTACGGCGAAGCGGTCGCTGGGCTGCGCTTCGGTTTACGTGGCTTCTCTTCTGTGTCCTTAGCCGCCAGCTCTGCTGCCATATGTGGCGTCTGCATGCTTCGCCGCGCGCGGTACATGTACTGGCGCTCCATCGCGCGGCGGGCTCCGTGCTAACGATATCCAGTCCACGCGTGTCGTCGTGGTAGGCTGCTGCTATGGCAGTGTGACACAACACGTGTCGTCTTGCCCCTTCCTCCACTTCCAGCTACCCAGACTATGGCGTGAAGACAAGGACGGCTACGTTGAGTCGCTGTACGATAAGCCACGCGTATGCCATAAGGCACGACGTTTGCGCAGAAGCGCATCCATCCACTGCTGAATCTCAGGGTGCGCCACTTTCGGCGCAGCGCCATCCCAGAACGGCTGAAGGTCCTTGATGCCATGGGCTTTTTCGTACTCGTACGCTTGAAGACACAGTTCAAAGCAGTCCAGGTCCTTGACGATTTTCGCTTCGGCACTGGAGCGGTGCTCATACTCATTCCACAGCGTCAACAGCCACTGTGATGCATGTGTATCGCCGAGCAAGTCCTGCGTAAGGAACTGAATGGCTTTGAGCTCACGGCGCTGCTTGTCTTCTTTGTCCACTTTGCACAAGGGCGTCAGGTCTCCCACCAGTGCCTCTGCTAGGTCGTGCACGAGCGCCATCATCACACATTTACGCACATCCACCTTGTCATCCTCCAGTAGCATGGCGAGGACGGCCATGCGATACATGTGGTCCGCAATGGATTCCGGCGCTGGCACATTGTGGTGATACCAACCAGTACGTTTCAGCAGCTTGAGGTTCTGTAAGTAGTGCATAAAGTACAGAAGCTTGTTGAGTGTCTTATCATCTGTATCTGTGCACGTAAACTGCAAGTTCTCAATGGCCCGCGGCGCTAGTTCTGGCGACGGATCAAGTCGGATATGCGTGCTTGGCACTTCCGGTAGCGGTGGCAGGTCGATCGTGGTGGATCCTTGCGGGGCCGCACGCGCTCGCTGGGCTTGCATGGTTTCCTCCGCTGCCATATGTGTGTTAGGCACACGGAATCCAGTCGTACGTGTCGTCTGAGTAACACTGCGGCGGTCGGTCGTCGGCATAGTCAGACCTTGCGACGATGGCGTGCGCTGTGCACGAACTGCTTTAAGCAGCGATGGGACCATACGCTTTTCATGGTACGGCAGACTGGTTTTGGGCTCGCGATCCAGGCCATAGTACACGTCGCGCTGCGGCGCTGGCTTGTGAATCGGCATCGCTGAATGAGATGGCACAGAGCGGGCGAGCGTAAGGGTATCATCGTGGTTCGCACTACGCTGACGCCATGCCACCGACGCACTATGCATGTTCTTGCTTGCCGCCAGAGGCATGGCCGGCATGGGGTGCATACGTCGATGCGAAGGCGCATTGGCCAAGGCGGCTCCCGCTAGTGCCAAGTCTTCATCATGGTCTGGATGCAACAACGGGGCTTTGCTGCTCTCCCGCTTCGTATCTTGTGGGTGCAAGGTGCGTGCCATGTAGCTGGGGTCAGCCAGATCGTACGGGCCTCGGAGGTGCGTATCCTCCCTTTTCTTCTGCCATTCCATTGTCTGAGGGATCGCAGAGAACGATGTAGCCATGCCACTGTGGAGTAGGCTCGTTGCCAGTTCGTCTTTGATAGGTCGCTCTTCTTCTGTGGCCACAGGGGGTTCCAATACTGCCGGCGCCTTGTCGTCAGACAGATGCTTGGCCTCCAGGTCTTCGTCGATATCGAAGACATGGTCCTCCTCCCCTGTTTCATGTTCTTCATGAGCAACGTCTTCCTCACTCTCGTGCTGTGTAAACATGACTTTACGTGAATGCATGGACTTCCGAATCGTCTGCTCTTCCATCTCCTCCATCGTGCGACGTTCCATTGACACTTCGCGGCTGAGTGGCTTGGTCGGTGTCGTCTGTACACTGCGTGGGTCTCTGCCCATGCGCGAGAGAGACATGCTTAGCCCGCCCATCGTTTTGGAAAGGTCTGATGCATCATTCGTAATGTGGCGCTTGGCGAACATATTTTGTGGACCAGTCGTAGGCGCTGCAGAGGCGGGCTTCGCTGGGCTCGCGTGGAGTTGCGACGTCACAGGCTTGGGCACCATATCAATTGACTCCAGTACGGTTTTGACGTCTGTGACAGATCTCTCCCAGAGGCTTTGCAGTTCTTTTTGCTTGGCCTGAATGAACTCTTGAATGTCCTGCACCAGAGCGGACCGGCGCATCTCCAGCGATGTTTGGGCATGCTGCAAGAGGTCCTGCGTCACATCTGCCGAGGCTTTGGAGGGTACCATTTGCTCCCATACTTGCGTGGAAATGGCGGGAAGGAACGATGGCACGTTTTGCAGCTCTGTCGTGGGTATCTCTAAGAGCATCGTCGCTTCACTCTGTGCATGTGAGATGGGTAAGACCACGTTGAACAAGTCAGAGAACTGGGACTGCGACTTTCGCGACTCTATCGCCTCGTTCTGAAGACAGGCCGACGAGACCCATACCGTCTTATCAACGGGGTGTGTCCACATGTCGCTCTCCGCCTCGTCAGTAGGGTACTGTGCGAGAAACACGCTCTGGTGGCAGATTCCACACTGCACAGACGTTAAGGGTGCATGCTCCTGTTCGTGTCCATCCCGTGGCTGCACCGTGGCTGTTTTGATAAGGCTTGGCAAGGACTACCGGTCAGTATCCCATCAGACATACCATCGAGAGACCTTGGCGTTCATCTAGCGTGACCTTCCATGGCCACTGCGTATCGTTTTCAGGCGTTGCCGTGCCAGCTATGCGTACATTTAGACAGGCACACGACCATCGATCCGGCACAGCCGAGGCTGTTCGCATGGCGCCTGGCGTGGGCATCGTGTGAGAAACGCAACCGCGTTGGGAAAAATAACACTGTGGTCTACATCGGGCCATCGGGCCTCAGTGTCACCTGTTCCACTCCTTCGTGACTAAAAGGAGCGGGTGAAGGAGAGGGCGCCGTTGTCATCCTAGCCCCCGTAACATCAGTTGTAGGCGTATAGAAAGTATATGCTACACATCACCATTGGTACTTCTCCCCTTTGTGCAAAGCACGGTAATATATTTCTTGGATGCGGCGCATCCGGAACTGGTGGTGCGAATAGTACGTGTTTAGGGCCATCGCCAGATCGGGATGCTGCTGCACATCATGCGCAGAAAAGTCCATCGTAATGCAGGACGTGATAAGGTGTCCAGCCGTCATCAAATCAGACGCCCAACGCTCGCCGAACGTCAGCTCCGTCAATCCCACCACGTCGCCCTGCGCGTACCGTTCGACGACTGTGTTGGTGGCCGTCGAATCCAATTCCGAATTGGTGCCGCGGCGGTACAAGCGAGGACGTGCTCGCACCCAGTCGGCGGGTGTGCGATCGACTTTGCTGGCCGGGTTGGACGAGCTATCGTGCTCAGATGGCTGGATGGGCGCCATCATCGTCCGCGTGTTGAGCGCTCCTACGACAACGATACGCACGTCCGGCATGGGATCCGAGGCGCTCGACAGAAGCGTTTGTGGCTCATGGAAGCAAATCTGTCCGAACTGTTCTAGTACAGAGACAAAGGAGCCTTGCCAGCGATCACCCTCAGCGTTGGTGAGTGTAGGAATGGTATCAGTCGCTTCAAAGCTCAGCTTCCCTTTCGTATCGTCGCTGAGGACCGAGTCTGTATCACTAGGCGCTTTGCAGCACAGCTGCTCCCAGCATGCTTGCCATTGAGCCGGCAATGGTAGTGTTGGGTCAATGGTCTGTGTCATCGGTGTGATAAATTGCGTCATGGGCACCTCGTACGAGTCACGTCGCGCCGGCGTCACGTCACGTAAGGGGCTGGGCGACGCAGGGGCTGGCATATCGCGCGCCCATCGAGGCAGGCGTGGCTGCGTTACGTAGGCTCGCGACGAGAGCCAGCCAAGCACGTCAGAGAACTCGGCGACAGGCCATAGAGCCTGCCTGACAAGGGTGCTAGCCGTGACTGAGTCCACCGTCGAGGGATCTTCACATACCGCACCGGCTTTGGCGAGGATGTTGTACCGTGACGATCCATAGGGCACACCCAAAAGGAACCCGGCCGGATGTTCCACACCATCATGCGTATTCTGCCGCTCATCTGCAATCGCGGCTGCTGTCACACGATCAACGCGCGCAGAGTAGGTAAAGTCCACCACCAACGCGGCGCAGCCCTGCTGCTGTAATGTATGAATAGCCTGTCGCAGCTTCGCCGAGGTGGTGTATCCTGCTGTGCCTGTCAATGATATGACACCGATTTGCGTCTTGTACTCGCTGCCTTCGCGGAGGCGCTCCACAATGCGGGACGAGAGGACGCTGGCATCAGCAAAGGTCGAGAGATTGATCATGCACGTCCGAATTTCGTAGTCGGCCAAATGCTCGAAGCCCAGGGCGGCCAATGTCGCTGCCAAGCCTACACCGACACCTTGAGCAAAACCAAGAGCCGTGCACGCAATCATCGTGCCGACAATGACGAGGTACTCCAACAAGCTCTTCTTCGTCCATGTCGGACCCAGGGCTTCTGCCATAAGCTCCTCGCCGAAGAAGAAGACCATGACGGCAGCGCATACCACGGGAATATATGGGAGAAGCAGTTTGGAGAACACGAAGAACAGAAACACAACGACTAGGACCATCGCCGATTCGAATCGCATACCACCTGCACGTGAGAAAAACAGTGTATTTGACATGACGATCAGGCATGGCAGCGTACCACATAAGCCAGTCACGAGGTTCGCAATGCCATGCCCGATGAACTCACGCTGAATCGAGGCGGTGCGAGGTACATGAGGCAGATTCTCGCGCAGTGTTGGGTAGTAAATCGGCAGGTTCAGGGCACCGATAATAATTAGCACAATCATTTCGACTAGAACGGTCTGCATGGCATGCCATCGAATGAGGCCGAATTTAAACAGACCCCAGAACTCATAGAACTTCATGCGCTCCGTCACCGACTCCCCTTCAGGCACCTTCATAAAGAGCCAGTGGTGATCCACAAGCGACTGCATTGATTGTCGACTTGCCAGCGCGGCGATCCAGAAGATGATACCCACGGCTATCGTGTAGCCTGGCGTAAAAAATGAGTTGGAGCATACACGCCGCAGCTCCCATGTGATGCGCCGCATCCATGCGGTACTCCAGCGTGGCTGCGTAGCGCTGTCCTTTTTCTTGACACGGACGCCTATAGCCAGGAAAAGGGTGACGATCAATGAAGTGACGGTCACTGGCATGCCAGGCCCTGTAAACATCGACTTGATGTACGTGCCCGACCACTCGAACGAGGAACGCTGTGCCACGTCAAAGCCAGAGAGAAAGAGAGAAAGACCAATCGCACCAAGTGCGCCGTCCAGGACCGCTTCCGGGAAGTAGGCAATCCAGCGGTCGATTTGGAAGAAGCCCAGCGCAAGCAACAGCGCGCCGAGGGCAATCGAAGAGATCACATACGACGCCACGACCGTCGCGAGAAGGGCATCTCTATCATCTGGAATGACGCTCGCTAGTTTGTTGGCGATATTCTGCATGAAAGGCAGCACCTCGACTAGCATTTCGCCCTGTGCCTGCTCAAAGTTGGTCCCCCCCAGGACAAAGACCAACTGACATAGGATCGTAGAGGCTAAGAAGATAGCGATGCTCTGCGCTTCAATGCCCTGAAACATAGCACCATCCGTAGGAAACACAAGCAGACCCATCGAGGCGGCATCGAGAATAATGATCAGGGCGCCTAGCAAGACAGCCGCATACGAGACGTTCGTAACGCGGGGTCGCGCCAGACGCTGTGGTGTTATAGAGCGTGGGAGGGCCCGCAAATTGCGTGTACGTGAGAGCCACGACATAATACCTGGCGACGAGGACCGTGGCGCCGCATGCTCCGGCAGCACGTTCATCCCCCTTCCGTGACGATACGCTGACTGGCAAGGTGGCACGACGCTGTGGAGATAAAGCCAGGCCTTGGCATGCAGCCGGAGTGTCCTAGGGCCATCGGGCCACCCGATCAGGTCGCAGGACCCCTCCACACGAACGTGGAGGCGTGTACTTTGCCACGAACGACGACGACGCTCTCCTTTTGATCGTGTGCGATGCCGCAAGAAATTCGGCTCGTCCTCGCCGGCGATGCAGGCGTAGGGAAGTCATCGCTGATCATGTCACTTCTGAAGGAGGGGTTTGTTGAGAATGTCCAGCCTGTTGTGCCGGAAATTACGCTTCCATCGGATGCGTCACCGGCTGGCGTCACGACCAAGATCATTGATACGGCGTCAGGGCCACGTTATCAGGACCGACTTGAAGCGGAGCTACGTCGCGCGCATGTCATTGCGCTTGTGTACAGTGTGATGGACCGCGAATCATTCGAGCGCACTTCGTCGTACTGGCTGCCGATGATGCACTCGCTCGGCATCAATGTGCCTGTGGTGTTGGTCGGCACCAAAATTGATCTTCGTCCCTCGGTCGTGGACGATGAGTCGCTGGAAGAGGACATTGCTCCGCTTATGGCCGAGTTTAAAGAGATTGAGACGTGCATTGAATGCAGTGCCTACCTGGCCCTGAACGTCGGCGAGGTGTTTTACTATGCGCAAAAAGCCGTATTGTACCCTACAGCGCCCTTGTACGACTCACGTACGCATACACTCAAACCTGCATGTGCCGATGCGCTGTCCAGTATTTTTTACTTGTGCGATACCGACAAGGACGACGTCCTCAGTGACGACGAGTTGAACCACTTTCAGTTTGTATGCTTCGGCGCGCCCTTGCAGCTGCAGGAACTGGAAGGGATCCATGAACTGGTCCAGCAGGGCCACTCGCCTCATGGACCGCTGCATCTGCATAATGGGCGCCTGACGCTTGAGGGCTTTTTGTACCTACATACGCTGTTCATTCAGCGCGGCCGTCTCGAGACGACGTGGACTGTGCTCTGGACCTTTGGCTACGCCATGGACTTGACGCTCTCTCCGTCGTATATTCATCCACCTCTCGATATCCCTAAAGGGATCGCCGTGGAACTGAGCCCGGCTGGCTACCAATTCTTTACTGAGCTTTTCAAAGCACATGATAAGGACCATGACGGCGCGTTGAATGCCGCCGAGCTGGATGCGCTCTTTCGTCCTGTGCCCAATGGGCAGCATCCATGGACAGGTTTCCCTGCGAGCACGGTGACCGATGAAGCGGGGGCCGTTACACTGCAAGGCTGGCTCGCGCAGTGGAGTATGACCACGCTCTTGGAGCCACGCACGACGTTGGCCTACCTAGCCTACCTTGGCTATCCTCTGTTTGCGCATGCTATGGGCATGGAAGCCAAATTGGCGCGGTCGTCGCATCCTTCGTCGCCGTCTTACAGCAGTGCCTCTGCTTCGTCGTATGCGTGGATGGATGGCACGGCTGTAGGCGCCCAAGCCGCATACGAGGCACGACCGTCTGTGACAACCACGGCCTTGAAATTCGTTCGCCCTCGGCGGCCTGGAGAACGCAAGCGCTCCGGCAACGAACAGTGCAGTGTGTTCTCGGCCCTGGTGCTCGGCGCGCCTGGGAGTGGCAAGACGGCGCTTTTGCGTCACCTGGTCGGCAAGCCGTTCCAAGCCAAATATACACCGACGCATCATCTGCAGCGGGCTGTCGGTGCAGTAGAGCAAGGCGGCGCAGAGCGCTACCTTGTCCTGCAAGAGTATGGATCGCACAACGAGGCAGAAATCCTACGCAATCCGGCCAAGCTGGATCACATTAGCGCCATTGTATTTGTGTACGACTCGAGCGATACCCATTCATTCTCGTATATCTCGAATCTGCGCCAACAATACCCGTACCTGGCCTCGCTGCCTTCCCTGTTTGTCGCGACAAAGGCCGACTTGGACCTGGCACGCCAGCGCCATGAGGTCCAGCCGGATGTGTACTGCCGCAAGCTGGGGCTCAGTGTGCCGCACCTAGGCGCAGGGCCGCTGAATGTGAGTGCACGTCTCGGGGAGATGGCTCAATTGTACACCATTCTGCTGGGCATCGCCATGGATCCACGCGGCGCGATTCCCACGCCCAGCAGCTCGCTAAGCACTGTGCGCTTGCAGTGGCGTACCGGCTTGGTCTGGGCCGTGGCGCTCACCGGCACTACGGTCCTCTCGTGGACATTCGTCCGTGTGGTGCTCGCGCCACGTACGCGCCTAGGTCTGGGCAGCGCCTCGACAGGGTCGCGCTCGTGGCTCTCGTGGCTGTGGGGCCAGACATCGAGTTCGTCTAGTATGCTCCGCTCTGAGTTGTAGCTACTATTGTACATGCATAAAATGAAAATGGGCTTCTTTGGCCCTGTTCTAAAAATCCGTCCGTGTCCATTGTCGTGCCTTACCACCCCTTATGGTGGAAGGATTGTTCGTCGTTTTGTGTACGTACATGACCGTCTGACGTCGTATGACGGCCTGCGTCCGCATTGGGCGTACCATGCGTTGGCACTGGGGCGCCGAGACCTAGAATACGAGCGCGCGATTGGCGCTCCCATAGCAGGTTTTGACGAAGACTCTCTGAGAGTTCGTCCCGCAGCATATTCTGCCGCGTGGTATGGGGCGACGGCAACGGCATCGGCACACGTCCAGCACTACTCGCCATCGCCGTAGGAGGCGAAAGGAACGAGTGCGCTTTGCCATCCTCCTCGTCCTCGTTCGGCTGCGGCACACGCTCAATGCGCACGCCGTCGTCAGACGGCCGCACACCCAGCGAAGGCCCTTCATCGTCCGCATCCTCTTCGCTGCTCACCGAAGGCGTCTCCGTTTGCGTGGCCACCGCCGGGCTAAGCGCACTGACCGAGGGGCCCAGCGCCGCATGCTTACGGTGCTCCGTCTCCAAGGGCTTGCCATGCGCAATGGCCGACAACCGAGCGAGGGCCGTGAAACTCTTGGTGCGTGACGGCAGCGGAGGTCGTGCATGAGGCGCGAGAGGCGCCGTCGGCTGCGGCGCCTGCTGCGTGGACGCCATGTCTGTAGTCTCTGCACTAGTCACAGACGGCACAGGCTCGCGCGACGACGTGGATAAGGCCGGGACGTCAGAGACTCGACCTGCAGCCGTGGAGGAGCAAAGAGAGGTCAAATTAAGGACCGGCATAGCCAGCACGCTCTTGCTGCGGCTCATCGTTGGACCATGCAGCACGGCTGCCGAGGATAACGAACGCGTTTGGTGAATGTGAGCAGGTGTCGAGGTATTTCGCGAGCCAGGCGCTGCGACATGCCGCCGCTCAGGCATCTGTGTAAAAGTTAACGTATGGCCAGGTCGGATGGAGGACGGCCGTTTGCGAGGCGGGGGCGCCTCGGTCGGCTGGAAGAGCGACGAAAGAAGACCCCGAGTGTTATTCAAGTCGGTCGCCACGTCCGGCGAAGCAACTTGGTTCTTGATCCGTGTGAGATCAGCCATACTGGCGGAGCGAAGAGGACGTTTCTTGAACATTTCCATCCGCTCCTTTTCCTCTTCCAGTCGCTTACGTTCCCGCTCCGCGGCTCGGGCCGCCTCACGTCGTTTGGTTTCTTCCTCTTCGTCCTCGCTGCTCCACTCATCATCATCACCACCTGCCTGTCTAGGTGGCGCCGGCTTGGTCTCTGCATGCTCCTCTTCGTCCGAGTCGGCGCCTACAGTAAACATGATTTTACTCTTCTTTTTCTTCTTGAGCTTCTCCTTCTTCGGCATGTCGTCCGACGATGTCATAGTAAGCATATTCAGCACATTGGTACGACTGTTCGAGCGATATCCACGATGAAGCAGGCCTAGATTCTCACTGCTCTTATTGGACTTGGTACGTCGCATTCGAGGGGCGTGAGGCACATTCTCTCGCTCTTGGCCCATGTGCTGTGTCGTTTGTGTAGGTTTCACAACTGGCTTCTCCGCCTTCTCGACAATGGCCGGCAGCAGCGCCGCTTGTATGGAAGGCAGCACAGCAGGCACCTTGGACGTGGGCGAGACGTCGTCAGTAGGTGGCGGCACAGCGAATCGCACAGGCGGAGCCGAAGTCGAAGTCGCTTTGTTGAGGCTCGTTGCTGCCAACGGCAGTATCGCATCTTGCCGTGTCGGGCTCAGCACACTACCGCGAGGCGATGCATTCACCGAGTTCGTCCTGGATCGTCCTGCATGTGGCGTGGCACTGCCCGCGGTGGAAATCGGCGTTTCGGAGCCTCGCGTCATTGTGCCTGCCAATGTGCCTTCGTCATCGGTGAGCGCATGGTCCTCGCGACGAGCCGTATCAGAGAGGGACGAATCGGATCGACGGATGCGCACATCTCGTGCCAATTCAGCCAGCTCATCAGCCCACCTGTGTTCGCGTTTAGGCGAAGGCATGAGTAGGCTAAATTCATTTTCTTTCTGACCTGACGTCACGTCTTGCTTGAGGTCCCCGTCACCATCCTCACTAAAGGCTGATTCATCTGTCGAAAGTTCCGCTTCAGAGGGCGGGCCGATGGCCATGGCTGCGCCCAGCGGTTTGTGCATAGGCATCGCACTCAGTGTTTCCGAGCGAAGTTGGGTCGCCGGCTTTTTTTGGCTTTGTTGGTGCCATAACCGCCAAGCCAAATTCTCAAAGCGATGCCCATCATCCACAGAACCTTTGACTTTAGTGAACACTATCCTGTCAGCCAACGTGCGTTGTCGTCTTACATACCGTTCCATATACGTGCTAGTTCTTCTGTATCGTTTGTATTCACTTGGAACAAGTTGGGTCGACAGACCTTAAGAATAGGATCCGGCTCTTTCTGTGTGCTCATGGTATCAGGGAGCTTTACACAAAAGGCATGCTCTGCCCTGAAGAGGTCCTTGAACGTAGTTGTGGCTAAGTAGCTAGGAGTCTGGCGGGCTCGCTACTTTTCCTTGCCTGGGCGCTAGATTGGGTTCTATTCTCAGCTGCCGGAAATTTCTATTTCGCATGTCGCCGGCAGACCCGAACGTACGAAACCGCCAATTCGCAGTGTAGCCTTTTGGGCGATTGGCTCTATGGTCATGAGGTGCGGCTTATGTAACCAATCATGTTGCATGATTCCTACCCCACAATGAGAACGTGGAGCGAGATGAAAAAGGGAGATGCGGAGCAGTCCAATCCAATGCATGGTCGGTAGAGAGGATTTTTTTTACGACAGGTCGAATCCTGCACCAGCGTCAATAGCATACCGCAACTTCTCTAGACACTGTTGCGTGGACTCGTAGGCAGGTAGCTTGAGAAGATTGACGCATGTACTGGCCGTGGGCAGGCGCGTCACATCGTCACCCGCATGGCGGATTGCAAATTTCGGATGCAGCTCGCTAAAGCCCAGCAACGGTGGATTGGGCGACGAGGTAACAAATCGCAAAAACGCTTTCCGTGAAGGCTGGTCCAACGAGCGCAAAGCTTCCCAAAAGTATTGGATAGCCATGTCTTTTTCATGATAGCCACCATACACTGTATTCTGCTGCAAATCGTCCACGTCAATGGGGTCTTCTGTGCCACACACCAGCACACGAAGCTCTTCACGATTGAACAATCGGAGCCAGCGGGGCTCAATAAGTTCACTTAGACCATGGAAAAATGCCCGACATTGCGGTTCGATTTGTGTGCTTAGGCGGTAGCGCGTCATGTGGTATATGTATGATAAACGGTTCTCGCGAGTCACAGGGATCTCCGCGCCATTGGAAATCAGCGGCACCGTCTCACGGACGCCAAACTCCTCGTTGACCACCGTAAAGTTGAGTGCAAAGTCGTTCTCCACGTCACCAGAGTAGTTCTTGAGGGTGATGAGCCCGCGGTATAGTTCACTGTCCAAACTTTCGAGACTAGCGACGTCGTCGACATAGCCCTGCTGCCCAAGCCACTTGCTGAGGAAAAAGCCGGCAAATTTGACATCCACCAAGATGCCTTCATAAAGCGCCTTTCCGAGGATGCGTCCTAAAAATACATACCACATCAACTGCTCCTCTGCGCGAGCATAGCTGTGAGGGTTCGGATACAGCTCTTGGCGCTCGTTTGCGCACCACAGGCCGCGATCTGTGTCGAAGACCGTGCGCACCATTGAGGTGAGAAACTCCTTGAATACACCCCCACCATCAATGCCAGCCTCTTGCATTCCCCATTGGTCGATAAAGGCAATTTCCAGCGGTTCCTTGAGGTGTGGACCCAGAGCGTTCAGCTGTGCCATGCCGTCCTCCGCAATATGTTCACGCCGAATCGTCGCCCGATGGCGTTGCGTATGTGAGAAAAAGTCGCGCGAAATCCCCAGTCGATCCACGTCACTTCGAATAAACTGTCGGAAAATTTCGACACGGATATCAAACGGAATCACGAACGGAATGTGGTTTAAGATATCCAAGCGAGGCGATATAAACGCTCGAGTGCGATCTGATAGCAGCGGTCGATGAGTAGGGCCTTCGTCTTCTGTTTCAGGGGGGGAGAGGTTCCGTTCTTCCAGCACGACAGCCTGGATAAATGAGTCCAGGTCTTGCTGGCTGAGCATATGCCAGTGACCCTCCGGGACAAACGCGCGCCGTGAATCGCGTGTATGTAGCTGCTTCAATAGCCTTGTAGATACATCACGCACATCCGCAAAAGGCATGTGAGTGCCAGGCACATCAGATTGCCAAAGGGCATTCATGTTATCACCCCAGTACAACGAGAACACCAGATTACGCAAGATCCCACTGATCGTAACCAGCTCGTCGAGGGTGAGTGGATTCTTTGGCACGTCTGTCCCTTGCGTCATACGTGGTGGATAAAATTCGTCATCACCGAGCGTGAGCAGGCAACGACTGTACACTAAGGCCAATACAAGAAACATGGGCCAGTCTGTAGCATCGGTAGAGTCGGTTAAGATGTTGCGTATTTCCACCACACTAGATGGTCCACGCATCGTAGGCATACTCATCCTGCGAAAGAGGGGACTGCTACGAACCCACCCTCGCCACAATTCGCGTGCCATTGATCCAAACTGAATAGCGCCTTGCCCTGCTTTGTCCTGGCCATAGAGAAGCATCGATACAAGCGATTCGCGGCGCGAGACAGGCGCTGCTTGGTATACAGCCAGAAAAAACGCACAAAATGCGGGGCGCGTGGTTGTAGCGAACTTGGAGCTCGCTACTAGTAAGGGATGCACATGTACATCCGAGACGAGGTCATCCAGGTACTGTCGTGTTTTCTCAGATACATCAGTTGTGTCATGGTCGCTATGCCATGTAGAGCGTGGCAACGCGTGAAGGAGGGTCGTGAGCATTTCCAGGTACGGTGTCACTTCAGCGCCGCGCTGCATATTCTTGACGCGCGACGATGTAAGTCGATGCACATTTACAAGCAAGTCAGGTACGAGAAGGGGATTTGCGTCCAATGCACTTTCTCCGGTAGTATGGTCAATGTATGCGCCCAAGGCACGAACGTGCGCCATGATTTCCGACAAAGGGAGCGAGGTGGCCAACGCTGTTACAGATGAGATAGGTATCCTGTGCAAAAGTTGAGGAATAGTAAGAATATCACGCGTACACGCGCGCATGCATGCCGCGCGAGGATCCGCGTCCTGTCGCGACTCATCTTCGACCAACGCACATTGTGTCGCTGGGAAGAGGGTAAACGGGCTCAGGGCCATAGCGATACACTGCGCGTGCTCTTCGGCAGCTTGCTTGGGAAGCACAAAAAGAAGCGATCGCAATGCCCTGTACAAGCCATGTCGAACTAGCCGCATGAGCTCTGCGCGTTGATCTGCTTCGGAGGAGGTATTCAGCATGTGCGCCAAGAATCGCAGAAGAACGGAGGTATCGTTAAAAGTGTCAGTGTGCGATTGCTGCAATGCGGAAACAATGCGAGTGCATACAAGGCGTATCATGGAGCGTGGCAATGCATCGTTTCCGTCGGGCAATGTAAGGTACGCAGCTGCCCATCGGGCGAGTCTCTGCGTGTTGGCGTTGGGTGTGCGCGTATCAAAGGCAAAAAGCAGGTATCGTGTCCAGTCCGACCATGTGTTTCCATGTAGCATACCCTGATCAAAGGCAGCTTGGCACGTTTGCCGTGTTGCATGGGCAGCCTCGTATCTGCGGTACATCGCCTGGATTTGGGTGGCGGCCTGCACACGTTGCTTTTGCTTTTGCCGCTCCAGACGCTGGGCGCGCGCAGCGGAGGTAACGTCAGCAGCGGACGATGGGCCCGCTTGCCGACCGAGATTGATCGTTCGCGCAGGCCGCGACGATCCTGTAAAGTTAAAATTCATGGTGGTCCGTGATCAATGAACGACTGGATGACGCAAGCCTTGGTGGTTCGGAGGCGCTTGCATGTGGAGGGCCACAATTTCGCGCGTGTGGCAGGTCCTTTCATTTGTTCAGTGCCGTGGCGTTCGCCGAGACCCAGCGATGCGCACCTCGGACTCGGGTTCGGTCTCTGCGGCCCAGGCACTTCCTGTATGGGAAGGGAGGGAAAAGATTGTACAGCGCATCCAAGAGAATGATACAGTGATCTTAGTTGGTGAAACAGGTAGTGGTAAGACCACACAAGTGCCGCAGTTTCTACTGCATGCTGGTCTTGTGACGGTATCAGAGCCTGGCATGATTGCTATAACGCAGCCACGACGGGTCGCTGCTACTTCTTTAGCACGGCGTGTAGCCAGCGAGATGCATTGCTCGGATCCTGCGACGCTCACACCCAAAGCTAGCACATCGGATACCAAGGACCTGGTCGGCTATTCGGTGCGTTTCGACGATCGAACTACGAAACACACACGCATCAAATTCCTTACAGATGGTATGCTCATCCGCGAAGTGCTAGGTCCTCTTCGTCCAGATGGGTCGACGAAGAAACGCGCGTCGCATAGCGGGCTTCTTAAGCGGTACAATGTACTCATTATCGATGAAGCACATGAACGCTCCTTGCGTACCGACATGGTGCTTGGCTTGGCTAAGAAGATTCAAAAGGAGCGACGGAGGCGTATTCATGACGGCGATACCTCGCTACCGCCCCTAAAAATCGTGGTCATGAGCGCCACTATTGATGCCCAAGCGTTTGCGACGTTCTTTGGCGGCGAGTCGCGTGTGCCTATTTTGTATGTATCGGGCCGACAACATGGTGTGCGTTTGTACCACACACAAGAAAGCTGCCAGGACTGGACTGACGCTGCTGTTCGTACGGTCATGCAAATCCACGTGTCCAAGCCGCTTGGCGATATCCTTGTCTTTGCGACGGGCCAGGAAGAAATTGAGTCCATGGCGCAATCTCTCCAGCTTCTAAGTACGCAGCTGGATGCATGGGCAGCAGAAGAAGGCCACGAAGGCGTACCTGCCCTACTCATCCGTCCTTTGTACGCAGCCCTTGGCCCTGCTGCCTCAGCAGCAGTGTTTACCCCGACGCCGGCGCACACACGCAAAGTCGTGCTAGCGACCAACATTGCAGAGACGAGTATTACCATTCCAGGTGTACGTTACGTGGTGGACTCGGGTCTCGTCAAGGAAAAAGTGTTTTCTCCCCAAACAGGGATTGAGACATTGCAGGTTTTGCCCGTGGCCCAGTCCTCGAGCTTGCAACGGGCAGGACGTGCAGGTCGTGAAGGCCCTGGTGAGTGCTACCGACTGTATACGCGAGAGGCATTCCGGGCTTTGCAGCCGATGCCTGTCCCTGAAATTCACCGCACAGAACTGTCTGGCGCCGCGCTGCAGCTGTATACCATGGGCCTCGATCCCTTCACATTTGACTGGATTGATCCCCCTGAATCGTCACTCTTGCAGGAAGCGGTCGTCCACTTGGCCGAATTAGGTGCGATTGCATCCGATACCGATGGCGTCACGCTTACGGCGCTGGGCCGCAAATTGGCACTCTTGCCTGTCACGCCTTCGTATGCTCGCCTTCTGGTAGCTGCAGCCGAGCGTGGGCCACACGTGGCAAGCCAAGCAAGGGATCTCGTATCGATCCTGTCCGTGGACCGCAGTATTTTTGTCGAGTTGCATGATGCTGAAAAGCGAGATCTTGCTGAACAAGCACGGGAGGTCTTTGTCGATGCCAGTGGTGACCATGCCACGATGTTGAATGCACTTCGGGCTTACCTCACGCAGCAAGCACATGCCTTCAGCTCACATACGCAGCCCAGTGCTGCTCGCCAAGAAGTGCGCATGTGGTGCCAATCGCATTACATCCATGAGCGCACAGTGAAGAATGTGCTGGCCATTCGTAAGCAGCTTACCCGCATATGCCATCAGCATGGCATTGCATGTGAAGACGATGAGGCAAAGCCTACGTCCCATGGTGTGGACCAGGACAACGATGACGACGAGGAAGAGGATGCCTTGGTGGTGACGCGCTCTTCATGGCGCATGGGCGCCACCGAAAAGGGTCAGTATACGGATCTACTTCAATGCCTCGGTATGGGTCGTCTGAGCAATACAGCCTTACGCCAGCCAGATGGCAGTTTCCGTCGCGTAGCTGGTGGGCAGGTACGTTCTTGGTTGCTTACCGCAGACATTCAAACTACACCCTAGTTGTATTTTGCATCCGTCGAAGCATGGTGCTCGTGGTGCCTCCTATGATTCCGTCCAAGCGATTGTATTTGAAGAGCTTGTTCTCACGTCACAGACCTTCGCACGCACCGTCTCGAAAATCGAGCCGGCGTGGCTCCAAGAATGGCTTCATCCGCCGTCGTAGGCCGTACGTAGATTTGTCCTCCACATTTTTCGCCTCTCTTTTCCGACCGCCTACGACGAACAGCATGGGCAAGCGTCTTCGCAAGCGCGTGTCCAAAAAGGCGCGTACAGAGTCGCACCAGCCCGACGGGAGCGACGACGTGATCGGCGCAGCGACGGATGTGCCTAGCGTGCAGCCGATGCCGACCGCTACGACCCTCGTAGCGCCTTCCTCACCCCCACGCGCGACCGACCAGGCGGTAGGCGACGTGCCAGAGACAATGCCCAGGTCACAGGCACAAGAGCCCGACGATGAGGGCGAAGCAAGCAAGAAGCGCAAACGTACACGCAAACGCAAACGTGCGAATGCACCGCAGGCAGGCCCAGATCCAGCTACCATCGACGGCCTTAGCGATTCCGCTGCCAAGGCTATCGCGTATACCCAGCTCTATTTCCGCGAGAAGAGTGCATGGAAATTCATGAAGCAGAGACAGAACTGGCTTCTGCGCCATGTGCTATGGTCGCAGGAGCTTATCACGCTGGGCCACCAGCTTGCTGAGCAGGCTACGTCGCTCTCTGCGCTCGGCGAGGACGTGCGTGCGCGTCTACCTCCTGCTGTGCCAGTGCCTGAAGAAGGGCATTGGGTACCTGATGAACACGTGTCTGTGGTGGCGGTGTACCTGCACAGTATGATGGGCCTGGCCAAAGAGCGCTTGGTCGCGTCGCTGCAAGCGGCCTTGGACGTGCCTTCCATCCCAGACGCTGCGCCGTTGACCGAGGTAACGGACGCGGCCAAGGCACCTGCTGGGGCAGCACCGACCGACGCTGAACCGACTACCTCGACGTCCTCCTCGCCGCCCAACGAACTTGCACGGCAATGGCTCACATTGCGTGCTGCACGTGCTCAGCAACTGCTGGATGGGATGCAGACATGTGAGTGATGATACCCCTGCCTAGACTCTACTTTTTCTGTAGCATTTGTCGGAAAGCATCCTGATCCTTGGGCGTGGTATCGGCTAGCTCTGTCGTGTGTACACGCGCAAACCCAAACGCCTCCTTACGTGGCCCACGCGAGGCCGGGCCCACCGATCGCGGCATCGGCATCGATGTCGTCGAGGTGGAGGCGGCCCCTGTGTGAGGCTGCAGTGTCAAAGGCGCATCTCCGTACATGGCACGCGCGGCTAGCACAGCGCGCCCCGCTGTCTCTGCATCGACCATTTCAACAAGGCTATCGCACGTCCCATCCCGCTGAGGCGCACGCCCAGGTGTCCAAAAGACGCGTCGGACACTGTTGGGACCTACTACAGCCTCCATTGCTTGCTGAATGAGCGCTTCCTGCGCATCCGGGGGCAGGCCCTGTACATGGATGGTACGTGCCCACCGATCGGCCTGTGTAGGCGCCGAGGAGGCAGGTCGATGCGTTCGCCCCGCTTCGGCGAGCGTCACAGCCACAAGACGGCCGTGGAACTTGGTACTGTTGGTTGCTTGCATGGCCCGCCTAGCATCCAACGTAGACGCAAACTCAATGAAGGCAATCCCGCGGCTCTTGCCGTCGGGACGGGCAGGCATACGCACATCGGCCACAGGGCCGTACGGGGCAAAAAAGGCCCGTACGTCGTCCACTGTCGCCGAGCGGGGAAGGCCCGTCATATACAGCTCCTTGTCGTTAGCATGGGCATCCGAGCGTGGCTTCTTGTGTTGCGGGTTGGACAACAACACTTGGAGCTCGTAGCCGTCCTGCCACTGCTGGCCATGCATGGCCAAGGCAGCCTGTGCGGCCGCTTCATTGGTATACTGGACATAGCAGAATCGGCGCGACTGCACAAACTTGCGGCTGGGCCAACGCACATCAAAGACAGCTCCGTATGCGCCAAATCGCTCACGAATCACGTCGTCTGTGGTCTCGGGCGGGAAGTTGGTAACGTACAAAGTGCATGCATAACTCAGCGAGACGTGCACAGACTGGCCGCCCACACGCTTCCAGTCGCGCGTGCGGGCGGCATTGGCGCCATCGCGATCGGTGAACTCCACTTGGACCGCCGACGTCTCTTCGTCGGCATTCACTTCGCGGACGGTACGTGGGCCGATCACCTCAAAGATCACGCCGCAATCCCGGAAGAACGTGCGAATGTCGCCCTCTGTAGCATTCACAGGCAGACCCGATACCATGACCGACGAAAATTCGCGATCACGCGCTGGTGGCGCCTCTTTCTTCTCATCGTGCTTCTTCTCCGGCACGCCCTCGTCGTCCGCCTTGCGTTTCGGTGCGTCAGGCATATCTGTGTCGGGCATGTGCGCGTCTTGCGTGTGCTCTGCACTACTTCGTGGCACCGCCGCCTCCGTATGCGACGGTGTCGCTGTGGCTTGGTACTTGTACCACGCACGCCATAGCCGATCGTTCTCGATCTTGGCCTTGGCCTCCGCATGCTCAATATCCGCGGGCGTGCCTCGTTCATGCTCAAAGGCGACCCATGCCTGCACAATCACAGCCTTGTTCTCCAAGCCCTGCTTGGCCATACCACTCTTAAACGTCTGTCGCGCACGTTTATCGTCGTCGTGCCGCTTGTAGTACAGCGCCGCTTCCAGGTAAGCATTCGCATTCATAGCGTGCTTTTGCAAGGCGTGCGCCCACAAATCGTCAGCGAGGGAAGTCAGACCCGCTGCGGCTTCCGCCCCTGCCGCCCGCTGGATGGCACGGGCCGCTCGCTCAATCCAATCGGATGCATACTTTTCCAACGTGAGATTGGCGTCCTGCTCTGTCGCAGGCAACGCATACATGGTCGCGATGGCCCCCACGAGGCCTTCATACAAACGCATAAAGCGGTCCACATCCGCCACCACGAGCACGTCGTCCGGAGACTTGTGCTGCTCCATAGCCAGCTCGTGCGTTGCAAACGCTCGCTCGCAGTCGATATGCGCCTGCAGGACACACAGCAGAGCGGCTCCACCGCCGACGTGGCCCAGCGTTTGGCTCGCCATAAGGCGTGCATACACTTGCTGGACCTGCGTGGCTGGGCGCTGGAAACGGGCCAGCATGCGCATGTAGGAGGCCCAAAGACGTCCTGACGTAGGTAGTGTACGTGTGGCCTGCTCACACACACGGAGCACAGACGCGGCCTCTGCGCGTGGGCCATGCAGGAGCGACAGCAAGTCCAGCCACAACGACTCAGCTTGTGCGACCAAGGAACGTGCCTCGACACGCGCCGACGCTTGCTCGCGCTCCTGCATCTTGTGGCTCTTGCGCCCTTGCTTCTGCTTCCATGCCTTTTCCACGTCAAGCGTGGGTGGGACATTCGCATAGGCATCCGCTTCGCGTTGGTTACGGGCTCGTGGGTACCAACCGAAGCGATGCAACGCCCGATAATAAAGCATAGTACCCATTTCTTCTTCTGTCTCCAGATGCGCCTTGTTTTTGGCTACGCGCATCTGCTTCAGACGGTGCGATTGCCATGCCAGATACGGCTGCCAAGCGTCATCCAGCGTGCTATGATTGGTACCAATCGCATCCTCGTACGATTCACGGTCTTGCCATAGACGTTGTGCATCGGCATAGTAGGAGTTGGCAGCAGAGAGTGTACTTTCATAGGCCTCTGACGGCATGTAGGCAGACACAAACTGCGAGAACCGCTGGAACGTCGTAGCCAATTCTGCTGTGAGTATTGTAGGTACATACGTGCATGGGGGACTTGCAAGCGAGCCACATACGCTTGGCGTACAAGCTCCACTCTTTCGTCGGTGTGATCGTTCTGATGTGAGTCAGTCTTTCACATACCTGCAGCCATGCCTCTTCCACGGCCATGTACAGATCCCACAATGCTTGGCTCTGTGTGTGAGTCATAAGGCACATACCTCCGTAGCATGCCAGGCACATTGGCTATACAGATCCCGCAGCGCATGCCGCATACCCGTCTCGGTGGCCTTATCGCCTAGCACCCCTCGCACACACGGCACAGAGGTCAGAGGGTAAGTCCCGTTCGCATGCAGCACAGGGCCGGGCAGGCCTGTCCATGCTGTACACAGTGCGCGAACATCCCAGACCGTACCTTCGGTCGAGGTCGTACGTGCGTCTGTCGGCACAGCGCACGAGAGGCCAGTTTCGTGGACGTAGAGGCCCACCAAGAAGCTAGCGCATCGCAGGTATAAGCTCATATCCTGTGAATCCTGCGTACTCTTCTCATGGAGTGCGAGAAGATGCGCTATATCATCGCTCACATACATCGATACACTCAAGTATAGGTGCCAATCGCGAGGCGGCAACGCCGTTTGCTCACTCATCGCTCGGTAGGCCTGCACGAGATCATGCGCCAATGTCGACCGTGCCTCGTCCGAGTCAGTGGTCAGCATCTTTTTTTGAATCGATCGGATCCAGGCTCCATATTCCCATGGATCCAGCGTGAGCGAACGCTGCTCGCTATGACTGGCCTCCGTGTCCATAGCTTCGTCCATCGTCAGCGCCTGTGAACCAACGCACACAACACACACACCGTCTGTTGTTCTCTGGATGCTGACTAAGCAATCTATGGGCTAGGACGCACGCGACAACGTCTGCATTGCCAATCGTCGTGCTTGCGAGAGGGAGATGGCATCATGTCGGAAGGCTAGGCGCTGACCATCGTCGCCTTCAAATAGGATATCATGTTCCGACAAGCCCTGTGTGCCCATATCCACATGGCTGTCAGCCATCACTGCATCGTCCCCATCATCGTCCATATCGTCGGCAGAGGACGTGCGGTAGCCATCGGAGCCAAAACGCGCGTAATCTGTTGTAGCGCCACTCGATCCATGAAGACTCATACCAGGCCGAGCCTCAAATGCGTGGAATTGCGATACAATCTGTCGTGTCGACGAAGATGAGGAAGGTGCGCCGGACCTTGTACTCTTCGGCGACAATGATCCGAAGCGGAGAGGCACGTGCCCACCATGCTGGGCCGCCTGACGTCGCATCTCAATAAACTTCTGACTGAGTCGTGATCCGATCACCTTCCGAATATGGGGGCGGGCTGAGAACACATCAGGCGCTTGCGACCATACCCGGATATTGTGCGCAGATTCTAAAGTTAGGCTCCTTTGCAACTTACCTTCACTCTCACGGTAAATGCTTTCAATGATGAGCTGCTTAGTACTTTCATTGCGCAGCAGAAGCTTCTCATGCAGCTCCGCGGACACTTGATCCACTAGCCGCTCAGTCGCAGACGCAGGGTCATTGCTGGCCTCGTTGCCCATCGTCAGACTTAGGTTGCGCATTAACTCCAGCACAGAATCGCCCACCTCCCGATGCAATCGCTCCATGTCCATCACTTCACCAGCTGCAGCAATCACCACCTGGCTTAGTAGAGAGGCAGTCGTAAGCGGCACCAGCATGCCACCTGTCACGTTCACAATGCCTTGGTAAAAGTCCACAGCATGCTGGTATCCTGACAAAGCTGGCTCACATGCGACCACAAAGAGCGGAATGCCCATGGCCGACATTTTTCGTGCGAGGACCAGTGGATCTTCTCCATCTGGGGACCCATTTGGAAACCCGTCGCCATACTCACCAATGCCATGCGGCGGCGCATCCGTAATGAGAATGGCCATTTTCGCGGCTGAAGAGCGCCAATCAAGATCAGTGGCAGCCTTCAAGGCAGCAGTGGTCGCTTCTGGCCCATCACCACCACCTGCAGCAAATAGACTGTTTAGATTTTCTTTCATCTCGAGTACGGATGTCGTAAATCCGACTCCTGTCAGTCATGTCCGTACGTACAGTTTTTCACAATATAAACATGATCCTGCGGAGGATGATCGCGGTATGCAATCAGGCCTACACGAAGTGCTCCTTTCGTGGAAAGAAACTCGGACTGGACAATCTTGGTGTTAGTACACTTCGACGTACATTGTCGCAGATGGATTCGATATTTCGTGTCGCCGACTAACGTTAGAAAGAAGGTCACGTACGTTGATACTGTGTGTAAGTCAAGCATTCATATACATACTATGATCCCATAGAACCCGTTGCATCGATGATCTAGCTGTCAGCATACTCTCGTACGTACAAAGACAAGATCAAGCGACCGCCCTGAGTCAGGAATAGTCGAGTGCCCAGGCTCTAGGCCGGTCTGAATCGACGTATTCATCCATTCTGGGACAACAGATGGGTCATTGACCGCCCCAAACATGCTGGGTGTTAGGTACACAGTGGAACGTACCCAAGCGCACCTCGGCTCGGTGCTTGTGTCATGAAGAAGGTAAGCAACCATCATCTACGCACGGAGCACGACCTTGGGCATCTCTTTAGTCAGCACATTATCGGCGGACAGTGCGCAAGTCTATGTCCACGGCTTACTCTCATTATGTCGATAGCGTCTGCGGGTGGGAAGATGGGCGCCACCTTACCGGCCTCGAATGAGTACGTGAAGATATCATTATACTGACCCGTAGCATTGATGAAACATGGAAATTCCTTGAAGGAGGCATCGATGTCATGGTACGTGCTTTTTGTTGGCTGACATGTAGATGACGCGCCTCACGGAGGGCATGTCGTATGAGAGGTACATGCAACTGTACACGGCTGCCTACAACTATTGTATTAGCAGTGGGATGGGTGGTACAAGTGGCATTGCAGCGGGTGCTCATCTCGTGGGTGGAGAGCTGTATACGCGTGTGGCCACCTACTTTGAACGCCACTTGCAAGGAATTTTGCAACGCATGAGCTCGTTATCACACGAAGATCTTCTGCAGCTTTACTCGCAGGAGTGGGATCGCTATACAAGCGGTGCTAACTTCGTGCACCGTATGCTTATTTATCTGAATCGCCATTGGGTTAAGCATGAGCGTGAGGAAGGACGAACAGATATTCATACGGTCTACACACTGGCGCTGGACCAGTGGAAGAAGCATGTTTTTATGCCCTTGCAACGTGAGGAAAAGGTAATCGAGGCTGTTTTGCATCAGATTGAGCTCCAGCGCAACGGCAAGGTGATCCAGTCGAGCTTGCTAAAGAGTGTATTGGACAGCTGCGTATCGCTGGGCATTGATGAGACTGATGCGACTCGGCTCAACCTGGATGTCTACCAAAGTGAATTCCAGCAGCCGTTCCTTCAATCCACCGAAGCGTATTACCAGGCGGAAAGCCAGTCGTTCCTTGCCTCGAACTCTGTGACAGACTATATGAAAAAGGCACAGACGCGTCTGGAAGAAGAAGAAAACAGAGTCGAATTGTACATGCATGCTAGCTCCTATGATGCACTCATGGATGTGTGCCGCACAGAGCTGATTACGAACCATGCGCAGACCATGTGGGACAGGTTTGGCTACCTATTGGAGAACGAGATGAAGGACGACCTGGCACGAATGTACGCACTCTTGTCTCAGATTCCAGGTGGTTTGGATCCACTGCGTGAGCAATTCGAGGCCTACGTCAAGCGTACAGGTCTGGAGACAGTCAGTCGTGACATGGAAGAAAGTTCCGACGTCGTGGACCCTTCCAAATACGTCCACTCCCTGCTGCGTGTGTACAACCACAACATGGCCACTGTTACTTCTTCGTTTCAATCGGAAGCAGGGTTCCTCGCTGCCCTCGATAAGGCGTGTCGCTCGTTTATGAATATCAATCAAGTAACGGGCACATCGGCCAGCCGTAGCCCTGAGCTCCTGGCCAAGTTTATTGACGGCCTATTGAAGAAAAATACTCGCGGTGAGGATGAACAATCCGTGGAAGAATCATTGGACAAGGCCATGATCGTGTTCAAGTACATTGAGGACCGTGATTATTTCCAAAAGTTCTATGCCAAATTCCTGTCGCGTCGCCTTGTCTCATTCTCCTCGGCGTCCATCGATGCGGAGGAGAGCATGATTTCACGCTTAAAAGAGATTTGTGGCTTTGAATACACGAGCAAACTGCAGCGTATGTTCACCGAAGCAGGACTCAGCAAGGAACTAAATGACCGGTTCCAGGAATCTGGCATGCAGTCGAACAAGGACCTCAACTTTTATTCGTTTGTTCTTACATCGGGCGTGTGGCCACTACAGCCTCCGAGTAGTGAGTTTACCATGCCAGACGAGTTGCAATCTACTCATGACGAGTTTGTCAAGTTTTACAACACCCAGCATACCCATCGCCAGCTTACGTGGCTCTGGCACTTGTCTACCAATGAAATCCACACCACGTACTTACCGCGCAAGTACATCTTCTCAACCTCGACGTACCAAACAGCCATCCTTCTTTTGTTCAATACGCACTCTGTCCTCACCTTTGACGAGATTGCTGAAGCCACACGGCTGGAGAAGAGTGTCTTGAATGCAGCTTTGCTGCCTATGGTCAAGCTCAAAGTACTGCACTTGCTGGATGACTCCTACTCTTTGAATAAGGACTTTAAAGGCAAGAAAGTGCGCATGAACCTTAACATCCCTGTGCGAGCTGAGCAAAAGTCAGAATCCGCTGAAGTTGCCAAGACCGTGCATGAGGACCGCAAAGTATTGCTGCAGGCGACCATTGTCCGCATCATGAAAGCGCGCAAGACTCTCAAGCACAACTTGCTATTGACAGAGGTCATTTCGCAGCTGCAAGCGCGATTCCAGCCCAAGGTGCCTGATATCAAAAAGGTTGGTGTGACATGATATACTAATGTACAGGCTATCGATACATTGATCGAGAAAGAATTCTTGCAGCGTGTGGAAGATGAAAAAGACGTGTGCGTAAACACCTTTGCCGTCAACCGACTAACCGCCAGATATGAATACGTAGCTTAAACGTAGCCATGGAAGCAGTACGACGACAACGCATGGAGGGACGAGCTCGGCATGCCCGCCCAGGCCTCGATGGCCTGACGCACAGCTTCCTGCACAGAGAAGCCAGCAAGGACCACCATGGCGCCAGCGATCGGGTGCATGGGAAACACAGCTGTTGTTAGCGGATCGGGCACGTACCAGCCAAAGCGACACCGGCGCTCATACCTCCGATCATATTGCGAATGATCCACTCCGTGTTCCATTCCACGAAAGGCCAAGCTGGCGTATTCTGTGAGAAGAGAGGCCAGTCACTGGGCCAAAGTGTTTCCTTCTGCCAACTCTGGGTGCGTTGCTGCCGCCGATCTCTAGGCAGCTTGGAATCCCAAACGAGTCGCAGAGCTAGTAATAACACCACACCGATATGGGCATAAAACATAGCGACAGAAGGTAAGTGCCAAGCATACAAGGCCCAATATCTATTCCGCCGTGTCCATTTCATCCAGGACCATTGCAGCACAAGGCCGCCCAAGATCAATGTAGCATGCAAGGCAAACATGCGCAGCGATGTGGCTACCAGCACACGAGAAGCGCCCAGCAAAAGAGGGTGTCGCTTCGCAAGCCATGTATCGCGGGGGGATGCCATAGCTAGTTGATGAATGTCCTGTTCGGCCATCACAAATGGGTAAATACAAAGTGAAAACCAGGCCAAATAACTTTCCATAAGCACGAGAGCCGCCCAGCGACGCAGATGTATATTCACAGGGATAGTCGACGGGGTATGTGAGCCACGTTCGGCCATATTGTATAACATATGTCGATAGACGCGAGGCTTTACAAGGATCTGCAATGAGTATTGAGCGAGTACTTACCAGATCAATGACCAGCACAGCATAGCCATGCTCCAAGTACGGGTCGGCCAGCTTGCCGCATCCCTCCACGCTGAGTTGACCACATCGTGCTAGAGCCATGTGCCCAGCGCCATACTTGACCAATAGCGAGGGCACAGGGCGTGCGCAGTGCACACACACTGGCATCGCTTCAGGGCAACGTACACAATATGTGGACGTGGTGGAGGTGAAGCGTGAGGCGAGAGATAGTCGGACACTAGACGCACGACCACTCGAATACACGCCCCCAACCATGCGCGGCTAGATACAGTAGGCCTATCCATACACTACGTAGGAAGCTTACTCGAGCTTCGCCTGGATTGCGCCAGTCACTTTTTCAGCCTCCTTCACAGACGCCTTGTCAGCCTGAGGACCGCTGTTGTTGTCGAGGCCACCGAACATGCTAGGCACCTTGAAAGGACGCTTCAGATCGCCCGTAGCTGGCATGCCCCAGATCCAGATCTTGGCCATGTTGGACTCAAGTGCGTTCTTGAGCGGAATAATGCTTTGGATCACAAGACTGTCATGTAAGATGTGAAAACACGTACGGGTTGGTGTAGCCAAGGTACAGGTGCATAAAGGCCACAATGCAGCAGCCCATAAGAATGCCACGCATGCTCTTGCTCACTTCAGCCAGGTCGTAGTCACGGTGGGTGGTCGTGACGAGCTCACCAGGGTCTTGCGACTGAATGTGAGCAGAACAAAAATAGACGTACCATGGGGTTTTTCGCGTTCACATACTTAAGCACCGTCAGGTCGTTCTTCTTCTTAATCTGATCATTAGCGTTCTATATACGACCACGTACCTGTACGCTGCAGAAGTAGTACACGGCCAAGCACAGCAGCTGCGCCGTGGCGTAACCGAGCTGGGCGTAGCGCACGTATTCTGGGTGATCGTCGAAGGGAATGCGCTTGGCCACCTGCATGGCGCCAAACATAAAGGCCATATTCATAACTGCCGCGTTCATCTTGAGATGGACTGCCTCGTTCGTCGAAGGGGTGAAAAGCGTCTCGCTGTCGACGACAGGCCAACGTGACGACATGGCTGAATAATGCCACGTGGCCATCCTCGACCGCGGGGCGCGGCGCAACCTAACGGTAGCGCCACGCTTTGGCCATCGATCACGACACGGAGTCGACTGCTAGTCCTCCCATTGCCAATGGTAAACCAGGTCCATCAGCTTTCCTACAGCCCGCTTACGGCGCATGCTTTCAATGCCGATCGCACTAGGGTCGCAGTCGCCCCGAACTCCAATGAGATCTGCATTTACGCACAGACAGCTGATGGCTGGGTGCTGGAGCATACGCTCGTCGAGCATGACAAGGTCGTCACTGGTCTCGATTGGGCGCCACGCTCAAATCGAATTGTAAGTTGCTCGCAGGATCGTAATGCGTATGTATGGACCTACAGTGGCACGGCATGGAAGCCCACGTTGGTCCTCCTACGCCTGCAGCGTGGTGCAACAGCTGTTCGTTGGAGCCCACGTGAAGACAAATTTGCCGTGGCAAGTAGCGCACGCGTGATTTCTATCTGCTCGTTTGAAGAGGACAACGACTGGTGGGTGGCCAAGCACATCAAGCGGCCTTTGCGCTCGACTGTATCCTCGATCGATTGGCACCCGAACAATGTCCTCCTCGCCGCGGGCTCGGCGGATTTCCATGCGCGTGTGTTCAGTGCGTATATCAAGGGTGTTGATGCCAAGCCGCCTCCCAGCGTTTGGGGCGAGCGTGTGCCATTTGGAACCGTCTGTGGCGAATTTACGACACCGGCAGGCGGCTGGGTCCATGGCGTAGCATTCAGTCCAAGCGGTGATGCCCTGGCGTTTGTCGGTCACGATGCCTCGCTGACCATCGTGTACCCTTCAGCGCCGGACCAGCCACCGCATGCTGTCCACTCCATTCGCCTGCCGAGCCTGCCCTATGTGACGCTTCTCTTCTTGAGCGAAACATCGTTGGTGGCAGCAGGTCACGACTGCCAGCCTATGGTGTTTGAAGGCAGCTTGGAGCAAGGTTGGCGTCTTACACGCAGTCTGGATACGGCGGGCACAGCGGCCTCCAAGCCCAAGCCGCCGCCTCCGCCGCCCAAAAAGCCTGGTCTCGCCGGCGCGCCCGCCGCCGCCCCTGGTGTTGGCCGCTTGAACAACGAAGCATTTGCGCGGTTCCGCGAGGCGGACTCGCATGGCCGTACAAGCAGCTCGCCCTCGCAGAATCAGGCCGACAACGCGCCCCAGTCGTTTGGCGCAGTCGCAGGCGCTAGCATTGCCGACGATGGCGAGCTGCATACAACGCACCAAAACACCATCACCCATGTCCGCCTATACGCAGGCGAGCCTGCCCATGTGGATACTATTAGTACGAGCGGTGTGGATGGCCGTTTGTGCACCTTTGACACGGCAAAGGGCAGCACAGCCATCGCGCCGATCCTTCGTGGCATCGCAAGTATGCGTCTCGTGTAAGCATTCATAGATACAAACTTAACTACCGAGCTTACGACTCTTGACGAGATGCGTGGAAATACCGCTCTTTTCACCAGCGTAGCCACCTTCGAGTGCACTTTGACCACCCTTGTACACGGCGCGCGTACTGGACAAGCGCTTTTTCGCGCGGTCGTAACGCATGCGGCGCTTCACACGTGGATTGCGTATACTCTTGGCACGATGCGGCGTAAGACCCTTGTTCTTTTCGATCTGGTAGTTGATGGAGCGATGCTCGCCAGGTGCGAGCGTCTCGTCGTCCCATACACGCTCTTCCAAACGCTTGCGATCGTACTCGTCCTTCTTGGCCTCTTTGCGGGCACGTTTGCGCGAGCTCACGAGCTCATAGTACGCCGCATCCTTGTCGTCTGCCTCTTCATCGGACTGCATGACATGGTCTCGATCTTGCCAATCGCTTTCGCCCCATTCGGCGCCAGTGAGAGACGTATCCATAGGCGCCTGCTCCTTGGCCAATCGGTTGGTCTTAGCTGTCCATACAGCCTCACGAATTTGCCGCTTGTCGCGGTACGGAATATCTGCATCGCCCTCCAAGCGGTGTTGCTTGGCTGACGGCATAGTGTCCACATTGGCCGCATGGAATTGCACTGCCCGTCTACGCATCGCCTTATCTTGACGCTCTGAGTCGCGCAGGTATACAGGCTCACCATATGCATCCTCTGTCTCAAGCGGCAGGGCATGCGACGTAGTAGGACGGCGTGTGTTCATCACTTGATCGTCAACTTCAGCCACGTCGGCCAGCAAGCCACGCTGGGGTGATGGCGCAGCTTCTTTCTCCTTCTTGCTCTTCTTGACCTTCTTGCTCTTCTTCACCGGCGCACTGGGTGTGCCTGCATTTTCCTTTTCATCAGCGATCAAATCTTCCAGCTCATTGGGCTCCAATTCGCCGAGCTCCTCGTACGCAGCCAGATCCTCCTCCGTCGGTGGGCCCATAAGGCTTTCCCCGGTATCCTCTTCTTCCGAGTGTGGTTCAAACAGGCCCAGCTCCTTCATATCCACCATCGCTTTCTTGAACTGCGAGAGACGTTCCATCACAGGGTGCTGAAGAAGCTGGTCAGGCGCCGCAGCCATCGCAGGAGTCGAAGCCAGCTCAAAGAAAAACGCTAAAAGCATGGTATACGACGATAACGTCTGATAGTGCAAATGTGCAATCTCGGCCATTTGTTGTTCCCCTTTGTGGGACAGTCTGCGTGTAAGTTGGCTGAATACGTACGTAGCCACATAGTCCTTGTCCTCGTCCAGCTGACGCATGGAATCGCGGAACTCTTCAACGAGCGCCAATACAAGGGGAGAGCGCTGTTGTAGGCCTTGTAAAAGCTGCTCAGGCGACTGGGAGGCAGCCTTTTCCTTCGCTTCGTCTCCATCGTCGCCGTCCAGTTCACGCCGACGCCTGGCTCTCGCTGCAGCACTTTGCTCGTCGGCATTGATTTGCGCCTCTTCCGCATCAATGCTGTCTAAGCCAAATTCAGCGTCATCCATCCCTGCGCGGCTTAAGCGCTGCAAACGGATCGCCTCATTCGTCTCAAGCTCGTGCGCCTTATCTTCGTCGATTTCCGAGTCAGACTCCAAGTCTTCTGCCGTGTTCCCACTGTAGTACGATCGCTTATTGGCACCCCAGCCCAGATCCTCGTCATCCTCATCTTCGACGTCATCCAAGGCCTGCTCTTCATGAGCTTCGTCCCGGAGAGCCTTGCGTGTTGGGCCCTCGCGCGTGACAGACGCAGGAAGGATCATGGTCCGGTAGCGATCAAGGTCAGCATCGTCCTCTTCTTCAGCACCCGTAGAAGCATCGGAGGCCTCTTCATTTCCACTTTTTTCATCCTCCTCGTCCTCATCTTCCTCATCATCAAATCCTAGCACTTCGCGTCCCTGGTCGACAAAATCCTCCTCTGCATCGTCTTGGTCCCAAGACGCGGGCTCTTCCAGAAGAACTTTGTCACGGGCTGCTTCGAACTCATCGATCGCATCCATTGGTGAATGATCAGTGGCACCTTTAGAACGATTGGTACTAGCGCGACTAGTACCACTACGTCTATGCCCTTTGCCCATGGTCAGCCAGCACAAGGCAATGATATTCCTGCGATGTAAGCGAGCAGACGCACTCAAGCCACGTGAGGTGCCAAAAAAAAATTGGGTCCACTTGCAGCCTATCGTGCGCATGGAATAAGAGGCTGAAACTCACAGGCGCTAGTTCTTTTGTGCTATACCATGTTGGATGACGAAGCAGCGTTGCTAGCGGCATCCAAGGCTGCCTATCAGTCCCACTCCTCTTCTACGAAGACGGAAAACCGTGGTCATACCTCTTTTACAGATGACAATGATATGATTACTTTCGAAGCGGAAGACGCCCAGCTCCAGGATGATACCCCCACCTCCGCCAAACCATCCAAGCAGAAGTTGAATGCCAAGCAGCTAAGGAAAAAGCGAGCGGTACAATCTGTTGATGCAGATGCCTCTCTTAAAGCATTGGAGGTGAAGTCTGCCCCAGTTCGCCGTTCATATTCGAAAAAGGAAATCCAAGAGGTATGTTTGGAACAACTTACACAGTAGCATCGCGCCAAATCTGCTGGGCCCGGCTGGTTCGATATGCCTGCCTTCCCAGGTGCCAAATTTAGTGGTACTGGCAAAGATACTCGTACAGAAACTGGTAAAGCAAGTTTTACTGGCGGAGATGCTCGGGCGGCTACGGAGAAAGAAATGCGTCGCCAGGTGACAGCTATTCGACTGCGAAATGCATTGGATCCGAAAAGATTCTATCGTGGTAGTGGTGGCACAGGTGCGGAAAAAGGCATGCCTGCATTCGCTCAACTCGGCAAAATCGTCGGTGGTGGCTTAGAGCCATCCAGTGTGCTCACCAGGAAACAGCGTGCTGACACTGTTGTCGGTGAACTTGTTCGTGATGCGGAATCAGTTTCATACTCTAAACGCAAGTTTGGCGAAGTACGTAAATGTGCTATATACGCTCACACCTCAGCTCCAGCAAAAACGCATGGCGCCGAACCAGAAGCGATCCAAAACGCAGGGCAAACAGCGGCGGCGTCCATAGATACCCTCCACACGCTGCGCATCACGTGGGGGCATGTGAGGCAGTGGCAGGGAAAAGGGCTTATGGTTTTGGGGGTGGTTTTTTCTTTTTCCCACCCTCGGATTGGTCCTTTTCGATTTCGTGACTAGGTTTCTTCTGCTGTTTGGCTAGAGGCGTTTTTATTTGCACGCCTCTGCAAAAAAAACAGCAGCCCGTGACTACCCGCCCTCCTCTGGCGAGAGAGCTGCATTGGACCAGCTTTAATCGGGTTTAGGGAGACGACTACGGGATCCCTACCCGACTCTAGACATCGCGACGGTGCTCTATATACACAGTACATTTAGTCCTTCGTTGGTCTGAAGTACTGTTGAGTGCTGTTTCATACTGTTATGACCGCCCAAGTGTCGACGGCCAATGCTTCCACACCCCGTGGAGCAGGCGCCAGTCCCTCTGCGGCTCCATTTTCGGCGCTACATATGAGCAGCAGTCGTATGCGTAACAAGAAGCTTTCGTACAAGCAGAAAAGTATGTATAACTAGGAATTCTGGGCGGCGTTTTCGAGCACCATGTCCAGTATTCGGGGATTTAATCTTTTCAAACGAAGTGAAAAAAATTAAATCCCCGTTTGTAAAGAAGAGAGTACTGACACTGCCAGTTTCTGTACAGCGCGGCGCCTCCCTGAATGGAGCAGCAAATGCACTTGTTTGTGGGATTACACCTGAATTTGAGACAACTGATAATCAGAAGGACTCAACGTTTGGTGTAGATTCACATGAGATTACAGAGCACCATCTCCAAGCGGCTCTGTCCTCGAATCAGGTGGAAACGACGTCCACCGGCGGCTCAGCACCTAAAAAAGCATACCACATTCCCACACCAAAAACAGTGGAAGCTTTGACGCAGGCGCAGTATGATAAAGAATACCCGCCGAATGCGTATTCAGACCCTGTCACTTACGTCCGGTTCTCGGATACAGTGGAAGGATGTATTTCAGGAGCACCTTATTGTTTAGATGAAGACGATAAGGGGTGGCTTGATAAACACAACAACAAGGTGAAGGAGGCGTTGGAAAGTGCTTTGAAAGACAAAAAGAATGATGCCGACAAGCAGGTGCTGATTCAAAAAGACCCCGCAAAGTACAAGGCTATCTCAGAAGATGAGTTTGAAACGGTCATGTACGTGTTTGAACGTACCACGAATGAACGACACCCACTTCTTGAGCTTGACATATCGAAATTACCCCCGCTCTCGGACCTTTTGCCTGAGTTTGAAAGTAACTCTGCCTCATCCAAACTGGCTTTGCCTGAGTTACCTGAGTCCCCAATGGAGATCCCGGTAAATGGCGCAGATGTGGATGCAGGCAACAAGGCGAGTAGTAAGGTGCAATCGAAGAGTCAAGACCAGGCACAAAGCAATTTGACTTGGTCAGCAAGTAACCCCTTCAGAAACCTGAGTGTACTTAAACCTTGTGCGTATGCTGTGTACCCTTGGTGGAAATTGCGCCGTCAAGCACGTGAAGGTAAAGGAATTGTTCCTTTGCTGAATTTTGACGAGAGCAACGATAATGATCCGTATGTGTGTTTCCGACGTCGTGAGGTTAAGAGCGCGCGTAAAACACGTAAAACCGACAATCTCCAGTTAGAAAAACTGGTTCGGCTGGAGTCAGAACTCAAGCAGGCTACAACATTGTTCCTGATGATTGCTCAGCGTGAGCGCATAAAAAACCAGCAAATTACGAAAGCACGCGCCTGCTGGAAGCAAGCTCAAGAGCTTTTGGCGCTGAAGCGTCAATGGAATATTCAAGGTCCTAACAAAGGGCAAGATGACGAAAGTCTCATCTTCGGTATTCAGCCTGATCCTAATGCGCCGGTACCGACGGCGGGAGCATCGCAGAATGCACAGTTATTCAAGAAGAAGCGCAAAGCAGAAGAATCAAGTGCCTCTACGACGCTCAAAATTCGCAGGCCCAAAAACAACGAATCCGATTCAGCCACAACCGCAAAGGTTGGTGGCGAAGGCGTGGCTACCGCCGCTGGCTCTGCGATCATGGAGCGTATTCAGGCTGTGCAGGCGTATATTGAGCGTGAGTGCCATGCTCGTCAATTAGCTGATGCTGGCGTGGAAGACCTCACGGACTCAGCCTTCCAGCCTATGGTCGCTCCGCCATCTTTACGTGCCTTCCGTCCCATTCAGTCGGATAACAACGATACTCACTTCTGGTCCAACCATCCTTTTGCACGGTTGGGTCGCCAGTCGTGTTTCCGGCGTCGTATTGGCCGTGGTGGTCGCGTTCTTTTGGACCGCCGCCCCGTGGTAGTAAGTCCTTCGCCTGCCAATATTGGCGCTTGGCCTCGACAACGTCAAAATGGTTTCCCCCTAGCGACGTTTGGGTACATGCGCCCCACAGAGTCAGCCAAGCGACAGGATGGTGCGACGCGTAGTGCCGGTAATGACCCGCTGCGCTCGTATGCGCCTTTTGCGTACTCAGCGCGTGTAGCGCCGATGCTGCTGCCGACACCTGACTTGTCTTGGGATCCGTTAACGTCCAAAGATCCACGTGCCTCTTTGACGCATGATCCCCACTTCTACTTTGGTTCGCAGGATGATGATGTTAAGGAAGCACCTGCGTATTCAGTAGGCCCCCAAGCTGAAGTGGCAAGCACTGACTCAGATTCGACGGACCGATCTCATACAACCGTTGAATCTGGCGACGGTCAAAGCACACAGGCCACCGATCCTGAGCAGGAGCCGATGCAGGAGGACAAGGTGCAGAACGGTATCTGGCAGACAGAAGAGGAATCTGTGGAAGAGCAGATGGAGCGTGCACAACGCCTAGCTGAGCGATGGCGCTATGATGAAGACGGTGGTCGGTTTGCTGGTATGGGCCTCTTGGGTTTGGGAGGCATGGAAGGCGACGAGGAAGCGATCCTGGATGACTATGACCAGCGCTTTATTCGCTACCGAATGTCACTCTTAGATGAATCAAGTCTGCTCAAACTATCGACGGATTGGACGTATATGCGTCAAGTCCTTCTTGCAACAGCTACGCGACAGCCTGTACCCGTGCATGCCACTACTCTCGCCAGTGCAGACACTGTGAAATCAGTTGGAGCGGGATCTTCAGCTCGCACATCCAACACAAACAAAGAGTCTTCTACACAAAACACAACACAATCATCCAGCGAAGTGACGCCACCGGTGAATACCAAGTAAGAGGATCTGCTATGCCGAGATGCCATTCAAAGCATCCAACCAGACCTTGATGAAGGCTTTGACTTTTATGTCCTCCATTATTTTGCCACTCGTACTTTTTTTTTCTCATGAGTGACCGTTATCTCTTTGAAGAGATGACATAACTACTATATACCTAGTTTTTCATGTAACAATAGAAATACTGGCACTTGTACAACAATTTGACAGAGCGCGTGGTGTCAGCGGACAGCCCCACGTACAACCCGATGCGACGAGTTAGTAGGACATGGCGCACAAGCTGTACCGTCTATGTGAGCAATGATGGTTAACAGGCATGGTGTATTTTGTAGCTAACACAAATCTAGTCATAATGTTAGCCCAACATGTTCAAATCTGCCCCGTCCAATAGACAAGGTATGAAATAATGGACAGAGATGACGTGCAGGTCTCGCACAATAGACACGTTATTCATAGAAGGTGTCGTCGCTTAGAAGCCAGGCGGGCGAAGGCCCTGCGACTGACCCGACACGGCAGCTGGCGGCGCCAGCGGGTTGTTACCCTGTGCAGTACCGTTCGCACCCTGCTGCTGGGCGATCATGTCCTTCTCCTGCGCAGCAATGCGGCTCTCATCTTCAACAGCCAAGGCGAATGGAAGGCCAACCAGTAGAGCAGAAGTAACACCGATCCAAATCAGCTTGCCTGCTACCCAGCCACCGGCGTAGCCGTACGCAGTAGTGGTGTTCCACGTCTTGGCGATCGTAGCACGCGTAGAAGGCGAAATGATATCCTTCAGCGCACAAATACGGTCCCAAATCGTTTCATTAGCGATGACAAGGGCACGCTCATCGACATCATCTTCATCATCCGAGAGGTCCTACATATATGTTAGTACTGAAACCCACATGGAATACACACATCCTCCGACTCCGAGTCGCTGGCCTCTTCCCACTCGTCTTCGTCGTGCAGACCAGCAGCAAGACCCTCCTGCCTAATCTTTTCCGATTCGTCTTGTACTTCTTCGATGCGCACCATTGTCGATCGAGTTTGGAGAAGAGCCCCATGGCATCGTCAGGGTGCGGAAGAGACGGATGGATCACGTGATTTACAAAAGGGGGCAGGTAGGTGAGGCTGGGAGATCTTGACAAGAGCTACACTGCAGGCCAGTGGTATCCGTTGGCGTAGGCAGCAGCGTGATGAACAACATTGATGACGATGCATTATTAGCAGGGCTTCCTAGCTGGAATGATCGTATTCCTTCTAGGCCACAACATGAAGAAAGTAATATATCCTTGCAGCCAACGCTGCCTTCCACTTCTACCACCACTAAATCGGTGACACCAACGGTCAAGACCCTCACAGAAGAAGAGGTGAAACGTATGGAGCTTAGAATGGCCGCTTTGCGTACTCTCAAAAGTCGTGGGAAGAAGCAAAAAGAGGCCATCACAGCCTCTTCGTCGCTTAAATCCATGGAACCTACAGGGACACTAACACCACCAGCACCCACGTATGCCCCCTCAGTCGATGACACCTCGTCTGAGAGAGCAGTGGCCTCGAAGAACGTTTATACTACAGCTTCAAAGACTTCAAACTCTCGACTGTTGGAGTACACGGACGTGGATGCTCCAGATATGGACACTGCTGACCCGTTGTTGTATGGAAACGAAGTTCTCACAGATCACGGAAATGGGCGTGTACATCGACAACGCATCTCCTATGCAGATGAATTTAGCACTCGGCCTCAAGCACCTGTAGGTGATGTTGGTACAGATTCGTGGATTGATCGTACGATGGGACCTGTACAGGCTTCTCGACCTACGCCCAAACCCCGTCTAGCCAACACGGACACGTCTTCAGAAGTAACATACAGGCCAATAAAACCGCTACCCACGAAGCATGCACCCATTCGTCGATTTGTAAATGAGCCGTTATGGGCATCAATGGTGATTGAATGGTCTGATGATGAAGACGAAGAAGAAACAGCGGGAAGGATTACTCCAGTATACCATGCTTCTATGCCTCGTGCTGATAATAAACAAGAAGCTGCCAACACAGACAAGGAGAAAAGCGAAATAAACCCCAGTATAATCTTGTCAGAAAAAGAAAAGCAGATCCGTTCGATGCAAGCTCGTATCCAAGCTTTGGAAGAAAGAAAAAAGCAGCAATTGCAAGAACAGGGAAGAATAACGGCGCATGAAAATGGAATTCTAGGTAAAAGAGTTATGGATTTGAATGGCGACTTAAACATGGAAGGAGAGCCGGTAATGCCAATATCGCACGATTCAAAGGTGGGTGATGCATTGGAGTATCAATGTAACACAAAGCGTACGAAACTGAATGAAGGATCATCTCTAAATTGGCTCAAAACCAGATTTGCTAGTGTATGTTTTTTTTTTTTCAACCATATCAGGCGTGAATTTTTGAGAACGAGTACTAACCGTCTTTATTTAGTTTACAAATTGGATGTCAGAACATAATCCATTTGGACGAGCATCCGACGATGCAAATGAATAAGATCCCTTTCATTGACAATATAGACTTCAGCCACCTGCCTGCATTGTAAAAAAAATCACTTTCCAATCATCTCGTTGATTCTCCCAAACCACCAAAAAGAAAGAGAGCGAGAATAGCTATGCAAAAAAAAAAAAATGAAGTTGATTAACTTTGCAAAAGTAAGTGCCCACTG